GATTCGTCTCAGGAGTTAGACGTACGGAGTGATTGGTCCTCCACTGCCATTCTTCAGCCTCTCTACGTGTTGCTAGATTTGGATTCGCTCGAACCTCTTCCGGGCGATATATCACCCGCTATCGCCACCGATGAGCAGATGGACTATTTGTCTGAGTCGGACCAATAGAGTGATTGTTCCTCCAATACCGTTTGTCCAATCAGCGAGTACAGTTATGTGGAAGATGAGATGCGAGACAATAGAGGCACAACGGAGGAAGTCGACGGCGCTGGAGATGGCCGACTCTGACCAACTCGATTTCCCTTTGGTCACTGGAAGCCCACCCAAGACGCTCAAGAGAAGGCCTTCGCAGTTGATGGACGTTTGTCACGGAGACTTGAAAAGGAACCGGCATTGGCTGCAAGCCGTCCAAGTGCCGCACACCAGCCAAGTTGCCCTTGCCGTCGCAGGTGCAATCGAGGGCCACAACTGATTTTGTATGCGGTTATTGCCAAGAGTGGAAGACTCGGAGGAGGAAGATTAATTGGATACTAGATTGATATTTACATTGACCGCAAATGAACTTGATTACATGGATCTGCCCAGCGTGCCATCATGTACAGCGCTCGTGTGTAAGTAAAAGTGTTAGTGTATTGCTGTCGCCGATTCCGCGCAGACACCCGGGGTCGCACAGTCATGTCGTCCAATCACCGAAGCAGCATATCCAACAGAAGAAAAAAACGAGGCAAACTTATTCCCAACCTAAACCCTACGCTAATCCCCCCCTCCCGTTTGCCAATCACAGTATGCAGTGTATCACGAACGGAGGCGCAATCGAATGCGGTTCGACCTCCGGTTCCGGCGACTTGCGAAAATAAAATAACGAATCTCTTTTCGAGGCACATGTACCGTGCTGATCCTGTATAGCCTATTGTTTTGCGATTTTTGCAAGGTTGTCGCCCTTGTTGGAGGACTGCTGGCGATATAGCCGAACCAGCACCTGTCAGCCCCTGGTCGCGCTCCCGACAGCGAGAGCTGTCTTGGCCCATCCAGCCTCGTCTCATATGTAGCCATCGACTTATTCATAGCAGGAACAGCCCGCCCGTCGTCCGAAGTGGTGGCGCATTTCCCACATTTCGCGGGGTAGCCGTCTTGGCTCGTACTCGGCTATATGCAGGCCTAGTCAAAGATGCAGCATCGTCCGCCCATGTTTATGCACCATAATCTTGCGTCTCCCGTTCTTTTTTTTTTTCTTGGCTCTTTTTTATTCCAAAGAAAAAAAAAACAGAACCAGAAATGGCTGGTAAGTTGTGCCCCCCCGTGTGACTGAGACTTGTCCGTGTTGACCATCAAGCCTCGCTAGCCCTCGCGGCTCCGGCCGTCGCTGGCGCGCTCGCCTACGTCAACGCCAAGGCGGCGGTTGGCTACGACCTCTTCATGGCCAAGTCGATTGCGCAGGGCTATGTGCAGTCGGCGTACCGCGAGCGCGCGCAGAAGCTGAATCTCTTTTGCGACCTCGAGTACTGGGCCGCGCGCGCCGACCACGCCGACCTGCCCTTTCTCGTGTACCAGGGCCGCACCTGGACGTATGCGCAGCTGCACGACACGGTGCTCCGCTACGGGCACTGGCTAAGGACGGAGCTCGGCATCAGGCCCAAGCAGGTCGTTGCTATGTGCTATACCACGTCCGACATGTTCGTCGTGACGTGGATGGCGCTCTGGAGCATCGGCGCCACGCCGGCGTTCATCAACTATTTGTTGACGGGAAAGGGCCTGGCGCACTGCTTGCGTATATCGACGTCCGAGATTTGCCTGGTTGAGCCCTCGTTGGCTTCGAATCTTCAGGAGATCAGCGCGGATGTTGCCCCCATGAAGATCCTCGTCGTGACGCCAGAGGTACAACAGGTGGCTTTCAGCGGTCCGGCCGTCCGATACCCGGACGAGGATCGTAAAATAGATGATAAAAAGGACCTTTCGATCCTGATTTACACGTCTGGTACCACTGGCTTCCCCAAGGCTGCCGTCGTGTCCTGGATCAAGATCCTCCGGATATGCATTGTGACGAGCAACCTGCTTGGCCTAGGCAAAGGCCACACGCAGTTTACCGTACGTGGATCTTCCACCCCCGAACGCGCCTGTTTTCTAATTCAAATCCAGTCTATGCCGTTTTACCACAGCACCGGGTCTCTCGTCGGCGTCGCCTCGACGCTATTCGCCGGCGGCACCATTGCCTTTAGCCAAAGCTTCTCCAAGCACACCTTCTGGAGCGAGGTCCGCGCCACCAAGGCCAACTCGATTGTGTACATTGGCGAAGCGCTGCGGTACCTGCTCGACGCGCCTCCCGAGCACGACGCGGCCACCGGCGCGTGCCTGGACAAGAAGCACCACGTGCGGACCATTTACGGCGCGGGCCTGCGCGCCGACGTGTGGCCGCGGTTCAAGGAGCGCTTCGGCATCGACACGGTCATTGAGTTCTACGGGGCCACCGAGGGCGTGCTCGGCACGTGGAACATTAGCCGCAACAGCTTCTCCGAGGGCGCCGTCGCGCGCGTCGGCTGGCTGCTGCGGACGCTCTTCTTCGACCGCATGACGCTGATTGTGCGCACCGACTGGGCGACGGACACGCCGGTGCGCGACGCGCGCGGGCGCTGCGTGCGCGCGGCGCTCGGCGAGACGGGCGAGCTGCTGCTCAAGGTCCCCGCCGACGACATCGACGCCGCCTTCCAGGGCTACTACAACAACGCGCAGGCGACGCGCGACAAGATCCTGCGCGACGTGGCCGCCGCGGGCGACGCCTGGTTCCGCACCGGCGACGCGCTGCGCTGGGAGCGCGACGGCCTGCTCTTCTTCCGCGACCGCCTCGGCGACACCTTCCGCTGGAAGGGCGAGAACGTGTCCACAATGGAGGTCGGCAACGTCATGGGTATGCATCCCTGCGTCGCCGAGGCCAACGTGTACGGCGTCGAGCTGCCGCATCACGACGGCCGCGCGGGGTGCGCCGCCACGGCGTTTTGCGGCGGCGGCGGCGCGCCGAGTCCCGCGGAGCTGGCCAGTCTGGCGGCCCATTTGCGCAAGGCGCTGCCGCGGTATGCCGTGCCGCTGTTCATTCGCCTCGTGGACGGGGTCGGTCGGGCGGAGACGACGACGGGCACGCACAAGCAGCAAAAGGTCGCCCTGCGAAAGGCTGGTGTCAATCCGGTCGGGGAGGACGGCGAGGAGATTACCTTGTACTGGCTCCGGGGTGATACGTACGTGCCGTTTGGCAAGGAGGAGTGGAGGAGGATGCAGGTTGGAAAAGTGAAGCTCTAGTGGCAGCTAAAGGAAGTAGGACAGCATAGTTTGGTTTGGTCACTCAAAATTTCAGCGTAGCGTCACAGCCTTGTTTTTTTTTTTCTTGAACTTTGGGCTTATTCCCTTGCGTATTCATATTTTGTGCCGAAAAGCAGGCATTTTCCGTTATTGATGCCGGAGCCAAGTCCGTTTGCATGTCTCAGGTCACCAGGGTAGAGATGTGGCAGTGGAAACGACAACGTGAATGCCAAGATGAAATATGGCGAGAGTATTCAAGTCATGATTCGCTACTTTCCAAATAAGAAACAAGGACAATTCTAAGCTCCATCACACGTAAAACACTGCCACGTGTGTTCCTTTCCTCGGCACGTGGCTCCCAGCTCATTGCAAAAGACACAGATGAGAAACCCGCCGTCATTACAGACGGTACACGCCTGGGTTTCGTGATTGTGTATACTACATTGGCCGCAAATGTCGCACCAGCACCTGGTCTCGGTGAACGGAGTCGATATGGGGCCTTGGCGCATCAGGTCGACAGTCGGCTTCAGGTCGTGCAAGATGCAGTATTGCTGCAAGATCCGCAACATATCTCGACTTCCACTACGCGTAGCCCACCAGTATACAGAGCGACCGAGCTTGTCTTGGTCCCCGTGCACGTCTTCGGGGCCCAGCCGCCGGAGCAGTGCTGCCGCAATCTCCGTACGGCCGTTGCGGACCGCCATCGACAGCGCCGTCGAGCCCCATATGTCGCGGCAGACCAGGTTGACGGGGTAGTTCCCTAGCAGCACGGTGACGACCTTGGTGTGCCCGCGCATGCAGGCGTGGATGAGCGCCGTGCGGTCGTCCGCGTCCGAGTAGTTGACATTGCTGCCCGAAGCTTGCAGCAGCGGCGCAATGGCCTTGTCGTGGCCCTCGTGCGCGGCGGCTATTAGGGGCGTCCAGCCGGTAATGTTCTGGGCGCTGGCGTTTGCGCCGTGCTCGAGGAGGAGATGCACAAAGTTCGTCTTGTGGCTGCGGACGGCGCGCATGAGTGGCGTCTCGCCCTTGTTTGTGCGCACATCGACGCGCGCACCATGGAGCAGCAGTTTCTTGGCAATCTTGACATTGCCTCTATCAATGGCGTTGACAATTGTGGTTTTGCCAACATCTGGACAGCCATCGGCCAGCGCGCCATGCTCCAATAGCACATCAACAATATCCATCTTGCCATTGTAGGTGGCAAGGTTAAGTGCCGACCACTCATTGGCGATTGCAAACGAGTGGTCTGCGCCGTGCTTGAGCAGTATGCTCACAATTTCTTTATTGCCAATGTCGGCGGCAAGGCAGAGAGGTGACCAGCCAGCACTTGTGACAGAGTTCACGTCGGCGCCGTGGTCAATGAGGCACTGAATCACGGGCACAGACTCTGTCTCGACAGCAAGAGTCAACGGTGTGTAGCCGCGCTCTTGTCGAATATCGATTCTGGCACTGTACTTGATCAGAAGCTCGGCCAGTTGCAGGTTGCCGAATTTGGCGGCCGAGTGAAGGGGCACCCAGCCACCACAGGCAGGAAGGTCCGGATCTGCACCGGCGTCAAGCAAGACTCGAGCAACGGCCGGGTAACACCCCCTGGATGCGGCCTTGAGAGCGGTGGACCCATTGTTACTCTGCGTATCGAGGGGCACGCCGTGGTTGATCAGAGCCTGGGCGGCCTCGCAGGAATCAAAACTAGAGGCAATACTAAGAGGCGTCCAGCCCTCAAGACCCGGTGCAGCGCCATCAACACCGTGCTCTAGCAGGGCTTCCACAACACCGACTGCGTTGGCCCTACATGCGTAAAACAAGGGCGTCCATTCCGAGTCGTCTTTGTGTGCGGCGTCGATGCCGTCGAGCGTCAGCAAGTACCGGACCAGCTCTGCCTGCTTATTCATGGCGCCGTAGTGTAATAGCTCCAAGGAGGGGTCGGCAATGTCAACACCAATCGCTGCGCAGCGTTTTAAAGTGCCTATCGAGCCGCTTCCGGCACCCCATCGCGCGGCCGAGCTCTTTCTGTGATCCCGGTTGAAGCGGTAGAGGGCTTCGTTGCACGGCCGGTTCAGGTGTCGACATGTCTGCGCGAGAGCGTTTTTGTCTGACTGGCCGAGACTGGCGAGAATTTTCAGGACGAGTTCGACTGGCAGCAGGTCGATATTGGTCATGGTGGTAGTTGATGGTTGGTGGTTGGTTGTTGTGAGTGTGTTGAGCGGGGAGCCGGGGAGAGGGCCCGACAGGGCGCGTTATATAAGTTTTTGTTGATTTAGGGCCGTATTGTGTGCAACACAGTCTATTCGGGAGCCGCCACGGGTCTCGGCTGATTAGTGCAAATTGCAGCTAGAATCCAACGTTGCAGACCAGCAGCGGGGAGGCACCGGGTATGCAGTGTAGCATTAGGCGGGATCAAGACCGAGGCGAACTGCACGCAAGTCGTGGGAGGGCGTCTCAATGGTGGGTGCGTGCCTGCAGATGAAGATGAGAACATAGAGTACATGCAGAAATATGTCTATAAGAATGAAACGTCGGTGGGTGGGCTGGGTGTAATTAACAAGTACAGCCCGGGGCAGATGCATCGAGTCAGTGGTTGAAGATTGTCGGACCACGCACGCAAGGAAGCGGGCACAGTGCGTGTACAGTCTCTCTGCACACAGTGCCACCCAGCGCGTAAGACCGGGTAGGCCGACAGCTCCCGACAGCTCCCGGCCAGCGAGTCCATTAGCTGAACGGAAAATCTACACAGAAAAACAAGCCACGGCGAGATTTTGCTGTCGCTTAGTCCATTGAAGTCTCTACCAGTCGTTTACTCCATTGAGCATCGCCTGTACTTTTGTGGGTGGTGCTAGTTCATCAACTCGGGTGGTGCCGTGCTGCAGCCCCATTAGCGCCACCAAAGCCAAATGCACCGCAAGATTTTGGCCACTTGTCCAAAGTTGTGCAGCACTTCGAGCCATAATAATGCGGAGCCGAGAACTGCATCGATTGCAAGTAATCCCAGTCCAACCAGGCGCCAAGCTAGGAACGACAAGCTCAAACTTCTAGATCGAGCTCAAGGATTTCAAAAATGACATTGAAAAAGAAAACCTCAAACCTCATTGATCCTATGTCCCTTTGAGCCTCAAAGCTAACACACGTGGCACAACTACCCTGCACAAGGCTATACCTGCACCGCCACCGCCACCAGCCACAGCCTACGACAGCCTGGCAAGCTCCTGGCTGTCCTCAGCATCACCATCCGGCTACTCAATCGCCGCCACGGCTACGTTCCTGCTAAATCAAGCGACAACCTCCCCAAAACGATCGCAAAAACTGCGCCTTGAATAAGCATATACGACGGTCATGCGCAGATCTCCCCCGCAGTAGTTGGAACTCAGGTGACCGAACACCATGTTCCAGGTATGCGACGTCCCATGCGACCGCACCGAGATGACCCGAGGTTGACAAATATCAGAGAATACGCGGCGCCATCGACCGCACTATAGCGGAGGAGCAGGCACGGCAACGAGGCGATGATGCGCCCGTCTCCCGGTCTGCTTCCGACTCCTCTAGGCAAGGAGCGAATGGTGCGCGACGGCCCCGACCAAACAACGGCATGACCGACGCGGGAGAGGCACCCCCGAACCCCGACCCTGCCGTCTTCGAGGCCGCATTTGTCATTGACGATAGCGATGAGCCAAGCCGCACTGGCACTCCGAAGCCGCCGGTGCCCGAGAAAGACGCCCCCGCCTCCAACGACGCTGCCGCCGCCGACGACAGCAAGTCTACCGACACAAAGAGCGAAAAGCGCCCAAGCACAGAGAATGCAAATTCCACCAACTCCTCTACGAGCTCAACTAAGATGGCTACGTCGCAGACGCGCTCGGCCGAGCTATCACCGGAGATCAAGCAACGCCTGCGGAAGCTCGAGAAGCTCGAGTCTACGTACCCAGGCAGGTGCCCATAATACGCCGGCGCGTTTTAACTCACTAACATGACATAGAATTATTGCGATCATATCGGGTAGCGCACAAGCGAGCGACATCTATCGAGCCTTTTGAAAAGGCACTGCGCGAGAACACCCCCCTCACCTCCATTGTCGATCCCGATGCCATGATCGAATATCTCAACCAACTAAGCCAGCGCGGGGGCATGGTCATGGATGAGCTGAAGCGCGTCTCTGCCGAAAAGGATGAGATCAAGAAGAAGCAGGTTGAGGCTGAGGAGTCGTTGCGTGACACCAAGAAGGAACTGGAAGAACTGAGGGCGGCGGGAAAAAAGGCTGCTGCAAACGGCACTGATGTCTCCAACTCCTCCAAGAAGGAGGCTGGCGACGACTTCTTTTCCTACGAGGACGAAATTCCGCAGCTTCAAGCCGATGTGGAAGCCAAGGCGGAGGAAATTGAGAAACTCAAATCAGAGGTGACCAAGCTCCAGGGCGATCTGGCCGCCGCGAAAGAGAACAGTGCTGGTCTGGCGGTGAGTCTTGACCAGACTTCCAAGGACCTGAGGGAATCGCGCGACGGATCGAACGACCAGAAAAAGCTCCAAACGGACCTCGATTCTCGAACGAAGGAAGTCGAAGAGCTCACTGGCAAACTCAAGACGACCGAATCAGAGTTGAAGAAGCTTCAGGCCAGCTCGAGCGAAGACATCAGTGCTAGCGCCGCCAAAGTAGAAAATGCTGAGACCTCTCAGGCTGCGGCTGAGAAGCGAGCCAAGGACCTGGATGGAGAGCTCACCAAGGCTAAGAATGCCACGAATATCTCTAAGAACTTGATCGATGACCTCAAGTCACAGGTTGAAAAACTGAACGCCGAAAAGTCGGAGAAAGAGATCAAGATTGATGAGCTAACAAAGATGATCAACGAGAGACCTTCTGAACCTACAGTTGCCACTTCTGATACGAAAGATAAGCCGGTCGTAGCTACTGGAGCATCCGCCAGCTCGAAGAAGAAGAACAAGAAGAAGAAGAAGGGTGGCGTCGCCGCTCAAACCGTCGCTGATGACGACAACGAGAGCAAGACCAGTGAACCTGCAAAGGAGGATTCAGGCGTCGATGCCAGTGCTCTTCAGGCCGAGATCGACCAACTCAAGGAGGAGATCAAACAAAAGGACGCCGAAATCGAACGCCTAAACAAGAAGCGAAAGTCTGAAGAGGATCTGCAAGAGGAGATTGAGACCCTCAGAGATAACCTGGTCAATATTGGACAGGACCACGTTGAGGATAAGGAGAAACTCAAATCACTCCAGCAGGAGAAAAAGGAGCTCCAGGCAGAGATCGAAGCGGTTCAGACCAAGCTCAAGTCGTCAACCTCCAGCTCCCAGGAAAGCGGCAAGATTCGAGGCGAGATGGATGCTTTGCAAAAGGAGCATGACGGCCTCAAGGAAAAGTTTGGCACCCTGCAGTCAGACCTTGGCGCCGCCCAGCAACTAGCGCAAACAAGATTCAAAGATCTTAGTGAGCTAAAGGAAGTCTTGCAAAAAGCCCAGCCAGAGCTTAAAAGTCTGCGCCAAGAATCTGCCATGCTCAAGACTACAAAGGAGGAGCTGGCAAACAAGGTCAAAGAGTTGAAGGAAATGGAAAAGAAGGAGAGAGAGCTGAAAAAGGAGATTACATCGGCCCAACAACTTGCTACTGACCGCGCTACTGAGATTAAGAATCTCAAGGAAAAGCTCGGTCAGGAGACGAGTGGGAAACAGAAGCTCGAGGAGGCGCAGCGTGTTTCTGGCCGTGACTTGCGTCGTGCCGAGGCCAGCAAGGTGGAATTGAGCGCCAAGGCGGAAAAGGCAGAAGCCGAGCTTCAGAAACTGCAAGAGGAAGCCAAGATGCTGCGACCTCGTGTCAAGGAACTCGAGGAGCAGATGCACAAGTTCAAGCGTGACAAGTCGGCAGCACAGGAAGAAGCCGAATTCAAGTCGCAACAATACATCAACGCGCAGGCGCTGCTCAGCAGCATGCGCGATCAGACAACCGAAATGTCTGTGCAGCTCAAGGAGTCCAAGTCGCAAGCGGAAGCGTTGGAGGAGGAGCTTGCCGAGGTGCAGAAGCTGCTGCAGGAGAGAAGCCGCGAAGGGGAGACGATGCGCCGGCTGCTCTCCGACGTGGACGAGCGCGCGGACAGCAAGGTGCGCGAAATGCGCACGCGCATGGAGGCGGCCGTGGAAGAACGCGAACGCATCGAAGACGAGTCCAGCACGCTCGCCCGCAAACGCTCGCGCGAGGCGGAAGAGCTCAAGCAGAAGCTGCGCGAGCTCGAGCGCGAGGTCAAGAACGCGACGCAAGAGCGCGACGACCTGGACGAGAAGTCCAAGGAGTGGCGCCGCCGCCGCGACGAGCTCGAGGCGATTGAGGAGCGCGCGTCGGCCGAGGCCGAGGAGCTCCGGACCACGGCGTCGCAGCTCCGCAGCGCCCTCGACGCGTCCGAGAAGCACGTCCGCGACGGCGAGAAGCAGCGCGGCGACCTGCGCACCATGCTGGACGAGGCGCGGCAGCGCTACGACAAGATGGCCAAGGATCTCAGGGCCGCGCAGTCCAAGCTGCTGTCGAGTCCAAGTAGGACGTCGATTGACTCGAACCGCAGCGGCTCAATTAATGGCGCCAGCAGCGGCGCGGACACGGCGTATCTAAAGACGATTCTGCTGCAGTTTCTGGAGCAAAAGGACGGACGCCTCCGCGCGCAGCTCGTGCCTGTCCTGGGCAAGCTGCTGAAGTTCGACAAGTAAGTTATCCTTCGACCCAACGTATGGGACTTGTTCTAACATGCAGCTTTAGGTCGGAAGAGGAGAAATGGAGCAAGGCTGTGCAGCATTTAGAAGTGCGATGAGCGTTGGGCGATGTATTTTGCATGGAACGGGTAAGCTCGTGTATGAAGAAGGCTGTTTTCGGGGTCTGGTTGTTTGATTGGGATGGAGGAGCTGGTTGTCTCGAGACCGGCGTGGCAGCAACATGACATGTCCATGGCTGGAGAACTATTCTGTATAAAAAAGTCACTATACTAGATGCGCTGCGTTATGGTGTAGGCATAGATCAATCTACTATGAAGTCGTTGGGGCGAGGTTGGCTTCACTGTACTGATCATTGATGGTGCAGTTGACGAAATAGCAAGAATTTCTTAGAAAACAAAAGGACCCTAAATACATCAAGCTTGTAGAACCGATTCCACATCCCAGACCACTCACCACCTTGTCATAAGGGGTAGTTTGTCAGCCTCGCCGCCATTGCCATCGACTGGTTGGAGGTGCGTGAGGCGTAGTCCTAACCTCTATGAAGGCTCTTTTGGGGTCGGGCTGACCGTCTAACACGTACCAACCCTATCGTCCAAGGTCAGTTCTTTCATGCGCTTGGCTACCCTCTGATTATCGTCAGCCTCGGCATCCTTGGCATCATCGTGTCTTTTCTTCCGTCGACGGTTGTCTCTTCTGAGACCCCTATAAAACTCCGCCCTGCCGTTGTCGCCCAGTTCCTCGCCATCCGAGGGGTCCGGTTTGTCGTCTCTCCTATACTTCAAGTGTCTGCACCAGTACAACCTTTCCTCCACACCCGTACTGTCTTCTCTGCCTCTGAAGGTGGACGAATTGTGCACAACTCTCTTGCGCCCGAGACGATCGTCGTCCAGGTAGCCATTTTTAACGACGGGGGTTATTTGTGGGTGCGAGACAAAGACTTTTGACATATAAGTCGTCGCCGTGTTGCTGTACTCGTCGCAGTACGTGAGTTGATTGCACAAGAAGTCGAAGTAGACTTCGAAGACTTCGGTCGCCAGCTGGTAGCTGTACGTACTGTGCGGTCCTCTGGTAGGCGCCACAGGCCCTGCCCTGCTCTCTGATGCCGAGCTCTCCCGTTTCAAGGGCTTCTCAAAGATGGCTCTGCCGAAAGGGGTAGCATCTTCGCATATCTGCATTGGGTTCCTAGCAACATGCTGCTTCTCATCAGAGCCGAAAGTTGAAGCATCTTCGCGCATGCGCATTTGGTTCCATTCAACATGCTGCTTTTCGATTTCTTGTACAACAACCTTGCCGCTCGCGGGATAGTAGTCCACCTCTTCAAATTTTATGTGCACCTCTGAAAGCCGATATGCTGGCTCCTCGCGATAGACGGCGCGGACAAAGTTGCAGTTTTCACGGCTGGGGTGACGAAGGAACCTCAACCGACCTGCGATGAAAATGGTGAAGACTGTAAAGAGAGACCAAAGAGTTCTATGCAGACCCTTCTCATCGCCTTGGACCGGTTTGTGCAGGGCGGCCTTGACCCATTCGGAAGGGAACAGATTGTCCTCGAAACGAGCAATTCGAACAACGATTCGCAGTGGTTGTGGTTTCCCGGACCGTGGAGGGACTATCCATGTTGGGAACAGCCCAACATTCGGGACAAACATGACGTCCAACACTGCTTTGTCCCGGAGGCCATTTATGTCCGCTCTCAGCTTTCTGCACATGTGAAGTATTTCTAGCCAGTACACGTTCTTCTTCTCGACGTAAATGTTGGTCTCCTCGGGTTTCGTCCTGTCGAAACGATTCTTGAGTGGAACGCGGTTGTGGAGGTTCTCTCGCGTGAGTGACGGTTCTTTCAGGTAGCCACATATTTTTTCGAGAAGAGAAATTGGCTGTTTTTCCATGCCAGAAGGCATGGCACCGGAGGGCGGGTGCTGTGACATGTTGCCGTTCTGGACCCGAAAAGGTCTGTCGAATCTTGTATACGGTTTGGTTTTTTTGGAGAACAGGACACGAAGGCGATTTATATAGTATGGAATGCTGCCTGGCTGCCTGGCTGCCTAGGCCGGCACCACAGGCCATGCGGCGCTGCCCGATAAACCACGTCGTGCAGAATGAAATACTGTACCACTTCGACCGTATCACTGTGACGATAGCGTAGTTCGTGTCACGCTATTCTCAGGCATTGCTGAACGTCTGGTGGCGCCAGTATTGTTGCTGACCTCTGCAGTGGACGTACAGAGTGTTACCGATGTGCCGTCACACTCGAGTAGTCCGCTGTACACTGGTGCCTGCTGCGGCGCATCGCAATAAGAGAGAGCGTCAGAAATGACAGTTGTCACACGAGGCGAGTGCAGCTATGACACAGTGGCGCGAATGATGGACAAGCCGGGGACTCGAAGCTGCCTGATACGACAGCATGGACGTGGACGAGCAGGCAGCCAGCAGCGACGAGGTTTCACAAAGAAGAAATCCGAAAAGATACAATACACAGTACGGGACGGATCAAACGACCCACCTGCTAGAAAGAGCACACCGCAGAAGATAGGTGCCTACAGACTCCAAGGCAAGACCTCGTCATACGCTTGGCAAGGCTTCTGCCTCTTCCGACGGCGGTGGGCCTAGATTGAGATTCCTGCGAATATATTACCTCGAGGCTGCCAGAAAGAGACTTCTGTGTCCTTGCAGCGGACGTCTGCGTCCTTGCAGCGGCCCCCCACTGCGAAATATTGCAGCTTGAGGATTGCATTATGGTGCGTCGTGCAGGCCGTCACAGTATGCATGCTCCATAAAATACGTTGCTCGCTCTTGTCCTTGCAAGGCTCCTTCTCCAACGGCCAGAAGTACTTTTGCAGATCCCATACCATCTCCACTGTTTGTTCGTAGAGATGGAGGCTCGCCTGGCAGGTGAGGTCCGTGGTATCGAGCACGAGTGCGGTCACAGAGCGGAAAGAGCCCGAAGTCTTTGACGAATACTGTGTATGTACGAGGGGTCGCCTTCATTCATGTACTTTATTCCCACCCCCTGGAGTGAATTCAATATTGATGTTGAAATGGTTTGTCCTCAGCCGTGTCCTTTCTCGCCTCCAGAGTCCATGGTGCAAGCATGACAGAGTTTGATCAACAAGGCGTTTTCGTCAATTTACTGAGGTCAAGTATTGAAAAGAGGGAGCACGTAATATTTATTTATTAGGAATAATTTAATCATATATATATATATATTCGTCTCGCCGAAAGGACACGGACTTATTAGTGTAACGCTGCTCTAGCTGCGCGACTGTATGCCCTTTCATTCTCCACTATGGAAGGTTAGGGAACTGTATTGTTTTAGAAGGGGGTTTGTCTTTGAGATTGGAAAATTTCCGAGTTTTTGTAGAAACATGCTGGTAGACGGCAAGCACCTATCTCTTTATGAGCCCGTCAGATAAACACCCGCGACTAGATGACGGACCGAGGGCATAATGAGGAAATATTTTGCAGGAAAAAAATATCAATATTATATAAGAGTACCGTTGCTGGATTACCAATGTTCGAATTGCTCGTTTCAAGGACCATCTCAAAATAGCCGTTTTGCTGCTGCCTACATCGTCGGTGTGCCTACAGCTAGCTTCTTTTGCTCATGTCCGAATCTCGCAGCCTAGCTCGCGAGCGGTATTCCCCTCACACACACGGCGTATTTTCTTCAATTCTCTTGTCCCTTACCATTTCATTTCAGGAACAAAAAATTCCCCATTACACAAAAGAAACCGTACAGAAACAATGCCCGCCCCAGCAGACCTCGTCCTGCGGGACGCCACCGCCGCCGACCTCGACGCCATCACGCGCATCGTCGCGTCCAGCCCCGACGATGCCGCCGACTGGACATACCCGGAACTACGGCAGCAGGCGGACGTCTTGCGTCCGCTACACGCGCGCGCGTTTGCCGGACTCTTCAGGTCCCGACAGAACCTGCTGCGCGTGGCGGAGCGCGGCGGCCGAGTGGTGGGCTACAGCGCGTGGGTGCGGCGGGAAAGGGTGGACGGCGAGGTCGTCGCTGTTGACGTGAAAGAAGCGTGCGACGAGAACGGTACGTCCAACTCACTACAACCGACCCGGTCCATGGTCACCCCGAGAAATCTCATCGACACCACAAGTTCCTACGGCTAACGCACCCCTCTCCAGCCCTCACAGCAGAAAGCGCCCGTCTCATCGGCGACGCGCCCCTCCCCAAGTTCGCCGCCCTCGCCATCTCCATCCCCTCGCGCGCCGCCGCCATAGCCCGTCTGCGGAGCGCGCAGGCGCCCGAGCCGTGCCTCTCCGTGCCGGGCGAGCAGCTCCTCGTGCTCGGCGTCGACCAAGGCCAGCAGGGCCGGGGCATCGGCGGGGCGCTCATCCAGGAAGGCCTGTCTCGCGCGGCGGCGGCCGCCTGTCCGGTGTTTGTGACGGGCGAGGGCCGCGGCATGCGCGTGTACCGCCACCTGGGGTTCCAGGTGCTCGAGGGGACGTGCCGCTGCTTCGACAGGGACGGCAACGAGGCGGGGGGGGACGACGAGGGCGGGCTGCGGGCGGCGCAGATGGTTTGGGTGCCCGACGGACAGAGCGTGACTGTACACGGCGTGCTGTATAGAGGTTACGGCTTGCCGTAGAGCATAATGGCGTGTTGAGGGGACAAGATACGGGGTGAGTGGTGGCAAGATGGACCCTTGATTATATTCAACCTATCACAGTGATTTATATGTGCAATCAGTCAGAAGACGTCGCAATGTTGGACTGAATAAACTGAACCACCCTATGGCATGGATGGCCGCACCCACCGCTCCTCTCAACGACGTCTCCGGACACCGAGTTGGGCATGCTCCCTGAAATAGTGTATCGCAACGGCAGAGGCTGCTATGGTCACTGCAACTGTGACAAACTCCATGGAAACTATTTGGTTGCCCGTCAGTTGCGGAACGGAATGAGAAATGCAAGCAGGTCGGAGGGTAATGTAGCTTACCGGCCCAGTCCCGCACAAGACCGGTCTTGTCATCGGCCGGACCAACGAGGATACTATCCCTCGGCACAGCAAGCAGCGAAAAGACGACAGACAGCGGCGTAAAGATGACGGTGACGGCGGTAAAGATGAAGACGGCCACGCCCATCATGGCAGTCCAGTGCGCTTCCCGGATACCGCTATAGCTCCTCTTCATCTCCAGAACCTGCGTGATGAGAATTTGCACACGCGCAGCGTCCTTGTCCAGCTTTTCGATTCTTCGTTGCAGTTTCTGCAAGTACCTTGAGGTCGTGGGTATGATGTCATGGTCAATGCCGTCGTCGCACATCGTGTCTCGCGCATCTGTCGGTGCCGTGGGGTGGTAGTTGGTCTCCATCACCCTCGCCAGCTCAAGCCATACCTCGGCCTGCTCAAATACTACGGAACCAATCATAGCAAGCTCCTCTCTCACATCCGAAATGTCATGGAACAGCTTCCTTTCCCTGTCTGCCAAGCGGCGCTGGTTCTCCCGCGACGAGAACCCAAAGTCCTTTTCCACTTGCTCACTGATTTGGGTAATCGACTTTTGAAATATGTTTAGCACTGGCTCTGATAGCCCCGCCATATTCGACATCTCGAGCAAGCGGATAAACGTGGAGAGTAGCTCTGCAGCATGGAGCATCTGGGTGCCGGCGGTTGCATCTTCGTAAGGCTCTGCGTTCCTATAGGTCTGCGAGTACCGCGCAAGGAATCCCTTCACTTCCTTGTCCTCCGCAACCGCCTCTGGAAACGCGATGACAATACCCTTGGGCAAGACGTCGATCCAGATGTGATGAACCATCAGCAGTCGCGTATGGCCGGCTGGCGTCCATCCTGCCAACGGTGAAGGGTTCTTGCCACGATGTAAATTCTCCTGTTCAACTAGGTATCTGACAAGCACTTGATCGTAATTACGCTTGTACAGGGAATTCGAATTAAGCGCCGTGTTGCAATATTCGTCTAGGGTTAGTGGCAGATGCACCTCGTGCATGCCTTTTCCGCCAATTATGCGTGCACCCAATGTTGAGAAGTCCCGCTTCTGGCCCTTTGTACCGATCTTCTCTAGGGTTTTGGTGTAGAAATATGGCATCGACACAATTTGTCAGTGAAAGCAGCATTCGCACATTCAATCTGCGTGACACTTACCGAAATGGACATGATGTCTCTCTCTTTCTCAAGCATCTGGCCCGCCTCCCAAAGCGGTAGTTTGCATCTATAATGAATAACGCTCGGCTCACGGTAAATGAGCCCGTTGTATCGGTTACCGCCCTCCCTGAATGTTCGTCGAAGGTGGCGTGCCGCCAAATAGGTGCCTCCCCCGTACATCGATGTAGAATCCAACAACCCAATCAGGCAGTCCTATTCTTTTGTGAGAAGATAGTTCTAGAGAGTCATCAGGGCTTTGAGGAGTTACCAGGTGCCAGATGCGCTTTCAGAGTCTGGTCAGCGTTGCATCGTCATGGGGCTAGCCGGGCCAGAACTCACATTGTTCGCAGAAATGATGTATACTTGACATGGAAGAGCCATGTAGTTCTCTGACGCGAACTTGGTATAAATGTCGCAAGAGGTCCAAGTCAGCTGCGGAGAAAGGGGGGAACGGGACAAGTACCGAGCCCGATAGTTTGTGAACTCCCTTGCAGAGTAGTTATACAACATGGCGCACAATACCTCGCCATATTTTTCCCTCGAATTATCGACCACGTCTTCAATAAGAGCACAGCACATAGACCATGCATCGTTGCCGCTGGCGTCCTCCATGTCTGTGCTGGCACCGTGCTCGAGAAGCCAACGGGTCATGACAGAATCACCCCACTGCACGGTGAGATGCAGGCAAGTCGTCGAACCCGCCGGTACAGTTGTTCGTAGATTGATGAAGCCGGGAGATTTTCTTTCCAGAAACTCGAGAGTCACCATAGCAGCCTTAAAGTCACCGTGAAGACAGGCAACGTGCGCTGCATTACGGCCATCGTCGTTTTCTGACCGAGGCTTCCAAAGGACAAAGTTCGACAAGAGTCGAAGGATGTTCTCGCGATCAGAAGAGTCTTGCCGCCACGAAATCAGGTTCAACAGTGATGCTCGGGCATAGCCATTCTGAAAAATACCCCCCGAGAATCTTTCCGCTTGCACGATTGCGCGATCGATCATCTTTACATCTCCAAACAAGATCGCCATCTCCAGCGCAGTTCTGCCGTACTCACCCCGAATGCTGGGCGATTGGCATCGAATTTGTAACAGTAGCGGTAAGATGGAAGCCCTGTAGGCATCATTACCATTTGCCTTAAACATCAGTGCATCCAACCTCCTAGCACGAAGCGTAGTTTCCTCAGGAAGCTCCTTTCTCAACAGGTTCTTCACTTCAGACGGGGTATCCGATGTTTCGCCATCGCTCGAAGCTCTCTCCGTAAGCGAGTAGAGGGTGTCGAGAAAACGATCGTCGTTGTCAGTCATGTCTGATGACCTGGGAGAACTTCTACAGGGACCAACTGCTGGCGCGCTCAAGATAGGGTAGGTTACTGTCAAACTCTGTAAGCTTCAGGCCAAAGAGCAGAATCCCTGGGAGACGAACTCACTAGGTGCAGTGGCTTGATCTCTGCCTAGTCAGGCAGGCACGATGGGTACACCAGAGCCACACAGATGATGCGGGAAAACCAACAAAAAGGGAGAACGACCAGGTCGACGGAAGGTTGAGAGAAGAGAGGAGGAGAAATCATTCCACCATGATATTTTTGATGGCAACCGATAGTGCGGATACAGCACCTACCTTGGACGGCGAACACGGCAACATGGAAACCTGTTATGACAATCAGGCTGGCGCGACCGCAGGCTACCAGTAGGGGCGCGTGATAACATTGGCACCTTGCATTTCAGCTCATGCAACTCTGGTTATCACCAGCTTCCCGAATCCATCAGCTCCTGCTGGAGCAGCGAGGCTGTGACCTAGGGGGTGTTGGCATCTTCACCACGTGCATGTCTCTGTTGTTGCGAGGCATCTCTATGCGGGCCCAAAATGGACGGACACTACCGATGGGAATCATCAACCTCATCAGCCTCTCAATTGATCTCATCTCATCACCAAACCATCCATCTCACCCTTCTGTTGTAGTTTCTGTATTCCCCCCACATGATGCGTCCGGGTTGAGGACAAGGTTAGCTTCGTCCAATTTCTCTTATCGATATCGATATCGTCAGATCGCGATCGCCCAGCACACCCCCCTCACACGATCTGTCAAAAAAATGGACAACGCCCCCTTGCTAAAAAAAGAGACTTTTTGTTCTTAACCAGAACAGGGAACAGGCGCCCCAGTTCAGGAACCAGGGGACCCTTACACATCTTACAGATTTGCCCATGCACAGACTTAGAAAAAAATAGGAACGTCTGGTTTCACTCCATCTGTAGGGCTAACCACGCGATCGATCCTACGCACGACATTGCACATCATCACGGCGCAGTTGGAGTTGAGAGTAATGGAAATCAATTGAAATAAAATTCAATGCATGCCAGGTGGGTTGTGCCCCTGGCTCGCCGACACCAAAAAGGAGCGGCCATGTGCGCCGAGTTGTATCTCTGATCCATTGCAGTAACCAATACCAGTAACCAGTACCAAGAAGAAAAGACCAGACAAGAATAAGCAGGCAATCATGTGCCACAATCTTAACAACAAGCCCCAACCAGTGTCAATCTGCCCAATTCAACAGCAAGCGACAGAAAGAACAAAACGCCAGACATGCATCATACCCAGAAAATCAAGACAGGGATAAATTCCAGTAAAATAAACCCAGTAGCCTCCGAGGGCATAACATCCAGCAGTAACAAACAAGGAAAATAAGACAAAACCAAGAGTGGAGCGACGAGTGGTGTGGCAGGCGTCCTCCGGGTATCATGTGTATCCCTAAATGCCATCCAGTGTATCATATTGTAATAAAATAGAGTATTCGTCAAGTGCGTATAAATGAGGTTGCGATTTCGGCCCCCCGTGTTGCCTTGATTGGTCGTGGGGTCTTGTCATCGGGTTAAGAATCATAGTTGTAATACCCCGGATACCAGATTCCGGGGCTGGTGGGCCTAGACGCGGTTTTGGAAGAGGCTAGGGGCGAGCCAGCCGACCTTTTCGAAAGCCGTCCAGAGCTTCGACGCCTTGTTGACGTCAATCTTGCAGGCCTGCTGCGCGTCCGTCTTGCGGAATTCCTTGTTGGCACGTAGGCACTGCACACGGCGCTCAAAGATGCGGCGCTTGCTAGTGAGGTAGGTAGCGCAGTCCAGTCGCAAGATGCCGGCGAGGAGGATCTCTTCACGGTGGCAAAGATGAGCAAAGGGGTCGCCGTTGAGATCAATAAACGGGCCCTTCCAATCCACCTTGAGACAATTGGCGCGGGGGGGGAGTGTGCTGGTGCTAGGGCAGTAGTCCGGAATCGAATTAAAGTCCTTGTCCTCGCGGTTCGAAGGGGCGTTGCGGCGAGAAGGCTCTGGTGTGGCACTAGTGCGCTTGGCGGGTCTGGCAACGGCGCCACCCGACGATGTAGAACTGACGCTATTGCGAGCCGGACGCGTGGTGACCTTTGGTTTGGAGACACGATCGGTTGCTTTCCTGGCAGGTTTGGCCGGGGAAGCCGCCTTGGTGGCCGGGAGGATGCGCCTGTGTTTCTGGTGCAAGGCCGAGATCTTGTTGTCGGCAATAACCTGCGCACGTTGCCTGCGGAGCCAGCCTCTGGGGTCGCGTTTGTAATGCTCCATGACCTGGGGTCTGAAATGGATCATCATATAATTCACCAGCTCGTAGTCTCGGCGCTCGGGAGGAGCTACGCCGTTGAAGGTGCTTGCAGATCGGGTGCGGATATGATTGTCGATGTTTGGCTGATCAATCTCCGTGAGAGCAAACAGAGGCTGCTGAGAAGGACTGGCCGGCGAGGTCTCGTCGGTAGGATAGAGAACAGGATCCTTGACGACCTGATTGGGAGGCGTGGCGGGAGCGTTTGCAGAAGGCTGGATGGGCTTGCTGCAGGGCGAGATGGGGGGAGACATGGGCAATGGGTTGTGCGTGGACAGTGTCTGGCCATTGGCAGTGGCATTCGTGTTGGCATTGATGCCATGATTGCTCTGGTTGAAGCTGTCGAGTATTGGTTCTGGTGGTGACATAAGGCTGTTGGTGCCCTGGGGGTGAGCCTTGGGAGGAGGCGGCGGAGCCATGGGAGCCATGGGAGCCAGAGGACGCTCGCGTTGCATCGAGGTAGCCATTCTCACGGGGGCTCTGTTCCAAGGGAATAGCGAAGATGGGGGGAGAGAAGAAGAGGGGGAAGCAAAGGTAGATCTTGGATTAAAAGAGGATGAATCGGAAATGGACAGTGGCGATGCCGGCAAGTGCTGGTAATGAGCCCTGTCGAACGTGGTGGAAACGGGACAGTGGATGGGAGTCGGTTTGTCAGCCATGAAGCCTCGTGAGTTTGTAGGTACCTGGGTGGGCTAGGTGGGTTAGGTAGGTACTAGTAGGTACAGGTAGGCAGTGTCTGACGTGGGCGGTGGCAAAGTCTGAGTGATAGCGGCTAGACAGCAGAAAGTCGGAGTTATTGTGCGAAAGCCGAAGATGGAATCGAAAGGAGTTGTCGGAGTGGGTGGGATCCAACAACAAGAATTAAAGCGCCAAGTGGTGATTTATATTGTTGTTGGAGAATATATTCGAATATATTCGAGAGGAAGAAGGCCCTGCGCTGGCGCGGCGCTTGTGGGCGGGGCGTAGCGGCGTGAAGCAGAGTTTATTGTTCGCAAGCGTGAATGGACGAAATATAAATTCGCATGTCAATCAGACTGGAGCGTAAAGCTTGAATGCGATGAGGGAGGTAAAGGGGCGGTCGAGCATTTGGTAATTGGTGGCGAGAGGTTTGTTGCGGGACGGTGACGAGTGAAGAACTGGCGGTGCTGGTTTTGTACCAAAAGAATCTGGCGTGTGATGAGGGTTGGCAAGACGGGAACGGGGAGAAGAAAGAGGAGGGAAGGGCGGATTTGCTGGGTGCCTTCTGAGTTATAGGGCGGCGGCCAGGCGAGCAGTGGGAAAGGTGAAGCTGAGGGGGGGGAGGGGGGTGCTTTGAGGCGTTCAGAGGGCTTCTGAAGGGGGTGTACACTGTGGCCTTTTGTAGCGGACTGCTCAGCGGGTTCAGGCGGCGGCGGCCCAAAAATGGTGTTCAAATGCGCTGACGAGCCTACTAGAGCTGCACCGTGGGGGGCACTGTGAAGACCAGGCTGGAGGCTGTGGTCCGTTGTAGGAGGCGGAGGTGGCGGAGTTGGTCGGCGGTCGTTGATTCTTTTGTCTCTCTTCTGTTTTTGTCTTTGTTTTTTTTTTCTTAGCGATATCTTTGTGGCGGTAATGTAAAGCTAATCGAGCTCGTAATTGGGTTGAATCGAATCCGACGCACAAGCTGGCGGACACGTCGGCAGGTTGGCAAGTTGGCAGGCAGCAGGGCGAAGGTGCTCCAGATGGGCGGTGCTGGGTGCCTGCCTGAAGCCGTGTGGGGAGCGACAGCACGTCACGTCGCACAGCACAGCTGCAATGTCTGCCAGCGAGTCAGACCAGCGCAAAAAGTATTTCAAGATAGTGAGAGGAAGTTATCAATTGTAGTTGCAAGAGACAAAAAACAAATGTCGGGCATGCCAAAATAAATGAATGGGCTTCCCGTTTGTACATGCGATTTGCGCACGCGCCGGCAGTACAAAGAGGCAGGGCGAGACGCCTGTGACAAAAGGGTAACACAGTGGAAAGACGGACGGTATATCACGGTGTGGTATAGCTACAAAGCGACTTGCGACAAGCAAAAAAGAGAGGGAACTTGGGGACAAGGGGAGGAATAGACCAGTAACACAGTAACGTTAACACCAGTAACAGTGATACAGATAATGAATACCTACAAAAGTACGGAGCTGCTGCGTAGGTACCCAAGTATCTACCGAGGAGCAGATGATGCGGCCAGCCTACCCCAGTGGGGTCAGATGGAGTGGGCCAAGGGCCAAGGAGGCGTGTCCCAGCAGATGACTCAATCGATAAGTCGCCCTTTTCTCTCTTGTCAGGCAACCCAGACTTTTGTTCCATGCGACGCGAGCCTGGCGCAATGCCACGGCGATTGCAAGGCGTAAAGTCTTGGAAAAAAAGACAGACGGGGGCAAAAAAATCGGCATGGACACATTTACAGGATTGGAGAAGAATAAAATTTCTCCCGTGCTCTTTCACCCCCCAATCGTCTTTGCGCGTTTGGCAGCAATGTCGACTGAGATGGCCGACTGGTACTCTCAGTGACGCTGTTCTTCGCTGCGCACACGCCCCTCCTCGCACACGTGGCACCCCCTCCAACAAGTCCAGTCAGGTGTCGTCAGGACAGACTGGTCATCAGGCACCCTCTCTGGCTTGCACCCAGCCTGATTTGTTACAGCGACGCTGTCCTTTATCAGCCACTATAAATATAATATTATAGAGCACAATGGAAAGGTAAACTTGGCCTGCAAAGTTTTACTAGCGGGCAAGAATAAAAAGAAAGAAACCCATTAAAAGCCAAGGCTAGCACAAGTACCGAAATGAAGCAATGCCTGCACCCTCTCATTCCTCTGTGACGGATTGCGCTGCCCACCACCCACCACCCACTGCCCACTGCTTGTACTACGGCCGACCAGCACCACCGCCGCAACCACCATCGCGCCCGTGCCGTCCAGGTACTTGAGATACCCTTCATTACCCGTCCGCAATGCACAGCTAATCTGCTTCAAACACTGTTTCCCATGCTCTCCGGCTCTCACATGCGGCATATCTTGTACCTGACTTGTATTCATGCCCGCCAATGGGAAGCAGACAAAGACCAATGCCGCCGCTTACAGTGCGACGTCGTCGACTTACAGTGAGCAGTCCCCTGTAAACGTGCGTCTGCACTGTAAATCTGCCCCCGCCCTACAGCCCGCGCAAGGGCCCCGGGGACCGACCCTGGCTTGGCTGTTCTGTTTGCTGCACATCACCACCTCTCCTTCAACAACACCAATGCGCACCAAGACGGCGTCTTTGTTTTTCGCCAATTCCTTCCCTACCAGCTTCTACAGCCTCGCTTCGTACCAATTAGCCACACCATCTTCCCGAAATAACTCGACACAACGCAACACTCTCGAGACCTGCACCCGTACCGTACCCATACTGTATCCAGTCGTCAGTCTCCCCCGCCGCTCGTACGCCCGCTTCTGTATCCATCCTGTGCGGCATCAGAATTCCTCCGTACTGTATTAGACGCCTCCATCTCGACACTGTGTCTGTCAAATCCTCACAACCCAGACCGCCGCCCAATATACGCTAGCAGCCTCTCACGGCGGAGAATGAAGGCTCCAGTTGACGCTGCACAAAACACGAACGAGAACAATAGGCACAAGAATCCCCCAATTGCTAGGCTCGATCGTCATCCCACGCAGCAATGAGAAAGAGAATATCTTTAAATTATTAAGTTCGTCCAAGACCTTCTTGCTTCGTTAGCGTTTCGGTAATTGAACGCTGCCCGGGGTCAATTGCACTCACAAACGGGGACACCTCAATGGCCATTTACGCCGAAATCCAAACAACGAACATTGTTTTAAGTTGTGTACCTTCCATTGAACTTGTTATACGGAGTAACTAACCGCGGACATGGACAACATTCCGCTCCAGCACTCCTACCCACCACCTCATCGCTGCCCAACCGCCCTACTCGAGCCCAATCTATCAACCAGTCACCCCACCAATCACCACCAACCACATCCGTCACCAAACGTCTCCAATCATCTCCCTCCCAACAAACCCGTCAACGTTTCACAAATCGCACCCCTCCTACATTGATTCGCTTCTGCCTGCCAAACCCTGGGCCAGGAACTAGCCACTCACCACCCGCGGCTACTCGCCCGACGGACGGACACGCTCGCCCCCAAACTGCCCGCTCCTCCCACCAGGTTGCTTCACAGTATCACCACACGCGCCGGCCACCACCTCACACAGTGCCAGTGGTTTGGATGTGGCAGCCCACTGCGGCCGGCCAGTCTGCCTCGGTCTGTGCCAACGATTTTTCTTTCCCGGTATTCCGTAGACACGCTGACGGGCTAGCCATGTCCAACGCACTGCACGAACACACCTCACCACAAACATCGCCTTGTTCGACAAGTCTCCAAGGTACAATGGCATCCTATCGAGTTGCTGGGGAGAAAATAACCCCAGATGAAATACCAGATACCGCCACGGACTGTCCACAGCTCGCTAACCAGTCATTGGTCAATGACACCCCATCCAAGCTGGCACCCAGCCAAGCCCCTCCTCTAGAGTTAGGGTCCTTTCAGGCGTCCTCGTGACTACGTCATCTCCTCTGCCTCGCTCGCCACCGCCAACGTCTGCCTGAGATGTGCCAAAATCACATGTCCTCGCCTGTCTCGTTAGAGCCAAGTCTATCGACATCGGCACCGACCTACCTATTCCTGATTCATTAGTTTTTCCATTTCGACGCGTCCTCCTCGCCAGTTGGTACGGTACAATGGTGGTGTGAGTCACAGGCACGCTAACGAGACCACCGCCCTAGCACATCCCAGCATCGAGTCCCAGTTCGCACATAATTATTACCAGTCAGTAAGGCGGCATTGCGGGCACTAGGGAAAAAGAGAGGAGTGGCCTTGATTTGCGCCTGTCCTGTTTCCAGCCTAGCCGCCGGTTGGAGGACCTGGGCGCCGCTGCCAAGACGAGAGCCAGACACCGACAGACGGGGCAAGCCATGAAGGATTCAATCCATCCCCTCACATCAGTCCCATCAAGTCTCATCAGGGTCCCGTCCTGCAAGTTGCAACCCATGCCAGCCATGCTGAGGCTACTGCACGTCTTTGGCCTTATCCATCGCCCTGCAGAACAGTGGGTGTGTTGCGCCGACGACGAGTGGCATCCTTGAATATCAATAGAGGGGTAACCGAGTCACTACGTAATGGCCCTCCGATGGAGGGGCATATCGATAACGCATCTGCGGCGACAGGTTGCCTCGTCTACAAGTGCGGTGTGATATTCGCACTGTTGTGGCTGTTGGCAGCGACAGAGACCAGTATTTCGCTCATATCAAGATCTGATACCATTTCTTGGGCGTCTCACTTGTGTATTGACCCAAGCGACCGACCACAACCGCTCTGCACAAGGCCGGGGCCTGCCCACTACCCCGGCCCTAACAGCGCCCAAAGCCGAGCTGAACTGCGACTGCTTGTACTACGCAGCAAGCAGCCTACGCGCCTGGCCTCTTATTGGGGTCATACAATTGCAATTAAACTCGAGTCGCACCAATTCCAGCCCATCCATTCAGTCTCTCAGTTCAGTCTGACCCAGCTATGCCCATCGCTACTAGCTGTCTCGCTTTCACGTCCTGCGCCTCACTGCTCTCACACAATGACACGATGTGGGTGGCGTTTGACATGCCTGTCCTAGCCGGCAGCCTGCATATCGTCTTTGTCAACATCTCACAGCATAAAGGTAGTCGTGATTTCTTTGCGCAAGGACCAATGAGATGCTCTACGAATAATGCGTCGACTAATGTGCCCACGGGCTGCTGAACAAGGTGGCCCGCCGCTACGCAGGCGCCGTGCCGTCCCCGGCCGTAAGGCGAGCGAGCTTATAGTTCTCAACACAATGGCCCAAAAACAATCTGTCACACAAAATTGTAGGACTTTGCGACTGTTTTAGCACAAGCGGTGAAATTTGTTCGTTTCGCTTATTTCAATTGGACCGGGACATACTCAGGTCGATAATGCGGCTGCCTTTTTGCCTGTAGCACACTGCCCTACCCGCACAATGCCGTCGTACATTTGACAATCGCACCAGAATACAGAGCAAACAGGGCATGATACAGTATTTCACCTGATTTCAAAACGTAAATAGAGAGCCGCAGCCCACGGCATGAGTGTTCAGTTCCAAGACACTCCACATGGCAAGTCGCCAGAGCGCCAAAGCAGAGCAGACAGGACTCATCATAAAACTCGCACATACTCTGTCGAATCTCAGATATTTGCCCCCATGGCTACTCTACCAATCGATGTTGCCAACATGGACAAGCACTGGAACTTGTCCTACTTCCAAGAAGCCGACGCAGGTGTGCCGATTGTCGCGGTGCACATCTGCGCTTATAGCGATCTCGCGGATGCTGCCCTTCCCCGACTACGGCGAAACTCGGACCACGACCCCGTATTCGATTCGGACGAGGATCACACGGCGTCGCGCTTCTATCAGGGTACCTATCAGATCCCAGAAAACGTGCCAAACCATTGGGCCGTGCTCCTGGAGCTCCGTAACGGCGGCGGGCGGGGGTTAAATTCGAAATGGCGCCGTCGTGGCAGGCTGGGCGGCCATCACGCGAAGGCACGGTACTTGTGTCCTCGGTGGCAGCCGACTGGCGGACCAGCTCCTCGATTGTCAAGTCGGTGCGCTTTGGCGTCGTCTCGGTAGCCGACACCACGGTGCAGCAGGTTTTTGAGAATGTGAGCCACAACGCGCGGCACCGCTACCTATTCACAGAAGGTGGAGAGGGGTCGCGCTACTGGGTGCTCACGGTACTGCAGGATCTCGAGACGGCCGAGATACTAGGTGAGGCTGACGCCGAGGCCGCGGAAGATGTGCTGAGCATGATTTGGTCGCGCGACAAGGAGGCGGTGGCCAAGCGGGTCCGGCGAGGCATGTTTACGGACTGGACGATACGCGGGGACAAGAAACCGAGTCTATGGTCATTGTAGTTTTTGCCAGGTACCTCTTGGTATAGACCAAAGGGAAAGCGTAAGAACTGGACTACTATGGTGACGAGGAGAAAGTGAACAACTCGGACCTTATCCAAGGCTTAAATACTGCAGCCAAGCTCCATGAAACCCAACGGACAAGATGCGGCCAAACGCCAATTTGGGGATGAACCGGACTGTGGACGTGCCCATTTATGTTGGGCTAGTGATGATGGTAGCTTGTCCAACGATGGCAAAATCGCAAAACTCGGATGATTACATACCGAGGGCGTGACTCCTCGGCAAAGGAAATCGGGGTTGGCAGAAGAAGAAGAAAATATAGTCGCAGCAATATATGAAATTGGAAACCGGGATAGTTCATCCGCAGCAGCCAACGGCCGCAAACTGATCCAGGCCGCCACTGCACGACATTGGGAAGCACAGTGCAGCAGTTCATCGGGCACGGGGGTAACGAGAAAGAGGACAGAAAAATACCCGACCCAGTGTAAAAGAAGGGTAAATGAGATGACATTGATGATGAGATGCCGAAACAAAAGCGCCTTGGAGGGGAGGAGGGGGAATCAATCAGGCAACCCGAGCCTGTACCTCCTCCGGCTAATGACACACCACCACCCACCACACCAAGTTGCGGTGAAAATGCAACGTCGTGACAGTGACAGATGATGTCGCGCCTCGTCTCCCATTCTTCTTTAGCGGGAGAGGCACAGCCGCACGCTCACCCCACGTTGCCCGCTACGACTCAATCTATCGAACCTTGAAACGGGTTGGGTGGGTGTTATCGGGCTCTACGCCGTGGGTGGGTTGGGCAGGGTCATCTGACAAAAGTGTGCGGGCGTTATCTGAAGACCGGGGCAGCGCGATGCGGGATGCGATGCGGGAGATGGCCACTTGCTGCGGGCGGATGATGACGGGATGGTGCTGCGACTAAGAGAGTATATTGTGCCCGATCTATGACTAGGGCAAAACTGCGCGCCGAAGTGAGTGCGGAGGAGGGTAGAATGTAAGGAAGCGGACTCGAGGGAAGCGACTTGCAAGGCGCAGCCAGAACGTTGTTATCGAAAAGAATGTCTACAGATAGAGAAGCACTTCATTGCTAGTTGCATCAATAAGATAGATATTCATTTTCATCATCACTGTTGGTGTGAACACTTACTAGTCCTTCGTCGCTACCCTAAAGCCTTTTCAACCAGCATGTAAATGGAATCAAGAAAGAACAAAAAAAAATATCAGGGAAAAAAATACAGTTGCGAAGAAGTCAGAGGATTTATTACATGTACGGACAGAAATGAAATAATTTGATTAGGCAGCCTCAAGACTTGAAATGCAGTCATCAGTACTCAAAGCGAGACGCTTTGTGGCGCAGTCTTCATTTTGTGTGACCAGCGCCGGCGGCCACAGCTGCTTGTTTGGCTGTGTAATGATAGGCAACAGCGTTGTCTCCAACTTGTCCGATAAAAAGATCCAGATATTAACGCCAATCGAACATGGAACCGATGGCAGGCTGCAGCGGAAGATCAAGGGTAAGTGATTCGGTGGCAACGCCGTGTGAGGCAGCAGTCTGCGCTGTGTGCAACCAGTTTTCCGACAACCGAAAATTTCCATCGTATCCTCGCACTATAGATAGAAAAATTCATATCTAGGTGAAGGGACTTTTGAACGGTGAGGTTGTTGTAAGGCAAATCTTATTCGCGGTGGTATATGGGAGTGAGGGTCACTGGGCTGTGAGTTGTCGAGCACTGTGACGTGGACCATTTCGTCGCGCTGTACAAATTACTCCATCCCTACCTATAAACGGATTGAAATATCTTACTTACAGGACTCTGCATATCCGTCCCGCTCGCAACTGTGAAGAGCTGACGGCAACTATAGAGCCCCTGCCATGTACAGCAACCTATTGAGTGACGGGACTCGTGCGTAAAAGCTCTTGGACAATGACAGTATAGGAGAGGTACCAAGTGTCAGAAACACGGTTACGACAAGGCAACAGTTTAGTAGCTCATGTAGACACGCTTAGTGACACCTGACGACCTGATACTGGCACGGATGTCATCTGCAGCGCTGCCCTCGGAAATACGCTCGTTGCGAAATTGCACCGCCCCAAGACTCAAAACTCGACGCCTTGTGAGGCAGCAGTCTGCGTTGTGTGCAGTATCAGGACACTATCATGTCACTCTATCCGTCGTCGGACAACTAGGCTACAGACGAGGAGGAAAGCGCACAAGCACACGTCTACATAAAGCCCGTTCGGAATCCCGCTAGAAATGCCACTTTCACCTCTAATGGTTCGATTCTGCGCCTTTTATCCCCGTTACTCAGCCAGACGCCCCCCTCCTCCCTCCCACGATGCCGTCCGACAACATGCCGCACGACTTCAGGACGCTGTCATACCCGAACTTGGTCATGATCCTCGGCCTACTATTCCGGCTCCTCTATTACGCGATTGTGCTCAGCGACATGCCGTTAAACTGGACGCCACTGTCCTACGCGAACCTCTTCACGACCGTCATACTAGTAACCCACCTTTTTGAGTATCTGGACCCCCTTGTCGCCCGCGCCGAGCGGCACCTGTCGCGCGACCAAATCGGCGGCCTGTACTACGCCGTCACGCTGCTGGCCACGGCCGTCCACATACTGCACCACCGCCTGTACGTCGAGGGCACCATGCGCGACAACGAAGACCCCGCGTACCCCGGGCAGCCGAACACGCTCGACGACGCCCCGGTTCGACCACGGGCCGCTCCTCGGCCGCCCGCACGCGACGGCGAGGCGGCACTGCAGGAGGACCGAGGACTCTTATTCGAGGTGCGCGAGGACTTGTTCCGCAGCAGGGGCGCGCCCAAGTCCATGCCGCGTGGGGGCGAGCTGGCGCAGGTGCTGCGTCGCGGGCACTGCACGGCCGTGCTGGCGGGGGCGCTGTACAGCAATACCAAGATGTGGACGACGATGAAGCTCGAGCACCTTGATCGACTATTTGAACCCTTTAGGGAGGTTTCTTCGTACGAGACGCTGCCGGACCATGTCTTGGTGGTCTTGGTGGTCGTGGCCGATCTGGGCCGCGAGTAGCCTCTGAGGAAGAATCCCGGGTTTTTCGAGTTTGCAAAGCGTGAGTGCCACGCTCGAGATGTGGAATTGAATGCTTACTTTTTAATAGGAAAAAGCGAAGAAAGTGGGCATTGGTTGGTCTGGTAGTGGGCGTTGAGGTTGGTCTTGTAAGGTCGGGCCTGCGCTTCACCTCTTCGTAAATCACTACGCTATGTACTCTGTTTTGTATCGGATATATCGTCCTTTTCCTATATATGCGTTTTTGTCTTGATCTATCTATCGAGCCTTTATTTACTAGGGAACTCCCGGTATAGGTGGGCGCTCGGTTCAAAGGACTTCGACAACGGCGCGCTGTGCAACCTGGGTAAAGTTGGGTATCGAAGAGTCGATCTACCGGGATTACTACCTTTCCTGGAATCTTGTTAGCGATAATTAATCTGCATATTATGACCTCTATTTTGAAGCATGATACACGTCGCAAATGTTGCTGCCTAGCCCCTGCAGGGGCCTTTTGCCCTTTTCAGGGAATCCCCCGGCGTTAAATAGATACAATACAATACAAATGTTGCTGCCTGGTGGTTATGTGGGTCATCTGGTGCCTAATTCTTGCCCCTCGCATCATGCAGGTGAAGCGAGAACAAGTCTTCGATACCCTTGCAATTCCAATATGTCTTCAAGGTCTAGATCTGCACGGGTGTAGGCAACCGAGGCCCACGGGAGGGAATGTCGCCCATGATTGGCTGTCGAAAGAGCCCTGTGGCGATCATTTGGAAGTGGATAGGAGAGCCCGGCTATCGATCGGTGGCCGAGAGGATGTTATCATGCCCTCCTTTTACTGTGCTACATGACAAGGTGAGGTCGAGGTCCCTGGTTTATTGGCGAGATGGTGGATTGCCGGAAGCTGGACGCAGGGTGACGGGTAGGCACATGGATGCAACATCCGGGAGATACAAGGTCGTTAATGACTCATAGGACTCGGCAGCGAGGTGCGAAGCGGTCTACTTTGCCAGGCAGCCGTATGTCGAGGAACGACGTACGCTCAAATTAAGATCGGTCCCACTCGGCTGGGATGGAGCCAATGGTTGCGACGGGCTGTCACTAATCGGGTAAGTTTTTTAGTAGAACTTGAGACGGAGTGAAAAATCAGGACATAACCCATAATATCGACGGATGTCTGTACGATGATGCAGCTTTATACCGTGCCTAGCTGACAACAAGTTGCGGCCTAGATCCGCCCGCCCCATGGCGACAGACTCATGGTGACTGCCACCAATAGCTACTTCCGTCATGACGAAAATAGCACCATTATTGGTGTACCCTGGATTAATCTGCCACTTCGCCGACGACGGGCAGCTGGCAGCTGGCAGCTGGCAGTTGAAAGTTGGCAGTTGGCACCAATCGGGCGTTGGGAGCTGGCAGCCGGCCGGCCGCCAGCCGCCGGCAAACAGTGACAGAAGCAAACGGCAGCCACTTCTGCCAGAGGTCACCACCACCCGCCATCGTTATATATCTAGTCCCCGGGTCCATTACATAGCTACGGTGCTTTCAACTTCTGAGCAACCTCCTCCTTGATAAAATTTCCTTCTTACGCAAACACCAAAACCTGACCGCCCGAGCACAACCAGTCGTGTCTTACACCATCTGCTACCCTGAGCAGAATGGGCTGCTCTAGCGGCCCCGGCAAGGACGCCTCCCCATCTTGCGGCGGCCCTTCGATCGCGACTCACGACCGCGGTACTGTTGCTCATGATCATGGCCATGATCAAGCTCATGCCGAACACGGACATACTCAAGCCCATGTCGACCACGAGCATGGCCACGACCACCGACATGACCAACACTTTGCCCATGCAGACCACAGTCAATACCATAGCCACGACCAGGCCGCTACCCAGGAGCATGACCACTGCGTTGATGAATTCGATTGTGCCACCAAGGGCGAGGTCTGCGATGACGACGCTGATTGCGAAGCTGAGGATGACTGCAGCTCGGCAACATTGGCTTGCTGTGACACCAATAACGAGCACTGCGACGGTTTGCTACCCCGACTTGGCTTTGTTACACACAGCCTGTACGACCTGAGGCTGACTACCTAATCCAATAGAAACGTGCATCAGGGCGATTGCCGCCTTTAGGTGTAGAAAGGCTTGTGAAAGTGAAGCAGAGATGCCTGATGGTGAGTATATTTTCCTTCCCGTGTGCCCAGATCTACCACTTACATGCGGCAGCCCGCAACGTCCACCGGCACAGCCACGATGCCTCTGACTGCCACGCTCCTGTCCCCTGCCCTGACCATTTGGAGAAAGCATTCAAGCAGTATAGGACATACCTCAAATCCGCCCGTTGCATCTGCCGAAGTGTCCTCGACCATGGATGGGGCAAAACTTGCTGCAGCACCCAGCGCCACAAGAAACGCAAACGATCTGCCAACACTGCTACCTCTTGCAGGTCAGCCCGCGGCGACCACCCGACTGACCACCACCATGGATTGAAGCAACGTAACATGAAGCAGCCAGTACGTCTTGCGTCTGAAAAGGACTCTTGCTGTGGCAATGAAAACAAAAAGGACTCGTGCTGCAGTGGTGACCACGTCCATCATAGTCATGACGAGGATCCAATCTCGAATACTCAACCCATCAACTTTGGTGACGTCGAGAAGGCTGGTGGGTTTGAACACCTTGCTCTTCATGTCGAGGGCATGACTTGTTGCGGGAACAAGATGGACAAGGGTCTGAGAGGTATAGACGGCGTTTCCAACGTGCGCGTCAATTTTCTCATGGGACAGGCCGAATGCGACATCAATACCTCAATCACGGCTCCAGACAAGGTAATCAAGATGGCGGAACGTGCTACAGGCTTCAAATGCATCAAGCTTTCGAGTGATGACCAAACTCTAGATGTACTTGCCGCAGGCTCAGTGGCTAAGAGCCTACTGGACCTCGACATACCTGGCGTTACAGACGTGTCGCTTCTTGACAAGAAAACAGTTCGAATCAGCTATGATCCAACCGTCATAGGTGCCCGGGAGCTTTACGGAAGGCTACCCCCAGGGATCGAAGGGCTTGCACCTCCTCGGGATGACCCGTCCGTATCCAGTGGTCGAAAGAGACTGTACGACCAGTTGATGAAGACCATTCTTGCCGCTGCCTTGACAATTCCTGTGTTAGTCATGGCCTGGGGTGATAATGTAGTGAAGGAGCCAACCAAGGCAACTGTCTCCCTATGCCTGGCTTCAGCTGTCCAGGCTATTGCTATACCTGACTTTTATCGCCCTGCTCTCTCCTCCCTCATCTACAATGGTGTTGTGGAGATGGACATGCTGGTTGTCATCAGTATTACGGCTGCTTACCTCTACTCCGTGGTTGCATTTGCGTTTCGAATGGCCGGCAAACCTCTTGAGACTGCCGAGTGCTTCGAAACCGGCACCCTTCTTATCACATTGGTCATTCTCGGTCGCCTAGTCGCCGCCTATGCCCGTGTTCGAGCTGTCAAGGCCGTTTCTATCCGTTCGCTCCAAGCTAGCTCCGCGATTGTTATCCAAGATGGTCAAGACAAGGATATCGACGCTAGACTTCTCCAGTATGGTGACAAGTTCAAGATCCCCGCTCACACGGCTGTTCCCACAGATGGAATTGTCATCGAAGGCTCCAGCGACGTGGACGAGTCGATGCTGACTGGCGAGAGTCATCCCGTGTTCAAGAAGGAAGGTGACGAGGTCATCGCTGGTACAGTCAACAGCACTGGCACCATTGTGGCTCGCTTGACCCGCCTTCCCGGCAAAAACACTGTTACCGATATCGCGCAGCTTGTCGAAGACGCCGCCAACACCAAGCCCCCCTTGCAGGACGCTGCCGACCGCGTTGCCAGCTGGTTCGTACCCATTGTCAGCGCGGTCGCCGTTCTTGTCATTGTCGTCTGGGTCGTGGTGGGCCTTCGGGTTCGCAAGTACAATGCTGGTCGGGCCGTCTCCAATGCCATTACTTACGCCGTCGCTACCCTTGCTGTTTCTTGCCCCTGTGCTCTCGGATTAGCTGTTCCTATGGTCTTAGTCGTCGCTGGAGGCGTCGCTGCTCGTAGTGGTGTCATTATCAAGTCGGCTGAGTGTACAGAGCGTGCCCGCAAAGTGACTGATGTTGTCTTTGACAAGACTGGCACCATTACCGAGACGGACCTTGAGGTCATGTCTACCGAATTCTTTAGCGGCAGCGAAGAATTGGCTACTGCTATGACAAAGCTGCTTGTTGCTGGCAATAATCATCCCGTATCCCTTGGCGTGGCCAAGTATCTCGAGAGCCGGGTCACCAGCCAAATCACTGCTACCGACATTCGTGTTATACCTGGTTCCGGTGTCAAAGCTCTCTTTGGGAGCCATGTCGTTCGCGCCGGCAACCCCAAGTGGACCGGAACCGACACCGATCCGGTTGTCGAGAACCTGATGACCCAGGGCCTTACTCTTCTCGTCATCACTCGAGACGACCAGCCTATCGCCGTCTACGGTCTACGCACCCGTCTCCGTGCAGAGTCCTTCAACGTCATTCAGAAGCTTTCTCGGCGCGGCATCACCGTCCACATTGTCTCTGGCGACTTGCACCAGGCAGTTGAGGTGGTTGCTAGTCAAGTCGGAGTCCATAACATCGCATGGCAACACACGCCCTCCGAGAAGCGCGATTATGTTGCACATCTCATGATACAAGGCAAGAATGTCATGTTTGTGGGAGATGGCACCAATGATGCCGTGGCTGTGACGCAAGCCAACGTGGGCGTCCAGATTGCTAGCGGCCTCTCCGCCAGTGAGATCACCCGTGGTGCCGCCGATGTTGTTCTCCTCAAGGGCCTCGAGGGTATACCTTTTGTGATTGAAATAAGCCGCGTCAGCTTCCGCCTTATGGTGTTCAACTTTGCCTGGTCCGCCGTCTACAACGTTCTCGCCATTTTGCTCGCCTCGGGCGCCCTGGTCAAGGTCCGCATCCCGCCTGCCTACGCTGGTCTTGGTGAGATTGTCAGCGTTTTGCCCGTCATCTTCGCCGCTATGACGATGCTTCTGACGAAGATCAAGAGCGATTAGGCGTGTGTTTGTGGATTGTGCCCCCCCCCGACCGCGGGCCAGCCCGTTCAACACTGCTGGCGCGCAGGTAGTCGGCTTGACGGCTCAAACATTGCGCCTTTCTGCAACAAGGCGTCTTATTGAGCCAGGAACCGCGATTGAGCTTCGTGGGTGTTTTCCTTTTCAAGGGGCTGGCGATGCGGTCGGCCTCTGAACCTTGCTTGCCTGGAAGGGCAGGCCTGTTTTATCAGCCATTATGTATTATGTAAACATATTATAGTGATTACATGATTACCGAGCTTTCAAATATGTTTTTTTGAGGTGAAACTTGTTCACATAATTCCATTGAATATTTGTTACTATTGTGTCAAAATGTACCTGTTTGAGTACCTGTCAGTCATCAAAAAAGCTGGGGAGGTCCCGCACCAAACACCGCCAACACCAAACATGCCATGATGCAAAATGAAGTACACCAAAAAACGCAACCATGCTAGTCGTTTCCCATATACTGCTTTCTAAGTCGTCGTGTGTCGTTAAAAAAAAACCGTATAAACATAATTTAAAAAAAAAATTCACGCATGGGGGCTCTTCCCCGCCAAGCTGGCAAAGTCGACAATAGTGTACTGGCGGCCGAGAACGCCGAGCTTCTCGCGCAGGTAGTCGCGCTGGGTCTTTTCGATGCGCTCAAAGCTAAAGAGGAAGCGGACGAGAAAGGCAAAGTCCTGGAGGCGGGCGCGGGCCTCCTCCTCGGTCTGGCCGGGGCCGAGGGGCAGGGCGAGGACGTCGGCGACGGTCGAGGTGATTTCAAAGAGCTTGTGGAGGATGCCGGAGCCGTGGGTGACGATGCTGGACACGTTGCCGAGGCGGGCGACGAGGGCGCGGAGCTGGCTGGACAGGCGCTGGGCGGGGAAGTGCAGGGACAGGCCCTCGTGTGTGTCGCGCGGGGGCGCGGAGCGCAGCAGGCCGTGATGCAGGGCGAACTGCCAGACGAGGGTGCGCAGCCAGACGCGGGTGACGAAGAGGTCGACGTGCTGGACCTCGGTGAAGCGCGGGCGGGCGGCGGCCGGGTCGCGCAGGGTGAGGCGGTGCTCGGCGGCGGCGGCGCCGTCCTCGTCGCGGTCGAGCTCGGCCTGCTTGCTCTCGACCCACTGGGCCGTCATGGCGGGGGCGGGCAGCCGCAGCGTCGGGTCCTTGTGGGCGGTCCAGTGCGCGAGAAAGGGCCCGTCGAGGACGCGGAACAGGTTGACGAGCCGGTTGAAGCCGAGGTCGACGTGGGGCGAGATGGAGGGGTCGTGGAGCGGCACGGCCGCCAGGGCGCGCTGCACGCAGGGGAAGCCCGTGATGGTGGAGAGGAAGCGCTCGTGAATGTACAGCTCCCAGTAGACGCGGCGCAGGCGAAAGACGTCGCGGGGCCGCATGCCGGTGTGCACGGTGGCGTCGGCGGGATTGGGATAGCTGGCGTGGGTTGTGGTGGTGTTGCTGCTGTTCTGGCCGTCAAAGTCGTCGATTTGCAGGCCGTCAAAAGGCAGGGAATCGTACTGCTGGACGTTGAGGACCTGGATCATGGTGATGGCTTCGCGGAGCAGCATGAGGCTGCGGTCCCAGCGCTTAAAGGCCATCATGCAGATTTCGAGAAAGACGCACGTCATGACGCGCTTGAAGTTGACGGGGAGCTCGCCAAACTTGACGCTGGCGGCCGAGGGCCCGGCGTCGGGTCTCGTCCAGGCGGTGCTGTTGTCGCGGCGCGTCTCGGCCTGGCGGTGGACCTGGATGGCGAGGTTCATGAGGGTGGCGATCTCGGTCAGGGTGTCGGTGGCGGCGGTGAGGAGCGTCTGGGTGAGGTTGATGGTGACGGCGGCAAAGGCGTAGACGAGGGCGCGGTCCTGCAGGCTGGCGTTCATGTTGTGGACGGCGGCGCGCATCTCGTCGCAGGTCAGGACCGGGTTGACGGGGTAGATTTGCTCCTCGTACAGCGCGAGGTAGCCGAGAAAGTAGTGCACGGTGTGGTGCGGCCAGACACTGCTTCTGCTGTGGGCGGCGGCGGCGGTGGGCGAGGGCGTCGCGGGGAGGGACGGGGAGGCGGCGGCGGTGGTGAGAGCGGTATCGGCGTGGGGGTCCGAGTTGACGATGCCGGCGATGGAGGTGACGGCGGGCGGGGAGGCGTCGCTGGCGCTGAGCGGGCTGCTCGAGGCGACGGAGCCGCTCGTCAGCGGCGAGGTCTTGTTGCTGCCACCGTTGCTGCCGTCGCCGACGCCGCCGCCGCCGCCGCTGGACTGCTCCTGGCGAAGCTGCGCGACGAGACGCCCGCGCACGCCCGGCTTGCGCTTAGCCGGGGGCGGCGCAAACTTGCAGGCCAGGTTCAGGTGGGCGCACTGGGAGCAGGGCTGCGCGCCGTTGCAGCGGACCTTGCGGACGCGGCAGCCGTCGCAGGCGCGGATGGCGCGGGTCGACATGGCGCGAGCAGGCGCGATAGTGAATTTTTTTTCTTCTGCTTTTGGTCGATGCTGCGTTGGAGTGATGATGGGCTTGGTGGCGGCGGGTTGGGCGACAGGAGGGGTTTGGCTTGCTGTCGCAGCAAGAGGGCGTTCTAGTGGTGCGGCATGGCGTTCAGTCGGGCGGTTCGGCGCTGGAGAGGAATCTGAGGGAATACGACGGGCACAAGAGATGCAGCTTTCGATGATATCAAATTCTTCTTGATTGATTTGAATTTCTTTACCCAATGGGCGTGGACGTGGAAGGGAAAAAGTGCCATCCAAGATCGTGAGAGCTGCTAAATTCCAGAGGTGGAGCTGCTGGTAGCAGTAGTGGGTTCAGCTGGCGAGTCGCCGTTTGCTCTTTGTTGAGAAGAGACTTGGGACGAACGGAACTTGGCTGCCTCATTTTCTATTTCCCGATCAAGCTTCATCCGAGAGTCTGCTGTCAGCCAATTTTTTTTTACTTCTTTTCTGTGCCATTTCGCGGCGGTCCCAGTCAGTGGATCGTCATCTCGCGATACGCGGTATTGCTGGACAGCAGGATGGCACGCGACCGTGGTTTAGGGCTGACAGAACTGTCCGCAAGATGAATCGGAGAAGCATCGCAGATCATCACCATCGTCCGTTCTTCTTCTTTTCGGAGATTGGTGAGCAAGAAACAACGCAGCCCTGCAATATTACAGCATGTGTGTCAAACACATCTGTAGGTAACAAAGTGGTCTTGGCCATCTGCAAATCGAATTGGAATACCCACCATTATGACACCAGCGTCAAAATCTTCGCCGCTCTGCATCCATCGTGGACCGAACAGCCTGGTGAACTGCTTTGTGGCTTCGGTTGGCAAGGGAGGTTTGGAGCGCCCAGGGTGCCACAACGCCAGCATTGTCGGGACGGGCCAGTTGCCGTCTCAAAACATCTGGGGGTACGCGGATATACCCTTTGACGGCCAACAAAGCCCAAGGTTCAACACGGCACTAACCTTGTAACTAGTTGTAGACGCCCGCATTCGACCGCCATGTGGCATCTGAACCCCAAGCACAGCAAAACTCACCGGTTGAGCAATGAAACGCGTCGCGTGATGCAGCTCGTGATGCGTGATTCAGGCCATCGAAATTACTTGCGCTCTTTGGCTAGGGCTTGCAGCCACTCGTCACCTGCCTTTTTAATGCCGCTTTTCCGACCTTTGACGTCGTTTGATGTCGTTTCAAAGGATGGGTGTCAGTGGGGTGGAGATGATAATCTCCTCACTGGATAATGTCAACCATGCTGCAGTCGGCACTCTCAACTTTATTAACAAGTCTCCTGACGCAGGTACGGCCGCCAAGGACTAGACGGATACCTATGCTTGATCTATCCGTACCTGCACGACCGCTGGTACGTACCAGTATCAGTACACACCAAACATGGCACTGCATCACCAACCTCTTACTCACCAAATTTCCGGCAGTGTGCTCGTAATGTCCAAGACAATCGTCGCGAATCTGCGGAGGGCTAGTCCGTAGCTCACCTAACTAGTCTGAACACACGAAAGTCGCGTACCCTGGCTTCCTCGGTGGTACTACTCTGCGTCAATGTCTAGAGCATGCACCCTCCCCCCACGCGCCCGCACGACCTTTACGATCTCTACGCTACATTAGGAAGGAGAAAGACAATGCGAACCCGTAAAATGGGCTCGAATGCAGCCGGGCGGGCCCATCCCGCCGATACTTATCCCCGTGATCCAACCTGCACTTGCAGGGTATTGCCCAATGTCCTTTGGATGGCTCCTTCTGCGGCACCGGACAGCTTTATAAACACAGCCATGACCTCTGCTCCTGGTGTACCAAGGCGACCTCAGTTTCTGGTCTCATCAATCTCAAGGCGGCCAACATGAGACTCTCTGCGCTTGTATCACATCTCGCGCTGTCGTCCCTCGCGGCCGCGGCGGCTATTGCAGGCCACAGCTTTGGTCCCTTCAATATCATTTCAGACCTTGAGCGGCGAGATGCTCTCCAAAACTTGGTCACCTGGGATGCGCACTCTCTTTTTATTCGCGGTGAACGCGTCATGATTTACTCTGGCGAGTTCCATCCTTTCAGACTTCCTGTGCCTAGCCTGTGGTTAGATGTGTTTCAGAAAGTTAAAGCCCTTGGTTTCAATGCAGTCTCCTTTTACGTCAACTGGGCGTTGGTCGAAGCGAAAGAAGGTGAATATCGCGCCGATGGTATCTTTGATCTGGATCCTTTCTTCAAGGCTGCGGAGACTGCCGGCATCTTCCTCATTGCCCGCCCTGGTCCATACATCAACGCCGAAGTCGCTGGTGGCGGCTTCCCCGGACGTTTGCAGCGTCTCGCGGCCCAACTGCGAACCAAGTCGCCCGAATTCTTGAACGCGACTGAAAAGTGAGCCTCGTCATTGTCTGCATCGGTTTCTCGCCAGCTAACCTGTCGTAGCTATATGAGCAACATTGTTCCGCTCATCGCCAAATACCAAATCACAAACGGTGGCCCAGTCATTCTCTACCAAGCTGAAAACGAATACAGCATTTCCAACGGCAAAGTCCCCTTCCCTGATGGCGACTACATGCAAGCCGTCATTGATCAGGCGCGTCGCCTTGGCATCAAGGTTCCCATTGTGAACAACGATGCCAGCAAGGACGGGCACAACCGCCCTGGCACCGGTGCTGGTGAGATCGACATTTATGGTTACGATGCATATCCTCTTGGCTTTGACTGTTCGAAGCCGACTTCTTGGCGCAGTGATGCCCTTCCTGGTGATTATTACGAGGTACACATGAAGAACAGCCCCAAGACCCCATTCCTCATCAACGAGTTTGGTGGTGGCTCGTACGATCCCTATGGCGGTGTCGGTTATGACAACTGTGCCGCTCTCACCAACCACGAATACGAGCGTGTCTTCAACAAGGGTACTCTGACTGGTGGTATCGGCATCCTCAATGTTTACATGCTTTTTGGCGGAACGAACTGGGGCAATCTTGGCCACTCCCGCGGATACACCTCGTACGACTACGGTTCTGCCATTCGTGAGGATCGCTACCTCGACAGAGAAAAGTACTCAGAGCTCAAGCTCGAGGCATTGTTCAACCGAGCCTCTCCGGCCTATCTTGTTACGACCCCTGGTGAACTGAGCACGAGTGTCTACACGGACAACCCCAATATTGCTGTGACCCCGCTCAAGTCCAACGGCACTGGCGACTACTACGTTGTCCGCCACTCTGACTACCAGATTACCACTTCTGCCTCTTACAAGCTGCGTCTGCCTACTTCAAACGGAACTCTGACTGTGCCTCAAACAAACGGAAGCCTTACGCTTCCCGGTCGTGACACCAAGATCCACGTCACTGACTACGCTGTTGGCAACCACACCATGCACTACTGCACGGCCGAGATCTTGACCTGGCAAAAGGTTGGCGATCAGACTATACTCATCCTGTATAGTGGTCTCGGCGAATTCCACGAGCTTGCCTTCAGAGGGTCGCACAACGTCACCCAGATTGAAGGCAACAAGGTCTCGGCCCCCGCGTCCTCCATGAATACTGTCGTCAGCTGGACCGTCGACACCAAGAGACAGGTCATTCAAGTCAACAATCTCACCATCTACCTCTTGGACCGGAACTCGGCATACAACTACTGGGTCCCCGTTCTCCCCAGCGACAAGAACGGTAACTTTGGCACCTCGATTATGAACACTGACGCTGTCATCATCAATGGTCCCTACCTCGTCCGCTCTGCTGATGTTTCCGACTCTACACTCAACATCCAGGCCGACTTCAACAAGACTGCCGAGTTTGAAGTGATTGGTGCCCCCAAAGGCGTTAGCAAGCTCTCCATCAATGGCAAGAGTACCGAGTTCACCACGTCCAAGCCAGGCACCTGGCTTGCCAAACCCGACATTACGTTCCCGGAAGTCAAATTACCTGATCTCAAGTCTCTAGAGTGGATGTCTATCGACTCCTTGCCGGAGCTGCAGCCCGGCTACGACGACTCCCAGTGGACTCGTGCCCAAAACTTTACCCGCAACTCTGTCTGGCCGCTCAACACGCCTGTGTCTCTCTACGGTGGCGACTACGGATTCAACACTGGCACGCTTCTTTTCCGCGGCCGCTTCAATGCCACGGGAAGTGAGACCAGTCTGTCTATGCGCACCATGGGTGGTAACGCTTTTGCCAGCAGCGTGTGGCTCGACGGTACATTTGTCGGCGCCACCCTCGCCCAGGCGAACAACGACGACGCGACCTCGAACTACACGATTCCGAAGCTCGACGCAGGCACGCCCCATGTCTTGACGATTGTGGTCGACAACATGGGCCTCAACATGGACTTTATCATTGGTGACGAGGACATGAAGCGCCCCCGCGGCATCCTCAAGTACAGCCTGGACACCAGCTCGGGTGGCCAGACCGATATCTACTCGTGGAAAATCACCGGCAACCTCGGCGGCGAGGACTACAAGGACCATTTCCGCGGACCCCTCAACGAAGGCGGCCTGTTCGTTGAGCGCCAGGGCTACCACCAGCCCGACCCGCCCCAGGACAAGTTTGTCAAAAAGTCGCCCTTTGAGCAGCACGACGGCGCGGGGATCCAGTTCTACGCGGCCAAGTTTGCGCTCGACCTCCCCGCCAAGGACTACGACATCCCGCTGTCCTTTGTCATTGACAACTCGACCGCCGCGTCACCCTACCACGGCTTCCTCTACGTCAACGGCTTTCAGTTCGGCAAGTACATCAGCTACCTCGGCCCCCAGACGAGCTTCCCCGTGCCCGAGGGCATCCTCAACTACGGCGGCGACAACTGGGTCGGCCTGGCCGTGTGGGCGCTCGACAAGGCGGGCGTGTCGGTGCCGGGTTTGTCGCTGTCAGCCCGCCAGCCGGTGCTCACGGGAAGACAACCCGTGGAGCTGGTGGCCTCGCCCAAGTGGGAGAAGCGGACGGATGCGTACTAACGCACAGGAGGTGTACTTGCATGGACATCACTGATTTTTTTCATTGTTACTTGCAGTTTTACTTTCATTGTTACTTTCATTGATTCGCTGTAAATTCTTTTGCATTAGGCCTCCTCATATTACCATTATTGAAACCGCAAATCAACATCAGTATCTGCGTAAAAAAGGCAACCATTTCGCTTTTTAAAATACTCCCATTTGTTCTTTTACTCTAACCCCTAGTCTCTAGTATTTCTTTAGTATCCCTCCTTATGCGGACTCAAAATCACTCTTGAGCAGCCTCACTCCAGCCAAGATTCTGCCCATGTGCGTCTTGTCAAAATGTTCGCTATCCAGTCGAATCTTGGCAATGAGCACAGTCAAGAACCTCACCGGGCTCTTGGAAAATCCCGAGCGATTTACAATATCCCCGCCGCCACGCATTCCGGGCGGGATAAAGCCGTCAGGCCCCAGCAGGACCTCGTCGTTGGCGGGCTTCCACGCGAGGCCCAGCGCGTCGCATAGCTGCACATAGTCGGAAAACGAGGATAGGTACAGCTGCCCGGCAAACAATCCCAGGCAGCTTGTGGCGTGTCGCGAGACGGCCTGCCGTGCGCGGACCTGCGAGAGTTGATACAGGTCCAGGGTGTCCAGCGGCTCGTGGCCCAAGTTGACGCGCGGGGCGTAGATGTGCAGCGTGGTGTTTGACGATTGCTCCATGACGGACAGAAGCTGCTGCACCTCGTAGGGGCTGACGATGACGAGAATGCTGGCGTCCTTTTGCGTGCTCAGGATCCACTGCACGGGTTTCTGAAAGGCATCGGTGTTTGCGTCCGGGCCCTCGGTTTCACGGACGGTGGCGGCAAAGTCCTGCGTCACGAGTATGTTGAGGGGAAACTCGGCCACTTCGAGGTGATGCGCGGCTGAAGTCGCTTTGAGCGTCGTAAAGGCGGGCAGAAACGGAGCATCCGTCTGCACACCGTTGGTGATGAAATCGTGCAGACCCGGATGGATGCGATGCTCGGCGGGCTCGACGCGGGGTGGTCTCTCGACGCGACGCTCCATTTCCTTTTCGGGCGAGAGCTCGCGCTCTTGCTCCTCGTTGAAGGAGGCTTCGGGAAGCGCATCCAGGCCAAACTCTAGACAGCGGCTCTGAAACTCGTTTGCCGCAGCCGTGTCTATGCCGGCAATCAGGGAAGCAATATCGGCACCACCCTGCTTTGGTCGGTATCGCTTCTCGAGGCTCTGGCTTTCTTCGTCCATGAACTGTTTGGCGCACTCTAACCGGTCAGTACGGCCCTCTGGATCAGCAATATCAGCCCACAGAGCCTGCTGCTTGGTGAAGCGAAGGCCTTGATTGAGCCACAGTGGAACTGCGCGTCGCAAATCCTTGCACGTTTCCGTAATGGCCCAGCACAGAACATCCGATACGGTTATCTCAGGCATTGCAGCCACTTGGTCGCCGCGGAGCAGGCCAATGTCGTGCTCGATTTCTCGTGGGACAAAGAATACCACACTTTGGCCTCGTCCAAGCTTTCGCATCCTCATGCAAGCTTGAGCAAGTCTGTCTTTGGTTACCTGAGCACCCAGAGTGACGACTGCTTGGTAGTCGGCGGGGAGCCTGAGATCTGTGCCTCGCGTATGAACCTCGTCGAGGAAGACAAGACATTGTTCCAGTCGATCTGCAAACGGCGAAGTTTGCAATTCGTCAATCTGGCCACTTTTATCCAGAACCATCATTTCGTCCCAGTCGTTGAAGAAGATGACGGCTTGTGTATTTTCGTCAGAGTCGTAATGACCAAGCCAGGCCCTTGCCATTTCGACGTTTGTGCGGTCAATGATTTGGGCACCAACATCCAAAATGACACGCGGCTTGGACTCTCTGGCCAACAGCAATGTCAAAAGAGATTGGCTGTCAAACGTCGTTCCCACCATCTCCTCGGGCATCGTTGCGATGCTATTTTCAGGCCGCAGCAGATTGCTCAATACGAGCGCGTTGGTATGGCTCTGCTCGACAAGATCCAGCTGCTTCACCCCGAGAGGAAGCACATATCTCGAATCGTTGGTGCCGCTAAAACCCGTTGTAGGGCACCTCTTCGTCTTGCCAAGGTCCCAGCCTGAGGCGGAGAGTTTGTGAGGAAACTCCTGGCATGACTTGTTGAATACCATGCGGCACAGATAGTAGTCAATTGCACCCTTGGAGTATCGCAGATGTGGGAATATCGCCGACAAGCACTGGACCCGATCCCTCAGGTTGACTCCTTGAAGAAGCCTGTATGCTTGTGGTAAAGTTGGCGCTGTCTGTACCCAAGCCGAGTACTCAAGCTCCGCATTATCCGACCGGACAAGAAGCTCAAGAGAGTCAAATATTGCTTGGTCGTCGAGCCCGCCATAGTAATACGTCAGACAGGTAAGCACAATGACAATATCAGGGTGGCTAAACTCGGAGCGAGCAGATGGGCTGTCCTTGGCTTGGTAGGGAACTGCAAGCCTAGTGTTTTTCTCTCTCGTGGGGTCAAGTCCGTAGTTGACTCTCCAACGCTTCCGACCGAGTGCAAAAGCAAGAACACCACCGGCAAGGAGGCCGCGCAGAAGAAGGATGTGGTTGGCTGTTGACTCGTTCCAGAACTGACTATGCTCGACATCCTGGCATTCCACGGCCGACAAATTCAATTTCGTAATGTAGTTTCGCGCAGCATTCCGAATTTTTGGGGGCTGGCGCGCAATCGGAAATCCAGTCATGCCAGTCTCGCAGATAAAGTCGGCGATGCGGTCAAACATGGCCTGTTCTGCATCTTGCCGCAAGATGCGTATCCTCGGGAACCTTTCGCCACGACGATTGTCGAATTCCATTGAAAGCGGAAATTCAGTCGCCACTTCCGCCGCAAAGCGACGAGCCAGACTCAGTACCTCTTGCACAATGATCCATCGGTAGGGGCTGTGCTCTAACGCTTGCTGCTGTCCAAGCGTGTACGTCAATTCAAACTTTACACTAAAGTTTTCGTCGCTTTCATCGACAATGTCCCTGGAAGAGTAGTCAAAAGATTTTCGAATTTGCGTTAATTTTTGAGAGATCAACGAATGGCCACTCAGCTCGAGTTCTAGCTCCATCAGTTGCAGGGACAGAAGATGCTCTGGTTGAACAAGTAGGACACCACCTTCCTTCTGACACTGGGCGAGCAGCTGGTGAATTGCGTTGGCTTTCTCCGTGTCTAGTCGGACATCTCTGGAAAACGGTAGTTGATAGACTGGCCGATCAAGAAGTCCCGATAGCTTGGCTACCAGCATTTGGAGCATTTGCTTAGCCTGGGCCTTGGCCGCAATGACGCGAACCAGCTTCGTTCCATCAGCGAGGGCTGTGGAAACAATCGGGACAATGACAGAGGATTTGCCTTCTCCCATGTTCAATTGCATCACGGCATTGTGTCCATTCGGGGGCTGAATCATTTGCCGCGCAATCTGCGTCTGGGTCGGTCGGATCATGATGTCGCTTTCGCACTCGAGGAGCAGCCACTCGGGATACTCGTGGGGGTTCCAGGCTGTGTGGTCGCCGTTTTCTAGTTCGCGGAGCAGATCAACGGGATCATTTTGGAATCGAATCAGTCGCTTTGCTTTCTGCAAGGCCGAAATCGCGAGACCGTACTCTACAATGGCGTCTTTCCAGCCCACGGAGAGCTTCGACCAGTTTGCCCCTTTCAATTGCTGGAGAAAGAAGATGGGGGAGATTCTAGGTTGAAACCCGGCCATACAGATTACTGCTGACACAATTTCGTCAGGGCTGGATGGCTCTGAAATTGAAAAGGGCTGGACAGCCCTGAGGAGAGATGTGTAGATTCGACCGTAGCGACTCATGCATTGTGCTAGATGTTGTTGGAAGATGGAGGTGAATTCCTTGCCTTCTGCCAGATGATTGCTGCTGTATGTCTTGAAGCTTGACAGGCTCTGTCGCAATGCATTCAAATACTTTTGTTCGTACTGTTTGCTTGTCTTGGTATCCAGAATGTCAATGGTTTGTGCCAGCTTCTCCGTTTCGCCGACTTTGGCCTCGACCTTTTGAACCAAATTCTCGAGAGTTTGTGCTTTGATGCTAGTGATATTGGGGGCTGCGCGACAGAAAATGTCAATGACCAGAACGTTCTTCTCGGTGCGATAATCAGCTGCAACGGTAGGTGCCAGAAAAGGGCCATCGTCGGCGGGTGTCATCGATAATTGCTGCAAGGCAGTAGTAAACTCGGCAAGATATTCCTTAAAGTTCATATTGGCCCACCACATCTTCCAAGGTGGAAGAACAGACTTCATCGCCCGTGCCACGTCAATGTACGCCTCCATATGAAAGTCGCTCGGCGGCTTGGGAGCCTGGCAGGGCCATTGCCGTGTGAGCTTCTCGCGGTAGATGTTTACTGCGTCTCTTTTGTCTTTTCCATGGTCTTTTTGGAACTGGCTTCCATTTTTACCTTCTGGCTTCTTCGTCCGAGCGCCTCCTTTGACGTCTGCGCCGTTTCTGGCGCTTGTATTGGTTTTGAAAGCTGCCGAGGCTTCTATGACAGCAGGTAATAGGATGAAGCCTCTGGACAAGTCGTGAGCGTCTCCCGCCGGCAACGGAGCCGCTGCGACAGTAGGTGATAGCGCCAGCATAAGTAGAGCCTGGGTAATCTGCACGTCGTTTTCGGTAGAGTATGCGACAGTGGATATCCATGCAACGAGCTCCATTCTGGGAAGCCATTCCTGATTTTGTTGAAACCCCGAGTGTAGCTGACACCAGTAGGACGAGAGCCAGGCATCTGGTTTCTGAAGCCACATCGAGTCATATTCCATGTCGCGCTTCGACGGAGCACCTCTGTGGTTAGACAGCTTGCCTGTCGACATCAACCTGTACAAGTGTGATGCAAGTCCGGCGGCTACGAGGCGACTGGGCCCTCGATCACCGCGGAAAGCGCGAGTAGCCACCTCAGTCGCGCGTACCGCTCGATCTGACCTCGAACGGTCTCTCGCGTGATACAATACATAATATGAGCCAATCCTTTCATCCTCCGGGTTCGAAGAAACTCGGCTGCAGTCTCGCGAGATGGCTCGTTGAGCTAGCTCCAGGGTAGTGTGCGGCTCTGAGACTGTTCTAGCCTTCGCCTTCGGGTACAGGAAATCGCTTACGGAAGATTGCTGGGAAATCTGTTGCGTTACTGTGAAGAGTCGATCATCTTGACTCGAGGAGCTCAGATGTGTGGACCAGACAACTGTCTGCATTGCTTTTGAGCCCTCTGGATGGTAGTGGCGTGCCGGGGCAAGTACGGCGATTTTCTTCATCAATTGGCATGCGCCCGGACTCCACACGGTAGGTGCGCGAACCGACGCGGAGCAAAGGATATTCATGGATTCTTCTAGGCCTCGTCGTCCAAGTAATGGATCGGGTAGGCAAAATGAAGTCAGAGCATGGACGTAGGCGAGGTAGAGCTTGCTCTCGAGCTTCGTGTTTGCCACAAACCTACCAAGGAGTTCGTCCACCTGGTAGGCTTGGACACGACGAGCGGTACCAAATTGAAGAGTCACAGCGACATGATCATGTATTCCGTCACTTCCTTGCTTACGGAACTCGACCTGACCTTCGGGGACAATGAGCATTCTCTTTGGTGGATCTTGACTGCTTCGCAACACGAGCTTGCTTCTTAGTCCAACAAGCGTGCCGATTGACTGGTCTGCGTCAATTTGCATATCTCTAAACTGCTGGGACCGAATGACCGATTCCCCATTGTGCATGAAGAACCGGAGCTGCAGTCTAGGGACCTGAATCTCGAGAAGACTCTTCTCCTCATTGAAAAGCATATGCAGGTTCAAGGGTGACTCTAGATGCGCTAAGATCGATGATAGATGCTGTGAGAATCCACTAGCGGGCGTCAGAAGAAAGACTGTATCATTCTGGCATAATTTCCAGGGCCCTTTATCTCGACCAAGACACCATTCTGCACGCTTGATTGGATAGGGATGCTTGTGGGAAAAGAATTCGATGGCGTCCGTTTTATTGTTGTACCAGTGCACGTAGTCATGGACAAAAGCGTCGGGTAGCGAGCCTTGGAAAACTCGAGGAGGGACGTAGTCGAAGCAGGAATCATCATTCTCCAATCGAATAAGTAGATCCTTTCCTTGCAGGCCGAAATGTACCGTGTAGCCGTAGAGGAGGTGGGTGGTGCAAAAGGCCATGCCAGGGGCCATGCTAGGCATTACATGAAGAAGTAGGTCCCTGAACACCCTCTTGTAATCATCATGCAGCTGATAACCCACAGGAAGACGTGACAGAGGCATACCATTGGCCAGAAGCTCGCCAGTCAATATGTTCAGATGAACCTCCATCCCAACAACGGAGGTTTGGTACCAGCTGTCGGTTTTCGGTGACATTGTCCAAGAGCAGTCGCGCTTGAAGTACCTCCAGCGTCGCTGAGTGGCATCGGATAGAAAAGATTGCCCCTGCACATTCTGCTCGGTCAATATTGGTCTGGCTCGGTACATCAAATGTCGCCAGCGATCGAGCATAATGCCTTGAAGGATATCTCCATCCTCCTTCTTCAATGCGGCATTGTCGTTGATGATGATGGAACACTCAACCAAGATGGAGGCTTCTGCTGAATCTTGCAGAATCCGAGACAAATAGCCGTCGTAAACATTGAAGGAGTCGGAACAGACCAAGGCCAAGTTGAAAGCTGTCTCTAGCAACTCCTTTCTTTCTTCCTCGTTACTCGTGTCCTCTGCCTTCTGGAGTAAGTCTTGGACCCATTTGTGGGTGGTCTCACGACTCTTTTGAAGAAGACCCAGGAAGGATTGTGACAAGTTCGCGGGAGCTAGAGACAGAGCTCGAGTCGCTAAAGACGTGAACGACCACAAGGCGATGTAAGACTCCCAATTCTCACCCACGCGTGAGACACACTTTTTCAAGCTCTCTAATAGTTTTCTCCCAAAGATCGGATCGCAGAGGCGGGAGTGCGTAGAGCGTTGAACTACCGCTGACTGCGGGCCGCTTTGTAGGCACATTTGAAGGATGAAAGTGGCGGTCTCGGGTCTATTGAAGTCGACCTTTGGCATTGCGAGCTGAGACAGGATGCTCATCCATTGTATGCTATGCCCATAGGGTAAACCCGCAAGAGCTTTGAACTCACTGAGGGGGAGCCACTCTGGACATGCGTATTGGCTCGTGATGACTTCGTTCGGCGACTCTCCGTCAGGAGCCTTCCAACTGCGGTGGTGGTATCGGATCAGAGATTCGGCACGCGGAGGAAATTTGAACGTGCAGACCGTGGTCAATTTGTCGGTTGGGACCAGTTTACTGAAGAAAGCGTTTAATTTCTCGTCAAAATAGCGGTATAGCAGGCCACTGTCGAGGCAAACGTCAGATTCCGCAGCACTCTCGATGGGTATCGCTCGTTTGTGAATGATGGAATTTGGTTGGTCTTCTGATCGAAGATGGATTCGGCTATGCCCGTGAGATGTGTACCACGGCTTGACCGGCTGATAGGTTCTCAGTGCATACGTGGTACTCGGGGAAGATGATTGTCTTGGTTGGCTCAATAGTACGTCGTTGATGAAGTAGATGGTCAGATCGCGCCATTCAGAAAATGCTGTAGGAGCGGCCATCTCAAACACCGCCGCTTGGGCCTCGAGGTCGCTCCGTGGCAGAGGCCATTCGTGAATTTGTACGCCAAGAGCTTTGGCTTTGGCTTCGACACGGCAGCGCTTGCACGAAGAAGGATGGGCCAGGATCGATGTATTCCGTTGCTTCTTTGTGACGACGTCACAATCCATCGCTGCATGCTTTTGCATTAGACTGATGTATTCTGCTTTGGTTTTGCGAAACTCTTCGCGCTTTTCCTGCCTTGTACGCGCGGCGTCGGACTCAATTTCGTATTTAATCTCTTGGTGCTTTTCGGACTTGCTAAAAAATTCGACCGCAAACGAGCCAGGCAGCCCAAACGAGCCAAAGATGGATGGTCGTTCGAGTTTTTCCGCATTTTTCTGACGTTGAAGCATGTAATCTTCAAGACTCTTCAGTCTCTGCATTTCTTGCTTTGAACTGAGCAGTAATGCTTGCCAGACCATTGTCGGAATTGGGGGCAAGTAATTTGCCAGGAGGGGGATCTCATGCACAGTCACCGTATCTGCAGCACACCACAGGTCTGCGATTGTAAGAATCATGCGTGATGCTCCTTCGGGGCGGCCAGAGTAGTAAATAGTGGCTTTGGCGTGGTAGAACTCCACGAGCAGCTTTAGATCCTGCACACAAGTGTCCGGCCTCCTCAAATGCTGATCGACCCACGACGAAAGGTTGTCAGCCACCCACGACTCGATCTGGAAAAGACTAAAAGGCGAGTCGGCTTCCTTCCAGTTCTTCGAAAGCGGTATTTGATCTTGTGACTGCTCATTGGTTTGCGACGCAGGATGAAATACTTGATCATGACTTGCCGTCCTTCGTGAGGAAATTGTATCAAGGAACTTCTCCATGTTGACGAGTGAAAAGTCTGTGCTCTCTTCCATCCTGAACTCGGACAGCTTTGCAAGATCCAACGGCGACTCTTCTCGCTCACGTATCGTCTTCCACCGTTGATGTAACGTTTCTGAATTGTCGGCGACAATTTTACGGATGCTCGATAGCCATGGTCCGTGACTAGGAAGCCGGATCTTACAGAGGCGTCGGGATACCTTTGTCAGCATGGTTTGCAGGACATCGCTAGCAATCTTTTGTTGGTGACTGGCGATTTGAAGTGTTTCGGCCATTAAGAAGGCCATAAACTCTTTGTAAGTCCTGTCATCTCCTCCCGACAGCCGCGCCATGGACAAGTGCAATGCCACTCTAATGAGCAGCCAAAGAGAAGAACGTCGCCATGGCAGTCTCCCGCTCTTCCACACAATATCCTCCCGAGTATGTTTACAGATGCCTTCAACGGCGACTTCGTTGCCGCATCCGCGAAGCATGCTTGTAAAGAGCTCCGTCACAATTTTTGGGTCCGCCGTCTCTCGGACCCCATCCTGCTCCGGTCGCTGTTGCTCGGGGTTGGGCCTCTCTTTGTCAGGTACTTGCGTCGTTTCGCGCAAAGGCTGCTGGCTCATTTTGGTCAAAGTTTTAACCAAGACGCCGCGAAAAGCATCGCTTTTGAATTCACCCAGGGGGACCTCGACAGCATTGCCAGGAAACTGGCGCAAGAGTCGGCCACGCGTCGACATGGCAGCCTCATTTGTTGGCGACAGCTCAAATGTTTCAAAACAGACTGTATTAGGCTTTTTGCTAATAAGAACGCCGGCATTCTGATCTGTTATGTGAAAAACGGCTACAGATGCTGTGAGGGGTTAGCGAGTTACACTTGCGTACGCAGCGGAGCGTCTGAAATGCCCACCATCAGCCAGCAGCTCCTGCAGAACCTCGCGAACGCCAGCTTCCTTCAAGTGTCCCTGCGGGCTCCTCGATTTTCTTAGAAAATCAATCATGGAAATGCTGGCTTTGATTGCTGTCTCATCTTGGCGCCCAGGCAGGAATCGCTCTAGAGATTGGTGTATAAAATCCAGTAGCGAGGCATCGCCTTTCGGCGAGGCGTCATCGGCGCCTGGAAGCTGTCGAGGCAGAAACAAGTGGTGGTAGATGTAGTCAAAAGTCGGTCTTGACACATCGGCCAGACTGCCTGTGGGTGCCATGGCAGCAAAGAAGCCGTTCGGCTGGCTCGGATGATGCGCTCAGTGATTGCAAACAGCGACGAGTTGTGCTATTCTTGCGCTAATCTTTCATCGGACGGTGCTCCTCGTTGTGGTAGGGCTGTCAAAGCACCGTTGGATGCAGATGGTAAAAAGGCCTTCCGGACAATGAGAAGACGGCTGGGTTGTCTTGTCAGATTCTTAATTAGGCAGTAACCAGAAGGTTACACAGAGAAAAACATTAGTCATGTTCGAGGGTTGGTCGAGGAAATAAAAACTCCTTTTGTGTGCCAGGACGGCTGTGGACAGACATCCTTGGGACGTTGTCTACTTAAATTCGGTGAGATTATGGCGCAAAATGGACAAATAATTTGTACCTTGACTGCGCACCAGCCGTGCCTGATTGCCATGCTTGAGGACGGAGACAGTAAGCGCTGCAGCTCTCAGTTTGCTGACAGGCCCACGTCACCATCGCCCGGCATGAGTAACTATTCGCTCATCAGGAGTTGCCGTGTGAGTCACAATCTCTGGAGCATCCTGGGAAACGGTCTCAACTGCCCGGATTGCAGCCATGTTGCGGCCCTCAAAGTCATACAGGCGTAGACAAGGTGACAATTCGTGGCCAGTTTGCTGTCTGTATCTCATGGTGTCAGAGATGAGCTTATTCAAATTAATATTAAGTGGATGCCTGCGGATAACATCTGCCGAAAAACTCGCCTTTTCCTGTCAGCTGCATCTCACCGCTTATTTTCAGATTTAGCGCCGATCCCAAGTGGACGGAAAAGATGGGATCAAACTACGTATAACTTGAGGCAAGATTCGTGCCACCTTCCGAGGGCAATGGTGGTTGCAATAAGCACCTGTCTGCGGGGCCTGCACATTTGAGCCGCCAAATCGTATCAATTGTCACTTACAATTCACAAGGCCACTTTGAACAGCCATCACTGGTATTGAACGGACGAGTACGAAAGTCTTGCAGATTGAAGAAGTAATACGCTGTCGCTCTAACTGAAATAATGTCGCATGAATGAGTAGTATGGCATGGAATCCTGCTTCGGTGCTAGGAATGCGGTGCGCTTGTTGTCGGCTCGTACAGTCCGACTCTTTTATTTCGCCTGCTCAATGAGCTCGGCCTTGCCCTCCGTCTTCTCCGCGAGCGCTTTTCCGTCTTCCGGCTCGATACCATAAATCTCGGCAGGATCTACAACCGCTGCACTGAATTTGCGGGCTGATACACGACGCTCAAAGAGCACGTCAAGCTCGCCAAAGGTGCGGCCCTTAGGCTCGGGCAGGCGGAAGTAGGTCCACGTGATGCACAAAGCGCTGGTGCCGGCGAAGAATAGGCCAGACTTGGCACCCCAGTCCCAAGCGGTCGGATTGAGCATGCGCGGGGTGAGGATGTTGGTAGCGATGCTGGCAATGTTGTACATGTTACGCGCGAAGACGACAGACTTGGTGCGGAGTCGCGTCGAGCTGATTTCGGAGACGAGCGAGTAGCAGACGGGTCCAACAGTGCAGTCATAGAAGAAAGTGTAGACAAGGAGTAAAGATCCAATAGTCCATTGCGCGGAGATGTTCTGGCGACCAGCAAACGCGGCGCCGCCAATACTGACGAGCAAGACGAAGAGGATGCACTGTCCATAGAGGTACAGAGAGCGGCGGCCGAAGCGCGTCATGAGGAACCATGAGAAGATTGTACCGATGAAACCAAGAGAATACTGAGCGAGCGACATGCTGAACGCATTTTCCGTGGCAAGACCGGCTTGGCGGTAAAACATGGTCGAGTAACCCATGAACGAAGCGCCGCACATTGTCTGGATGACCCACACGCAGGCAGCAATCTCAGTACGGCGGCGGTTGACGCCTTTGAATAGATCCAAGTACGTTGTACCCGCTTGGATTTTTCTCTCCATTTCGTTGGTGTGAATCATCATGGAGATGGTCTCGTCAGGCCGGAATTCAAAGCCACTATTGCGGGTCGTGAGGCGTTGAAGCGATATTTTTGCGTCGTCGAGTCGGTTTTTGCGCACCAGCCACCACGGCGATTCCGGAGCGAGCCAGATACCGATGATGAGAGGCAGCGGCCATGCCCATTGCAGGGCAAATGGGATCTTGTAGCCCCATTTGTTGTTGAGTGGGATCATGCCACGGAGGACACCGGAAGCGATAAACTGGCCCATGACCCAGCAGAGGTTGACATAGGTCGTGAGGTATGCACGAAGATGAGTAGGGCAGACTTCCGACGCGTATGTCGTCGTGAGAGTCTGGAAGACACCCCAGGGAAAGCCAATGAGGAGTTCGCCGACCAGAAGCTGAGGAAGGGACTCGGCAAAAAAGATGATGAAGATGAAGCAGATGCAGAGGGTGAGGGCGCCGACTAGAGTCTTGCGATAGCCGAAACGATCGGCAATAACACCAGCAACAAAGAGGCCAAGAATCTGGCCGCAGAGAGCGGCGTTGGAGAGACCCGACTGCCACGCAGCCGTCAGCTGGTACCCGTCGGCCGAGGGCTCGCCAAATTTTTCGGCAAAGGCAGGGTAGACGTAGAGACCATTGATGATGGTCATGTCAAATCCTTCCATGACAATACATGTCGAGAAGAAGATGGACCACATGCATGCCTTTTTGTAAAGCTTGAGCGATTTCATCAGACCCATGTTGTGTTCGGCCTCGGTGGCGGCCGCAGCTTCGAGAGCGCGGGAGGCGTCCAGCACGGGACTGACCGTAGTGGTCATGACCTCGCCGCCGCTGGCCTCTTTTTCGCTGGGAGAGCTCATGGCTGAAGAATGGGAAGGAATCACACAGTAGAGGTGAGAAATTCGGGTAGAAGCGTGGAAGAAAAGGGCCCAGGGATAGAAAGCGGCTATTGAGGCATGATAGGCTGTGCGTCTGGGGAAATAAGGTAATCGTCCCGCAGAATTGATCGATGCGGGGAGGGGTCCTCTTATAATGATTGCATGGTTTGACGCATCGAAAGAAAAAGATGAATGTTGAGGCCGTGGTCCAGAAGCCAAGAAGCACCAGTCGTCGCCTATGTAGATGGGGCACCCTTCGGTTCAACGCCACCAAACCGAAATTGCCCTAGTCATACGCCATCAGCTCGTTGGCTCAAAGTTAGCGACATTGGTATGCCCATGGAGCGCATTGATGGGGTCATTGCCGCGAAAGAGGCCATTATTACGGCCATGCAGGTGGAGGAGGACGGGGGAGTTCCAATGGCGACCCAGGCAACAATCCACTGTGCTTGGTCGCTAATAAATCAGGAGGCCATTTGGCGCCATCATCTCGTCGGGCCGACGATTAATTGTACATCTACACAACAATCGCAGGCCGTCGCAATCGGTGTCGCGTGTGTCAGGCCTGGGTCTGCCCACTCGTTCCCCATGGGGTTGCGGGTTTGATTGAAGTGCTTCTTTCTCTGCGCGGCAAATGCTGTCTCATCTCAACACCACAACCTGTAAAATGGTCTCGGGCAATTGCGAACGCCATGCATAGGATCCGCTCGGGGCGGTGGCCGGACTATCGGCTGGGGCTCGGTGCAAAGATTTCGTGCCATTAGAAAACTGGCTAGTATCAAGATTGATACGCTTTCACTTTCTTCATTTTTCCTCCGTCGTTGGATTGCCACTGCGCACCTGCCTGCTGTGCACAACAGAAGACAGAAGCGGTCTATGACGATGACATGTATTGGGTAGATGGCAAGGCGTGCGTGTGGCGATTATCTCTCATGTAGAGTTTCGGGCCGACTTTGCAAGGGAATATTCTCGATGCATACTGCGGAAATCCAGCCAGGCAATGGCTGGTGTGATGGATGTTAATGCCCTTGTTTGCCACTACCATTGGCGCTTGTGGCGACCATGAGCGCCGTAGCTCGAAGGAAGAGCTAATAAGTATTGCGACCCAGATGATGGTCTTCAGGAACGACACTATGCACGGGCCTGGCTCGGGAGGCGGAGACACAGATGGTGTGAAAGCTGTGGCGGTCTCATTGTGTGTAGTTAGCGATGGGTGAGGTGGGTGGGGGTGGAGGTGGTGATGGAAAAGGAGCCACGTTGGCTCGGAAGCTTTGTCGGTCCGACATGTCCAGGGGAGTTGTCGGTCCGACAGGTGCAACTCATCCCCGCCTTCTCCGCAACTTGCAAAAGCATCACCGTCAAATGTAGCTCTCTGTGCTGATTTGGTATTGTGGCTGATCCAGATCTAGTAGCTCATCATGTCAAATTTCAATGCCGGACGAGGCTTTCAGCCCGTCCCCACGATCACCTTCCCCTGCTGCCCGCCTTGTCCCAGCTGGTTGTCGGACCGACAACCCCATGACGCTGGACTCTGGAGAAACCGGGGAGCCTGAGTCTCCCAGTTCGATGCTTTCTTTTTCCGAGAGAGTCAGCAGCCGTACTCCTACACCGGCCTCTCCACTGCGACCCACGGTTTTCGCAGATTTAAGCCGTTGCCCATAGCCGGACGAAACGCAGACCGTACACCATCACCCGCTCCGTCCCTCGCATGTCGTCTTTCCTCCCCTGCTGAAAGCGGTTTCATTGTACTGTGTATCTTATACCCCTTGTTCCAGTTGCTTCATCTACAAATCCCAGCCACCAAAATGACCGTAATCGGGCGAGAAAAGAAGTGGTGGAAGCAGGCTTCCATCTATCAGATTTACCCTGCGTCCTTCTGCGACTCCAACGGAGATGGCATTGGTGATATCCCCGGCATCACGTCCAAGCTGGACTACATTGCCAGCCTTGGCGTCGACGCCATCTGGGTGTGTCCCATGTATGACAGTCCGCAGATCGACATGGGCTACGACATTTCCAACTACGAGGACGTGTACCGCCCGTACGGCACTGTCCAGGACATGGAGACGTTGATCCGTGAGACACACGCACGCGGCATGCGCATCATGCTCGACCTCGTCATCAACCACACCTCGGACCAGCACGCCTGGTTCAAGGAGTCGCGCGCCAGCAAGGACAGCCCCAAGCGCGACTGGTACATCTGGAAGCCCGCCAAGTATTCCGCCACGGGCGAGCGCTTGCCTCCCAACAACTGGCGCGGAAACTTTGGCGGTGGCAGCACATGGGAGTGGGACGAGGCCACGCAGGAGTACTACCTCCATCTCTTCGCCACAGAGCAGCCAGACCTCAACTGGGAGAACCCCGTCACGCGCAAGGCCATCTACGCCTCCGCCATGGAGTTTTGGCTCGACCGTGGCGTCGACGGCTTCCGCGTCGACACGGTCAACATGTACAGCAAGCACCAGGACTTTGCAGACGCGCCCGTCACCGACCCCAAGGCGCCTTTCCAGCCCGCCGGTTTCGTCTACTGCAACGGGCCCCGCATGCACGAGTTCCTGTCCGAGATGAACGCCGTCCTCAGCCGCTACGGCGCCATCACCGTCGGCGAGCTGCCCTGCACGCCCGACATGGCCAAGGTCGTCAAGTACGTCAGCGCAAAGGAGAAGCAGCTGGACATGGTCTTCCAGTTTGACCTGGTCGATGTCGGCTTCGGCAAGACGCACAAGTTTGAGACGGCGCCCCGCAACTGGACTCTCCCGGATGTCAAGGCGGCCGTGGAGCGCACTCAGAGCATCATCCGCGGCACAGATGCCTGGACCACGGCATTCATCGAGAACCACGATCAGGCTCGCAGTGTGTCGCGCTTCACCGACGACAGCCCCGAGTTCCGCGTCGCCGGTGCCAAGATGCTGGCACTCATGCAGTCATGCCTCAGCGGTACGCAATATATCTACCAGGGCCAGGAAATTGGCTGCATCAACACCCCCAAAATCGGCTACCCGCCTGAAAACTATCTCGACATTGACAGCTCCCTCTACTACAAGATGGTACAGGAATGTTTCGGCGCCGACAATAAAGCAGAGCTGGACCGCGCCTTCAGTGCGATGCAGTACCTTGCACGCGACCACGCTCGCGTGCCCATCGCCTGGGACGGCAGGGAAAAGTACGGCGGCTTCTCGGAGCCGGCCATCAAGGCCGGCCAGGACGTCGCCGAGCCGTGGATGAAGGTGCACCCGCTCGCAGGCGAGATCAACGTGGCCGCGCAGCTTGACGACCCCAGCAGCGTGCTTGCCTTTTGGCGCAAAATGCTGGCCTTCCGCAAGGAGCACGCCGACGTCCTGGTGTACGGCGACTACAAGGGTTTGCAGGAGGACAACAAGGAGACGTTCATGTTTCTCAAGGAGGCGCAGGGTGGCGCGCACCGTGTGCTGGTCGTTCTCAACTTTACCAAAGAGCCGCAGACGTGGACGGTGCCGTCGGCTGCGGAGCTGGGGCTCCCTGAGCAGGACTTAGTCAATATGACGCGCATTTTGTCAACGCACGAGGGCAAGCGTGCGGAGCAAACACTACAGCCCTTTGAGGGCCATGTGTACACTATTAGCAATTAATATAGATGACGGCAATGCACTTGAGTGCATCTCCGTTTCAATGGGCCCCGGGCAGAAGCAACCGGGCCAACAATGCAAGCCACCTTCCCCCAGCGCCGGCTTCATCGCAGCGTAATTATTAATTCCAGCCGCCGGCTTTCTTATAGCGTAACCTTTGTTTCTAGCTACTATAGTGGCCTCTTATAAGATATTTTGAAAATTTTGAAAAAGAAGAACGTACTGGAAATTAAATCCAGTATAGTCCCGTATAAAATTCAGTAGGAGAGACTATAGGAGCCTATTTACGACGCACCTATTTGCGCCCCTTGGTAAATACTTTGCTCCCTTTCTTCACGATTTCCTTTGCACGCAGGCTCAGAGTTCCAATTTGCCTTCTTGTCGAGACACCTTTCCCTTGGGTCTTGTCCTAGGAGACACCAAGAGCAGCCTCAAAGATGGGAGACAAGTCATGCGACGCGCAAATAGTGCTGTCGGCGCGTTTGGCCTCCAAGCTTTTCAAACTCGTCTCCAGATTCCCTCGGAATGTCGGGAGCTGGAGAAGCTTGTCACGAATCGCAGTGCGAAAGTAAGGCTCGCCGATGTAGAACTGGTGGCCGTTGCTTTCCAAGCGGCTGCGAGACGACTTGTTATTGCCATAGTTTCTCAGGTCGTAGATGAAGTCATGGCAGTTTTTGTGAAAGCTATCATCTCTAGACGTGATATCTGAGAGAATTTCTTCTCTTTGGGCTTCGGCGATGGTGAAGGCTTCCCAAATCCTGGTAAAGGGTTCCTTGCCCGAGCCGCGAAGCAAGTGTCGCTGCCAGATGCTAGCCGACAGTAGAACGCTTTGCTGAGAACCATCTGGCGCAATAGAACAGACTGTGATGCGGGTAGGGTGCTTCAAATCCAGGAGTTGAGACTCAATCCAGCCTACAAACGTTAGTGTCCAATGTATATATGTAGTAGATCTACGAGGTTCAGATTCAGGTCATACCGAGAAGATAGTCGGCTGTGAAAGTCATGACTTGATCGTCCACAGCAATAGAGACCATGTTTTCTTCGTCGTCAATCTTTTCCAAAGTAGTCATGTCTATACTGCCAGATGCATGTCGGACTCGGGGGTGAATAAAAAGTTCTGGAGCAATGACTCCACGGCTCTTGGACGCGCTTTTTCGTGAAGCGAGGGAGTTGTTATGCGACGGGGTACAAGAAGTATTGGGAGAGGGGTCGCTGGCTCGACGAACAATGATTGTCACGACACTGTCCTTTGGGCAGTAGAGGTTGTATGTCGCAATGATACTTTCGTCGCTCAGCATCCGAACGGCCGATGCCATGCTCTCCGAGTGTATGTAAAAAGCGTAGTCCTTGACATTGCCCACTCCTCCGGAGAGGTCCAGGCAGGTTTTCAGACTCATGCTGTATGTTTTGACCTCTTGTAGTGAGAGGACTTTCTGGGTAAACGAGGAGCTCGCCATGGTCTCGTTCAAGAAGAACCAGACTTGCGAAGCGGCGGCAAGCCCTTTGCCCTTTCTGGAAGCCATTGTCCGTGTCTCTGTCGCGCGATGAATGTTGGATGGAGAAAGTGAAGTTTCTGCAAATTAACGGTGTGGAAAGTTCAAGGCGGGCATTGCAATTTTTTTCTCTAAGTTCTAGTTCGTGTGGCTGGCAGAATCAGTTTTGATTTACTTTAGCCTCACCTTGACAAACAAGCTTTACACGAAATCATCACGTGCAAGATAGACGTGTCCTTTTCTTTTCCTTTTTTTTCCTCGACATATATAAATACCAGCGCTGGTTCACTGCTCTATTTCTGCAACTAGTTCTTGACACTGCCCGATACAAGCTGCTCAAAGAACACAAAGCCAGAATTGACTCACAATGACACGAAAGAGAAGCAACAAGGCTCAACCAGCCGCCGTGAAAAAACCAGTCCAAGCAAGCATATCTCTTCCCACTACTGTTTCGGCTATTAGGAACGATCCGAATCTCGGATACAAACTTCGTGCACTAATATACGACTTACTCAACATCTCTCGAGACCCTTGTTCGGAGAGGCGCTTGAATACCACTACCGACGAGCATTATCTTAGCCTACCTTACTTCTCGTCGGAAGAATCACAAGTAATTAAGAATGCCGTCATCGACGTCGAGCCGGCGCTGTATAATGTTCCCGGGGACTTTGGCGAGGATGACGCCCGGCTGATCTCGAGGTCTGTGGCAGACGCCTTGGAGCTGGTTCTTTCAGGTTTTTTCGACAAGAGGCGTGCCAGCGGTGATTCTAGGCCTTGTGGACCGCATCATCTCGCGCCTCTCTACGCTGCGCTGTATGGGATTAACTTGGCTGAGCTTCAAGACGCGAAATTTCTTGCTCGTCTTAGAAGAAATGGCATTTGAACGATTGCGGCTGCCGACGAAAACAACGTTACCGACTAGTTGGCTTGGTTGGCCGCTTGGCCGCTTGGCGTGTCGACGGCCAGGGTGTTGGCACTGATAATGGCATCGGTTCATGGACGGAAGGAGCTCTCGTTTATCTGGCTGCCACGCTCCAATTTGTAACAGAGACAGAGGTTCCTGCAATCTACACGATAAAGGCCAGCGCCGGCACCAAGGTGGCACGAAGCCATCATCGGAGACAGTGGAGAGGTGTCGCGAGGTTGACAACAGGCAAATGCCATGCAAGCACACATACGGCCAAAAAGTCGTAAAATTCACCATCTATGGCGTGTATTGTTATATTCTGTCATTATAAAGCGTTGTCCAGGTCTAATGTACCGTTTTCCGCCGCGCCTCTCTATACACTCTGACGCACACTTACAATCGCGCGCTCAAGCCATGAGCGCAATATGTTTCAACTCCCTACCAAAAAAAAAAGTTAGCTTAATCCTACTCGTGCTAAGTTTTTTTCAAAATTCGTGCAAGTCATACCCTTGCACCTGGTGGCCGACCTTGATCGGGGGGTACTCTGCCTCGCGACCCTCGTCACCGCCGCTTCTCTCTCTCTCGGCGCGGAGTCTCTTCGCGCGGGCCGCGAGCGCCGGCACGGGGACGAGGTCGACGTCGGAGCTCAGGTGCCAGAAGAGCGTGCTCGAGATGCGAATCTGCGGGCGGGCGGGCTGCTCCGCGGCGCGGCGCGCCATCGTCGCCAGCGTGGCCGCATTGACCGTCACCTCGTGGAAGCCCGCCTTGACGAGCCCGCCCGTCATGTGCTCGAGCTGCTTGCCCGCCTGCACCAGGAGGTAGTTGCCCGGCGGCATGCGCACCGGGATGCGCCGCCCCGTGTTGCGCGCCCAGATGTTGAGCCCAGGGTACCGGCTGCGCCCGTGGATCGTCAGGAAGTTGAGGTCCGTGTGGAAGCCCGCCAGGATGGTGTCCAGGGCGCCGTACTTGGTCAGGTCCGAGGCGGTAGGCGCCAGGAGATGGGGGCTGCTTGGTGCGTCAGTTTCTTTCCTTCTGTTCCGTGTATGGGGATGGGTCGTCATACCCGTAGCGCCCGGCATCGCTAAAGTATGTCGGGGGGAGACCGAGACCGACGGCCGCCATCTCCGAAAGCGTCGAGACACTATACTTCCCGTCAGTTTCTTCACAAACGCCTCTTGCAACAGCATTCAACCCACGCGCTCTTCATGCAGCTACCCCAGCGGTCCATGGTCGGCGTCCAGCGCTCCTTCAGCTCGGGCGCGTCGGGCACGACATTCGGGGCATTCAGTGCCGGAAACTGCGTCTCGTACGGGGGCTCCTCGACCATGCGCCAGAAAAAGCGGCACTTGGGATCTGGCTGGTGGCCGGCGATATCCAGCGGGCGCTGGTCCGGGGCGAGCCGCGCAATGACGTCGAGGCACGGCTCGTCGACGGCGCACTTGGGCCGCTCCGTGTTGGCCAGCGTGGCGCCGACCTGGTATCCGAGCTGGGGGCGCTCGTCGCGGCGCAGGGCGTCCTCGGGCTGCGCAAAGTAGTCCTCGAGGAGGTCGAGGAAGTCGTCATTGTCCTGCGCGGCGACGCGCGAGTCCCGCAGCACGAGCGCGCCGTACTGGATGAGCGCGTCGGCCGCCTTGGCGCACTCGGCCTGCGCGGCGGGCGACGTCGGCGCGTGCGCTAGGTACACGTCCATGTCGATGATGGGCAGGTCCATGGAGACGCCGGCGGCGGCGGGGTCGGCCGAGGACGTCATGGCGGGCACGGGGATGGATGGGTGTGAAGAGCCTTGTTCGTCGGGGTTGACAACACTGCTCGTCCGAGAAAGGCTGGCGTACAATGTAGCAGCAGTTGGTTTGAAGCCGTGCGGCAGGTTCAGGGGAAAGGAAGGAGACGGGACCAGCACGGCAAGGGAAAGATATCACGAGATGAGCACGAGGAAAAATGAACATTGTCACGCCCGTTGTTAGCCGTGCGCATGTGCCTGCGGGGGAGGGGCGACGGCAATGATTAGCTCCATTATCAACGCTGTGATTCGCTGGTAGCGTTATAAGTGCGCTGACAACTTATCGGAGCTCGCCGACAGCCCCAATGGCAGGTTTTGAGCTGATATGGACATACATGGAAAATGAATACCAAAATCGGTAACCTGTCGCACCTGCTAAAATATGCACGCCAAAGTAGTTCGTTTTCGAGGTCGAGGGCTGCATGCAGTGATCATCGCCGGCCGTGGTGGGCTGATGCGTCATGTGGCTCAAATGACACGGTGTAATTGCTTGTCTCAATTATGGCCTTTGTTTCTATACAAGCGAATATAAGGGCTCTAAGGCTTGCGTATTCACATGCTTCATTGCTCACTCGATTGGCCAAAATCACACAGGAGAAATCAGCGGGTCTTGTCAAAGCCAAGTATTGTAGCGCAGGTTAGCGACCGAGAGTAGATTGACCAGAATCAAATCTATATGCAAGATTTTCGTATACAAAACAAGTTCCAGATTCAAGCATAGCTACTATAAGCCACCAATAAACCAGATATTCAAAATGCCGCCACCAGACCCCCATCACCACATCATGACACCGTAAAAAGTACAAAGCTCGCATCTGTATGTGTATCCAATCAAGCGATGCAGAAAAGAAATAGTAACAAGAAAGAAGAATAGCAAAAAACGGACTCGTCGTCCTGAGAAAGTAGCATAGGCAAAAAAAGCAGCCAGATTTCGAAAACTACATACGCGTTGAGCAACATCACTGGCGGCGAAAACACCAGGCTCGGAGGTGGGGGTATCAAGCGCGCAAGAGTATCCAGAAATAACATCACTGGCGTGGGATGAGCGAAAAGAAGAGGGAAAGTCTGTCTTCCTCGAGGGACCACGAGACTATTGCTGTTTTGGGTGGTTTTCGACAATAGTCGTGGCCGGGGGCTGAGAGGGATGTTCCTGGTCGGAGCCGTTATTCGACGTGAGGTCGGCTTCCTTGGTCGACAGCGTCGCCGTCGTGCCGCGCGGCTCGTCTTTCCAAAACGCCTTGTCGCCCTTGGACAGTCGCACCATCCAGGGCGGCAGAACACCGCCAGGAATCTTGTACGTCCAGCCGCTGCGCTCCTCGTAGTTGGGTGGGACGATGCGGCCACCCGAGATCGTCTTGATGACCCAGACGGAGCCGTTGAGGATAATGTACGACATGACGCCGGCGATAAGGCCGTCGGCAATGGAGTAACTGAACGGCATGAGAGCAAGGGTGAGAAAGGCGGGGACGGCGTCACCGAGGTACTTCCAGTTGATATCGACCACGGCAGAGGCCATCATGGAGCCGACAATGACAAGCACGCAGCCGGTGGCCCAGGGGGGGATGGAGGCGAATATGGGAGCGAAAAATATGGAGATGAAGAAGCAAAAGCCCGTCACGACGGCGGTGAGGCCCGTCTTGCCGCCCTCGGTGATACCGGCGCCGGACTCGACAAAGGCCGTGACGGGGGGCAGGCCAAAGACGGCGCCGATAGAGATGCAAATGGCGTCGGTCATGTAGGCGAGGGTGGAGCCCTCGAAATCCTGGGTGACGGGGTCGATGAGGCCGGCGAAGCGGGCCATAGAGTAGAGAGTACCGGTACAGTCGAGAATGTCGACGTAAAGAAAGGTGATGAGGGCGAGGCCGAACTGGCCACCATACTCGCTAACGTTCCATTCCTGGACGTTTAGGATCTTTGTAATGGGGTGGACAGTGACGACCTTTTTGAAAAAGTTGAAAGCGTCGTCGCCGACGGCGGTGTAGGGGAAGTAGGTGACGGGTGTGGTGCGGGGCCAGGAGATGATGCTGACGAGGAGGATACCGGCAATGATGGCGCCCTTGACGCGGTACATCATGAGGACAACGGAGAGGATGCCGCCGCAGAAGATGCCGATCCACATGGTGGGATTGCGCATCTTGTCGGAGCCGGGGCAGGTGCCGGTCTTGGGGTCGATGTTGGCGGGGTGGCAGCCGGCGAGCTCAAGAGGGGTAGACTGGGCACCGACGATGAGGCCGATGCCGTTGCTGTAGGTGAGACCAATGAGCGTGAGGTAGAGACCGATTCCGGCGCCGGTGGCGAGCTTGATGGAGGCGGGAATTGCACGGGCGAGCCACTGACGCATTCCAAAGAGGGCGAGAGCGAAGAAGATAAAGCCCTCGACAAAGATGGCGGTCAAAGCGACCCTGTAGGGGACGGGACCGGAGCCGTGGAAGCCGACGACGGTATAGGCAAAGTAAGCGTTGAGGCCCATGCCCGGGGCGATGCCGACGGGCATGTTGGCGAGCAGGCCCATGAAAAAGGTAGCAAGGGCAGAGATGGCGGCGGTGGCGGTGACGACGTCGCGCTTGATGGCCTGCACGCAGAGGGCGTAGTCCTGGTTGGTCATGCAGAGGGGGTCATCGGCGCCGCCATTACAGACGCAAGTGCCGCCTGACTCGGAGACAATGGAGGAGTTGACGGCGAGGATGTAGGCCATGGCGAAGAAGGTGGTGACGCCGGCGCGCATCTCGGTGAGGAAGTAGGAGCCTTTGCGCTCGCGGGGCTGGTGGGTGACAGTTAGTTTTGAGGTGACGAGGGGCTATGGTCAATGTTGATGGAGCACTAAAGTCGAAGAATTGACACGAATTGAAGAGGGCTATGAAAAATTGTCTTCAATTTGGGGGGGGGGGGGGGGGGGGTTGTGTAGTGTGGGTGGTGTTTGTCGGGCAGAGACTTACATGACCGCAGCCATCGAGGCGAAACCAACGGCCGACGAAGCTCTTAGCAACGCGGGCGTTGGTGTTTTCAACCCAACCCATGTTGAAGCGGTAGTAATGAAAGGATACCAGTCAACTATGATAATATCGGAGCAACAGTTGTAAGAGGCAGGCGGGCAGGGCCGTGGCTTGTAGCAAGTCGAGTTTGGAGCGAGGTTTTGAATAAGATTGGAGCGTCGAGGAGCAATATCGGATATGAGAACTGGCGGCAGACGTGTAGAGATATCGTATGAGCTTCCACTTCAAGCAAGACGGCGATGAGGCGTCGGACTGGCGTGCGGTGCACGTTGATTTTTTGGCAACTGAGTTTGGGCGCGGCGTGGGGGTATGCCTTTGTTCCCGACCAGAGTCGACGGCAAGATCCGGGGTGACGGGGGAGAGGATGCGGGGGACGGCGGCGGTTGAAATAAGAAACAATGTTTGAAGCAGGTACGACTTGGAAGGTCAGCAGAGGGCAATTAATGAATGGAGGAGACTGCAATTGAGAGAAATAAAAAAGAAAAAGCGAGGGAAAAAAAAAAGCTGGGCGCAAAAGATAACCGAGTGGGTGTGGGCGGAGTGAGGAGGAGCCCAAGCCAAAGTGAAGAAAGTGGGCTGGCGGCACCGGAACTGGCTGTCTGCTGTGCGCCGTGATGATGGACGCAGCAGGTGTGAGTGTGAATGTGATGCAGCGCGGCAGGTGCAGTAATGTTGTGCAATGATATTTCTTTTGCGAGGTTAGTATGACGAGAAAAAGAAATGGTGAGAGAAGTGAAGGGTGGTAGGAGGAGGAGAGAAAGAAGGAAGAGCCGTGACAAACAGAGGGCCGACCAAACGGGCAACTGCCAGCTGCCAGCTGCCGGCTGCTCTGAGGAAGAAGAAGCGTGGGGTACGGAGTATATCATATTTCCATGGGGAAAAAACGCCACCGTTGACTAGGAGGTGGCTAATCATGCGGCTGGTCGGAATTGCCGCAATTGGTATTGGTTGGATAAAAGAGGCACGACTCTAGTTCTGGGCTTATCAAGTTGTTCAAGTGGATTTCGTTGGTGGCGTCGGGGATGTTCATGTACTCGGTGCAGATAGTTGTCTTCGACATCGTTATCGACATTGAATTGTACATAAGAGATAGACCCTGCGGGGGGCTTTTTTTCTTTCTTTTTTTTCTCCGATTTATTAGCAGCCTTGCCACTCAGTGGAGCAACACATTTCGCCCTGGATTCAGATGCAAAGGATGAATGTCACCGACACTGACCGGTACCTAGTCCGTACCCTCACATGTACCGAGGTGCCTGAATAAGCGGCCCGCTGCTAAAAATAACGATTTATTTCGTGCAGACCACTATTGACTTGACTTGTCAATGATACCACCATCACCATCTCTCCCCCAATTCCCTACATTCTCCCCTCTGCAACCTGCAATACCTACACCCACCCCCTGCCTCAGCCGCCTGCTAGGCGTTGCCTGTTGGCCGTTTGGTGGGACGGCTTGTGCGATGCAATATGCAAGTACCGTAGGTCTCAACGTCAGGTACTCCCACACGACGCAAGGCCGCCGCAGCCACCAGCTTCGTAGCACAGGATTAAAATCATGTGGGAAAATCGGAAACAGCGGCGGCATTTCATCTTGGCCGACAGGTTTGCCCTACGTCGGAAACTAGCATATGAAAAATCGTTCAGGTCGGGTACCTGATTCGGTCCATCTCCAAGGTACTTTGTAGGTACCTACAAATTTGGCCCACCACACTAGTACAACTACAACTAGTATACTGGCCACGCGACAGGACAGACGTTGCATTCTCAGCGCCTTGCAGCACCCCGGAAACCTTCTATATTAACTTGTTCGTTATTACTAATTCGAAATAAAGCACCTGTACGAATTCGTATTTATTGGACAGTTTATTTTGCACCTAATTCCCTCGAATACCTGCCCGTCGAAATCTTCATTGTCCATTGCATCCTCTCCTAAATCATCCTCTCCTAAAATTCACAAACACAACCTCAAACCCCAGACACGCCCGCTCATTCTACCACGTTACTCTCGTCCAACACTTGCACCCCTCGACCTCACCAACTCACCTTGCGCCTTCGGCTGCTCGCATCAAACCTCCGTCAGGAACCTTCATCTCAACTTTCCCACCGCACCTCCGCAAGCACAACCCCCGCCCTGTCCCGACCCCCCGATATCATGCTTATTACTACCTGTTAGCCCGTCGCACGTCCGTCCCCACCCCATCGCCTTCCTTATCGCGCCCCCAGACATGCTCTGCCCAAACACGTCCATTCCCTTCAGCCAGCCAAGCTTTTCCTTGTCCTTCAGCCATCGCCTCTGCAATAGCGCCGCTGTACCTCGCGCCCATCCTGCCCTCCGTGCCTCGCTAGCCGCAATGGAAGTCGGCGCTTCCCGACAGCTAGACAGATAGGCTCTGCCCGAAACACACTCCTCGACGCCATCTACACTCTTCTGCTTCCCCATGGACCATCTTCAAGACCATCTTCAATTGTCATCTAAACCAAATGGGGCACCATCTGTAGATGCACCCCCCGCCTTGGCGGTCTTGCACTCCGCGTTCGTACTTGCATGCCAAGTCGAAATTGATTCGAAAAGTCATCGTTACGACCTTGACGACAGATTAAACATCTTGTAACGGCCAGCAAGTACAACTCACGCATCCGCCCCCTGTGCTGGCAAATGCCACCGCACCCGTATACATTCTCGGTCGCCTGCATATGCGCACGCCGCCACCCGTCTGTGTACCGAGTACAGTGACCGGCACTTTGCTTTGACCCATCGGTTTTGGAAAATACGGCCGCATGGCATGCGGCTGCCGGGCCACAGGTGGGATCTCACTCGCATCACCTCGCAGACTTGCAAGTTGCAACCTAAATGCTGCCAGCGGTGCTGCCAGCGCAACAACGGCGTCGAGACATGTTCCCTACCGAACAATGGAAAGTAGATACGGCCGCTACATAAATTACCCTGCTGATCGTTCGGACACGCCGTTCTATCCCGGCCTCTCCGGCTGCCGCTGTGCTCACGTCTCCAGCTGAGCTTTGACTTGCAGCACCTGGCAAGCGTATTCGTACAGGCCGAATGAACCCAAGATCATTTTACCAAAAGCAGATCGTACAACCGCCTATTCGTTGGTTGCAGGGAGAGTTGCTCCAAGGTTGTTATGATGTTCCACCTCGTGCCTTGCCGCCGACTTATAAAACGAGGTTGGTCCATCCCGATTTTACCAATCGCAGAGCCCCTCATTCTTCTCCTCAATTTTGCGTACAGAAATAATGGCAGCCATCTATAAGCCCGACCCCGGCGACTTGTACCTCGCCCAGCTGTGCGCCAAGTTTCGGAGCGTGTTTAGAGGTGCTTAAGCACTTTCTCAGTTTTTAGAGAATCTATCTACGTGCTGATCGACTGTTGCCGACCCCAACCCGGCGCTGTCGCAACAAAAAGAAATGGCTATCCCGAATGCTTCCTTGGGCTCGAAGAGCGCGGCGCTGTCGTGGCGGAAACAAGAGGGCATCACCAGGGTTATCGATGAGTCCGAAGAGAGTGACGAGGCCCCGAGATGTACTTGTCGAGTACGTTGACTACAAGTCGAATGTGCACGATGGCTTTCGTAGCTAGGGATGTGTAGCTCGGTACTGCGACAGTTAGCAAACCAAGGGCACGGTACATCAGAGCCTCGTTTCTAGAAACTGCCGATCGGGACAGGGTGTGTGTTGACGCCTCCGGCAGTCGAATCGAACCGTTGCAAGTCAGAAAGATCTCCGACAATCTCTTTCCCGATATGGGACGTAAGTCCGATTCAACGCGTCATTGTACGACTACTCCTGTTAAGTTTCTTCCTGCCAACTCACTTCTTTACAAGTACATGCAAAGTTGCGTTCTGATGCCACTTCAGATTCGCTACTTGTGCTGCTTTGGGCCCTCATGTGACATTTCCAGCAAGCAAGCCACATCAACTCAACATCTCCTCTGTACACTCGCACCCTGACACGACTACCAGCATCTTCACAAGTCGACAAGTACGTGGTCTCAGCCCTCGAGTCCATGTGTGAGTCAACCCGGGGCCTCGGAAACACCAGCCTCTGTGTGCTTGCTTCGGCTTACCCTATAGTAGGCTTCCGTTGTTTTGCGCGAGGTTCTGTGCTGCGCGAGAGCGTTTGCGTCCTGTCTCAGCTGCAATCGGAGCTTCCATGGCGCAACACGTGCCCTGTAAACGAAGATGTGCTTTTCTGGTGCAATGTGATGAATACTTTGGTTGGTGGTAGATGCACCAGGCTACATCTTGGGTTGGTGGCGCAGCCTCAGCCTCCGCAGTCTGTCAGCCAGTTTAGGCAGCAAACGGCGGCCGCCCAGACAAACGGCTGCGGCTGCGGCAAACCTTGTCCTCTCCTCTACACCAAAACCTGTTGCCTGACTGACCAGTGCATCCGGCCCCATTCTCCATCACATTACACGGATGCCTGCCTCAACAGCGTCTCTTCCTTTCTCATACCGTCTTCACGCTTCCGTGTCAACTGTTCCTTGACGTCAGCCGACATTGGCCGCCGGGAGCGTCCTAGCTAGTGTCCTCCAGACAAGCTCGTGGGCAGCGCCATTGGCTGTCATGACGTCAGGCGGCCAGCGCCTCGCCACAGGCCATCCGGGCCAGACCGCTCTCACGGTGCACACGGCGCACATAGCGCACACAGCACATACCGGCTGCAACTGCCCACCACCTGATTCGCCCTGCACCTGGCCTGCCTGGCTGAGCTTTCTGGCTGCCTCCGTCTGCGCGCGCCTGAGATCGCCCGTTTTCGGGACATTTTTCGAGACGAGGAGAGGGGAAAAAGAAAATCTTTCGGCGCCACGCCTTGTGTATATTTACCTTGGTCCCTGCCTGCCGCCCGCGCCACGGATCGTCCGATTGCCTTTTCCTCAACAGCAGCGCTAGTTATAAATACCAGCGCCGAAACCACGCACCACACATCAAAACACCCAACAACCCCCATTTCCATCTAAACTTGAACCTCTTGACCTTTTCCGCCATGGCGCACCGCCGTAGCGACGACTCGTATGCACAAGACGCATACTACCATCGTAATCCGACCTCCTGGGAACCTACTGAACCTGCTGGCCCTCCCCCGCGCCGCAGCAAATCAGAGCGCAAACCTGCCCGCCCCAGCCCAGATGACAGAGGCGCGTCCCGCAGGCATCGTGAAGAGGATGCTCCCCGAGGTTCCTCTCACAGACAGGGCGATGCACGTCGTCCGCAGTCGCCCCCACCACCTTACCACTACGAGGACCGGCGAGGCGGAGATTCGCGCCACGACCCCAGAATCACCAGAGACGCAAGAGATTCCAGAGATGCAAGAGACTCGAGAGACCCCAGAGAGGTTAGAGACCCCAGAGGCTCGAGAGATCTCAGAGACGCAAGAGATGTGAGGGATTCGCGCTCCACCCGTCCCGAACCGCCGCGTGGCGATCGCCACGAGGACCCCCACCGCCACCAACGCAACAAGACAGCAGAGGACCCTGGCCGGTACAGACGGTCCTCGCCAGACCACAGGAGCAGCAAAGAATACCTCCCGCGCGATGATCGAGACCAGGCCAGACGCGGAGGTGCAGCCTACACCAAGAGCCGCGGACGAGATCCGTCGCCCAGCCACGCCGGCCGCCCCAAGACACGCAGCTCTACCGACGACGTCGGCCGCGACCGCCACATCGGCCACAGCTCGCGTGCGCAGGGCAAGGACAAGCCCTCCAGCAGAGACCTCGCCACCACAGACCCCCCCCGCGGCCGCGACAAGCACGCCAGCAGCGGCACGCGCGGCGTTGGTGTTGGCGGAATCGCCGCCAAGGTCCGCAGTTCGACCATGCCCGCCGCAGAGAAAGCCGCGGGCTGGTGGAAGAACCCGGCCATCCAGGCCAGCGCGCGCACCGCGCTGACGGCCGGCGCCGCCGCGGCCATGAACAACCGCGGGGCCAAGGGCGAATGGATCGGCGCCAAGGGGGTCAAGGTCGGCTTCGCCGCCCTCAGCGCCGCGCTCGCGAGCGGTGGCCTGGACAGCGTCAAAAGGGATGACGGCGGGAGCGGCGGTGGGGGACGCGATCGGGACCGCGGCCGGAGCAGCAGCCGGGACCGTGGCCGAGGTCGTAGTGCCGAGCGCGGCAAAGACAAGAGCAGTGGCCGCAGCAAAAGTGAGGGCCTAGGTGGTGGCGATTACAAGCAGAAGATTATGCAGACGGGCCTGGACTATTTCATGAAGAAGGCAGCCGCGGGGCGATAGGTATGCGTGCGGACTATAATGATGACCATGATGACGACCAAAAATGAATTTGCGATTTACGACGACGGACATGAATTTTAAGACGGACAGGGATTATAGCATGTATGAGGTTTAAGGGCATCTATCTGACTCACAGCACAAATATTTGACTCGGGTTTACCAGTCTAGTAGACAAATCTCCTAATTGATAGAATGCATTTGAACATCCTTTGGGCAAATAATGTAGACCGCTCAAACTATGCTATAGATGCCTAAGTGGTGATACATCAATCAACTCATTCCACATAGATGACACCTACTCAAATCACCGTTCATTCTGACAAACATTGTCTATGCCTCGCCTCAATCCGTACACTACTTGCACCAGCGTACTACAACCCACGTCGCCGACTGTCATCCTCTTCCATCAATCTCCCGCAGCCATTCAGACGCCATTCCACGGCCTGCACAGATTCGCCGCGCAGTACCCATTGCAGCACAGCCGCGGCCCGCGGCCATCCGCGCCATTACACGTGCCGTAGTTGGCCACGCACACTCCCGCGCACCGGATGCCTGCCACCGGCGTTGGCGGCTCGATGCGCACCTGCCCCGTACGTCCGTCCTCGCCAATGACGAAGACGTGCTCCGGCGCCGCCGCGGGCTGCGCAAAGACGAGGTCGCAGAGCGCGGCGGCGTTGTAGTCGGGCGCGGCGATGCGCGCGACGGGGAGGTTGGGCGGCGTGGCGTACGTGCGGTTGTCGGCCACGACGGCGAGCTGGTACAGCGCGGCGGCGGAGCGGTCGAGAAAAGTGAGGTGTGCGGTCTGCGGTGGCGAGGGGGCGGCCGTGAGGGCCGAGGCGGCGAGGGTGGTGAATCTCATTGTACTGGACTTTCTCCTATTCTTTGAGGGAATGAGGATAGAGGTTTGGCGACGGAGGCCTTGTGGATGCAGTGTGTCAGTGGCTTGAAAATGGTGGCAAAGGATGCTTGATAGTCATCGCCGGATCGGCAGGGCTGTTGTTATATGGGCGACTCGTGCAGCCATGATGACAATGTGGCACTACACGACCCTAGCAGCGTAGCAAACACCGGTCCGGTACGAAGCGGCGTCATTCCTCACTGGGAGCAGAATCGGCGCCCGTCACAGTCCATCGCTCCGGCCGAGAGTCGAAAACTCGCCCCCCCCCCACGGCAGCGCAAGTGCCGGGACGTCGCACCAATGACTTCACTGGGGTCACATTCGGAGAACTAAAAGCCAACCGACCTGAGAGGCAGACCGCCAAGAGCTTGGGTAGCGACCATGACGGCAATGTAAATTTTTCGAAGTCGCCAACCCTGTTTTCCTGTTTTCTCGGTTGGTTCTTCCCCTGTGGTTATTGATCCGGCGCGTTTGGATGCTCGGAGCAGTTGCTATAGACTTGGCAGTGAGAAGCAGATCAGTGTCGCAGCTTTTATAGGCGGCTGTAGCTGTCAAGCGGATGAAGTAAACTGGCAAGCTGGATTCACATCGTGAGCGCGTTCAGTCGTCCCGGGCCAAGCCACGCGTTCTTTGAAGAAAGCAGGGAATAAGGAACGAATAAGTCGCATCGCGATTCAACGCGCGGTGCTGAACGAGTGGCGGGGAAGGTTCAGTGACTGAGTCCGACGATCGTGTAGCCATAGCTGCCTTGTGTCCAGCGTCGTATTCAGCTAGTCAGCCGTTGTCCGCCAATAAACGACATCTGGTGCGCTGCCGCACTTCCACAAGCGTGATTGATACCATCAGAATGGGTGGTACGCCCGTGGCTGTATATGACCGGCCCTGCATCTCGAGGCATCCTCCCGGCTCCTCTGTCGCCATCGGTTAGCAGCATGGCGTCACGCACCACCATTGCCTGAACAAAAGGGATGTAAGACTGTTTAAAGGCTTCTAGGACCTGGTAATATACACACGCTCTGTTCCCAACGCGAAAAAAAAATGACAGGTTCGTCAAAATGGGCTTCCTCCTTTCATCCTTACTCTCTGGTCCATACCCCCCGCCTAGTTTTTCGCAGCAGCCAGCTCCCGCTCCGCTTGCTGGTAGTACTTGGCCGTGTCGACGCCATGCTGGCTGTGGTTGACAAAGTTGAACCACGGCACCGTGGCCATGAAGAGGGCCGAGTAGCGGCTCTGGCGGGCCGCGACGCCCTGCAGGTACGGGCTCAACGTGGTCTCGCCGTACAGCGGCTCGCCAGCCTTGACCTTGTCGACCATTTCGCGCATGTCCATCTCAATCTCGCGCGCGTTCTCGGTAGCGCCGTAGAATCGGACTGTTTCCGGGTAAGTTAGCTCCTCGTCGCTTGTAGGGATGTCGAAAATACGGGGAAATTCGAGTCGTCACGTACGGGCGGAGCGCTGGTAAAAGTAGAGGAAACCACCGGCGAGACCGACAAAGCCGGCTAAGCGCATGGCCTTGGCGAAACCGCCGCGACCGACGTGTGAAGGAGCAAACTTCTCCATTGTGTAGAGCGCAGCCGGGGCAAAGGCAGCGGCCAGACCACCGGCGATATAATCCTCCCTGCGCGCATATCCAACGACGCGCTTAAAGTGACTATGAAACAAAGAAGGAGTCAGCAAACCCAATTGATTCCCAACAGCAATTGCCTTTCGAGCTATAGGTCGTCTTCGTCGGCATCGGGTATCGGAAGCACATACGGGTCGTTGTCGATGAGCTATGTGACGGGGTCAGCAGTTTCGTCAATTGGCGGCAACTAGATTCCGGCAACGTACCGGATAGTCCGTCTGGACAATCTTGCTCGTCCCGACGTAGGACGCAGGCGCCTGCTTGGTCGTAGTCTCCGACATTGTGTGTGATGCTGCCCAAGACTTTCTCGCGGATTATCCAGCAGCCAATGAATGCATGCTTGAAGCTCAGCAAATGTTGTGCCTCAGGAACTAAATCACGTGAGTCTTCATCGAGGCTTGCACGTGACCCATTTCGTGTAAATGGGCAGCCCCACCATCGCGTCTCCTAACGCGTACCATCGTGTAAGTCGTCACTAAAGTTGGCTCTGCGAGGCGAGGATCTTCTTGGCCCTGGTGAAAAAATGCCACCAGCGAAAAATTCAGCTGCCAAGGCGGCGAGAACGAATCGCCATGATGACTTGGACAATTACCATGTTGGGGACCTCTCCGACGACCCGTTTGCGACGCCCAGCCCGCCGTCCAAGAACAAGCGCAAAACCGATGATGCCGGGCTAGGTATCGACGAGGAGGTGGACGTGCAAAGAAAACCCAGAGCGCCGGCTGTGAAACTTGACGAGAACAGGTGTGCATATATCTGGACAAAGTGTTACCATATTCGGCCCCTTTGCTGACAGGAACGTACCAACCAGGCTTTTGAGTGAAGCCGGCCTCCCAAGACTACGGAAACGGTCCAATCGACTTAAGATCAAGGGCAAAGGCCACGAGGTAGGCAGCGAGGCGCTTTCCTGGATAGACAGTGTCTAACGTGTTTGCAACCAGTTCTCCGACATGGCGCGCCTTCTTTCCTTCTACCAGCTCTGGCTGGACGACCTCTACCCCAAAGCCCGGTTCCTCGATGCCCTCGCCATGGTGGAAAAAGCGGGACACAGCAAGCGCATGATGACTGCGCGCAACGAATGGCTCCAGGAGAGCAAGCCCAAATCCAGTGAAGACATGGAAGAAGACGATCCGTTTGCCCTCGAGCCTGCTCCCGACACGACCGCCGCCGTCAGCCTGCCCGAGCGCCCGACCGCCGGCCGGCTGATCCAGGACCTCGGAGGAGGCGGCCAGCGACCCAGCACGCCGACGCGCGGCGGCGGCCACCCCGACGATTTTTCCGAAGACGACGACCTGTACAACGTGACGCCGCGCGCGCGACCGCGGCCCGGCGGCCTCACGATGCTGCAGCCGGACGCACCCGACGACGACGATCTGGATGCGCTCATGGCCGAGGCCGAGGAGCACGATGACAGACCGCCGGCGCCGGCCAGGAAGGCCGCGCAGCGACCGCAGGAGGATGGCGATGACTTGGACGACTTGATTGCAGAGGCGGAGGAGCAGGACGTGCGGCCAAAGAGTATTTTTGGGAACCCGAGCGCGAGCAAGCCGGTGGAGATGGACTGGGATGACGACGAGGCGGCGATGCGAGAGATGGAGGGATTTTGATTTGGCTCTGAATATTGCAATGGCGCCGGGGAGTTTTTTTTAGACTAACAGGGATAGTATATACCAAGCTTGGACAGTGATGATGATTACTTTTGGCATTTTCACCTTGTCTTTGTCCCTGTGGGCTGGTAGCACACCATCCACTCATCTTGTGAATTGCTGTCTATGTATCGTCTATGCATTGTGTGTCATTTTATTTTGTCTTGTTTTCGTTCGTCATATGGGCGTTTATATTTTGGGCTTGGCTGGTACATCGAGCCAAAACGCGTCACTCTCCGCATACACGGCACCGTTGCCGTCCTCAATGACAGCCTGCAGCCAGGCTTTGCGGCCCGTAGTCCGGCGCTGCAGCCAGGTGCGGCACACGTAGATACCCGGGGTGACGAGGGCCTTTTTGTAGCGAATGTTGAGCTCGAGCGTAAAGGTGCTGTCGCCCTCGGTGCTGAACATGCTGCAGACGGTGCCCATGGAGACGTCGAGGATGGTGGCCGTGACGCCGCCGTGCGCGACGTCGACGTGGCCGTTGACGCCGCTGCCGAGCGCAAACAGGCACAGCAGCTCCCCCGCCAGCGGGCCCTCAGGGGACGTGACGCCGGCGGCGGGGGGGAGCGGCCGGTACAGGGTGTGCCACGCGCGGATGGTGTCCGGGTTGTTCATGACGCCGGAGAGGTATGAGTCCTCGTTGGTGCGGGCGCGGTCGCGCGTGCGCCAGCCCACCTGGATGGGCTGCTGCAGGCTCGAGTCGATGAGCAGCTGCCGGCACCATAGTGGTGAGGTGCGGGAGCCGAAGACGGCTTTGGCATCGTCGGAGATGGGGGCTAGGGTTATGGTCGGGGTCCTCAGAAATACCATCGTTGGGACTGTGGTTCAGGTCTCGAGCCAATTGAGAGTATTTTAGGCGTATTCTAGCGAGAGAGAAGGGTGGACGTGGAATGACATCTGAAGATCTAGCCGAGGAGGACGATCTAGATGTACCTAGGTACCTTTCCGGAGGTTCAGGAACAGGCAAGTTGGATGAGTCAGCGACCCTGGGTAGATTGTACTTTTTGGTGCGACCCCTTTCTTTGTTACTTGCACGATTCGAGTTTTAGACGACTCCATGTTGTCATCATGTTCTTGTGCATGTGAGTATCAAAGAAACACGGGCGTCATTGAACAAAGAGCTAGCTAAAGATCCCCCCCGTGGTGACGGGTCATGAAACGCTGTATAGCAATAAGTCCTGACCTGGGGGTAACATGCCAATCCTGTCCCGCGATACATAACACTGACCGGATTGATAATCGCTTGACATCCTCACAATAGGTTTGCCATTATGTGTGATCCATCGCTCGTAGAAGTAAGTGTCCATCGGGGCGCTCGCTCCAGGCATGGGGCCGCGGTACCCGACTTTAACCTCCTCTATTCCCGCGCCTTGGTACTGGACTCCATCCAGTGTCCTCTGCAACGCGAGCCACCCGTTTTCAGGCCGCGGGATTTTGACGACACCAAGACAGGTCTGGAGGTGTAACCGGTCTGCGGTAAATTCGGTGACCTTCACTGTGGCGTCGATGTCTAGCGGCCCGGACATTGCGCCGTCGTCAAGATTCAGGATTTTTAGGGCGCGCATTCTCATATGATAGGTTATAATCGCCAAGTGCGTCGCGTCTGATGAGACAGCCATTCGGTCGTCATAACGCAACTGAGTCCCCAAGTTGAGAGTTTGGAGCCGCGTGCCGCTAACATCCCAAATATTGAATACGCCGCCGGGTGACACTGACAGTAGCCTCTTGTCGTTGGCAAACATGACATCCGTTACTTCATACTCGTGCTGCAATGTTTGCAGCAATTCTCGCGTGGTTGACTTCCATATCTTGATAGTCCTGTCGCAGGCGCTCGACGCGACTAGGCTCGAATCCGGTGAGAATCGTACGGCGGTAATGTATGATTGATGTCTTTCTCTTGTTTCTTTCCACCCTGGCTCCGATAGATCCAGTATGCGGACAACACTGCGCTCAGTTTCAATCTCCTCATCTTCGGCCTTGCCCTCTACTGCATATCCTGCTGCAAGGAAGCGATTGTCTGAAGAGAGGGCGAACACCTTGACAAACAATTCCGGGTGACAACTCGTCAAGTCCAGTACGCGTTTGCCGTCTTCCATGCTCCATATTGTAGTCTTTCCATTTCCAACACCAGAACTCACGAAGAAGTTGTACGGTAAATAGGCGTGCGAGGTTGTGGCATCATAGGAGCCGGAAGTCGAGCCGGCCTCATCTTGTTTCACCGCAGCTTGTCCTGACCACTGGGCTGAATCCACCTTCCAAAGCTTTACTGCCCCTTCCCACGACGCAGAGGCTAAAGTCATATTTCGGGATACGGCAATGGAAGAAACCCTGTCGCCGTGGCCAGTAAGTGTCTGCAGGCACTCCCCTGTCGCTACGCGCCAGATTTTGAGTGTGAAATCCGCACAGCAAGTCACAGCTATGTCGAGGCCATGTAGGAATTGCACTCTACTCCGAGGTTCTATATCTGTGGTCACTGAGAAAGGAATCTCCTCTGTTTCCCATTTCCAACTGTGAATGCCATTTCTAGTCGTCCAAGCGACTAGACTTGAGTCGTGCGAAAACGCCAGCGGCGAGATGATACCTCTAGCCCAGTACTTCTTGATCGGCATCTTGCTTTGGCAAGAGAAGATATAGATGCCATTCGATAAACCTCTCTCGCAGTCGGCCGCAATCAAAGTTCCATCGTGCGAATATACAGCAGACGCCACAGGGGCATCATGCTTATATGTGTCCAGACACTTCCCTTGGTCTATATCCCATTCCTTGAGGGTTTCGTCCTTAGAACCAGATAACACACATTTCGAGTCGGGCGAAAAGTGAATAGTGGTCGCCCGCAGTCTGTGGCCATCGAAGATGCGGATGCACCGGCCAGTTTTCGATGACCAGAGCGCTACCGTATCTCCAGCCGTTGCCACGAACATTGTGTCGGGAGAGATTGCAATATCGATTGCGTTTCCCGCCCCGTGGTAGAATGTGCATAGAGGAGTACTATTTCGCACGTCAAAGACTCGGACAGCACCGCCGGAACTTGTGGCAAGAAGAGTTGAGCAGGGGGTCAGGGCCACGCGCCTACTACCACAGTGCTCGTATTCTAGCGTCTGCAGGCAGGAATTCCATTCTCGGTGAGGATTTCGAATAATCGATATCTCCTTTGGTTTCTCACTCCAAAAAATCTTTGCAATTTTGCTATTTGAGGGGCTAAACGTAAGCGCGGAGCTGTAGACTTGCAGAGGGTAACGTTCGATGGTTGGGTGGTGGTACATAATGAATCGATATGCGTCTGTGACCAGGCTCTTGAAATCATTGTCATGTCTTTCAGTTTTGGTGTTGCTGACGGTTGAGGAATCCTGGAAACACTATTGGTAAAACTAACACAACAAATTTGAAGTCCTAGGACACGTACCTCAAGATGACCATGTAGTTGAGCCATCATAGCAATGCCCTTGCCCAGGTTATTGCAGAGACTAATGGCTTCTATCCAGTATAAAAAGGCCGTCGTTAGAAACCGCTGCAGTGGACCTTCGGCACTTGCCACTCGATTGTACAGCGTGGAGTTTGCCGCTCTCAGCTCGTTGAGGTGGTCCCCCCAGTAGAGGCAAGAGTACCTGAGGGGAGCTAAAGTATCTGGAATTGGCGGCTGTACCGTATCAGCCCGGCTGTCTGGTGCCTTGAGGCAATACATGTCTCTCTTGAGATCAGTAGACATGACATGGAGTGCCCTGGATACCATTGTGTAATGTGGGTTGACGCCATCCACGGACCATTCGGTCTCATGTTCGGTCAGATATTCCTTAGCCGAGTAGTGAACAAAGTAAACAAAGCCCTGCTGTATGGAGAGAAAGGACCCGCAACGTCTCACAACGTCCCGGATTTGCTCAGGCTGGTCGGCTATATCCTGAAGCTCTTCAACGGAGGTGATGAGCTCAAGCAGAGACAGCGGACGACATGCCACCATTGCGTTTTTTAGGACTCGCGCGTAGATGAGTCCCTTATCCCCGGAGTCACGAATGTGTTTCGTCATACGTTGGTAGATGGCTCTGAGGCCGTGGGGCAGGTTCTCCAGCGTCTGCTTATTCACATTCCACGCCGGCTCCCTCTTGAGAACTTCGCACACCAAGGAGACCCAGAGAAAAGTGTTACCTGCATTCTCTGATAGATGATGCAGGACAGCCTCTTTGGTGGAAGGATGATATGCCATTTCTTCTGCCAGCTGATCCGCCTTGATCCTGGTAAAGAGTGCTACCGCCTCAGAAATAGCGTTCGAGCTGTCCTCGAGGGACAGTGTGCCCTTGCAGGCGACCTTGCGCAGCGACAACTCAATCTCAGGCCAAGGCCGACTGGTGAGGACCCATGTAACCTGGGGTGCCTCATCATGCCCAAGGTTGACAAGTCTCATCAGCTCGTCCAGACTTGTGATGCACTCATCGAGAGCATCGATCAGCAGATATACGCATCCGAGGGCAGGGTCCCGGATCATGTTGAGGAATATTTCCTGTACCACAATCCATGCATTGTGGTTCTTGAACAAACTGCTGTCATGGCCGTTATACCGGGCTTCAACATGCTTCATCAAAAATGGCCGCTTGCTGATCAGTGAGTAGATCAGCCCCCGAAGCACCGCAACGGCACTGTTCAGGGAGTCATTTGAGGCCTGGCAGAAAAAGTACGAGACAGTGGCGCTGTCCTGGGTGGCCTCGAGTTCGTTGATCACTCCGCACAGCATCATGGTTTTGCCCTTTCCCGCATCCCCATTGATCCATAGGAGCCGGTAATCAGGATTGTCTTTCCAAGCCAGAAACTCGGTGCTCTGGAGAATCCATGCATATGCTTCATCGAGCAATCCACCTTCGGTTTCTTCGATGCGTTTCTTGTCATCAGCCGAGTCGCTAGCAAAGAGGTCCTTCTTTAGTCGGTTACGCTTTTTGAGTTCATCGGCTGCCTTCTTCTGCGCTTGTTGCTCGTGATACGCCGTGGTCTGCTTCTCGACGGCAGCGGCAAGGTCATCCAGCTTCGCATTATGCGTCTCAGACCAGTCAAAGAGCCTTCCGAGATCCTTCCTTATCTTTCCCGTGTTGTATTGCAAAGACCTTGCCTCAAGTACTCTTTCGGCGTCCTTGATATCTGACAATTCCGTCTTCCATCCGTCCAGCTTGAACAGGCTTCGGGTGATCTGAATAAAGCGATTGCGGTGATGGTAGCAGACCGTCTTCATCTCATAAAGTAGCAGTATAGTATATAGCTCCGTGATGCTCTCCTTCATCTGCATAGCAGGTCCAGCAGAATCAGACCATGTATCTTGGATGTTCTCGTGGAAAAGGAGGCTCGGCATGTTCCAATAATACTCCATGCGGGACACCACATACGCTATACCGCTGCGACTGGCGCTCACTTCCTCGATAGGGTTCAAGAAAAGCTGCAAGACAACGCAGACACCGACCCAGGCCAACGCAGCTTGAGGCGAGGCCTGAATTGCTTTATCAACGACTTCTTTGAACATAGAAACAATTTCCGCCGCGGTTTCGACCCCTTTCTGGAACTTTGCCTTCCGTTCTGCCCGCTTCATACCATCTTTGAGAAGCCCTTGCATTTTCTGTCGCCTCTTCATAGGATCAGCGGGGATGACATTCTGATGCAGGGAGAGATCTTGGAGTTGGTAGGGGTCGTCGGCCATCGGAGCCGAGAAATCTTGTCCTGCATCCTTCTCAAGCTGAGCAGAGAGAAGCTGCTGGGCTGACAGAATCGTCTCGTAGGCCTCGACGAGTTTTCCCTCTCTTCTCTTCGCTTCGTTATATGCAGCATCCCACAATTCGGCAGCCAAGTCGGAAACTGGAACTGACGAAGGAGCTGCAGAAATTCCAATATCTCTGGCCAACGACTCAACAGCTGCCGGTTTTTTCCAGAATTTGGCTCGTATACCGCAGAAAAGCGTCATGGCTTCAGTACATAAGCGTTGAGGGTTCGATTGTTGTTCAAGTCAACAACCTGAGATGAGGAGTTGGTGCCCGACATGTTCGCCATGTTCGCCCCAGCCTGATCATGGGCGCGTACGTGCAGGAAGCCCACCTCGTGTGGCGTCCACAGGACGGTGCAACGCTGCTCTCGAGTCTTGAGGGGCGGCGTTTATCAGGGTTTGTCTTGTCTACACCGCCGCTGTATTGACAGGGTGCGGGATAGCCACGCGGCCCACATACCTAGCTAGCTGGCCAATAAAAGGTGTAGAGTAATATGCTTTACTTAGATATATGTAGGTATGCACTAAACGTATAAAAACTTACGAATATTGATTAACTTTTCTTATAAAAAATAAGTCTTTATTCTCTTATTAGAAAGGGGGGATTTTTTTTTTAATTATATGTGTATATATGTAGATTATGAAAAAGTTTAAATAACGATTTCAATAAAATAAAGCGATTTGTCATAGAACCTCGTTAAGAATAAAGCCTTAATTACAACTCAATGTTGAGTAATACTGCTGAAGAATCCGGGACATGCACTGTCACCAGGCCCCCACGCACCGTGAGCGTCTCGCCCGTTGTCACGTTGCGCTGTCGGACCGGCCTGCCATTGTCCAGCTCGAAGTTGTAGCTCCAGCCGTCGAAAGTGATTCCCGTGATGGCGTCGCTGCCGTTGGCCAAGAGGCGCTGCACACCGACCGGGCCAGGCAGGTCGGTGCCGACTCGAAACGCGTAGGACCGGTGCTGGCGCGGCGGCGGCGCGGGGAGCGGGTGGATGCCGGCGCCATCCTGAGTGGTGTTGTAGCCGCGCATGTTGATGGCGAGGAGGCGGCGCAGGCGGCCGCCCTCGTAAACTGCGTACGCCGCCTCAGTGTCGGACGCGAGGGGAAGCGAGGCGACGGTGACGTCGCCGCGCGTGAGGTTGCCCAGGGCGGCGGCGGCGGCCATGTTGCCGTAGTACGGCGCCTTGGTGCCCTTGACGGCCTTGGCGGTTTCGACGGGCTGCCAGCTTTGGTACTGCGTACATTGTCAGCAAATACAGGATTGACATTTTTGATAGGATGGATCGAACACGGTAGTTAGTGCCTTGATGCATGTGCACGCGCTGGTAGCCCGCCGAGGCAGAGTACATGTTAAAGTCGAGGCCCCAGAGCGCGGCGCCAAACGAGTTCGACAGCCCGGGCTTGCCCTGAAAATACAACGAGTTGGTCTCGCCAAAGACGAGGGGCGCCGTGCCATGACCCGTCGCCATTATCTTGTCATACTGGCGAACCTGCTCGTCCACATCGCGCGTGGTGCGGGTATGGTTCATGAGTGTGCTCTGCAGCGTCACGCCCGGCGAAGTCGCTCCGTCAATGTAGCTGCCAGCAAGTTAGCCAAGACGGTGAGAGCATGGGCAGTGGCAATGCTCCTACTTGTGCACGGAATAAGTGTTGATGATGTTGCCCTGATCCATGCCTAAGTTCCAGACATCTAGCGCCTTGAGTGACGATACCCGGTCGTCATACGACGGCGCCATGAACTCGAGATATTCGGGCTCCAACTCGGGGCAGTGCGCCAGCATCTGCCGGCGAATCTCGGCCGTGCCATTCAGCCACTCAGCAACGTAGTCTTTAGGGCCCCAACTCGTGGTGCGCGGCGCATACTTGCCGCCGAGGTTAAAGTTGTTGGGCTCGTTTCCGTACTCGTACGCGTAAAAGCGGTCGCGGCCGAGCGCGCGGCAGGCCAGCGGCGCCGTGTCGACGAGCGCCTGCCACCCGTCCGCCGAAATGGCGCCCTTGGCGAGGTTGAAGCCGTGCGAGAAGCGGACGCCAGGCAGCGTCTGGTATGATTCGAAAAAGGAGGGCCCAAGGACGATGGTGGTTGGATAGTCGTTGGAGCGCGCGGGGTCGTAGGTGCCGTGGATCTGCACGGGCAGGGATGCGTTGAAGAGGGCGTAGTCTTGGGTGTTGCCGCCGACGCGTATGTAGGGCTTGCTGCCGAGTATGTCGCCAATGTTGGTCAGGAGGTTGTTGGTAAAGGTGTTGGGGTTGGAGAGGTTGCCTGCGTAACGAGTTGTGGTGGTGAGTATGGTGGGGTGGGTGGTGGATGAGACGAACCGGCGAAGTCGGGGAACGATGACAGTTCAATGGAGTAGCTGAGGAAGGACTGGCCCGGAACTGAATAAGCATTCGAAACGGCAATTTCAACGTTGATAGGCTGGGTTGCAGCAGCTGCGCTGGCAGCGAGAACCATCTGTTTGCGCATGGTCTGATGTGATCGTTTCCGCAGGATGAGAATTCCCAGGACAGCTATCAGGGAGCCGGCTCATTATATGATACAGAAGCTCAATAGCCTATGCGCTTTTCTCGTATTCTCAATTGCCGCAAAATGCAATCAGCATGCAATAAATCTGGTAGAAACAGGTACGATTGGAGGATGACTAGGCAGCCATGAGGTGGCTGCACCACGGCAATGCACTTACCTGGTGCTCAATAGAGACATGGAGGGATTCCCCGCCTCAGATCGGCATCAACATCGCCAAAAACATCCCGTCTAGTGATATGTATGGAGACCAGATACGTGCTGGATGGCGATGTGATACAACGTTGCAAGAGTGAAAAGGACTAGATGCACCGACCAGGGAAAATACCCGCCGGTCGGAGGCGCGCCATAAACACAGCCGACGGCTGTTTTCGACGTCACTGTTTCCAACAATGCACGAGTTTTCAAGAGAGCCTGGGTTTCTTTTTTATGATTGAGCATTGAAGGGGTTATTTTTTCTTAACTCACACTTGCCATGCAAATCCATGCAAATATTAGCACTGTTGGCCATCCAGCTTGACAGGGCGCAGGCCGTGTGACTCTTGGCTTGAACTAGTACTGGGTACTGGAATTTCAACGACAACACGAGTCCGGACATTTTTTTCAAACTCGGATAGGAATTAATCGAAGCAAAAATCACCAATGTCCTCGAAAGAACAAAAAGACTTACCTAGTGCCCGATGGCAATCGTTTGACGGCTGGGACTATAACGGCATGAAGGAGCGTCTGGAGGATGCTCTAGAAATCATCAACAAGGTCGCGCTCATCAGTCACGCTGAACATGTCGTGGGTCGCAAATTTGGCATGAGTGAACCATTCTCGGCAGGTCAGTACTGGATATGCTTCGAGTTGGTTGCTGAAGATGGCTCTCTGGTCATTGCGAGGGTCCGTTTACCCCGCCATCCCGAAGTGTCGCTTACAGCAACGGACAACGACTTGGAGTACGCGATAGAATGCGAGATTGCGACTATGCGATACGTCCGCAGCAAGCTACCCAACGTCACCATACCACGCATATACGCCTACGAGCCTGCGGGCTCTCCTCGTGCCTCAGCTGTAGGTGCCGCGTATATGCTCATCGAGGGATTCAGGGGAAACATGCTGCTGGATATGGAGTATGACATGACGCGATTACCTGTAAGTTTGGACTCGGTCTCCTCTGGTCCAATATGCTAAGGCGAGATCAGCCCAGTGTGCAACAGCAAATCATGACGCAGTGGACTAGAGTGCAAGCCGAGCTCGCAACCATTACTCTGCCTCAGATTGGCTCCATTTCATCTTTGTCGCCGACCGGAGAGCCTATTATCGGCCGGATAGCCTCAGCTGCGGCCGAAGGATTCTGGAATAGCGGACCATTCAACACCTCTGCCGAATACTTCGCAGCAGCCGGCCAGGCGGCCGTGGACCGATTCAACTCAACGGGCGGCAGCGGCAGCGCAGATGGACACTGGGCAGCCATTGGCGCGCTTGTGTTTTGCGACATTGTGGCCAAAACCGACCTGTTCCAGGACGTGGGTGCACAGGGTTCGTTTCCGCTCAACCACATGGATCTTGGCACGCAAAATATCCTCGTCGACGACGCGTTTCGCTTCCTGGCCACGATCGACTGGGAGTTTGCGCAGACGGCCCCCTGGCAGGTAAACCACTATCCGATGCCGTTTCCGCCACTCTGCTCGCAACGGCAGACAGACGCCATCCTCGCCGACCCGGGACACCTTGCGCACGCAAACGTCACGAGGCAGGAAGCGGCGCGGCGCATGTACCAGGCCGCCTTTCGGGTTGCTGAGGAGGAGCTGAGGGAGCAAGGCCGGCCGACAGCTGCGTCGTTTGCCGAGGTACTCGACTGTACGGCCTCACGCATCTATGTGTGCTTTACACAATTGGGTCGCATGCCAGAGGCGGATGAGGAGCTTGTGCAGAGAATGGCGCGACTAGCTTTTGGTTGGGATGATGCCAAGATCAAGTCTTACATTACTAGTGTAAACCTACAATGAGTTAGGCCTTATACCCTCTACAATGAGAGGGTTATATTCCTGAACAAAAGTTAGTATGGAAACTTGTATTTTCGTGCAATACACAATTAATCTCTCGACGACTCTCGACGAGACGTTTCGATGTTGACGTTTTGTATGACGCCGACATGCGGCATTGTATAGGTCAGCCTGATAGTTGTACAAGCCCTCTCCTTTGCAGCGTGCTACTGGGCTATGATGTAATACGTGGATTACTCCATCTCCAAGCTGTGTAAGTCAGAATGAAACTGAGGTGGATCGGAGGCTGGCAGATGGTCAGGGACAGGATTCTCTTAACAAGCCACCACAAGGTGTAGACATCTCTCGCCTGGGCTGTTTTTCATTGGAAGCTAGAAGCGCAAAAATCATGTATGAAAACAAGCATAACCAAAAAAAACCACCAACGGGAAGAGGCAGCTATACACCGTGGCTGTACACCCTTTCTTGAGATGAGTTGCCCCTCGCCTCGTCACAGCTCCCATGGTATGCAAGTGGAACTCCATTCAGCTTGCTACTGCTATTATGGACTTTCTCGGGAGAAGAAAAGCCTAGCTTCGTGGCTCAGGAGACTTGATACGCGCCGTCTGTGCCCTAGGCGTCCCGGTGGCTCTCTGATTCGCCATGGCCGGCAAGTCCGGCTCCTGGCCGCTCCACCAGGACCAAGATGGACGCGCCGTACCTCATTGCTGGTGCAAGGATGTCGCGGCCCTGCACCCGGCTAAATCGGCATCGGGAGGCGGAGGGCCGCCGGGGTCCCCGCCTGCACAGCCATGATGCCTCGTCGCGCAACTCTTAAAGTATTGTTCCTTTTCGTTCTGAGCGAATTGACAGGCCCTCCCGCCGTTTGCGGCTCAGCTCGACAGCTCTCATACGTACTGGTACACGTATTACAACGCACACGCCCTCCCCAGCTTTCTATTCCTGACGGTTTGGTCGTTGCGTAGTGAGGATGCGGGACCCTGGCAGAGCTGGATCAGACTCTGACGTATACGGCTATTGGCTTCGAGGGTAGAGTGAGGGGTAGTAATAGTACAAAGAGCAGTCAGTCATGCAGAGTCTTCGTACGAGGGGTGTCCTAGATGAAGTCATAAATAAAAGGGTACCCCTACTCGTCCTCTTTCTTTTCCCTTTATCTCCTCTCCTTCAGTCAATTGACACCTCATCCCAATATTCCAGTCAATTGACACCTCATCCCAATATTCCTTCCAACGCTCTCTTATAAAAATACATCCACAATGTTCGGTTTCGGTATGCGACCATAAATGCTTGACTCGACGCACCAGTCGCTCTTCCAACAGAGATACAGCAGCACCTCGTCAACGCGGTAGAGGCTAACATTCTTGTAGACGAGGCCAAGGAAAACTATGACCAGCTCCAGAGCGGCAATCACGAGGCCAAGTTCTCTCACGAGCTCCTAGCCGGCGGCGCCTCTTTTGCCGCCTTCAAAGCCTTTGAGAACAACCAACGAAGCAACGGTACGATTCTTTTTTTAAAAAAAATTACCCCCTTCTCTCTCTTGCCGACTGTGAAGCTGACACATAGTTCCGCATCAGGCGAGCCCGTCACGCACGGGGTAGCCAAGGCAATCCTCGCCGGTCTCGTGGGCGCCGAGGTCGACCGCTTGGCGGAGACCAAGGGCGCCAACTGGATCGACAAGGAGCGCGCGACGCGCGACGCCCAGAAGCGTACCGAGGACCTGTACGACTCTCACTACGGCAAGCAGGACGACTGGCGCAAGACGCACGACCCGCCGGAGCACTTCCCCAACCGCAACGAGAACCGCAACGACGACCGCTACGACGACCGCAATGAGAGACGCAACGACGACGGTTACGACAACCGCAATGAGAGACGCAACGACGACGGTTACGACAACCGCAATGAGAACCGCAATGAGAACCGCTACGACGACCGCAATGAGAACCGCAATGAGAACCGCTACGACGACCGCAACGACAACCGGGACTACTAGTCAGCAGCGGATTGTTGCCAAGATGGAGCTGGGTGCATGGTTGTGACATTGGTGCCGTAGCTTCAGTGTCGAGAAACGTACATCAATAAAGTAAAATTAACGTGCTCCATCATAAGTGAACGAGAAGCCGTGTTACTCGCGTACCAAGTGGAGGTAAAGCGCAAGAAAAAAGATGAAGAAGAAAGTGAAAAGAAGTAGAATCAACCTACTATTATGGAATAAGGAACGTAAAATTCTATTGCTCAGTTACCAGTTAGACCGTCGTAGTATGCGCCATTTTCGCGTGGAGCCTCATCAGCATCCATGTATCAAGAGCATGTCTGGGTTGACAATGCCGGGGTCAATAGGTATTACCAGGTAAGAAAACTTTATTACATTCACATTGACGAGCATCGTTGGAAGTTGATAGAGAAATCAGTACGCTTGAGCGTACTGTACAGTACAATTCGTGTGTATCCTTATAAAACTGCCTCGCCAATAGTTCGAGGTTCTAAATTCCCAATTGCGCCATTATCCCCGCCTGCCATAGAAATGTTACACAACAAAATTTGAAAGTTTTAAGACAAGTGATACCTTTTGGCAACACCACCTGTTCGTCGTCTCGGCTGCTTCCTAGCCGCCACCTTGGGTATATATGTTTGGGTTGGTTCCTCTTGGGAGGCAGACTCCAGTTCGTCAACTGTCGTACTGCCGTCCTTGTGCTTGATCCGTCGGGATTCCTTCTTGAGAGTCCACAGTAATGTCAACAAGACTTCCTTGGACGGCAAATCCGCGCCACGTAAACACCTAGTCAGTTCACAATCTTGGTCGCGCGTACCAGAGGATTCGCGCTTTAAGTTCCCGATCTGATTGTCGCCTCTCTCGGATACCAACCGCAATGCCACCATCGTCGCATCCATCAAGGGACGCGCCAGACTGGGGCTGCTGGCAAGAATCTTACGAAGAGATTTGAGTCTCAAAGTCGTGGACCTTGAAGTCGAGACCGTGGTCCGCAGTGGCAAAGTTGCTCGCTGCCATAATGTCAGAGGCGTCATGGTTTGCTTCGTCGTTGAGATATTCGTTGATGTCGAAGAGCTCGAATGATTGATCCGCGAAGCTGGAGGAATAGTTACCAGCCATATAATCGTCGTCAAAAGTTGAGGATTCGGGAGAAGCGAGAAGCCCGCTTTCGAGGACATAGCGATCTGCGTGAGCGGCCGTTGACAGGCCGATATTATTGCTGATGCTGAAAGGAGCAGCATCCTGAGCTGTAGAGTCCAGACCAAAAGAGGCGACATCAGAGTCTTCGAGTTTGGGAATGACTGGGGCACCTCCGCCGACATGTGACACTGCAGGTCGGACAACATCGCAGCAGGATATTGTGTCAGGTCGGGAGAGGTGGTCTCAGTTTGTTCCAAAGATTTGGACTCGATGATGGCCTCCTTCTTGGGGCCAAGCTCGGGAGAGAGCGCTATGGGGTTGACAGTGGGGTTCGCCGCCATCAAAAATTCGTTGACGAGGTCGTCGGCGGATCTGGCGTCGGCGGTATGACCATCTTGGGAGCAGAAAAGCTCAGGTGATAGAGTAATTTGGTTGTCGCAGAGTGAGTCCAGCGACGATGGCGCGCGGGTGACAACACCAGAGTCGCGTTGGAGTCGGCCGAGTTGCTCGACGAGAATGAGGTTGGCCTTTTGGGCGCTGAGAAGCATCGCCTCGAGCTCCTCGTTGCGTTGTTCAAGCGCCTCTACCTCGAGTCTCTTGCGTTCGCGGGAGGACTGAGCGGCGCGGCGGTTTCGAAGAACTCGCTCGACGCGACGCTGCTCCTTTTCGTCGTCTGTCTTGGCTCGCTTCCTTGGCGGCAGGTTGGTTTTGGGCTCAGGAAGGACCTGACCCCAGGACTTGCGCTTCTTCGTAGATTTCTTCTCGTCGCCGGCGTCTTGTTCTTGGTCTTCGGGGACAGGTGATAGTCTATCCGACCTCTCGCCGGTATATGATTCGGGACTCATCATCTCCATCATGACGGAGTTGTGCTCGGGGCTGCACGAGTCGAAGAGGGATGTGTAGCTGTCGCAGGGGGCCGATAGTAAAGAGTCGGCCGGCGAGACTTGTTGTGATTGTTGAAGAGCCATGGTAATGATGATGTGATGCTGCGAATGTGGTACTGATATTCAGGTGTGGCGAGGTAAGCCGGCGCGAGATAGGGGCAGTGACCACTTTAGAAGGATACAGCAAAAGCCTGTGATTGACGGCAAACGCGGGGCAGAGAAGCAAGCTAAATGTAGAATATAGCCGCCCACTGGATGTGCATGTCAGGCAGTCGAAATAATGAGTGACTCAACCGAGGGCTAGACGAGCTGTGGCGGTGATGAGTCAGTGCTGAGAGTTTGCAGTGGGACGCGCGGAGGACAAGTGTTCAAAGCTTGATGCCTCTTGGGCGCCCCGTAAATTATAAACAAAAAGGCCTGTGAGGGACGGATGAAGAGGTGGACGAGGCAAATGGGAGGTGGATGCGTCGCCTCTTTATTGTTGAGGACACGGTGGTTGTTTCCAAGGGGTTGATGCCTTGCTGCCTGAGGCAGAAAGGGGCTTGGAGCCTGGTCTGCGCTTGCTGGACCCTCCTCCCTTGACTCCTGTGGACTCCTCCTTGACTCCCCTTGACTCCCCTTGACTCCCCTTGAACTCCTCTCAAGGACCTCCTCCAAAGCCTCCCGAAAGGTCGACGGCACCACTTTACGTTTGGCGCTACACACCATTTACGATGCCACCACACACACCCACAGCCTCAGCATGCATCCATGTTTGTCCACAAGCCTCCATCAAGCAACCTCGCGGCGGGGCCGTACCAGGCTTTCCAGCCTTGTCTTGGAACAAGTGCGTGACGGCGAGTCGACGGGTCCATGGCTGGCAAGCTTGTAATGCTCCAGCGCAGTCGATAGCATGAAATGGCCCCAGTGCTTCCCAAAGCTCCAAAGTCTGCTGCAACATGGCGATGGGGCGCCTAAATCCGCCTGCCTGAAAGAGACTGAACTGACCGAGTCGAAGAGCCTAGGCTGGCTTCACATAACTAGGCATTCCTTGGCCTTCCTCTCTTGGAAGGTAGCTTCACTTCTGGTCACCACTCGAGCATCAAGCAAAGCAGGTCCATTGCATGTAGCATTACACATGCGTACAAAGTAGTGCAGGCGCTTGATGAGTCCGGTATTAATAGCATCGAGCAAGCTTTGCCCAACCACGCACTGAAGTCATTGCTCAGCGCTTGGCAATCGGTCCTAGCGTCGTCCAAACTTTCTTCTGTGCGGCGGCGGCGAACGTCCCCTTGCGGTGGCCCGCCTTCAGCTTCAGACATGCTGCACAAAGCAAACTGGAGCAAAAGGGGCAGGGGTGAGGACCACTGTCCATGGCCGCTCCTCAAACGCTCAGCAAGACGACCACTCTGGTGCAGTATCGGAGATCTACTGCTCAGCTCGGTGCTTATTATTCGGCGTCTGAAATCAACAGATCAAGTAAACCGGGCATATTGCTGGTACTTGGAAGCATTATCGTTACGCCATTGCAAGCCAGCATCCTGCGCTGACTTGCACATCTCAGCCAGGCAGGACGCGGAGATCATACAGCCCCCAAATCGAAGGCTCGCCACCTCGCTAACAATCCTGAGCATCGACCAGCCTCGACTAGGGCTAGAAAGCCTTGGTCAGGCACAAAATGCATTTATGTCTTCAACACTTGAAGTAACTATTGCATCATGCAAAGCAACAAACAGTCCGTCTCGCCACAACCCAGCCAGTGGCCTGCGACCCACGCAAAATGAGTTCACCACTGACGGAGCGAAATTGCTAATAATAATTCACATTACGAGTGGCGCCAAAGACTATCAGTTTTCCGAGAATATATGTACATAGGTACTCGACAGAAAGGTTCTCTGGCGTGGGGTAATCTTGATAATGTGATCCACAGGAGGCAAAGGCACTTCGTACTGGTTCTACGAGATTCCATTTTAGGCTGCTGGTAATAGGATAGCAGTAAAGTAAGCCATACGAATTAGCCATCTTTGAAGGCCTATACTTCGTAGTCGTTTGCCACCCTCAGGCTAACAAATAAATATTCTAGTTGCGGATTATTTCATCCTTGCCATGAGATGCGACTCAGGGCCGGGCCCCTTGTTCCTTGTCCTTGACCCAACTCAAAATGTCCCCTGAAACAGTCCAAAAAAGAAGCGCCGATGTCTCGGAAAGGGGTCGGCGCCGGCCCGCCCGCCATTCCAAGCCCTCACTGGCAGGCAGGGTTTCATATGACAGTCTTCTGCCGCACCGCCCAGGCCGCGCGTAGGATCTGTGCAGTGTGCCCTCCACCGGCTTCGTCTTGACAAGCCCCGAATAAAGGATGAACAGCTTGACAATGCGGCCTGGACGCCTGGCATAGCATTGAATCAACCGCATGAACCGCCTTGGTATTATATCCGTAGAAGAGCAGCGTAATCCCAGATCCGCACATGGCGCAGGATCATGGCCTTTGCCTAGTTAGGGGCATTACGTTCGAGTCCGCCAAGTCTCATGGCTTTTTTTTTTTGCTAGAACAAGCATTTCTTAGTACATATGATGCCTTGGACCGACCTACAAGAACATATCGCGCCATTGATATCCTAAGAAAAAGCGCCTAATAGAGCCCATGTCTAGTCATCTCTCATTTAATAGTTAGGAGCGGAAACCACGGAAAACTATAATTTTTGCTAGAAATTAAGTCATGTGGACCAATACGCCATCCCATCACCAAAGCACATATTGCTCGGTTTGTGTGACAATGGCTGGAACATTCCCGATCATGTCATAACCGCTCACGATTCGGCGCCACGGGATCGCCGCCTCAGGCAGCACGTTGCGGTGCCTTTTTTTCGTTTCTTTTTCTTTTTTTTTTTCACACAACCGGGTCCAAGTTTCCCGTCCGTCCCTTGACGATGCCCTGCAGCTCCGCCGTGACCCAGCCGCCGTAAAAGTCGCCCGGCTGCGGCACGACGCGCTCGCCGTCGACGAAGCAGTCCCACGGGCCGGCGTAGAAGGAGAGGAAGCCGCGGAGCGGCGCAAAGGCGGGCGTCGGCTCCTCGTACGTCCAGACCCGGTCGCGCACTTCCCCGCCGCCCGCGGTGAGGGAAAAGTACGTCGCCCGGCCCTTCCACTCGCACCACGATGTGCGTCCCGTCTTGGCGAGCGGCACCTTGACCGACGACGGCGGCAGATAGTAGGCTATAGTAATAGCAGGCAGAATATAGGCATGAGTCAGCGGTTCGGGTGGTCCGGCGAGTTGTTATGCGCATGTCGGCGTCGACTTACTCGGGGGATGGTGAGTCTCCAGCACCCAGTATGCGTCGGTCGTGTCGGCGATGAGCTCGCCTTTGTACTGGATCTGCAGATGCCTGGAAATCTTTTGCAGCAGCGGCGGCCGCGGAAAAGACTGCACGTTCATGACGGCTTTGGTTGCCATTTTTGTCCAGTATGCTTTTCTTTTTTACCTTGAACTATGCATGTTGCATGTTTCAGAGGTTCCAGTCGTAGCATTTCCATGAGGTCATCAGGCAAACTTGCCCAGATATGGCCAAGCGGCGCAGGACAATGCCATACATGTATAATCGAGTTGAAGGTGCCGCTTAACGCGAATGTGCGCTTACGACACGAGATGGTAAAAAGAGACCCCTACTAAATAAATCGACAGTCGAATACCAGGAAAGTGCCAGAGCAAGCGCAGTGAGGCATTTTCCAAGGAATTCAGACTATGTACAGGGTAGCTACCGCTCTCGACGTTTGGTCACCAACGCTCCCGGCAATTACGACAACAAAGCACGAGATATTAAGAATGAGGAATGACAAACTCTATTTGCCAGATTCTCATCTTTTTGCCGGTCCTAAAACGTCTGGTAGCTGCGTATCTACGCCCAAGATTTATACAACTAATGGCAGCCAAGTTTGAGTTTACGATGTATCAGCTTTGCGACGAAGACACGCCCAGCTAAGAAGAAATATATCCTTTTTTTCGGTCGGTACAGCTAACAGATAATGTGAACTATAGGGCCGACAGGTCACTTTGAGGCTCTCGTGTACTTATACTGGTTCGTTGTTATTTCTGACTGTTGACAACACACGGTGCCTTGACGGGGAAAGAATGCTGCGCAAAAACAGACCAATCACGAACTCTACCAAATTGAAGAGTTACTGTGTTACTGGTACTGATTAATCCGATGCACTGTCGGCTCGGAGTTGGCCGATTCGGCTGCGCAACCGTGAGACGCTGATCAGGCCACCCACGAGTCACGACCAGCCGGAAGGTCAGTACGTTTCCAGCGCAATTTCGGAACGCAGCCGCAGAAGGGTACCTGAATTGAAAACGAAACAGAAAGGTTGTAACTAGATTAATCAACGCGCAGCATTCCGCTGGCAAATTGAACCAGCTGCTTCGGACCGGGTGTTGGGTTTCAAGTGCAATATCAAGGGGCACACGAAAAATATCTTATCCATTGGGGGCTATTCTCAGAGGAACCTACACCAAGAAATAGAAAGTTGTTATTTTGCGAGAAATCTGTCAACGTTTTTTACTGGAATAGTAGCGACATAACTTCCAAAGCCTCGCTGGTTTGACACTCGAGCAAGTCGACATGAAAAAAAAAAGAACATGTCTTGCCGCAGTTCTTCAGAAACTGCTCCGTCACCACCAAGCAAGGTGATGAGCCACTGGCCAACAGAGATTGACTAATGAGCAAAACGGAAATCCAGCCTCTTGTTGCCCTCATCCGGCGGATTGGAAAGATACGCGAGTCTCTCATCCTCCGTCATGGCGGTCCACTTGGCGTCCCGGCTCTTGTTGCGCCAGACGTAGTAGAGCTTCGTGAGCACATACAGCGCAGTGTTCATGCATACCACGCCCAGGATTGCCTTGTGTCCCCGATTGTACAAGGGCGCGTCATCTATCGAGGTCCGGTTAGCGTGGGGGGGTTGACCTTGTGCGGCGGATCAGCAGACTTCACTTACCGGCGCGATACACGTTGGACGAAATGATGCTGCAGCCCTGCACAAACATATTGTAGGTCGCCGCGGAGACGGTCCGGGACCGTACCGTGTTGGAGTTGCGAGACGTCCACGCGACCTGGATCGGGTGCGCTGGCGTGCGAGTTAGCCCACCGTTTTTGACGGGTTTCTGGAGAGGACTCACCGCTTGGGTAGCCGAGGAGGAGTGTGATGACGGCAAACATGATCCATTTGCTGACGGAATTTGTGTCCACGACGTTGAGATAGATGATGAATGGCAACGCCCAGATTTGCATCAGCATGGCCACGAGGGAGAGGTTCTGTACGTGCTCTGCCAGGTAGGTCAGGCCTAGCATGGTGCAGGCTAGATTTTGTCGTTAATATATTAGACCCCGACGCTTCTGGAGCTTTAGTCAATCTTACTTTGAATCACAGTAGCAGGTATAGAGAGCAGATTGGTTTGGGATCGGGTGAAGCCAAGGCCCCTCAGTGAGAGAGTGAGGTACATTGCCTGCGGCGCGACCGGTATCATGAATACCAACCCCAGAGCGTAAATGGGCCTGTTTAAAAGATTAGTAGTTGAGCGGGAGATCTTATCCTCATTTCAATATACCAAAGATCATAATCCCGTAAGCTTCTCCAGAGTAGCCGTGGCGTCACGGGCTCGCGGTTGTGCATGTCGCTCTTGCTCGGGTCGTCTCGCAGCACCCTGTTGACAATAATCTTTTCTTCCCTAGATGCGGGAAATTAGCATCAACTGTGAGATTCCAAAAGAGGGTGTTGCTGTAGACGCACTGTTCAGTGAACCAGCCAGCTTTGCCGCGGAACCAACTGGCAGTTTGGCACGGACCGGGAGGCATGAGCACCCAGGAAAAGACTCCAATCAAAAAGGTCAAAATAGCCTAATTTGGCCAAAGAGGAAACACTTGTTAGTCGCCACGAATAGCCAACGGAGTACTGCGGGATCCTTTTTCGTACCTCAATCAGGAATAGCCAGCGCCAGCCTGCCTTGCCCGCGACACCACGCATGCTCAGCAGACCCAGGCCCAGGACGGCAGACAAGATGTCGGCAATGTTCTGCGCGGTCCAGAAAAAGGCCAGGCGAATGGTGAGCTCAGTATGCTTGTAGAAGTAGGACAAGTAGATGATGACCTGTGTGTGGCGTCAGCGTGAATGGCACTCAGTCTAAACCAGCGCGGGTTCATGAACTTACGTCGGGGATGAAGCCTCCTTGCAGGATTCCAAGTAGGGACCGGGTCGCTAGAAACGAGCTCCGGCCGGTAAGGAAGAATTGCCCGCCGGCGACGATGCTCCAAAGAGAGATTTGTAGCGGGATCCAGCGGTCGGGACCCATCCACTTGGAGACGAGCTGCGACGGCAGCTCGGCGCAGAGAAAGCTGAGGCGGAAGACGGTGTTACCGAGATTGTAATCTGGGGACTGAGTTAGCAGTGAAAGGTAGACTGAGGATAGAAGAGTCGACAGACGCACCATCAGTGGTCAGATGTAAGTCAGCCAGGAAGTTATCTGTGAGAGCCTGCAGAATATTGGCTCTGTCAAGTTCCAGGGCCATGAACATGATGCAAGCCCAGAGCATGATGCGGAAGTCGAGCTTCCAGATGAGCTTTGATTCCTCCCCCCATGTCCAACGGAACAAGGGATCAAATCGGTGATAGTTTTCCCTGTTCTCGTACATTAGGAAAAGAAAAAAAAGGCCCAGCGCGTATATATGATTATAATAAATAGACTCACCATGATTTTTTCGGGTAGTACTTGTCCAAGGTCGTGGGGTTGTCAAACACACTCTGCTGCGTGGCAATGGCTTCCTTGTCAATTCGCGTGCTTCGCTGGAAAATGGATTGCCTCTGCTTGATGGGGGCTCCCAATTCTGGGATCTCGTTGAGGGATACCGTCGAAGAGCTGGTCGCGCTCTTCTCCGGGCCCTTGCCAATGAATACAGTTGACATTGCGTAGTAGTTCGCAGATAGGGTGATGCCGACTGTTTCTAAATGTCTCACAACGACCTGTCGAACTATACTTATTCAACAGAGCTGAGGTGTAGACCCCGACCCATGGCCAATACACGCATTGGGTTCGGAATGATGAAACTTCCGACATCAAGCCCCGATAGCGCAATCGCGTCGACATTCTTGGCCAAAGCACATCACAAAAGCCATCAATGGGCAATTTCGAAACAAAGAGCCGGTACATCGCACAAAGATGCTGAATGATGGGACGATTGAGTAGATAGTTTCCACGCTAATGCAGCTGGCACCGACGAGGCGTGCGACGTCGGCACAAGGTCCCGATGTCGTCGAGACGTCTTGCGGTTGCGTCTTGTAAAGCGAGATACCAATCTTCATCACGCCAACGGCCAATCAAACGTTATCATTGTCCAAAATGCAATCAGTACTTGCCCTTCATCTATACCAAGCACTGCTTAGGCGCACCAATCCGACGGCAGGGATATGGCGTTGGTCTGCCACGCCTGTATGGCGTCATCAACGGGACCCGTCACACAATGGCAACTGCAAGCACACGCAGCGAGAGCTGGTAGTTCTCCATCTTAGTTTTAGTCTTCTCCAGAATTATTCGTTTCATGTCGATTGATAATGCATATATGGATTTGTCGTCGCGAGCGGTGCCGAAACGGCAGCTGGTCGTCGTGCTCATCACGCCAAACAAGCTAGCTAGCTATATAACGAATCAGTCTCCTCTCGAAATGTATACCAAAGAGCAGATTCAAACAACCATCTTCTGGACTCTTGACATCCATTACTTTCCACATACCTTGATCAGTTACAATGTCGCCCACCGCTGTTGATACCACCTTGGTCGTGCCCGTGCCGACAAAGGGCAAGGTCGCCGCACCTCTGCAAGTCACTGGGGCTCTAAAGAGCCTCGAGTCATTCGAGCTTAGCCCGAACATTGGCCGCGAGTTTCCCAAGGCGGACCTCGCAGAGCTTCTCAGGGCCCCCAACTCGGACGAACTGATTCGCGACCTCGCGGTGACCAGTAAGCGCACCCGCCCCTTTGATACTCCCAACAAGTGAGAGCTCCTTTAGACTGACTCTCTTTTTCCTTCAAGTCTCTGAGCGCGGCGTTGTAATCTTTCGCGCGCAAGACAACTTGACCAATGATTTGCAAAAAGAGCTCATCGAGCGGCTCGGTCGGCTCACCGGCCGCCCGGCCGAGTCGGGCTTGCACATCCACCCGGTCCTCAACCCGGCCCGGGAGCTCGGCGGCGACGACCCCGAGATTAGCACCATCAGCTCGGTGCAGAGGAACAAAATCTACAACAGACCCGGTGTTGACGGATTGAGCAGCAAGAGGCAGACCACGGCGGAATGGCACAGCGACATTGCCTTTGAGCCGTTCCCTGCCGACTATTCTTCATTGCGCCTTTCGCAGCTTCCGAAAACCGGCGGTGGTAAGTGTGCCTAATTTGAGACATGATTTGACTTGTATATGAAACGAGGCTGACAGGAGATTGTTCAATAGATACCCTTTTTGCATCCGGGTATGAAATCTATGACAAGATCAGCGAGCCGTATCAAAAGTTCCTCGAGAGCCTGAGTGTCACTTTTGAGCAGCCCGGCTTCGGACAGGCTGCGGCCAGGGGTGGGTTCGAGCTCTACGACAAGCCGCGCGGCAATGCTGCCAATGTCGGCACCGAGCTCAAGGCCATTCATCCCGTTGTGCGCACGAACCCCGTCACCGGGTGGAAGAGTATTTTCCCAGTCGGCTCCCATGTCAAGCATATCAATGGTGTCACCCAAGAGGAGAGCACTGAGCTTTTGACTCGGTTCCTTGACATTGTGTACAAGAATCCCGAATTGCAGGTCCGCCTGCAGTGGCAAAATCCCAACGATATCGGTACGTGGTGTCAAGAACAAGTCGCACAATAACACGGGTGTAGATAACCTTGGCTAACAGCAAGCATAGCTATTTGGGATAACCGCAGTGCGTTCCACAGCGCCACCTTTGACTATGAGGACCAGGGCGATCGATTTGGTATTCGTGTCGTTGGTGTTGGCGAGCGCCCGTTCTTCGACCCCCAGAGTTCATCGCGACAGGAAGCGCTTGCGGTACGCAACAAGCAGACTAATGTCGGAACCGTTTCTTGAACAGTCTAAGCAAATAAATAAACACAATTTTCAAGTAATGCATGAGATGATGCACATATATCCAGATTCTTGCAGCGTCACATCCACAATCTCCCATTCTGACGCTCCAAAACAGGGCGCAGTGCTTGGGCGACCGACCAAGCCAGCGCCACATATGCACAAATGTTCAGTACCCTCTTGCCCTGCGCCTTTAGGTTCTCCATGTGCATTGTAAGTAGCTTGTCATCAATCTCGGACGTCCGGTTGATGAAGGGCGTATCATTGTCCTCAGGAATTGGCCGGCCCAAGAAGGCACACAGTGGCGCCCACCCTTCGCTGACATGGTATTCGAGCAGGCGATCCGCGGGAACCAGAGAGCGGATGCGCGCATAGTGCTCCTCAAAGCTTGCTTTACCGTTCTGGGGGAAGTTGTGGTCATAGAGGACCTGATGCAGCTTCTGGAACATGGGCCAGTTCCAGCGGTTGGGCATCCGCAGGAGCGAGGCAAAGAGGCCAATGGTAGCCCAGAGGATGCTTGTGTCGACAACTTCAAGGGTGTTCGTGACAGACCTGAAAAGATGTCGTAAGTCGCGATGCGCAAGTCTTAGTCGATGCCATTGTTTCTTACTTGTGCCACTTGTCTACGTCTCGAATGGTGAGAACCACCTTGGCGTCTGGATATGCTGCCACGAGCTCCTCAGCAAAGTACGCTGCCGGCATGTCGCACACGGCCTATAACGTCGCACTTTTAGCTGAAATATTTGCGACTATCTTCAATGAAAGATTGTGAGAAGAAGTACTTGGCAGTGTCCCAGCAGGCTATCAAAGTCCTTGCGTGCCGGTACTCGGCCAATACCATCGTGTTTCGCCCGGAGCCACTTTAGCCATGTCTGGCAATCACGGGTATTGATGAATGCAGCATCTGTTGTGTGGTAGGTATGAACATAGCCCAAGGTCAAGAGCGCCTCTCTCAGCGCTGCAAATCGGCACATTGTTAGCACCAAATCCTATTGAGAGGCTTGACCGCTAGACTTGCATCTCGTTCCAGTACGGCTAAAGCCGAGACACAGGACCTTCATCGAAACTGATCGGGTTTCTGTTTCCGTCATGTTCTCTTCATTGGGCGGTAATGCTCTAGACCGTTTCAATGGCTTCAAAGAGAGGAAAGTTCCTTCATGCTGAAGGCGCATGGTGTCGGATTTATAGGTCGGGTCGTCGACCGGCCCGTCGCAAGCAAAGCAACGCTCCACGTGCTCATCGTATTCGCGCAGTGGTCTTGGCGAGTATTTATTAATTTCTGCAAGCCGCGTAACATGAATGACTGGCTTTATTAGCAGCGTAGCTGGGTCTCAGCTACTGACTCTCGCGATGCAGCTCGAAGTGGTATAGTCGGTGAAACATCACTATGCGAAATTCGACGCAGCATCACAAAGCGGGATGTTCTGCACTGCACAATGGGCTATCATCTGTGAAGGCTTTCCAGAAGGATCGAGAGGGTGCATAGAGCGCGGCAGCTCCTCCATGCTGGCCGGCTTGTGAGAAGCCTAGTTTGGCTGGTAGCAGGGTGGATTCGATGGAAGTTGGCTCAGTATGACTGGGAGTCTGGCCGAATAAGATATGCAAAACTTGGCCGTTTCTTCGTATCTATGGATCGCCCGTGACAAATTCGCAAGACGCAGTGCTCTGCGGTCCTATATAATGAATTTTCGCACTGTGGTTGGGTGAATTATTAGCTCTGGACTCTACCTCCTTTACCGACCGACTTACTACTAGGTACCAACTGTCCTGTAGCGCATGCTCTTGCCAACGAATCACACCCTTGAGTTTTGGGCTAGGACCGGAGTTGGACAACTTGGTAGGCCGCTAGTAAAGTTTGCTCACAGTATGAAAGGCCTCGCTGCAGTTTCATTTTCTGACGTAAGGGTTCCACCAAGTGTAACCCAAAGTGAGGAGGGGAACAGAGATTGACCTAGAGAACGGGGATGCATCACTTGCAGTATGTCAGATTTATCCAGTCTAATTCGGGATGTCAAGGCATGTGCTGAAGCCAAGCCTCTGGGAGATATGACAAGGGAACCCCACAGCCCGAGAATGGCGAACATGGAAAGCGAGTAACTGGCAGATGCTGTGGCGAGGGATCTACCCTGGCCTTGGTGGGGGCGTCTTGCTCGGCTGGACAGTTCGTTCCCTTCAAATTCGCAGGCAAAGTGGCGGTAGTGCAAGTGGAGGCGATACGACATACGACGAAGGGCCAGGTCTGGCCGATATAACTGGCACGATTCGCATTATGTATTAGTATGAATTGTGGCGCCGCGGGACAGGACAGGTCCGTGAAACCAGTGAGCGCAGGCCGACCTGAATCCTTTGAGCTATTTCCCCGCTAGCTCTGGGGTGCGGGGAAACCATGCAGGTAAATATCTTGTTGCGGGGAACCAGGTAAAATAAGCGTGGCCGGCTGGGTGGTTAACCTTCTACCGAGGTTACGGCCGTGATTTAATGCGTGTCGAGAGGGGGAAATGGAATCTTCGGTTGATTCCCAGACCCATGAGGGCAGTATGTGTTTGTCCAAACAAAAACATTAGATGACAAGCTGGGTGTATATCTTTCGAGCCAGATCCTAGTTAGATGCGATCCGAGAGATTTGACTGTTGTTAGCCGTAACTTGCGACGAGGAGCGACAGACCATACCTCTTTTGCAATCCCCCAAACTCCCTGACTGTTTAAGGCGTCATCACGCACTGTCATCATGAGCGTCTCCAACGGCAAGTTTGAATCAACCTCCTGTGGATAAGCAGGCCAGCAGCTGCTAGTTCACTCCCTGCTTGACTGCCAGTCTCCCACGGTATGCCTAGTATATAGGCGAGCCCACCAAGTGAGGGGCGCAAATCGCCCGGTTCTGTGTTTTCGCAGACGGCTCGGCCGATGGCTGTTTGTCTTGTTGCGCAATAGAACCATGATGAAGCATGTGAAGGCCGACTAACAGAAACGGTGCCCCAACAGAAAAGATTCCGGCATCGCAGCTGTTTGACGTGATCAACGAACAGCTCTCGGATAACCCGGACGAGGTCAAGGACGCCATCAAGAAAGGCAATGGCATCTTTGCCTTTACCATCAAGGGAAATTCGGGGGTGACAGACAGCTGGCACGTCGACCTCAAGTCTACTGGCCGCGTGGGTAAGGGCATTGGCGAGAAGCCTAACGGTAAGACTCCCGAGTCTGCCCCCGCAGGAGCCGACTTGCAATATGACCCAAGGGCCAAGGCACATGGGGCACATGGGTAACTGATGTCACATCTTATCTTCTGGGGTCCCCGCAATGTCGATACGTTTGCTGCCTTGGAGCTTGCTCAACAGGGTTCATTTTGAAATCCTGGTCGATTATTCTTTTCGGTACAACTGGCTTGGTACTGACAGCTGACTTGTAGTCACGTTTATTCTCGACGAGGACAATTTTACAAAGCTGTTTTTGGGCGAGGCAAATGCGCAGAATCTCTTCATGACGGGCAAGCTGAAGATCAAGGGCAATATTGTGAAGGCGCTTGCTTTGCAGCCAGTCTTGCAGGTTGTACGTGTCAAGGCTAAGCTGTAGAGATGACGGGTATGTTGAATTGGAAGGAAGCGACTCAGTCTTGTGCAGGTAAATTATGTCATATTCGGGATGCGCTGTTGGTCTTATGAAATGTCGGGTCGGGAACTGGCAAGACTCTGATTCGCTTTCTGTATATTCGTATTCGGTCGAACGATGATAGTCATCATACCGGCCGGAATTGCCTATGCGATAAGGTTGGTGACTCAATGATTGTTGATAACAAGTTGTGCAGAATAGCTTGTACATACATGTGTTTTTTTCTGATGTGATCAGTCGAGGTTGTCCACCAGATGCTGCGTGCCAGCTGGCAGTTGCTATCTCCCTAGAAGCAAACGGCGCCGCCAGCTGGCGGGCGGGTATTGGGGCCGGTGTTCGTTTATGCAGGCCATCTGTCGTGCGAATGATGAACATTTACCTCATCATCCCGCTTGTGCACTCACATCTCCCTGGTACATTTTAGCTGCGAACCGACAGGTTTCTTGTACCTTAGCCGGGTGCAGAGCTCCTCGAGCGCGATTGAGACTTGACACTTGATGCGTCCCGTTTGCACATCTCAATGCTTCTCCCACCTCCATCTTCATGATGGCAAATCACAAGCAAAAAAAACACGACATCAGCACATGCTTTTCAATGTTCGAAACATGCAGAATCCTGCCCCTGTGGCGTTGCGACAGCCCTGTGCGTGCTTTAAGTGGCTTCCACTTGGTCGCATCGCCGTGTTAAGAATTTTGTTGACGCGCCACCTGAAGCTAAAAATTGCTGAGATAGGGTGCAATGTGCAATGCAAGAGATCCGCCTTAGAGCCTCGGTCAATCCACATCTCAGCGATCACCACGGCTGTTCGTTGCACTTGTGGGCGCTGTGTCGAATGCGGTACGGCTACATGTGTGGTTGCAACACCAAATCACTGGCACACGGCCCTTGGTGGACGACGGCGAGGATTCGACGCTGTGACGGACATGGGTCCTCAAGGGAGTTCCACCTCGAGATATGGCTGCACCAATCCGAGAGTCGTTATAGGGGCCTGTCGGAGCTCCTGGGAAACTCTGTGGGCATTCTGGGGAGTTTCCTGGGGCTCTGCCCCAACCCACCAGCAATGCACCCGCACTCCCCCGACCTTCCATCACCACACTGGCAAACTGGCTACCTAGGTCGTCAACTGGAGGCTCTCCAAAACGGGGTGGCGTCAAGTCGGTGGACCACACCAGACTACCACCAAGCCAATAATTCCACCGCGGAAGCTTTATCCAGGCCATTACGATCCCATCATATGCCACTCGCTGCATTGGAGCCTCGGCAGCCAGCCCGTTAGAGTCCCCCCGATTCCGTACTCCGAGAACCCACCCGGAGAGCCTCCTTGGGGTATATCTAGGCCTCGATGCCGTGGATTCTTGTCTCAATGTGCTTTGGTTCCTCAGCGCAAGGTTTCTTCTGCTTTGCTTCTCTTTGCTTCTCTTCAGCCTATACTCATCGCATTTATTGTCCGCGAGCCGCCCGACAAGACCTAGCTTATTCAACGCCATCATCGTCCCTCGTAAAGCTAGCGTTGACCCACACTGTGACATTTTGGCTTTCTGGCATTTCTATACTCTGATTTATATCAGGCTTCTCATATTCTCTACTTCTCCCCCTTCTTAAAGCCTTTGCTTTCATACTGATAGCACCAAGTGCGCCGCGGACTCTCCCCGAATCTTCTTGTCGCGGTTATTTTCTCCTTTCGACAGCAACATCATTGTTATATACCCACCCCACCCCACCACATCAACTACCTACCTACCTACACAACCGTCACCATGTCCAGCACTGCTATTCCCGAGGGCAACGTCGGCAACCTGACGACCGAGCAGGAGACAAAACTCCGCCAGTTCTGGGGTACTATCTTCAAGCTCTACGACCTGTACGAGTCCAAGGACCCCGAGATCCAGGCCGCGCTCAAGAACTGTGCTACCCAGGCCGCTGCTCCCGCTCAAAAGTCGCGTTTCGGCCTCTTCGGCGGCGGCAAGAAAGCCAACGCTGAAGACAACAATGCCACGGCCCTCATTGAGAAGCAGCTCGGCCTAGGTGCTGCTGATGAGAATGACAAGTTTGGCTTGCGCAAGCAGTTCATGGAGATGCTCAGCAAGCACTCGGCCGATTCTGCCCGTTCCATGATTTTCGAAGCTGTCAAGCATGATCACCCCGACGCCCTCGCCCTGCGCTTTCTGCGTGCCCGCAAGTGGGAGGTGGATCGCGGCATCATCATGATGTTCTCCGCCATGGAATGGCGCACGAGCAAGTCCAAGGTCGACAGCGATATCATGTACAACGGTGATGGTGGCGGCGCTCGTGATGAGAAGAGCTCCGACCCCAACACCAAGATTCTTGCACATGATTTCATGCGTCAGCTTCGTATGGGCAAGGGCTTCCTTCACGGCACCGATAAGCTGGGCCGTCCCATCAGCTACGTCCGCGCCCGTCTGCACAAGCCTTTCGATGGCAAGAACGAGTCTCTTGAACGCTTCATTGTCTACAACATTGAGACTGGTCGCATGGTCTTGGAAGCACCCATTGAGACTGCCTGCCTGGTGTTTGACCTGACTGGCTTCACTCTGGCCAACCTGGACTACGTCCCCATCAAGTACATTATCCAGTCCTTTGAGGCCAACTACCCCGAATCTCTGGGTGTCATCCTTGTCCACAACGCCCCGTGGGTCTTCAAGAGCGTCTGGAAGATCATCCAAGGCTGGCTGGACCCCGTCGTCGCCAGCAAGGTCAACTTTACCAACGGCCGCGATGGTGCTGACGGCATCACCAACCACATTGCACCCGAGAGACTGATTAAGGAGCTCGGTGGTGATCTGGACTGGGAGTACAAGTACGTGGAGCCCATCGAGGGCGAGAACGATGTGATGAAGGATACCACCACCCGCGACCGTCTCCTGGCAGAGCGCAAGCAGATTGGCCAGCAATTCGAGGCGGCAACTAGAAAGTGGGTTGAAAAGTCCACCCCCGAGACCAATGCCGAGCGCACCCGCCTAGCCAAGGAGCTCGGAGTCAACTACTGGAAGCTGGACCCCTACATCCGCGCCCGTAGCATGTACGACCGCAACGGCAACCTGCGCGGCGGCAAGAAGGCCGCCTGGTACGAAGACGAAAAGGCCGCGGCGGCCTTGGAAGACAAGGCCGGCGACAGATCCACTCTCCAGTCGGAGGATACGTTTGTCGATGCCGGTAACGACGCGGCGGTAGCCCTCGGCTCCCTCAAGATTGACGAAAAGACCCCGCTGCCCACCACTGCCAACGCGGTTGCTGCTTGAGCGACGATACTCGAAAATGACCCTTTCCAACGAACAACAGCGCCAATTGCGAGGACTGTTTGGCACGGGAGGGTGTATTCGGCATGCATTTACGGATATTTGATTCTACATGATCTTCTGGAAAGACTTTGGGTATTCTTTTCTTTTCGATTTCTTTTGTCGCGGCCGTGTTTGCCTTGTTTGGCATATTGAAGAGATATTATATATATACCATGAATGAAAGACTAACTACATTTGACGAACGACAACAAAGGTCCTTGCTTGACGTTGTGGTATTACGTTATTGCGAATGTCGCGCGTCAACATTATGACGTGCAGCTAGCTGGGTAGTTATGGTCCCCGTACTCCATACTGGGTACGGAGAACAGCCAGTGCGTGCTCCGTATCAACAGCGTATCAACAGCGTACCTGGGCGTCCGTGCCTCGCCACCCGCTGCGTACCTGCAGCCACGTCATGCACGCAAAGCGATGGGCTCTGGAGTTTTCTGGTGGAAGCTTGATTGCAGGACCATTTTATAGCAGCCTAGTAGTGGCGCGCCCAGTGGTGGGGCAGTTCTGGCGAGTTTCCCAAAATGAACAAGGAGAAGAAAACGAGGCGCGGCGCCGCGTGTGGCGCACAAACGAGCGCCTTTTTTTCTATTGTACTATTAATGATAATAATTACGCATTAAACGGCAAAAACTCTGCGTTGATGGACACAAAAGGGCGGCCATTTGGCAAAAGTTCCCCGCCCCCTGCTCGGACTTTTTGGAAATAGGGGACCTTTCCCACAAGGAGTGCTGCTACCACAGTGTGATGAGAAAACGCATGTTCCGGATGTGTATCCATTCCAGAGGGGACTGATAAGACTGATAAGGTACCTGTAGCCGATGGCAGAATCTCAGGAACCCCAAAATAAAATAAAACCAGGCAGTGCAGAGATGTCGGTTTAGCGTCGGACCATTCGTCATTATTGATTTCCTTGGCCTGGTGAGATCAGTCGCTTCTCGTTTGGTACGGAGCAACTAGTTACGCGCAGCATGTCTACCTGTCAAGCTCTGCACTTGTCACCCAATTTCCTTGTCGAGAGACATGAACAAAAAAAGGGACGACACATATCCGAAGATGCATGATAAAATTGGCTTTTTCTTCTAGCTCCGCTGCATGGCCCCATCTCTACAAGCCCATTTCTGGGCTCACTCTGGGGACAGCACATTTCGTTTTTTCTCCTTCTTTTTTACACAGCAAGTCGAAAGATTCTTTAACGTTAGTCCGTGTGGCTTTCAATGTGAAGGAAAAAAACAAAAAAAAAAGAAAGTTCCCCTGATGAATGACGATGTTCCCTTCTCCATAGTAAACCGCTTGGCTAGCTCTGGTCCATGAGTCGTCGTCGTCAGCAGGAGAAACAAGCACGGGCAAAGGCTGAGGAACGATGTGAGGGGAGGAACCTGCCAATTGGTGCCCACGTGGTCCTCTTGGTTTTTGTTGTTCTGGTTATTGACCAGGTCCTGTATACATACATACATGTGTATCCGTCCGGGTACAGACTGTCCTGTGCTGACCCTGTCGCTGCTCGTCTTGGCAGGTTGAGTTAGGGTCGTCCCCCCCTAATACGTTAGAGAACTAATAATCCCCCCTAGAGAACCATTCCATTTATTAATTGTCAACTCCGCTCCGCTCTTGCTCAAAACTCTGCTCCTAGACCGAGACCGAGAGATCAATGGAAAGACTGGGGACGCGCGTTTGTCCTAATCTAGCGACTCCGTTCTGTTTCCTCATCTTCACTGGTTCTCAGCCGTCACCGTGCCCCGGTTTCTGGTGCCTGGGCGCCGCCCCAACCTCCATCCTTGCCTTGTTGGTGGCTGCTTTTATTGTTCGTGGTGCAGAGATTGGCTTGTTTCGTGGGGATGTGGTCTGTCGTTTTTTTTTTCTTGGTAGGGGCTATGCCAGGCCTGTAGGTTCACCCGGCTCGGTTCTGGCCCTGTGGCAAGCGGAAAGTCAACTGTGCTTCGGGACTGGGGGGGTCGTTGCGTTGCGTTGCGTGTCGTCTTTGTCCCGTTTCGTAAGAGGCCTCTCTCTCCTCTCGCATTGGCTCGTCACCTGTTCCTTTCCTTCTTTCGCATCGTAGACAGAATCTCGGTTTTGTTTTTCCCATCCGTCGTTCCTTTTCTCTTCTTCGACATTCCTTTTCCACGGCATTGTCGGCGCTTCACGACCTCTGGACCCCCGAAACGAATTCGATTTCTGCAACGTGCGACAAAGAATATCCCTCACTCGTTTGTTGTCTCCGACAGGAATACCCGCTCTCCATCATGGGGCGCGACACCGTCATGACCCGGCCGGCCATCGAGGCCATGGTTGCCAATGGTGACGCCGTCGTCATCTTTGAGGACCATGTGCTGCGTCTCAACTCGTGGCTGCGCGTTCACCCCGGCGGCGACCTCGCCATCCGACACATGATTGGCAGAGATGCGACGAGCGAAATCACGCTGTAAATAATCCCATCATCATTTCCAACTTTTTGCCTCGTCTACCTTTCTGCGCCTTGTTTGTTGTGGTTGTGTTCGCTCTGTCGCTTATGTTAGCCGCGCGTGCTGGTGGTGGTGCGGAATAGCTTCTAGTCTGAACAAGGACTCACCACCAATTTTAAGCTTAATCTTGGTGGGGAAATCGACAACGGCTTCCGCCTTCCAGATCGAGATCCAATGACTTGCACAAGAGAAACTACAAGTTCCTAGCCGCTAACTCCTCCCTTTTATTGCAATTAGATACCATAGGGCCCATACCCTCCAGACTATGAAGGCCTTTCGGATCGGCCGGAAGCCTACGGGTCCCTGGAATAACATGACGCCACCAATTAGGGCCAAATCATCAACCGATCCCTCCGTGCATCCCGTGGCCTCCACAGACACCACCATCATCGAGAAGCATGTCTTGGACCAGCAACCCACGGACAGCATCGCCGTCGAGTCCGTCCCGGCCGCCACATTCCTGTCCGAAAAGTCAGCTGGCGGCTGTCTCCAGACGAGCAGCCAGCTGCAGCCGACCTCGTGCTCGCGGCGGCCGTCACCCAGTGCCGTTGACACAACACCCTTGTTGCCGCCGCCTGCCGTCATCGATGAAAAGGCCCTCGAGGCAGCGCGGTTGCTGCCGCGCGGGCGCAAGCACATGACGCCCGAGCAGTACACAGAATGGGCCATTCAGCAGCAGCGCGAGACCGACATGGACGAGTACCCGTCGCTCGAGCACAACGTCCAGCTGGCCATTACCGAAAAGTACATGAAGCTGCATGCCCAGATTGACGCGCAGGGGCTGTACCAGTGTCCGTACATCGAGTACGGCAAGGAGGCGACGCGCTACCTTACCATATTTGCCGCTTCCATGTTTGCACTGCACAAGGGCTGGTACATGACGTCGGCACTTTTCCTGGGTTTATTTTGGGTACGTTCCTGGCCGTCGTTGGCATCTGCATGAATTCAAACTTACACAATCGCAGCATCAAATCATGTTCACGGCCCACGATGCCGGTCATCGGGCAATCACGCAAATCTTCGAAGTCGATACTCTGATTGGCATGTTCATTGCCGACTTTTGCTGTGGACTTTCCATTGGCTGGTGGAAGAGCAGTCACAATGTCCACCACCTCATCACCAACCAACCTGTACGTCCCTCAAACTATGCTTTTCCGCCTCTGCTCTAACACTCTGCAGGAGCATGACCCCGATATTCAAAACGTCCCCCTGTTCGCCACCTGCCCCTCCTTCTTCTCCTCGCTGCGCTCCACCTACTATGACTTCACCTTTGTCTGGGACCGTGCCGCTGAGATCCTCGTTCCCTGGCAAAAGTACACCTACTACCCGGTCATGGGCATCGCGCGCTTCAACCTGTACCTGCTCTCCTGGATCCACGTCCTGGTCAAGCCGTCGCAGCTCGGCGGCAGCAAAGCCTGGTGGATCCGGCCGACCGAGATCGCCTTCATGGCCTGCTACTGGTTCATCTTTGGCTACCTGCTGCTGTGGCGCACGCTGCCCGACTGGACCACCCGCGTGCTCTACGTGCTCGTCTCCCACATCATCACCATGCCGCTGCACGTCCAAATCACCCTCTCCCACTGGGGCATGTCCACCGCCCACCTCGACGAGGACGAGTCCTTTCCCCAGCGCCAGCTCCGCACCACCATGGACGTCGACTGCCCCGCCTGGCTCGACTTCATCCACGGCGGCCTCCAGTTCCAGGCCGTCCACCACCTCTTCCCCCGCCTGCCCCGCCACAACCTGCGCAAGGCCCAGCACCTCGTCCGCCAGTTCTGCCAGGAGACCAACATCCCCTACTCCATCCTCAACTTTACAGACGGAAACCGCAAAGTGCTCGGCAGACTCGAGGAGATTAGCGAGCAGGTCCGCATCCTCGTCAGCTGCCAAAACTACATGGCAGAGACGGGCGAAAGCGGTCTGCACTAGAGACATGTATAATAGAGCCAGATAGACATGAACCGGGTATCATTGTTACAAGTAAATAGTCATTTGAAATTAGTTTTAATAGCGTCATCTTTACGTGTTACACTAAAAGCAAAAAGCCCCAAAGTCTATTTTTTCCTATACAGTTTCCCATGCCCGTGTTGGTATCGGTTCCTCGCCAGTTTTCATTCTCTGTATCATGTCCAATTTCCCGTCTCTGTATCGTCTCCCGTTTTTGCCCCGTCTCTGCGCGCAACGCCTGTTTCTCTCAGTGGCCACCGCGGCCGCCCCGTCCCCGTGGCGGCTTGGCCCGATCCGGGACGATATTGAGACCTCTGGTCCCCCGTAGCCCCATCTTGCCAACCGTACTCCTCTGAATGGGCGGCGTCTCGGGCGCGCTGAGTCCCTCGCGGGCGTACGTGTTGGCCTGGCGGACGAGCTCTTCCTTGTCCCAGTGCAGGCCCTTCATGTGGTTATTGTAGTAGCCGAGCCAAGCCTTGTAAATCTGGCCCTTTTCCTCCTCGTCCATGCCGTCCATGATGCGTTCAATCTCGGGGGCGGCCGACAGGTCGGCTTCCTGCGGGACAAAGGCAATCTCCTTGAGCGTCCAGCGGGGGAAGAAGGCCTCCGCCTCGGCAATAAGAAAGATGCCTTTGCCCTCGGCGTCGGCGCGCGCAGTGCGGCCGAGGCGGTGAATGTAGCTCTGCTTCTCAGAGGGTATGCCGACTTGGAAGACGGTCGTGACGCCGGGAAAGTCCATGCCGCGGGCGACGACGTCAGTCGCGGTTAGAATGGCAGATTTGGCGTCGCGGTATTCATTCGTCACCTTGGTGCGGCGGTTCTGCGTCATGCGACTGTGCAGCGTCGACACGGGCGGCAGGCCGGGGATCTGCCCGAGCACGTGCCCGTAGAGGCCGGCGAGGGCGGCGGTGGGTGCGAAGACAATCGCCTTCAGGTTGGGTTCTCTGGCGGCCTCGGCGCGCACGGCGCCAACCATGCCGGCGGCGACGGAGGAGAAGGAGGGAACTTTGATGAGGTGCTGTGGCACGCGCTCGTGCGTGCCGGCCTCGCCCTCGGCAATGGTCGAGATGAACTTGTAGCCAGTCTGGAGGACGAGCCCGGCGACCTGCTTGACGTGCGGCGCAATCGTGGCGGAGAAGAGCATGCCCTGGCGGGGCACTTGGGCGCGGTTGGGCAGCTTGCCGACAATGTCGCGGAGGGCAGGCATGAAACCCATGTCGAGCAGCCGGTCGGCCTCGTCGAGCACGAGCGTGTCGAGCGCGCGCAGCGCATACAACACATCCTCGTTGGCCATGTGATCGAGCAGGCGGCCGGGCGTGGCGATGAGCACATCGCAGCCCTCGTGCAGCATGCGCTCCTCGCGGTCCTTGTTGGTGCCGCCAATGGCGATGCGCACCTTGTACCGCGGCATCCGCTGCAGAAGGCTGCTCGCCTCGGCCGCGATCTGCATGGCGAGTTCGCGGGTCGGCGAGATGACGAGCAGCGAAATGGTGGATTCGGCGCCGTTGCCGCCGCGCGACTTGCTCAGCATGGTTTGCAGCGCGGGCAGCAAAAAGGCCACCGTCTTGCCAGTGCCTGTCTTGGCTTGTACGAGGCAGTCGCTGCGGTTCGGGGGCAGGAGCTCCCACAAGGTCGCGGCCTGCACGGGCATCATGTGGTTGAATTTGAGATCATCGGTAATAGTCTGGATCAGCAGCGGATGGACGAGGTTCTGCCCGGCGAGGTCGGCGAAGCGCGGCGTGTCGAGCGGCACCGCCTCGGTCAGCGGCGGCTTGTAGTCGGTGGTGGCCTGCTGCGGAGGCGTGTGGGAGGGTGTCTCGTCGAGGTCTATGGACATGGGGCTGTCTGTACCCCCATTGTCTGCTCTGTTGTTACTGCCGCCACGGCCGCCGCGTCTGTTGCCTCGGAAATTTCCTCTGTGACCACCACCGCGACCACCACCACCGCCGCCGCCTCCACGGCGACGGTCAGTGCGCTGCCCTTCTCTGCCTCCTCTATCAGGCATGACGAGATGAGGTAGAATAAAAAAAGTAGAGTGTCTTGTTTTGATGTTGAGTTGACAGATTCGGGCAGTCGCTTGTGCAGCGGATAATATGGTGCAAAAATGGAAAGGCGGATCCACTTCTCTACACAACGGCCCGTTGGGCTGGAAAACGAGCACGATTTCTTCTGTCGTAAAAGAAAAGCACGTAAATACATCAAAGCATAATAAATTACGCTAATTTTGTTGGAATTATGGTGTAATTCTAAGACTTTTTGCTTTCCTTTTTTCTTTTTTCCCGGCTGGCTTTTTTTCACAAGCGTCTATTCCGAGGCGCATGAAGTCGTCGGCGCCTGCATGCTTTGATGAAACCTCTAGTGGAAGATGGAGATGCAAATAGCCCCGCGACTCGGCTAAATTTGTAGGTATATATTCTGTGTTGCAAACGCTTCGCTTCGCTCTTCCCCTCTCGCCACGGAGACCTTGATGCCCTTCTCTTCTCCCGGAGCACTTTGTGCCTGAGGTGTCCACCTAAGATCGACAGCCCGCAGTAAATCGCCATATACATGTACATCCAAGACCAGTTCACGGCGTTTGCACATTTGCAACTCCAAGACGAACTGCAGTACCTACATACCTACCTACCCATCTGTCAGCACCAACCACCGGCCCTGATTCGTTACGGATCCCTCACACTCATCCCATAATCCCTAGTGGTCCGACTTTATCGTGGTATTTCGACTTTGCCTAATCCCGTGCGCTAATGCTGACCGCGTCCTCTCAGGATGCTAGCATCAATGCCGCTAGCATCAGAACCATCTTGACATGAGCTTCGCCGTGTGTCTCAAAGGCAATAGCTGTGTGCCATCCTGGCCCTCGCCTCTATCAAAAACACCGTCCGAAGCCTGAAAACGTGCAACACGTCACTAGTTACGGTCTCTCACTAGACACGCTAGGCCTGCGCCTTGACAGTGGAACAAGGTTTTAATCTTATGCCACATGCGATTCGGTGGTCTCGGTATCCAGAATAACCTACGCCCGGCCGCTTCTATCAAAGCGTTGGACGCAATTAATAAAAGCAGCAAACCACACCTGGAATTCTCCTATCGCCGCCGCCGCGTTGTGCTCATATCCTGCAGAGATCGACATCTGTCCCTTCTCTCTCACATTAATCACTAGTTAACTCTTCCGCAAATGATTCTCGGTAGCCCATTCGGGCGGTGCCCATACGATGATGCTACTCCACGCAGCTTCTTCCAGCTCATGCAGCGCAGTGGACCGAGGCGGACGTTCATTGCCGAAAAGAATGTAGTGTCCAGTCAGGATCGGACAACACGGCCAGTAGCGAGGCTATAATTACGAACCTTGCTGTGCGATTTCCACGCACCCATGCCCTCGACTGCCGGGTGCCAGATTCACACGCTCTCCGACTATTTTAAAAACGGGGATCCCTTCCCGAGCTACCAACGAGGCGGCGCCCCTGCGACACGGGGAACATGGCGCGAAGTACTCTGTCTCCGGCCCCGCCTTGGCTTCACTTTGCTTGATGTGGCAGGTCGTAGGAACTGGAGAGGTTGTGCCATGTGAACTGCTACCGCACGTGTGAAGGCGTCCCGCCGTCTCGTCTGACTGCTTCGTATGGCTGCACTTTTCAAGCCGCTAGGAGACCGAGAGGAGGGGTTTGATCAGTCTTGCAATCGGTCAGCCGCGTCTGGAGGAATGGGTAGCTCTGTGCGGTGTGGTGTATCCGCGGCTGGTGAGTAGGTGGTAAGCTCGTCCGATATAAAGGCGCGCCGATTCGTCGCGCGAGAAAAAAGGCCCGTGAATAGTTTGTCTCACAAACCCAAACGCGCTCAGCATGCTTTCGCTCTCTTTCTTGATCAAGGCTCTGCCGGCTCTGTCGGCCACCGTCTTGGCTTCCGCCAGCCTGCCGGCCAAGCCTTCGGATCTGTCCACCCCCATGCAGGTCCGCATCTCCGTCAGCGGCGCAAACAGTGAGTGTCCAAGTCTCAATGCATCATCGACAAAATTCAATACTCATGTTCAACAATCTAGGCATCTCTGTCGGCTGGAACACGTACCAGCAGTCTGGCAGCCCTTGCGTCAGCTACGGCACCTCTCCGAACTCTCTTACCCAAAAGTCCTGCTCGACCAAGTCCGAGACGTACCCGTCGGCGCGCACCTGGTTCCATACCGTCTATCTGAACAATTTGACTCCTGCCACCAAGTACTACTACAAGATTGCGTCGACCAACTCTACCGTGGAGCAGTTCCTGTCGCCCCGTACTGCTGGTGACAAGACCCCGTTTGCCATCAACGCCATTATTGACCTTGGTGTCTACGGAGAGGACGGCTACACGATCAAGAACAACAATGCAAAGCGAGATACAATCCCCAACATCCCCCCTTCGCTCAACCACACGACTATTAAGCGCCTTGCCGACACGGCTGACGACTACGAATTCATCATCCACCCGGGCGACCTCGCCTACGCTGATGACTGGGCGCTGCGACCCAAGAACCTCCTTGACGGAAAGAATGCGTTCCAGGCCATCCTGGAGCAGTTCTACGGACAGCTTGCGCCCATTGCCTCGCGCAAGCCGTACATTGTCAGCCCTGGCAACCACGAAGCCTCGTGCGAGGAAATTCCCCATACCACATGGCTCTGCCCAAGCGGCCAGAAGAACTTTACCGACTTCATGACGCGCTTCAAGGGCAACATGCCCAGCGCGTTTGCGTCGACGTCGAAAGTCGACAAGGCCAAGGTGAGCGCGAACAAGGCCCAGCAGCTGGCCAACCCGCCGTTTTGGTTCTCGTTTGAGTATGGCATGGCGCATATTGTCATGATCAACACGGAGACTGATTTCCCGTCTGCGCCGGATGGCCCCGACGGCTCGGCCGGTCTCAACAGCGGCCCGTTTGGCGGCCCTCAGCAGCAGCTGCAGTTCCTCGACGCGGATCTGGCGTCGGTGGACCGCACTGTCACCCCGTGGGTCGTGGTCGCCGGCCACCGCCCGTGGTACACGACCGGTGGCGACGGTTGCACGCCGTGCCAGAAGGCGTTTGAGCCGCTCTTTTACAAGTACGGCGTCGATCTAGGCGTGTTTGGCCACGTGCACAACTCGCAGCGCTTCAACCCCGTGTACAACGGCACGCAGGACGCCGCCGGTCTGCAGAACCCCAAGGCGCCCATGTACATTGTCTCGGGCGGCACGGGCAACATTGAGGGGCTCAGCGAGGTCGGCAGCAAGCCCAGCTACACGGCGTTTGCGTACGCCGATGACTTTAGCTATGCGACGATTCGCTTCCAGGATGCGCAGAACCTCAAGGTCGACTTTTACCGCTCGGCGACGGGCGAGCTGCTCGACAGCTCGACGCTGTTCAAGGCACACAAGGACCAGTTTGTCGTGCAGAGCTAGGAAGTAGGCATGACCAGGCGATGGTGGGGGAGGGGCGGCTTTTATAGGGACAGAGTGAGTACAGGGACAGGGTTTTGATCATGAGGCTGACATGTGTACCGCCATCAATGGGCTGGACTGTACATACCGCTTATTTACTGGTTCGCACAAGAGATGCAAAGAATTCGTATTACATTTTGCCACCCACCTTGTCAGCGAGGCAACCTCGTCAACTCCGCATTCGAGAAAATTCTCCGCAAGAGAGCGATGTAGGTCGGACCGGACCTTGCCTAGATGGTACAAAAGCAACGAGCAAACAGAATAGGTGCCGCCCCACGCCAAGAAGAAGAGGGGAGAAGGATTAATTTATAAGCTGGGCAGCTTGAAGCTAACCAGGTCTTGTCCGCTTTTTGCCGCCATTCATTAGTTTAATTATTAAAGTCCCCTAGTTTTTCTCTCTCTCCATCTCATCACCCGCCCGCCACCCGCCGCTCGCCGTCGCCGACGCGACGCCATCTCATCAATCCCTCACCCGATCCCCGATCCCACCAACCACCAACCCCCCTCCTCCAAACATCACACAGCACATGGATCTCAAGACAGTCGTCCGCACTTTAAAGGAGCAATCGATAGCGCGGGCCAAGGACCACGAGGCACCGCTGAAATCGGCCGCGCCCCGGCAGAAACGGTGGGCCAGCAAGACCAAGACTGGCTGCGCTACTTGTCGGTTCGTTTAAACCACCTCCCCCCTCCCGCGACAACCTGCGCTAGCACAACGCTGGCTTTCCCACGACGTCGTGCTGCGTTCCCTTGTTTTTGCTGTCTCTGCCAAGAAGGGGGAGGGGCGAGAGGGGACGGGGGATTTGTCAATTTCTTCCCCCCCGCGGCAGCAGTGCGTGGCTGGCTGCATCGCGCGAGGTCCCATCAAACGAGGATACTTTCCTGTTACTGACCCTGTTTTCTTTCGTTCATTCGGATATGTAGGATCCGACGCATAAAATGTGACGAAGGAAAGCCACACTGCCAGCGATGCCTCCTCACCGGCCGTCAATGCAGCGGGTATGCCACGTCGTCCGATGCCTCACCGTCGCTCGAGGCCGCCGCCGCATCGTCCTCGAGGACTATGGTCCTGGCCCCCAGGGCGGCCAACCACCCTGACTGGGACATAATGGATGCTATCAGATATTGTTCGTTTAAACCCGCCCTGTCCGCTTTGCTCCGCTTCATTTTTTTTCTTCGTTGATAGGGAACGTATGGCTTGGCTAACGGGGGGTTGTTTCGCCGCGTCGTTTAGTTGGGGCTGTCATGTTAAAGGAAGAGGCTTTCCACAACCCGGGCGACAGCATATTTGTGACGAGTTTCAAGCCTGATCTGCACATTGAAAAGATTACCTCGCGCGAGAGCTTCATTGCCCTCGTCGTCACCGATCGCATCGTCAACGCCTCTAACCAGGCTGGAGTCTTGCCGCGACAGGGCAGCCTCCCGGGCATCAACCACCTCTGGTCCTTGCTCTACCGACACATTGATATTGTCATCAAGGACCTGAACTCGCGCATAGCAGGTGGCGCCGGCATTGAGACCCTGCTTCGTCGATTGGTCGACCTGCTCAGCATTGATGTGAGCGCTTTCTCTTGGCTGCGCCGGAAAACGCTGCTAATTTGCTACGATAGCTGTCAATTATGGATCCTGCTTGGAGATCACACGTCGAGGGCTTTGCAGCTTTGGTCAAGCTTCACGGTGGCGTTCAAAAAGTTCTCAGCGTCAAGGCTGCTTCAGAACGCGACCAGAGAGTACCGCCAATGTCACTGCATTATGTTTTGATGTAACTAGCAAAGCCGCTCACAAAGACTCTGACGAACCAGTGCGCTGACAAAATTCTCTAGCTACTCTACGCTGGCCAACACAGCGAGCCCTGCCAGCAACCAAATCACCGGCCTTGCCAACTGGTCACCCGACGACATCACCGCCGCCTACTCGCACACGGGCTTCCATCCGGCACCCTGCCCAACCTCTGTGCTGCAGGACATTGTCCGCATCACGCGGCTGCGCACCATGTGCCTTGCTGAACCCACCATCACAGCCGCCTTTGTGCCCATTGCCCGCGAAGTCTCGCGGCTCCTGCAAACCTTTGTCCCCGAGGAGTGGACAGAGCCTTACGCCAAGCCCGAGGACCCGTGCATGCCGCTCGCCGGCGACCTGTACAAGACGGCCGCGCTCTTGTACGGGGTGCTGTCGCTGCCGCCCGTGCTTGCGGCCGAGTTTGCCATGATCCCCGGCGCGAGCCCTGGCCTGGACGAGGCCGCTGTCGTGGAGACGGGACGCCTGTTTTACGGTGCGTACCTGCTGAACCTGGTGGACCGGGCCATGACGGAGCTGCCGCGACCACAGGGTGTCAGCTGGCCAATTGCCGTGCTCGGCGTCGCTAGTCACGACGCCCCACAGGACATAAAGGCTCGGCTGCTGGGCTATCTGCAGAGGCTACGGCTGAGGCCCGGCGCGGACAGCGGCGCGGCGAATATCGACATCAAGCTGCGTGACTTCTGGTTCTTTGGGAACACGCAGTGGGAGGAGTGCTACCACGAGCCCATCAATGTCATTACCTAGGTGGCCGCGGGGTTGGATACATGTATAACGAGTCACTGGTGTGAAGCATAGCGATTGGGTGTTTATTTAATCCAGATACGAATTCCACAATCTGAGGGTCAGATAAGCGTTGAGTGTAGTTATGGGGGATGAGATGGATTACTGCCACAAGGCGGTCACCCCACTTAGTTTACAACACCAAATCAGAAACGGATACGAGGGGGTACCATGTCGACACGGCTTCCCCCTGATAAAATCTCCGAGAAGTGTCAAACTTTTCGTGTCACCTGGTGATTTGAAGCAGTCCAGCGTAGCTGACCATGCCCTTCACGAACTGGCTTTGGCGAGCCATCATCGCTTATTGTAACAAAGCTGCAACGTTCTTCGGGCGACTGCTTGGCCGCCTCCGTCAAACGACCGTGGATACAACTGTCCGGACGTCCCTGCACAACCCATACTCGTTCGTGGATACAAACTGACGTTTTCTCGCCAATAGACTCCCCATCCGCACAAATGCCCCCCATCTATAAGATACCACCGACGACCAGGACCTTGGCGGCGTAACTTGCTACCAGCCCTATCTGATGGCGCGTTTGTTATCCCAGACACGATACCTTATGGAGAAATATACTTTCTTACCAAGGGACACTATGTTGGCACAGGAGCGACATCATTTGTGGACAGACTCGAATCTGGCCATATTATCAAATACCCTAAACCGAATCCATACTGCCCCGAGGAAGAAAATCTATGCCGCCAGCAGATGGAGATTGAGGCAGAAGCTTATAAACGCATTGGCGATAGTCCGCGTGTTCCGAAACTGATTCACTGGGATGCTAGCGAATGCTCCCTCGTCTTGGAATTTCTTGCAGAGGGCGACCTGCCATCATACCTCGAGCGGTGCAACAACCAGGCAGTCACGGCCGAACAGAGACGAGTCTGGATGAAGCATGCTGCGGAGGCGGTGGCTGTAGTGCATTCGGCGACAATAATCCATTGTGACGTGACTCCCCGCAACTTTCTTCTGAATGAGGCTCTTGAGTTGCATTTAGCCGACTTTGCAGGTTCTTCCGTTGCTGGCTCCCGACCCTCCATCACAACCAGCGCCCGGTTCCAGCGACCAGGATGGAGCTGGGAACCGGCATACGCGGACGACCTCTTCGCGCTGGGCTCTGTGCTGTATTATATTCAGACTGGCCGCGAACCGTACCATGACATTCCTGAAAACGAGGTGCGGGATCTTTTTCAGGCAGCAGCTTTCCCCGATGTCTCTACGCTAGACTACGGGAGCGTTATTCGTAAATGTTGGACTGGAGAGTTTGGTAATGCAGAGCAGATTATCGACGCTTTATAATTTAGCTGGCTGTTAGTGGTGCTACCCCGCTAAAACTACGGCATCAGCCGCTGACTGGCGTGATGTGGCTGACGGGGCATTGAGCTGACTTCTACTCTTGCTTCAAAGGCTCATTTATTAGGCTTGCTGAATTTCTCCGCTGCGGAATGTATGTATGTATGTATACCTCGCCTAACAAATTGCATGCTTGCTTGGTGCATCAGACGCTTGGCCGCAGTTGTCCTAGCAGATAATGTCACGCTACAAGTGGATCCATTTCCTCGAGATTGTTCAACGAAATCAACAAGGGCTCAAACGCACGCTTCGATCATGAGGCTGATTTGGTCTTGTTTGAACAAGCGTCAAGGTTGTTGTCATGTGTCAGCTTCTCAGTGTCTTCGCATTTGCCTTTTCTTATCGCGGTCATCAAGTCCTCGAACCTCGCATAGATGAGTATATAAGGCAGGATCGGCACCAGTGGCGGATATGAGGAAAGAAGGAAACAACAGAAAACACATCACTTTACGCGCTGTCTGTTGCGACCTTTCTTTTTTCTTACTTCAAGCATTACTTGCCTCTAGCCACTATTTCGATATACTCAACCCCGCCGCGACAATGGTTACTAGTCTCAGGAACGTCCTTCAGCCTGACAGCAAAGCCTACAACATTGTCGTACGCAACAACGACGACAAGACTGTCGATTTTTCGGCCCCGTTTGGCCTTGCATCTATATCTGTTGGTCGCTGGATTGGCAGAGGAGCTGGCTGTACCGAAGTTACCATTACCAACATGAAGGGCAACGTCGCAACCGTTCAAGTCGAGGACAGTAACTGGAACATGATAATCACCGGCACAATTGCGGGCGGCGTCAAAAAGTTCAAGGTGGGCGGAGATAGGGACTTTAATATTGCCCTCACCCCGGACGGCCATCTTCGCTTTCAGTGTTTGGATGGAAATACCTGGTCAGACGGAGGTGAGAGCGTCATTGACGTCACTCTGCTCCCGTTCCAGAAGAAGTGAGCCCGACTATGTGCTTGTATGATGGACGGGACTGGTCGGACTTCTGCCCAAGAGAGTTGGAGATGGGTAGCGAGGTTTGTTTCGACGTCAGCCAATAGGGCTGCTTGGCCATGTTGAACAGACGGCAATAGATTGTTTCTGCTGGACCATATCCCGTTATCATAAGACCTAACCGGACACAGTGTTAATTATCTGACAACAGTCTTGAGTGCCACGCGATGCGACGAATGAAAGGCTAGAGACTGGCGTGCAACACCAAGGATAGCCACACTAAGTCTACAAATTTCTAGCAAGTGAAGAAATACACTTTTTTTTCTCCGCTAGCTTTTTTGAAAAAAAAAAGAGCATCTATCGGAACACTGCCGCGGCGCGGCAATGACGCCATTGCGACAGGGCAAACTCATTGTTGGAAGGAAGAAGCGCCGGAGATAACGGCCGCCATTTCCAAGCCGCGGAGGCTTGGTGAGTAAAAATAGGCATGTATATCCGTTGGCAGATAATAACTATCCAATTCATGCAGATATCAGATATCAGCAAAGTGCATCTGGTTATACATTTATCCTTTTCATTTGTGGGGTCCGGACATAGCTGAGCTATCTCCAGCTCAAATCCGCCCCGATCTTTGATAGGAGGCGAGCTTGGACTTGCGCTTCTGCCGTCATTCTATCACCGAAAATTGTCTTTCGTCTTTCGGACATATAGCAGAGATGGTATGCAGAGTGTATTATGTCCGGCCGGCGTCTTGCCAAAGCGGCGGTGACATCAGATTGCGTAACCATTAGCCCAGTTATTCTATGAAAAGGCCCGAATTGTGTAGATGCTCAGGAAATGGATTATCAAACGGCAGAACCCCTTCAAAATAAATATATAAACGCGGCAGGGGACACTTAATCCTGATCATAAACCTTGAACAACGCCATCAATTCGAGCACCTTGGCAAATTACCAACTAAAAGCACGCATCAGAACACCTCTCAAACGAAATAAACAACATGACGCAAGAATTCAAGGTTGGCGACACCAAAGTTTCTGTCCCGGGCTTTGGTGCCATGGGCCTGAACTTTGGCCTGGGAACTAGCTTTGACCTGGAGGCCGCCGAACCGGTGCTGCTGAAGGCGGTCGAACTGGGCTGCACATTTTGGGATACGGCAGTGAGTCCAACAGGCTGAGTATAATCGAGACGTTGACTGATTGGCGACGATAGATTGTGTATAAAAACGGAGAGAATGAAAAGCTTCTCGGTGACTTTATCAGCAAGCACCATGTTCGTGACAAGGTGTTTGGTATGTATGCCCAGCCAACGGAAAGCTACTCACATCACTAACCAACGCAAAATCATTAGTGGCATCAAAGTGCGGATTCGACCTCTCCAAGCCGACTCCGACAGTGACCAACTCGGCGGCCCATATCCACCAGTCCATTGAGGAATCAATTAGCAGACTCGGCTTTGCTCCCGACCTCTACTACCTTCATCGAATTGACCCTAGTGCGTTTGACCAGTTCTCTGCTCTCTACCTAGAAAAGACCTAACAGCATGATACAGAAACCCCCCTGGAAGAGTCCATTGGCGCGCTTGACGAGATTCGCCGTGCCGGGAAGACCAAGTACATTGGCCTCTCCGAGTGCTCTGCTGCCACTTTGCGCAAAGCCCATTCCAGTAGGTCTTCCTATCAAATTACTAAAAACTCGGCTAACCTGGAGCCAAAGTCGCCAAGATCGACGCCGTGCAAGCCGAGTATTCAGCATTCGAGACGCTTCACGAAACAGACGGCCTGATTGAGACGGCCAAAGAGCTGGGCATCGCCTACGTCGCCTACAGTCCTCTCGGACACGGCTGGCTCGTCGATGATTTCAAGTACAAGTCCCCCGACGACTTTGCGCCCGATGACTTTCGGCGCCGGTGTAAGTCCATCTATACCCACCTGCCAAAGTCTCACAGATGCTAACACTTTGCTTTCCCCGGCTAGCGCCCAAATTCCAAGGCGAAAACTTTTACAAGAACAAGGCCATTGTCGACGAGATCAAGAAGCTGGCCGGGCGCAAAGGCTGCACCGTGGCCCAGATTGCGCTGGCCTGGAACGCCGCGCAGGGCTTGATTAGCATCCCCGGCACGACGCGGGCCCCGCGCCTGCAGGAGAACTGGGCATCGAGGAAGATTCACCTCACCGAGGACGAGACGGCTGAGATTCGGAGGATTGTGGACGAGGCCAAGCCGGCTGGTAACAGGTACGAGGAAGTGCATCAGGCCATGGTTGGTCATTAGCGACCTTGAACACGGGCATAGTCATAGAAGCCAGTTGGGATTAAGCATTCGAACATGAAAGGCCTCGATGGTGGCCAAGGAAGGCGCATTACATAGACGAGAGTACAAACTAGCCCTCCAAAGGCAGCCCAAAAAAAGTCTCAACAAAAGTCTCAACCAGAGTTTGATGCCACTCTTGGCCATCTATGCAGTGTAGTGTCAAGAAACGGAACTTGATGTTAATGCTCCATGCCTGCAACCCAATTGACTCTGCTACCTCCCACAACTGAACGCACACACAGTCTCCCTGATGTACCTGGTTTGATGGCCTCCTGCGTTTGAGAGGCGAGGCGACGTCAAGCGGTCTTTAGATCTGAAGACCCTCGTACTTTTGAATCGCAAGTTCCAAGGTGGCGCTCAGCGAGTTGGCTTCGTTTGTCAAGTCAGCAGAGACGGACGCAAACGTGCTGATGAGCTGAATAGAAAGGTTCTACTAAAATTAGACAACGTATCCAAGTGCAGGTAGTAGAAACTGACATCGAGAGAAGCCTCATATGCGCGAAGAACGGCAGCCACAGGAGGGCCCACCAGCGGCACCTTCTCCAAGAGGCCAGCCTTTCCAATCAAGATGTTGAGTGTAGCCTGCGAGACTCTGACAAACTATTCTTCTGGTCAGCATCTTCTTTTTTCTTGCCGAACGCCGAGGGGGTCCAAGAACGAGCACGGGCAACATACTGTGCGGAAGGCGTCGCGGACAATAGCGCCGCCGTCCTCGCGAATCTCCAAAGCACGGCGCTCAGCCCCGGTGCCGATCTGGGCCGAGAGGGTGTTGGTGGTGCTGACAAGGTCGCTATAGCCGGCAATGATTTGCTGCGAGAGGATGTTAGTGACAAGGGGGGGGGGGGGGCCGAGAACGAGAGTGTTGTGGGCAATCGCCCGGGTGAAGACGTTACGGGAAAGGGACCCTGGCCGATGATGATGAGAGGCGCGTTGAGAATGGTGATGCTCTGGGCGGGGCCTTGGAGGGCAGACGTCTTCTGCGTCAGGACGTTGATGCCCGTCACGATTTGCTCGGGGGTGGCGGCGGCGGCGGCCAGGGCGGCGAAGCCGGCGGCGAAGAAGCTGCCGAAACGCATCTTGGAAGGGAACTTGGGCAAGTAGAGTGTAGGGGGAGAGAAAGGAGTGGGCGACTTTTGCAGTGTACCAAGGAATGAGAGGGCGATGAATGCTTGGATGCAATGTGAGAGGTGGTGGGTGAATGCCGCGTTTTATAGCCCGCCGACAAGGCAATTACATGACCGTAGACCCCCCCCACCAAAGGGAGGACTTGAGGTCCATCGTGGGCTTTTCCGGCCATGCTGAATGGTCGGTAATTGCGCCTCAGAGAGAGAAGCCCAACGGGAAGCTGTCGTGGGAAACAAGCAGCCACAGCTCTCCGCTCCATGTCTTGCCCATTCAGCCTAGAAGGGCAATTGCGACGAGCTCCATTACCTGAGCTAGTATTGCCCCGCATATCTTTCCGATCATGCGGAATAGTCGCTGTACAGTAAACACAAGGGTCCATTTATCAAGTACCTACGAATGTTGTCTTGATGAGTTGTCTCAACTCAATGGCCGGGGGAGGGGTGGATGCTGACAAGTTTACTTTGCCATCATATTGTACCAACTAGTCTCTTTGATACAAAACGCGAGGGATCGTAAATTATACTCGAGTTGTCGGCTAGAAGTCCCACCACACTCGTTGGTCTTTCATGAACTCTTTCGCTTGAATACTCATGATTTAACTCACAGCTAGAAATTTGCAGCGTATTCGCGACCACTTGTGACAGAATCCAGCAAAAGAGCCGGACCGCACTCCCTTCGCTGGGCTGTTTGGGTCGCCTACGTTGGTTATGGGGCCCGGCTGGTTCTTGGTGATGTAAATGCCATAGCTGAAGAGATGACCAAATGCAAACGCGAGCCGAGTATGGGCGATTATACAATCCTGGTGCTACAGCGGGCCGTGCTTTAGTACAGATGCAAAACGCCAGCTGAAAGACCACCTCAACAGGGGATTACCATGCCGGGCCGCGGCCATATATGGGGACTATCGCAATACAGAACTATAAATGCGGTCATGTAGAATGAGACAGGGTAACTGCTCGGGCCTCTAGCTCAATAACCAAAGCTGGGTCTGAAGTGGTAGCGAGCCGTTGGTAGTCTCTGAGCATCGCACTCTGTTGGCTAACACAACATCTGCCCAGTGGTCATTTTTCATATATATATATATATATTTTTCACCGCCTGACGACTCTAATACAGTTGTCGCAATAACTAGCTTCAGACCCGCCGCCTTGTCTTGTATACCTGCTTTTCGGGTATCTAACCAACCTAACTACTATTAGCCTGGCGTGCAAGACAAACTAGGATCGCGGCTGGCTGAACCAAGCAAAAAGGGTCCACGATGTGAATCCGCTTCTTTGGGGCGTGTCAATGGGACGAAAATATTACGGGAATCTATGAATTCGAACCCTTGTGGGCGCAATGTGATCTCTTCGGATTGAACTTTGCTTGTAAGTGGTGCTAGCGTGTCGGGATGGCGCCCAGTTTACCCGACTGTGTCATTCCATGACGGCAGCCCCTGGAAATTTTGTGAGCGATTTATAAGAGGCATGAAATCGTACCATTTTGAGACAAGACACGTCGTCGGAGGTCTAGGCATGAGCTGGAACAAGAGCGCCCTTCATACTCGCGAGTTGGGTTTGTTCGGGTAAGTCGATTGCTGTTCTCGGAAGAGAACTTTCAGACGGACGACAAGAGAAAAACGTTCTTGGAGCTTCATCTAGTTATTGTTTACCAAGTACTCTATTCATGGAACTAGTTAATATAAACTCGTCTGTTGTTACAAATCCCACCTAGACCCCAGCGTTGATGCATGCACTTGTGAGCTGCCAGTTTCGACACATATAAATCAACAATGACCAAAAGTGCAATATATGTATAGAGAGGGGAAGCTAATGGTACCTGTTCAAAGGAAATCACAAAGACGTAATGGATATGAAAGGGAGTGTGATCACATAGTGTCCAACAGTCGAGGCTTCACGGCGGTTGCTGACTGGGCATATTCACTCTTTCCCAACCAGCGCTTCGTAACGCGGCACATGCCAGTTCTGGACGCGCTCCTTCATGAAGGAGTCGGACGACAGCCGAATGCCGAAAAATGTAGCCGCGCGCAGACAATAGTTGGTCAAGGCAATTCCGACACTGGATGACGACATCATCCTGGAGAGGATGGATCCTTCCCCGACACCATCCTGCACCTGATGCATAAACGGCCGAAATCGCGCATCATACGCCGCCAGCGCATCCTGCAGCGTAGAATGCCCGGGGCCTCCATCGACCTCTTCCCCCGCGCCCAGCCGGCTCAGCTCGCCCGCAAGCACGTACGCGCCGACGACACCGCACGTCGGCCCCATGCCCGTAAGCGCCGACGGGCAGTACGCCGCATCGCCTACAAGTACCACCCGCCCCTTGTGCCACGCCTCGAGCTTGACAAGCCCGATTCGCTCGCAGTAAAAGTCGTCCGCCGCGCGCAGGCCCGCCACCAGCTCCGGCATGCGCCAGCCCGCGCCGGCATGGCTCGCCGCAAACGCCTCCTTCTCGCGCACCACGTCGCCGCGGCGCACCGTCTGCAGCGCCGACGAGGTGCACGCCATGTACACCTGCAGGAACCGGGGGTCGGTGCGGCGCGTCACGACGCTGCGTCGGCGCGAGGCCAAGTACAGCGTCGCGTCGAAGCCCTCGCCCGCGCGCAGGGGCTGTGGCATCGTAAAGTAGCCCGCGTGCAGATTGGGAAGCAGCCGCAGCGCGGGATCGGGCGAAGTGTTGGTGCCGAGCATCAGACGGCGCGTGCGCGACCACTGCCCGTCGGCGCCGACGACAAGGTCGAACATCTCGGTGTGGTTGTCGGAGAAGGTTACCGTAACGCCGCCGGCGTCGGGAGTATCTCGAAGGTCTTTGATGGACGAGTCAAAGATGTACCGGACGCGGCCGCCGCCGGCGAGCGACGCATCGTGTAGGAGCCGACACAGGTCGCCGCGCATAATCTCGTACTCGCTGGTACAGTTTTGCTCGCCCGTGTCGAACGTGTTGGCGGCAAAGTAGGCGAGACGGGTACCGGCGCTGTCGACGACTTGCATGCCTTGCTCCGGGGCCGCTTTTTCTTTGAAGGCGGCGTCGAGGCCCATGAGCCGCAACACCTCGATTCCATATCCGCGGAGGTCGATCTGGAGACCATTTACGCGGAGCGAGGGGGAGCGCTCGACAACGGTGATGTCGTAGTGAAGCTTGGAGAGCAAAAAGGCAAGGGCGGTGCCGGAGATGCCTGCGCCGCTGATGAGGACCTTCATGCTGGAGGGGTGCAAGAGGAACTGAATGGGAGAGGCAAGAGTAACTGAATGGGAGAGGCAAGAGTAACTGAATGGGAGAGAGAGGCAAGGAAAGTCTAATGTCTTTGGAACTCAAGATTGATTTAGCAGGACAAGGCGGAAATTTATATTCAATCCATCAGGTTCTGTATCTCCGTCGCACCTATTATGCCCAGACTCAGTCACTCGGTACATCGGGATCAGTGGATACAGTGGATACAGCGGGTTGGTTGTGGGTTGGTTGTGGCGAGGGTTGAAGGTACTGGCTCGCGCTATGAAGCTGTGACTAAGTCACCGATTTTTGCACGAGGTATGCCTCACAGCCAGAGGCCGTTTTTTAGCCGCTCCGGCTGTGCCTTTGACAGTGCCTTTGACAGTGCCTTTAATAGTGCCTTTGATCGTGCCTTTCTTAATTTAGGGCCGCTTCTCGGCCGAAAGACGGGGACGGAGACATGCGAGGCGGAGATAACGAATAGCGCACCAAGCCGATATTGGAACGCCACGGCCCCCGACTCTACAACCTTTTTGGAGTTGGAGTTGCCCTGGCTCGCTCTTTCAGCATCCAGTTACATGGGCCACGTCGTATTATGAGAATCCCGTGTCCGAAAAGAAACAATCCATGCCGATTTCCATATCCAAATATCCCGCGTCGAACCCGCCGGCTGGGAACCCCGCGTCCGTCGGCGTATTCGTCACAAACGAACCAAGGCTGCTCTCCAAGACGCCATAACAATGAGCAAGCGCATCCCGCGCGCTCTGCGCAATCTTCATCTCGCACGGCTCGCCATTCTCCATGGCCTCAGTCATGGCCAGCACCATGGCCAAGAAGACGTAGCTCTTTACGTTTGTCTCGCCGTTGCTGATGCGCTTCTCGCAGCGCTCGAGCATATCGACAACGGACCGCTTCAGTGCGTCGCGCACGGTGCGCGTCCGGTGCAGCGTGCCATCGGCCTGCTGCGTCTTGGTTTGGACGATGAGGTCGAGGCTGATGGCCGTGTTGGCGGACCGCAGGCCCTCGCGGAACAGGCCGCCGGCCGAGTCCAGCAGGCGGGCGAAGCGCGCGTCGGGCTCTGGGTTGATGAGCGCCAGGCTCGCCTCGGTGCAGGCCTTGAGCGAGTAGTGGAAGGCGAGCGTCGTCCGGGCCTCGCAGGCAAAGGGGCTGTGCAGCGGCACGACGAAGCGCCGGAGGAGAAAATCGACCATGTTGCGCTGAAAGGGAGATATTTGATCGGGATAACTCTGCAGGGCCAGCGTTGCTCTTCTTTGGGCGGTGCTGAGGCCGGCGCTGAGGCTCATGGCCTCTGGATAGGAGAGGTCGGCCTTTATGCCATTCAAGTAGCGCACGATTCTGATGCGAGCAGGAAGAGCGTAGACGAGGTGGCGCTGTAACGTGGTGTCTGTGCATTCAGACTCGGGTTTTGGATGTAGGGCTTGGGTATTCTCGTCCAAGTCGCTGTCGTTGATGTTGGAGGGAGGCTCGGTGTCGTATTCCTCTGGCGAGATCCTTGGAGGCATCGCAGTATCCAATGATCCTTGTACGAGAAGTTCCAGAATAGTGTACCATAGTCTGCGCCGCAGCTCAGACTTAAGAACGGACATGCCTTGGAAATGCTTGGGGTCATAGTGCAGACCAAGCTGCATGGCACGATGGAGCAGAGAGCCAAGCGACATCCACACCAGATCGCCACCTACCGAGTAGATTTGTCGGGCCACAATAAGCAAGCAGTATATTTGCAAGCCTCCGGTATCCAGACGATCCTTTTCCAAGGGGCCTGCGAGCCAAGTCTGCGCAGCGTATATCCATTGGTGAATTTGAGCGATGCTGGGAATCGCGGGGGACGTTTCGCTACGATCCTGCAAGCTAGTTCCAATGGAAATGACCAATAATATCATGAGGCGAGTTTCCATGGTTGCCGTGCTTTCGCTTTTCCAAAACCCATCGTACAACTTCCAGAAGGAAGGGATGTGCAGAATCCTGATGGTGGATTCGTAGTAGGTAAAGTACTCGGTCGCCATGGCGTCGGCAACTTGGCGGCTAGGAAGAATCAAATCGTATCCTTGCATGCCGAATAGTCGGCTTGGCCGCCATATTTTGGAGGAGCGCGCAAGTCGCTTGCACTTCTGCAGCACCTCTGCCGCGTCGGCCAGCACTGTCTTGGCGGCCGGCGACAGGTCAGAATCTTCTTGGCGGGGGGCGAGAGTTGCCAAGTAGCAGGAAAATATAGGCCCAAACTGTTTCGAATGCGTCAGTTTACTACCGTGCTATAATTTATGTCATGTAATGAACAGGTTGCATGGACTATAGCGTACCTCTTGTCCAGCCCCCATCCAATGGCTCCATCGCAAGATGCGAGTCTTGTCCAGCACAATCTGCGCATCGTGTACCGCAGATTTACGTGCAAATATTCGATCATCCCGCTGCGGAAGCCGGGACACAAAAGTAGCTTGGTGAGCATCTGGCACCCTATCCGCGTCTACTGTCGCCTGTGTGGGCTGCGATGCCGGCGGGCTCTGCAACGCGGCTGGGGGCAGCGCCGCTGTCGTCTCCTGCTGGGCACTGCTGCCGTCGGCAAAGGAATCCGGTGTGTTGCTCCCAGAGGAGAAAATCACCGAGCGCCAGTTGTTGGAGCGCGGCTGCTGCTGCTGCTGCTGCTGCTGTTGCTGTTGCTCAGCCGCCTGCCACAGCTGCGGCGACGGGGGTGCCTGGTAGTGGCATGCCTGGTGCGTCTCGGTGCAGTGCTGGCATGGCTGCTCGCGGTTGCACTTGATTTTGCGGCGACGGCAGGCCATGCACGAAAGGACCCGTCGCCGCCGTCGCCGCACCTCGCTGTGAGGCCGCTGCTGCTGCTGCTGCATGTGTCTCGAACAGGGAGCTCGTGGGTGTACAACGAGGAGGGTCTCGACTGTGCGTTTGTCGTGCGAGCGCCAAGTTGGCCGAGGCTATCTCCGTCTCGGAGAAAAGGGGGCTCCGCCCGAGCGGATATACGTGGAGATGCCTGAGGCGGGCTTAACTCCGGCGGAGGAATGGATGGCTGCGAGGTCGCGAGGGGAATAATACTTGAAAGGGGCGGAAACCCAAATCACTACCTGATTTTCCATTCTTTTTTCTTTTACATCGACCATCTAAATCTAATCTACATCGCAATGTAAAAAGGCACAGACGCGCTTTCATCCCACCTCGATACGTTGGCCCCCACTGCCACAACGGCCACTAGTTATTAGTTCACAGCAGTCTAGTGCAAAAGTCATTTGCGATTAGTTTGATCAAATTGCAAAGGACTACAAAAGTCAAAACCCACCAGACTTTAAATATAATAATTTCTTTATCGCGACTTGGGTTTACTCTCAAGTAAGCCGGAACGTAAGGCCAGCCATACGAGACTTGGGTTCGGAGGAAAGACGAATCAGGCATCTCACAACCTCATACTTGGCTGTCTCGTAGATTCTTAGCGCTTCCTCTTCTTCATGAGATCTGACCAGGTACACCACCCCTTCCACAGTGTCGTCTTGGTCACTATCGACCAGGCCGCGGTATTTATTCGCCCACATCGTCATTGTTGCTCCAGATACTTCCGCTGGCTTATATGTGATGGAATTCTCATCAGAAAGTCCAAGAACACGGGCGAGGACAGTCCGATCGGCCAATGTGCCATAGAAAAAATATGGAACAGGGTATTCATTCTGCGCCGGCTGAAAGCATTCTGTACTTGATTGCGGCCTATGCTGAGGGAGAGTTGAATCGATCCCAAGTGTCGGATACCTCGAGTTATCAGACAGATTCTTCGTAGCTATTGAAACCTGGATAAAAGTTGGTCGGAATTGGATGCTATTAGATAAAGCAAGATTGCATAGAAGTAGGCTCTTCATCTGTGCAGTCATATAGCAAAATTGCACAGATTTGCCATCATCATCCAGTCCTGAGACAATGTTCAGTTTATCTGTGTTGAGGAGGTCTTGAACTGTGCGGATGCTAGGGAGTGTTTCTTGAATTCGAAGCAAATACATGCTCTTATCGGCGGCCGTACTGGTGATGTTCTGGGGCTTAAGTCTCCATCCACGGGCTAGACTGTACGCATACGACTCTTTGTTAAAGCCAGATGCGGCTTTAGATTCCTTGATCGTTTCCCAGGCGGATTGGGAGAGGGATTCACGGCCAAGGTCTAAACGCCAATTGGTAATCTCCTCGATGGCTTCGGCGCGAGTTAGCTGAAATAACACACGCCAGTGTTCGACATCAGAGTCGGAAATTTGAAGATCAGAAGTGTCGATGGCGTTGTACTCGAGCACATTAGATGCAAGGCTCTCGCAAGCACTCAAGAGATCCATGTCTAATAATGAGTGTAAAATAGTCGACTGGGGAATGACGGATGAGGATGCTACCGGGGAAGAAGATGGGAAAAGTGAGAAAATGGCAAAAGTTCAGGTGAAGAAGGAGCAATAGTGGACCGGACCACTTGCTTATATATTACTGCAAGCTTGATGGCGTCATATCTCTTAAAGAGACTTTGCAGCATGTTAGGCTTTTCGTGCCAGCAATAGAGGGATACGTGGCTCAACATTCCCGTAGTACTAATGGGACATGGACACATGTCCACATGGCGGATTTAGCTTTTACGTATATAGGATAGGCGCTGATAAAAAGGCCCTAGGATAGCTTAATCTATATCCGTAGTCAAATTTCAATTGTAAAATTTCAATTGTAAAATTTCCATTATAAAATTTCCATCGTAAAATAGATACAGTTTCTATCAAATCTTTTTGCCCTAGTAATCTGTACAATGCAGCGACTGCTGAAAAGAGGCTGCCTGGATCAGTCCGGTCTCGACAACATGGCCAGGATGAAGCTTGTCAACAGAATAATACTGTAACCTGTCCGCTAATCTTGAGAGGGTGTGATATGTTTGTCTCACACGGCCCAATCAACATTTGCAGCTGTTTCCGAAACCGCATCACCATTTCGTCCGTTTCTCCGTTGGATCCAGACGAGTATGGAAGTCGCGAACGGACCCAAGGATGGACTAGTTCTGCGAAACGTCGTGATAATAATGCAATAAAATCCGGTAAAAATTGTATGAATTCGGACAATAAACATGCATCATCGACGGATGCATATGATGGCACAGCACGGGCGCACCTGTGCAACTCAACACCGCGAGGTATACACCAGCCGCAGCTGAACTAGATGGCTTTATATAGTATTCTCGAGAATCAAACTTTGAGGAAACGAGTATTTAGTATTGTATAAAACCTTGTATCAATTTCGTCTTGAACCTTCGTTGTAATGTATTGCAGCGAGAACGTTTCGTCCACCGAGCTCCGAACAACATGGACCACCAGAGCTGCCCTCCCAACGCGAAATCCTTCGAGGACTGAGGAGCAAACACAAACAGAACGGGACAGCACCCTGATTTAAATCCCTCCCAGTCGGAGCCTTCCCCTAAGCAAAAATCCCACGCGCGTATTCCCAGTTGTCATTTTTCGACGGGCTCCAAGTGTGCCGGACAAGCTACGGCTGCTTCGTCGGGTTCAGCAGCTCGCTGTACTTGACATAGGCGGCGTACGCCTCGTCCTTTCTGCGCAGGCCGTCGAGGGCGATCCACTGGTAGTAGTACGCCGTGGCCCTCATGCCGGCCGTCTCGCCGGGGAGGGTGCGGATGAGGGCAAACGTGCGGTCCGTCCACCGGAGCAGGTCCGTCCAGTGCTGCCGCGACGCCAGCTCCTGCATGCGGCTGGTGCACGTCTCAAAGGTGCAGATGAGCAGCGGCTGGCTGCTTGTGCTCATGATGGGATATTGTTTTGGTGCAAGGAATGGTGTTGTTTGGCAAAGGCGGCCCTGGCAAGGTGCGGTTTTTCGTGGCGAGGGGTTGTTGATCTGTCAGGCTGCACCATTTTTTTTTTTCGCTGGCCCGAGTCGAGTTGGCAAGGCGGCGTTGTACCGTCGCGTGGTATATGTAGTGAATCACATATGGATTTTTTTTTCTGGCCATCTATGGCTTGAAGGAGGCCCCATGGTGCAACCACGAGGCTCTACCTGTACTCCAGGTGGCGCGCGCTTCTTGTGTTGGTGCGACGCGGCAGGAGAAGCACCTGGAAAGGCTCGTTGGGCCGTGTCTCTGACGTACTGGGCGTGTGCTTGTCCAGTTCACAGTACTTCACTGCAGCTCATATATGGGTCAAGAGTGGGAGCCGTGAGTATGTGCAATGCGATAACCGTCAAGTCGAAGAGACGTGGGATGGGACGAGAAGCTGCAAACCAGCCGAGGGTTTGCATGGTGCGACCACGCCAAAGTGGCAATGTGCTCCGTTCTGCATTCTGTATTTTGCTCACAAGAACAGGACTGATGACCAGTGCTGATACTATTGAGGGTCTTTGTGCTGCTCTGTATTACATACGTTGGCTCGAGTTACCAAAGGCCGTGGTCTCAGGTCAAGTCGCCGGTGTAACTGCCGTTTCGCCTCCGTGATGAGCTGCACTCTTCTCGGGCGCAATTGGATGTAGCCTTGGGTACCATATTGTATGCTGACGCTGAACAGACAGGCACTCGCCTTCACAGGGACCTCAAGCTCCCGCCCGATTCTTCTCCATCCTGTCCCCCTGAAACATAGCCCGCGTATTGAGGCCTGTTGGATGGATTTAATTAGAACTTTTTGTAAAATTTAATTTTGTAAGGTCCCCGCAGGCGCCGTTTGCCCTTCTTAGGGATTCCCACCGGCGTTAAATAGAAATAAATAAATAAATAGCCCGCGTATTTAACCAGCCAAGGCCGCCTCGGTATTTCCGCCCGTTTATTTAGCTTCCGCCCCAGAATGAATCACTGTGGAGGCATCCCGATTAGGCCATGTGAGTCAACCGACTCGAGCTAACTTCGCTGGGCATTTCCGGTTGAAGAAGATCTAGTCAGCGTTGGAAAAATAAACTATATATATTTATCAACTGTCATTGGGATGATTGGAAAGACTAGAGTAGCCAAAGTCATTCACACCTTATTCACTCAATTGCCAGCTTGTCTCCATCGCCTCTTTCAACTTCAGAGCGACCACCTTCAACACCATCAAAATTATCGGAAACGGAGAAATCAGCAACCATTTAACCGCAAACATGGAGAGCAAAGCGCCTTCATTCTGCAGGGTTTGTAATGTATCACTAGCTAGCCCAAGCGACTGGCGACAGCACGCAAAGAGCGAATGGCAGTACGTCGTACAACTCCCACTAACGACGATGGTGGCGAGACCCTACTAACAGTGTTAGTGTCTACCATCTTCGGGTCAAGGTGGCCGAGCCTGGCACCGCTATTACACCCCCGTCCTCATCTCCGCGCCGACAAAGAAGTGCAGCCTCAAGTCGACATAATGAGTCAGACGAGGATATAAACGACGTCACTTCTGAAGACTCGCGTTTAGGTCCTGTCGCTGCAGATTTCGATGCCCTGCAATGCCTGTTTTGCAGCACCGCCAGCACAAGCTTCAGCAACAACCTACAACACATGGCCAAAGCACACGGCTTCACAATACCGTGCCAGGAACGTCTCACCGTCGATATGGAGACCATTACGGTATACTTGCATCTCGTCATCCATGGCTACCATGAGTGCATTCAATGTGGGTGTCGTCGACGGACGGTTGAGGGCATTCAGCACCACATGATAGCAAAGGGACACTGTCGGTTCGACATTGTCTCTGACATGGAGGAATTTTACACTATTCCCCCTCAGAACCATACAGCCGACGCAGAGTCACTACTTTTGCCCTCTGGTAAACTCCTTTGCAATCCCACCACAGCTCGCGGACCGCAGCTGTCGCGTAAACCTCGCCCTTCGACCAGGAGGCAGACGGCGCTGGCGACACGGCCCAGCACAAACAGTATTCATGCATCAGCGCAAAACAGCAGCGATGCGCAGCTCTCGCCCGACACGCGGCTGTCGTCGCTGACCAGGGGAGACCAGCAAAGCTTGGCGCACCTCAGGGACTACCAAGTGCGGTCCTTGGTGACGACCGGCGCAAGGCAAGGCAGTGGATGAGGCGAGGCGGGAGGCCAAGCATTCCGAGCTCAAGCTCTCCAAGGCGGGAAATGTGACGCTCATGGGCACGTTTAGAGCGGATACGTCGAAGCGATTTCGAGGTCCTTGGGGTTAGTACCGAGCGATTTCGAGGGAAATTGGATTGCAATCATGTATGTCGAACATGTGTGATACTACCCATACATGCGCTATCTAGCTACCTGTCTTTGTTTTTTTGCACTGGAGCCGCAATATTGGACAGTGTGAAAAGCATCATTCGTACTTTGCACTGTGCGCCTTCTGAGCAAGGATCTGGTGGGAATTGCGTCCGCCCTCCGCCTCCGCCCTGACACACCCTGACACTAAAACAAACGCCATCAAGTTGGCATTAACCAAGTTTACAGGCATGAAATTACCCCACGTCATCAGTCAAGCCGTTTGCCCATCATGCCGTTGTATCTTGGACGCGCAGATGGTTAGACCTTTCGATCCGTCGACGTCTCAGATGACGGCTGGCTGGCTACTCTCCTGGTTCGCCGAGAGCCGCAGCAACCCGTCCAGAGACCTCATCATTGTGTGAATGAATGGTAGGCTGGGCGTCCTCCTCTCTCGTCGATCTCGAAGAGTGCGCAATTGAAATGTCACGGAGCGCATCGCGCATGCTGGATCAGTGCTCGATGCGCCAGCCAGCTCTGGCCTACGGCGGCCGTCTGCCCGTCCTCAACGGCAACAAAGATTACATTGTCAACACGCCCGGCCAGCAGTGATCTCTTGTCCGCGGAGTGCCGGATCCGCAAATTTCAGGACCTGCCAGAAGATGTCCAGTTGACGGGCCTTTGGAAAGCCACGGAGACAGGCGGCTGGTGTCTGTGGGCGTGAATGGGGGCGGGCATGGGGTGCCGGACTATCTGCCCGAGGCGAGTTACCGGATTTTGCCACGCTGGATTTTCCATGAGTGGCGCTGATGCCAAGGTGCTTGGTATTGTTTCTTCCGGAAGAATCGTTCCCGGAACGTTCACTCTGGAGACTCGTCTTCCTTAGCACTGGCGCTTTCGTATGGCAACATGGGTGGCACGGCGGACCCAACATGTAGTATTTCTACAGCCCATATAACAACACCGCTGCCGTCACATTCTCATTAGGTTGTATTGATGTAAGCAATGAGATTGTTAACGTCATAGCAACCTACGGCTGGTCGCATCGCGTACTCTCCCGCCCTAGCGAGCAACACCTGATCTGCCACGAGCGGTAACTTGGCTAGATCAATGCCACATGACCGGATTTGTAGCTTCAATTTTTTACTTCATCATACAGATAGATGTAGTACAAGCTACGTTACTGCCGCTTTAATATATACCCTTGCATGCCACGCCAGTGACAGCGTGGGGTAGCCGTCAGCCCAAGTCTGTCATCTTCCAATCGCATGCCACTGCCCAACCGCCGCCGTCCTGCAATAGGAAGTCGACTCTCTGGACAATGTGGGATAATGCGTCCAAAGTTCTTACGGGTTTAATCAACGTCCTGCATTGATTAATTCCACGGGGGGTGGTGCATGACGTGCAAAAAGGTGGCCAGGTTGTAACGGGAAATAGATTGCTGTGGAGGTCCCGTCGGCGAGCGAGTAAGGATGAAGCTCTTTGACTTTCGGCCAACTACGGGTGATTATGCAAAGGGCAGCCCGGGACTAAAACATCCTGCCGCTCGAGTCCGAATCTGGAAGGTAGCTGCTTTTTGCTAGTGTCATGTTGACGAGATGGTTTCAGCGCAATGCTCCGCGCTGGGACAGAGTGGTGGGAGCATCAGTCCTCCATGTTACGGTGTCATAGCAAGACGACTAATACCAGGTGGAAGGAAAAAGAAGCAACGGGATGTAACACCGTAGATTTGAATCTACTCACGACTATATATACAATGTTGTCTTGCCGTTCTAGCTTGGCAATTCCCAACTCAACTCACCATCACCATCATCATCATCATCGTCATCCCAAACAGCTTCACCATGAAAGTCATCAGCACCATCCTCGCCGCCTCCAGCCTGGCCTCCCTCGGCAGCGCGCACATGGAGATGAAGAGCCCTCCCGCTCTGCGCTCCAGCTTCAACCCCAACACGGGCGACAACGTCGACTACGACATCCGATCGCCGCTCAACTCGGACGGCTCCGACTTTCCGTGCAAGGGCGACCTCGGGCTGCTCAGCACGCCCGCGGGCCGGCCCGTCGCGACCTGGGCGCCCGGCGGCACCTACTCCTTCGTCATCCACGGCAACACGCCGCACGACGGCGGCAGCTGCCAGGCCTCGCTGTCGTTTGACGGCGGCCGCACCTTCAAGGTCGTGCACTCGTACGTCGGCAACTGCCCCGTCGACGGCGACTCCAGCTACCAGTTCACGCTGCCCGGCGACACCCCCGCCGGCCAGGCGCTCTTTGCCTGGAGCTGGTTCAACAACGAGGGCAACCGCGAAATGTACATGAACTGCGCCGTCGTCACCATCGCCGGCGGCAGGACGCGCCGCGACGCTGCTCCGCTTGCCGGCAGGCCTGACATGTTTGTCGCCAACGTCGGCAACGGCGTCTGCACGTACGAGGGCACCGATCTCGAGTTTCCCCAGCCCGGCCCGGATGTGACCAGGAACACGCGACGTCCGCATGCGCCTGGCCGCGGCACTTGTGATATCTGGGGCGGCGGCGACGACCAGTAGGTGGGAACTGGCAAAGGGCAAATGTCATCGTGATGACAGCACACGAGTCAGCAACGCATGTAGATAGGACCGATTTGAAACTTCAGATTGTATATATTACTTCAATTCATATTGTGTCTTCATCTCCGTCCCGTAACCATGCTGTGTGCACTTCTTCCTACGTTCAGCTTGCCGCATGGGCCTCCAAGTAGGCTTTGGTCTGCCAGGGCATTAGCAGATATAGCCGAGAATGCGTCCGGAGGCACTTGCATGTGCAAAAATATCGTAGCCACTGACATATGCTCTCGCAGAAGGTGTATACAAGTTTGTCACTTTTTCCGGCGGCTCGAAACCGTGCAGGTCGTTTGGTGGCGGCCCGGCCGGTGGTGTTAGCCGCGGCCCTCCCATGTTGGCTTCATGTATGCGCATTCTTTCCAGTGCCGCATCGCGCGCCTCCTGCTCGGGGCCGTCGGCCAGGTGGCCAAACTCCATGTTCATATGGCCGGCTTTGGAGATGAATGTGGTGCGCGGTTTGCGAATGGCCTCGAACGCGGCTGTCGCTTCCGCAACGGAGCCGCTCCGCAAAAGGCAGCCCGCCAGGCACGCGCCGTCTTCGATCGAAGTTCCAGCTCCCTGGTTGTGATTTTAGTGCCGAGACATACAAATGGTACGTGTCAGCTCACCTGCGCGGCAAAGGGGAGCACCGCGTGCGCCGCATCGCCAATCAAGACGACCCTGCCGTTGCGGCTGCTCCATCGGTCCAGCACGGGCAGATCGGAGAACTGCCAGACGTAGCATGTCCCGGTCGCCAAGCTCAGACACTTTTGCAGACGCGGCTCTGCGTCCGCAAACTGCCGCCTGACGTCCTCGACATCGTGCGGCTTGTCCCAGACGCCCGCCACGCCGTCGTCGCGCTCGGTGCAAAAGACAAACGTGCAGGTCGAGGGCAGATCGACGCCGACCACGGTCTGTTTCGGTCCGACCCAGAATCCGCTCCTGTTGAGCAGAGAGTCGAGGTCGTTGTGGCCTCGGAGCTTCTCCCGGTCGACGTTGATGCTGTATGCCGTCAAGCGGTGCTGCACGGCCACGGGACCAAGCATCCTCTCCCGAATCCTAGAGCGGACTCCTGCTCCTCGTTAGATGAACAACATGGACGGGGAATCAACTACTCATTACCGTCGGAAGCAATCACGAGATCAACGGAATGTGTCTCGCCATTTTCTAGGGCGAGAAGGGGCCGGTCGGCCTCGGCATCAATGTCCACGACACGCGCGGCGAACCGGCACACTGCTCCGAGTTTCTCGGCTTGCGCCAAGAGAATGCGCAGCAAGTCGCCCCGGTTGATATTCCAAATGCTAGATCATCAATGTACATTCCATCTCATGAGAATGCGCAAGTTACTCACGGCGACTTGTACGCCCTCCGAGACACATCGGCCGGCAGGTTGTAGAGCAAACGACCGTCCGACAGTCTGTGAATATTATGCACCGACCGCAGCTCCGGCAGGCACGCCTCAATCTCCTCGGCGACGCCATACTCTCGCAGGACACGCGTCGCGTTGGTGTGGAGCTGCACGGCGCCGCCAAAGGTCGGCTGGCAGTTTGCGTACCGCTCGAGCACGGTGACGCGGTGGCGCGCGCCGTCGCCGGCGAGCAGGGCAATGGCCGCGGTCAGGCCGGCGATACCCGCGCCGACAATGGCGATGTCGAGGGCACTGCTGCGCTTGTCCGGTGGCATGTTCGTCTACGCTGCTGGTCTGCGAAGGGGTGGTGCGAGGGGAGACCTGCACGGGCAGGGTGAAGAGGGCCAGCCATCTGTAAATATGGCACGGCGCTTGCATCGGCAGTACGACGGGACACGGCGTGATCGTGATCGTACTGCTGCCTGGCGGAGTCGACGGCGCGGGGTACAGGAAGACACAAGGCGTATAGCACAGATCTTTTCCACATTCGGTTGATGGAGGTTCGCTTATCATTTATGGCCAGTGAGATATCATTTAATAGAATGTTGATCGAGACTCAAGAATGCGACGCTATACAGTTTTCAAGAACCCGGCCACGGTAACCCCCGTCATCAACCCTCCCCTATTCTCCCACCATCGTCTCGCCGCTCTCCATCACACCAACATCCTTGATCATCTCAATAAAGCACAGATCCTCCGGAATCACACACGCCGCAAACGCCGCAGCACCGCGCGGAAACGCACTCGTCTCGCCCGTCGCGCGATAGCCACGGCTCCTATACCACGCCAGCAGCGCCGTCCGCGACGACAGCGCATTGAGGGACATGCTCGTGACGCCCCATTCCCTTTGGCAGTACGCCTCGGCGTACGCCAGCACCTGGCCTCCGACGCCGCCGCGCTGGTACGCGTCCTGCACGATGAGGTTGCCGATGCGGCCCGTGTCGGCGGCGGCGCCGCGGCGGCCCACGTTGACCGAGGCGATGATGTCGCCGCCCGCCGCGGCGAGCACGGCAAACGTCACTACGCCGGGCACGGAGAGGTCGGCCTTCATCTGCTCCAGCTCCATGGTGTACTGGGATGCGAGCGCCGCGTCGCCGGTCCAGCCGGGCCGCGGGTCGTTGGTGGAAAAGGCGTGCTCGATGAGGGCGCGCAGGCGAGGCGCGTCGTCCATGGTGGCGAGGCGAAAGATGAGTTCAACCATTGTGTAGGGATGTTGCGTGGCGATGAAGGGTGGTAAGCTTCCCGAGTCTCTTCACGGATCTACCTGCTCCTTATATAACAGGCTTCGGGGCTTCTAGATTCACCGCAGCCTCGTGAGCCTCGAGGATCCTCCTGCCTTGCTCATCTCCGCCATTGCTGACGAGCCTCTCTGGTTAACAACACCCACCTGAGTCCCGCAGGGCGCGCCGTAGAACCGGTGACGGCGCACTAATAAAGCTGCGCACCGCGCTAATACCGGTGCTAGACCTTGATCGGTTCAGATCAATAGGCGTCCAGAATGTCCAGAATGGTTCGCGCACCAGTATTTAACATCAAGGCAGCAGCAGGGAATCCGGGCTCAAATAAGCAGTGACATTGAACAGATGCCCATATGCGCCCTGTAGAGTGGTGAGATGTCATCTCGGACAATTTGCGCGCCCTTGCTCGCCGTGTCGTGTCCTTGACATATTTTATCTGCCAGAACAAACTTGCTCGCCAAGAATTGCATAGAATTCCAGTGCAGATTATTCTTATGCCGGCGTCGCCGCATTTTAGATGCACTCTCCAGAACTGGCGTCAACTACATCTCGCGCACCGAAGCAGAGGGCCTTGTATTTCTACCCCAAGTCGAATTGTCGTGCACAAGTAAAATATTTAATAAATACAACAGAAGCAAAAACAGCAACGACAGATTCCATACTATTTCCCTCGCTACTGACCCTCCTTGCTGTTCGGCTCAACCACCACGCGCAGCCCCCGGCCCCCCGGACGAGGCATCGGTCCGAAATAATCCCCAAAAGCGTCCCAGTCGCTCCTCTCCGTCTCAAACAACCTGAAGCGAAACCCGCACTCTGGCCCAAACAGCCGCGCCACAGTCAGGTACAGGTCGGTATAGGCCAATTCCTTGCCGACGCAGAGCCGGGCGCCGCGACCCCACGGCTGCAGATGCTTCGCCAGCCGCTTGCAATCGGCCGGGCGCAGCCAGCGCTCCGGATCAAACGCGTCGGGCTGCGCGAAGATGGCCGGGTCCATGTGCGTGTCGTTGATGCTGATGGAGATGTACGTCTAGATGTTTTTCTTGTCAGTTGGGAGTTTTCTATTCACTTATGTAGTAGCGCGCGTACCCCGCGAGGCAGAAAATACTGCTGGTACTGAAAGTCGGCCACGTCCGAGCAGCGCGTGAGCCTGCCAGAGACGGCGTTGCATGTGCGCAGAGCCTCGTTGATGACGCCCGTGAGATAGGGCAGCGCTCGGAGCTCCTGGTACGTGAGGCTCGCGCCCTTGGCGTCGCGGGCGTCCTTAAGCTCGCGCCGGAGCCGGGCGCCAATGTCCGGGTTGGCCAGCGCGTGGTAGGTGACGGACGTCAGGACGGTGGCGCTCGTCTCGTTGCCTGCCAGGATCACGCCGCGGCACTCGGAGAAGACGCGGACAAAGCTCTTCTGCGTCTCGGGCATGTCGGCGACCCGTATGCACTGCACGACATCCTGGGGGCCCTCGTCTGGCGCAATGGGCTTGTTGAAGAAGGACTTGGCGCAGTTGCGGACCGTCTATTTGCACGCATTCGAAACTAGTCAGCACAAAGGGCACGAGGCCAGAACTCACGCCCTAACCACGAGCACCTACCGCAATAAACACCTGGCTCGCCTTCGGGCTGATGCGGTTGGAGATGGGCTGCGGAAGCGACTGGAGCAGCCAGAGCGGGAGCCCAAAGAAGTACCTGTTGAGCAGCCCGATGCGAGAGTAGCTCTTGACGGCCTGGTTAAAGTCCCTGCCAAAGTCAGGATGGTCGAGGCCGCCAAACGGCTGCCGAAAGGCAAAAACGGTCGTCACGTCCAGGGCGAGGGAGCGGTACGCGTCGCTGAGACTGACAACCCGGCCCAGCGAGGCCGCGAGCCGATCATGCAGCTTCTCAATCGTCGCCTGCACTTTGGGGACGTTGTCGGCGACGTTCTGGGACGAGAACCAGGCCTGCAGCGGCTGGCGGTGGACGCGGTGCAGCTGGTCCGACTCGGTCGTCGCCGTGCTCAGGGCGGTGCCGAAGCTCTTGTAGTACCACCACGGCTTGGCCGCTCTGGCCGAGAGCTTGTACACGTCGTTCCAGTCCGCGTCTTTGATGTGCACCTCCCATGGGTTGATGCGCACAATGGGCCCTTATCCAAAACCATCCCCGTGTTAGTTTCAGCCGGGCTTTTGCAGGGGCCCCGAACTTGTTCCCGGGTCACGTACCGTAGATATCGTGCAGCCGGTCAATCTCGACCCAGTACCGGCCGCCTCCGTCCTTGATAAGCTGAAAGTAGGCTTCGTAGGCGCCCGTGGCCGCGGCGAGAACGGGGCCGGGCACCCGTGCGAGCGGGTGCAGTGTCAGGCGGTAGACGACGACGACGGCGATGCAAAGGGCCACCAAACCCAGCGCACACGGGAAAATGTCGTCTAGGAGCATTTTAGGGGAGATGGGAAAAAAATAGCAAGGATTGCAGACTATTGCCGCTGTCACATGCTGCTGTCGTAGGAGGGGTAGGAGCTGAATATATATGTAGTCGTGGCGTACGCCTCCGTCATCCACGTGAAACGTTGCAGGTTGACGCTGGTTCGCTGCCCGGCTGAACCCGTCGTACAAGAGAACCTGTAGAATAGGGCACACATCGGTCCTCCCAGCTGTAGATGAACATGCGCTATATTCCGGCAAACCCGTCCCGATCGTGGCTTCCAGCGTCTCTTGGAAGCTGTCTCGCGATGGATGACTTGCTCCCTCCCAGAGACCCTGGACTTACAAGGAATTCAAAAGTACTTGTCTTTTGGGGTCACAATTCGGCCTCAGCTAGCATCTGCACGTTTCTTCGCTGTCCATCTTAGTTACCGGCCCCTACTGGCGCCAAGACGGGCGGGTAAGCGGAGCCGTGTTGGCCCCGATCGGAAGCGTGCCATGCCACCCCCGCAATCTAAAACTATCATCGACCGATGAATCATTGATGAAGGGAAAGAAACATGATATTATACAAAATGCAAGGAACGGTATATCTACCAGTCTCGCTGCTGGTGTCGGTTGGACTCGGGTAGCTGTTACAACTTTGATCTCGGCAGCCATGTCCCCTCAATTGCCTCTCTATACCTCTGCGGATTCTCCTTCAAATGCCCGACATGCACACCTGCCTGAGACCTGACCAACTCGACGCACCAGCCTTTCTTCTCTGCTTCCTTGGCGTGATCCTGCACATCTTCCCATCCCACCAGCCGATCCTGCTCTGAGTAGATGTAGCATCGCCGCGCTCCGGCGACTGTCGGGGCATGCTCGTTGAGCTGCTGCCTCACCACGTCCAGCGAGTTTGTGCCGGGCATCACGTACTTTGACGCAAACAGCATGCCCAGAAACACGCCAAGCACCAAGCTCAGGACGAGCCGCGGCGCATGAGCCCGCGGCAGACTCCCCGCGATGGCGGCCCACGTCTGCTTCAGGTGCGCGCGGCCAGGGGCGCTGTCGATGACGGTCGGCGCGTTGGCAAGTGTCCGACCGTCTGCGTCGGAGCGCGCCTGGTTGATGACGCACCACTGCTGCGCGCCGGCGTTGGACATGATGTGCACGAGGAGGCTGTCGGCGGCCGCGTCGCGGAGCATGTCCACCACCGGCGCGACGAGCCTGCGCCGGGCCCGCGCGGGACGCAGGAAGAACTGCACCATGCCCGTCTCGACCAGGATGATGCGGGCGCCCGGGTACAGTTGGCGATAGAGGCTGGTGTACTTTTCAATGTGGCGGGCACTGGCGTCCGCCCAGGACAGGAACAGGATGGTCTCGGGCGGCACTGGAGTAGATTCGCTGCCGGCCGTCGTGCTGGACGACTGGTCATTTTTGGTGGCCGGATGCTGGACGGAGACAATCTCGTTGACGCGGACAAAGGAAGGGGGCGGCATGTGGACGCGTGAGACGGATGCTGTGGGAACAGATGATCTTGACAATGTGTGTAACGGAATAGAGTGCGCGAGATGCAACAAGAAGCACAAGCAAGATTCACAACAAGTATGTATGGTGGTGTGACTGGCATTGGCAGGCACGACTTGGAGCCCGGATTGAGTATTGATTGGCCGCCACTTTGGCCAAGAATAGCCGTGGCGCATGCAGTCAGCAAGTACAGATTACGAGAACAAAGGACTATCGTGTTAAGCCACACTATTCAAGTTACTATGTACTTTATAAGTTCACAAGGCACCCCGGGCCGGATAGTGTGCCGATATCGACCTGTGTCTGCCTGTGGGCTAATTAATATGCAGCACTCTATCATTAAATTATCATTCTTCATTTAAGCAGACATTCGATATTGTGTAGATCGATACATAATTTTCCACCTTATGCTCGCCACAATATGGTCGCTCCAAGTCGTGCCTCGGCCAACCTAGTCGACTCGGGCCGGCACAATTCACAATTAGTTTCCTCCTGCTCCTGGAATGAAAGAATTCTCGAAGCATTCGTATTCGACGTCGCATTCTTGACCTACTCTCCTGTATTCACTTTAGTGCCATATTCCTTTCTGCCGGAGCCATGTGGCATTCAGGAGGAAATATAAGAATAAAATAAAATGAAATAAATGCTCCAACTGACAATAACGATGGTTTTCCTCCGCTCTAGCCCTGGCAATCTCTTGAAATAATCTTGAAATTCAATTTAGTCGATATATCCTTGGATGGCTTTGTCACCGCACATTCTTCCTCTCGGTCCTCCCAGTCCGTCTATCCATAGCATCATTTTCACACCCCAATTAATCGTATCTAAAGAACAGGGAATCATACACCATAACCACACCACTACGTCCATACCGTGCTCGACCGGATATCTCCCCACCACGCCGTCAGAATGTCTCGCCAGTACAGCGTTTTGGGCAGCCAGTGCTTCGCATCACCCACTTTCGGCACCACAGCCTGGCCCTTCTTCACGTACGTCGACTGCAGGTAGAAGAAGGACCTAGGCTTCATAGTGCGCAGCTCGTCGCTCGTCTGGCGCGGGCAGATGGCCGTCTTGCCCGTCTCGCCGACCTCGGCAATGATGCGCGTGGCCAGCTGCGCCGTCGCGTCAGCGCCGAGCGTCCAGCTGGCGTCGACATAGCCAAACGCAAAGAACAGGTTCGGCACGCCCTCGAGCATGGCGCCCTTCCAGATATAGCGGTCCGGCAGGCGCACCGCCGCGCCATCCACCGACAGCTTCGCCTTGCCGAGCAGCGCTAGCTTGAGCCCCGTCGCCGTGACGATGATGTCGGGCGTCAGCTCGCGGCCCGACTTGAGCTTGATCGTCTTGGCCGTGACGGCGGCAATCTCGTCCGTCACCACGCTCGCCTTGCCGCTGCGCAGCGCCCGGAAGAAATCCGCGTCCGGGCACAGGCACATGCGCTGCTCCCACGGGTTGTACCGCGGCGTGAAGTCGGGCGCGAGGGCGGTGCCGGCGGGCAGCTCGCGCGCGGTGCGGCGCAGAATGGCCCAGCGCGCGAGCGCCGGCATGGTGCGGCAAAACCACACCAGCAAGAAGCCGAGCAGCGTCCAGCGGACGCGGATGATGGCGTGCGCGATGCGCGCGGGCAGCAGCGCCTTTGTGACCCTCTCAAAGAGCCCGCCGCGCGGCACCGACACGATGTAGGTCGGCGAGCGCTGCAGCATGGTGACGTGCGCGACCTTGTCGGCGACAGACGGCAGCACGGTGACGGCCGTGGCGCCGGAGCCGATGACGACCATGTTCTTGCCGGCGTAGTCGAGGTCCTCGGGCCAGAACTGCGGGTGCACCACGGGGCCCTGGAAGCTGCCGATGCCGGGGATGTCGGCCTCGAGCGGCTCGTCGTAGTCGTAGTAGCCGGTGCCGATGAGCGCGAAGCGGCTGGACACGCGGACGCTTTCCTTGCCGGGCCTCTGGCAGGTAAACGTCCACGTCTTTTGGCGCGTGTCAAAGTTGAGCGACTGCACCGTGTGGTTGAACTTGATGTGCTGCTCGATGCCCTGCTCCTGCACGGCCTCGCGGAGGTACTTGAGGATCAGCGGCGCGCCGGCAATGGTGTCGGTCGACTCCCACGGCTTCCACGGGAAGCTAAATGTGTACAGGTCCGAGTCGGAGCGTAAGCCTGTGCTTGCGTGGACGAGGTTAGCTTACACGATGCAGAAACGCGCGGCAGAGACAGAAACGCACCGGGATACTTGAACAGGCTCCATGTTCCGCCAATTTCGCTGCGCGCTTCGAGGATGCAGTACGTGAGATGCGGATTACGTTCTTTGAGGCGGTAGGCAAAGTTGATGCCGGAGATGCCCGCGCCGATGATGACGACGTCGTAATCGGGGCTCGTCATTTTCTCCAGTTTGCCGCTTTTGGGCACGCAAGGTCGAGGTGAAGATTTCAGTTACGGTTCGATGACTGTGTGTAGCGAAGAAAAAAAGGCAACAAAACTAAAACCATAGCAAATCGCGGTGGGGGAGAATAAACCGTTGCACTTATTATAGACGACAACTGGTGGGCAGGACACGGCCCTCGGGTGAGGGGGGGTGCCTCGGCATCTCGTCGCCTCCTCGCCTGCAACCGCACTGGGCGATTTGACTATTAGCCGCCGGGATTACCCTTCAGTCGCCGTTTCCACTGCCTTGCGTACTTAGTCCCCGTAAAGGTGATTTATGCCAGAAATCGCGTGAGGGCAGCAAGAGATGACATGTGCTGGGAGCGTGCAGCCCCAAATCAAGTCTAGCGGGGGGCTTGAACGCGCAATCGATGATGGCGCGCGGCCGCGCACATCTTGAACCGGGATGTCATTCGACGTCCGGTCCCTTGCCGGGCTAGGGCTGGGACATGGGGATCTGGGGGAGACGAGGCGGCGTTTGGTAGAGGACGGAGCGGGGTTGACTGGAAGGGACCGGACCGGAGCGGGACAACTCAGAAAGAGGCATCTCGGGGCCTCGGAACCCGGGCTGCCGAGTGAAGCCAGACAAGGTTCGAGTCGAATAATAGGAGCTCACAAAAGCACGATACGACGCAATTCATAAGACAGAGTTGGCAGTTGCTGTAGCTCCCTGTTCCCTCGGCAGGTGGCAAACAAAGTCTATCTACTTGTTTGCCGGGTATCATCTCTGCGCCTAACGAAGGCCTCTATACGTAGACGAAACTTTCGAAAAAAAACAAAAAGCAGAAGAAGGAGATCCCACGGTACATGGTTACCTTTTTTTTTTTTCTCGTAAATACGCTAGCAATATATTCGGGCGCACTACGTAAGGCTGAGAGCTCCCAAGCAACAGGCTTTGACTAAGACGCGATTGCCTCTCTCGCCTGCCCCTTCAGCACACAACCAAATCACACATCATGTCGCAGAACAATATCATGGAAACTTGTCGTCGCCCAATCCTCGGGAATGATTGTTTCATCGTTATAAAGTAGCCCAACCATCTTGCCTACACCAGTAATACCTCTGTAGACTCCAAGCCATCGTATATACCGAGAATGACTTTCAGCACATATGTTAGGTACGTACCTACCCACTGATGCCCGTCAACTTGTCCCCGGGATGGCACCCTGGATTACGTCGGAGTGGCACGAGTATTAATCACAGGGTTAGGGTATGTGTATCATTCCCGGCGCTGATAAGTCGGAGGTCATCGCTAGGAGCAAAAGGCTAGAAGGTACCAGTGAAATAATACGCTGAATAATGAAAATCTTGAGCCGTGATCAACCTTATTTTATTTTATTTTTTGATACCTTCTTTAATTGTTCTAGGCCGCCATTTAACCGCCTCAGCCCTTCAAAGGCCAACTTGCGTCACTGTCGGCCTCCCCGCCAAGCGCCCCCACTTCTTTTCCCTCATCGCCTCGTGATGGCATTGCGACTTTGCCAACCATTTCTTCCCACTCAAACCACTTCAACCTACGACCCGGAACCACGCGCCCCCCGCCCCTCTCCCCGACGACAAAAAGCACAGCAGCCATGTCCAACCGCCAGGCCGCCCGCGACATGCAGGTCGAGTTCCAGGCGCGCTTCCAGGCCAAGCAGGCCCGGCGCGAGGCCACCAAGGCGTCCAAGCAGGACCCGGCCCTCAAGAAGCAGATCCAGGAGCTGCTGAAGAGGGGCGAGACGCAAAAGGCCTACCAAAAGGCCAAGGTGCTGCTCTCCAAGCAGGCCCTGGCGCAGCAGATGGACCAGATGGCCGACATGGCCGAGCTGTCGGCCGCCCAGATCCAGGCCAACAACTCGATGAACCGCATGACGCACATGATGGCGTCGTCGTCCAAGGTCATGAATGTTGCGCAAAAGAATACGAATCCGGAAAAGGTGACCTTTTTTTTTGTTTTTTTTTTTTTGTAATTCTCTGTCTGGGCGGGAATCACGAGTATGCTAACTGGAAGCGACAGACCCTACATACCCTCGAACAGTTCAAGCAGCAGAATGAAGAATACGCCATGTCCAACGGCATCTACCAGGACGCCATTACGCAGTCTACGTCGACGCAGGTCGGCGAGGACGCCGTACATGAACTCCTCGGCAAACTCGCCGACGACGCCGGCATCGAGCTCTCCCAGGAGCTCAACAAGGCCACGCCCGCCACCGCCGAGCCCGCCGTCGCCGCCCCCGCGCATACGAATGAACCCACGGCCGAGGAGGAGGATGCGCTTCAACAGCGGCTGCGTGCGCTGCGGGCGTGAATTATATCTCTAGACTCGCGAACCGGAAGATGCGGATGCTGGCCTTCTGCCGCGTGCCGTGTCTGGGTAGGATGGACTAACCTGCAGCGAACAGAACCTTCGGCGCTGCCACACCTGGCTTGATACACGGCCATCCATTCATTGTACTTGGCGTTACTCTTCGGTTGGAATCAAATTGGCTTTTTAAGCATGCTACTTGTATCTTTTTATGACATCTAAAGCAAGACTCTCACACTTTTTTCTATATTTCCTTCCAACACAGGATGCCCCGAGGCCATCTATACCATGCAAATGTAAATTCGAAAACGCCATGCCCTTGTCAAACATTCCCTTTCTTATCACCTGTATACCCTCCTACATGTGCCCTTTCTCATCACCTATATACCCTCCTACATGTACAGACTCGCCACGGCCGTAATGTCGCGCTTAATCATCTCCTGCGCCTGCTGCATCTTCTGATACAAGTCTGGATCGCCAATAATGCGCGCCGCATTCTTGACCTCGCGGCACGTCTCGTCCAGCCGCGTCATGGTGCGCACAATCGTCCCCTCGAGCACGTCCGTCAGGCCTGTAATGTTCTTGAAGCTCATCCCGCGCGCCCACTCGTACACCACCTCCATGAGGCCGAACCGCGGCCGCGACACAAAGTCGTTGGAGTCCTCCGACGATAAAATCACCTGTAGCCGCGTTTGCACGTCATTGACCTTTTCTGAAATGGCCACGATGCGGTCCCGCCCGCGCTCCAGGTTGCCCGTTAGCACCGGCTCAATCGTCGTCTTCTCTTGGAACACAAACGCCGAAAGCAGCGCCGCAATCTCGGCAGGATCAAATTCGGCGAGCACGTTGTCGAGGATGAGCTCGGTCAGGACGAGCTCGTCGCCGGAATGCACCTCGCAGGCTACTTTGCCCTTGAGCTGGATGCGGGTGGCATCGTCGATGAAACCAAGTTCTTTGAGAACCTGCACGCGTTGCTCGTAGTCCGGAAGGAGCTGCAGGTTCTGGTCCGACAGCGACAACTTGAGTTGCTGAATGTGCTCCTTGATGAGCCACTCGTCGTGGCACATGGCAAAGTGTTTGAGGAACGACGGGCACGACATGGCCGGCGACGTGCTCATCGCCTTGGCCAGCTGCACGCGTTTCTCAATAATCTCCTGCAGCTGCAAGCTTTTAATCTTGGCCATGTCCACCTCGTCCCACCTGTCGTCCCACGACACGCACATCTCCTGCAGCTTGTCAAGAGCCACCAGGCCGACCTCGCCGCGCTGCATGATCTCCGGCACCGTGCCCCTCAGCACCCATCGCGTCACGCAATCAACGTCGCTCAATGGAACATGTAGTGTCTTGGTTTGCATGCGCTTACGGCCATTCGGCAGCTTGTGCAGGTACTTGCGGTACGTGGGCAGGAACGGCAGCAGGTCAGTGCCGTCGCGGCGATCGCGCAGCGGCTTGACCGCGCATACGTGCACAGTAGGATCCTCGATTGTGCTTCTGGGGCTCGCACCATCGGCGAGGAGAATACCTACAGTGCGGATGCCGTCCCAGTTGAACACAATCAGGCGTTGCTGCACAAACATTCTGCGGCCGATGGGAATCTTGAGCAACCCCTTGTACAGTTCAGTAGTAAGCTGCTTGAAATCTTGCGCAGCTTGGTGGCATTCGTCCACAACAGTTTCGCAAATCTTGCACGGCTCACGCTTGACCTTGTCCAGATCAGCCTGGGCCAGCTTGACATCCTTTTCATGCTCAGGAAGTAGTTGCTGGGTGGCATGCTCCGAGAAACTGCGCTTAATCATTTCTTCAATCTTCAGAGCTTCAACGCGCAACAAGTTGAGAATCATGTTATACGTCAGTCTAAACTGCGATCGCAGCTTCGATGGCTCGCCCAAGATCATATTGCGCAGGTCCGTGACAGGTGGCGCATCATCACCTCCAGGAGGAACAATAATGACTGACCCAACCTTGTCCAGACCACGACGACCGGCACGACCTGCCATTTGTGTGTATTCGCCAGGCAAAAGGTTACGGAACGAGTGCCCATCGTGTTTGCGGTATCCAGAGAATACAACCGTTCTAGTAGGCAAGTTCAACCCCATGGCAAAGGTCTCGGTGGCAAACAGCACCTTGACGAGCGTCTCCGCGAACAGAATCTCGACTAATTCCTTGACAATGGGAAGCAAACCGCCATGGTGCACTGCAATACCCCGGCCGAGAAGTTCTCGTAGGCGGATAATTTGCGGCAGGAGGCGATCCTCTGGCTTGAGTCGGGCAATCGACTTTTCGATAATCATATGAATGTGGCTCTTTTCAGATGCCGTGCAAAAGTCCTGGTTACTCAGCGCATCGGCGTTTTCCTCGCACCGCTTTTTGGAAAAGACAAAGATACACGCCGGCAGAAGTGTGTTGCGTTTCAGATACTGAACCAGATGAACCCACAGATTCTTGTCTTGAGCTGCAGAAGAAAAGCCGGGTCTACCAGAACGGCCCATGTGGCCGGGTGTATGGCTCGCTCGAGGAGGGCCACTGCCGCCACGACCGCCTCTCTGGTTTCCGCCGCGTTGCCCGCCACCGCCGCGTTGTTGGGCGCCGCCCCGGCCACCACGCTGTTGCTGACCACCGCGTTGACCTCCACGAGGGTTACCTCCACGCGTTGCAACAGTCGTTTCCGCGCCTTTGGGCTTGTCCTTGCTTTGAAACGTGGCATGTGCGTCTTTCCAGCCCTTTTCGATAAACTTCTTGTCCGAGTCCACAATTTTGTGAATGTCCTTGCCAGCCCAAACATAGTGTTCGAGAGGAACCGGTCTCTTGGCGGTTGAGATGACATAGATGTCTTTTTGCTTTGTGCGTCCGACCCATGACGCGAATTCGTGTGTATTGGGCACGGTGGCGGAGAGGAGGATCAACGAGATGTGCTCTGGCAGCATGATGATGACTTCTTCCCAGACAACGCCGCGCTCGTAATCGTTGACGTAGTGGACCTCGTCAAAAATGACGAACTCAACGTCACGGATCAAATCGGCACCGCGGTATAGCATAGATCGCAGGATTTCCGTTGTCATGATGAGGCAGCTAGCCTCGGGATTGATCTGCACGTCACCAGTGAGGATGCCGACTTCGTCAAAAGTCTCTCGGAAGTCGCGAAACTTTTGGTTGCTGAGCGCTTTGATGGGCGATGTGTAGATGGCCTTGGTCATATGCTTGGCCGCTAGAGCAATGGCGTATTCTGCAACGACCGTCTTGCCTGCAGAGGTGTGCGCAGCGACAAAAACAGAGTCGCCATTCTCGAGATGATAGACTGCTTCTTTTTGGAAAGTGTCCAGCTCAAACGGCCATTCTCGCGCCATGTCTGGCACTAGCTCCCTGAAATTCGTCATTTCGTTGCGTATGTCCACCATGTGCGCCCATTCCTTGCCCGCCTTCTTAGCACGAGATGCGGCGAGTACGCCATGTGGTTCAAGGGAAGGAAATTCAACAGGCAATATATCGTCAATATCGTCGTCTTGGCCGTCGTCATCTTCGTCTTCCGCGATCTCTGCCCGATCGCCATCCTCCCTGCCTTCATCTCCCTCTACCTGTTCCGGCGCCTCTTCCAAGACTTGCTGGACCGCGTCTTCGGTGTCCTGGTCCTGCTGTGTCTTCTTCTTGGCAAAGTCAATACCTCGTTCCAGGCCGGGTGCTACCTGAAGCAAGCCACCGTCAGTGAACTGGATGACTCTGTCGAGCTTGTTGCCGCCCGGCTCGCCATTTCCGCCGGCGAGGGCTTGCCCCTCCAGGGCGGCAGTCGCCGCGATGCTATCCAGACCGCCGGGCGCAAAGGGAAAGAAGCCAGCAGCGCCGCGGACAAACTCGGCGCGGTTGGCGGGCTTGCGGAGCAGGCTGGTCGAATTTTTGGCGTTGGCGCTGTGGCGCGGGACCGTGACATTCTTGTAGCCGGTGACGCGACCTTCCAACCCTTGGCGCTGAAAATGGGTGACGGTCCTGGTCTGTGTTGGTGCGATGCGAAACAGAGACGAGTAGTCGGCCTCGTAGTCCCAGCGCTGCTGCAGGCGGTTCAGCCACTCGTCAGAGAATTCGGGCGATGGTGACAGGTAGAGCTCCTCCAGCTGGGCCTTGATGCGAGCGGGGTCCTGGCTGCCCGGCTGCAGATTTTGGATGGCGGCATCGTCTGTATCCTGCGCCAGCAAGATGTCGTCGATGCTGACCATTTTCTCCCAGCCCGTAGTCTTCGATGATGAGGCGTGACAAGTACGGATGAAGGTGTGGTGTTTGCATTTACCCCACCATGAATCTGTGGTGAATCGTGACGCCAGATGTGGAGCTGACTTGGCCGAGTACAACGTGACCGGATAGTGCATTGGAAATTGTGCATAGCCTTAACTAGACGTCTCACTTGGTCTATATAATCCATGATGATACAGGCCCAGACCAGTGGGGTTTTCTGCCTCCGGTCCTGTGGTTTGGCGGCAACTGTCGCATCGTAGCCGCTTCATCTTGTTCGGGGCAACTTGACAGTACAGTCAACGTCAATAGCTTGACATTTGTCGTGCTCGGTGATGCGAACATACCTTTGCGAGTAATTCTCATCAACGTCGATGAGCCATCCTTGCTATATCGGCCTTGAGTCGGCTGTACCAAGCACTTCTTTAAGTCAAGATAACACCAGTCCTCCCGACGTATCTTGGTTCTATTGGTTGTCTCATTTTTACTGACATGTCTTGTCTTTTTCTCCAATGCTGTCTTCAAGGTCTCCTCGAGAGATAAGAAAGCGGTGAAAGTGTTGTTGATCTTGCCCCTTTATCGGGAACCTGCGCCATCATGTGAGCCACGCCCTTGATGAGTGAGTTGTCAGCGTGATATAGCGACAACATTTAGCAGAGCTCAAATACGAGGAAAGAATCAGTGGTGCATTCACTTGATAAGCTTCCCTGAGAAGTAAGCCGATCATACGATGTAGATGCCGAAGTGTAAATAGCCATCTATTCCACGATATGCCTTACATCAAAACATCAAAATCACACACATTGGAAGCGGAAAAACTATTGGCAAAGCGCCAAAGGCAGACAAATGAATCATTAAGACACCATGGTCGGGATATACAGACAATGAGGAATACAAATACAGATCCCAGCCATTCTGTCCATCTATCAGGTAATAAGTGCCGGATCACCAGCACGTGGAACATTTCCGGCCGCGCGGCGACTCTGCAATCGGCGTCACCGCCCGCGGGCAGTTTTCTCAGGCAGATATTTTATTCTATCCAACGCAGCCGCACCCATGAGCCACTTAGAGCTTGAGCATCTTGGCGGCCCAGTCTTCAATCAGCTTCTCGCTGGGGAAGCTCATCTCCTCGAGCTTCTGGGCGTACGGAGTGGGCACCTCGGCGCCGGTGATACGCTGGGCAGGGCCATCGAGGTAGTCGAAACCGTACTCCATGGTCAGGGCGAGAATCTCGGAGCCGACACCAAAGGCGGGGAAGCCAGACTCGACCGACAAGAGACGATGGGTCTTCTTGACCGAGTTGATAATGGTCTCGACATCGAGGGGCTTGACGGAACGCAGGTTGATGACCTCAGCTTCGACACCGTAGTTCTTCTTGAGATTCTCGGCGGCGGTCAGGGCCTGGCCGACGCAACGGGACAGTGTCACAATGGTCAGGTCCTTGCCGGAGCGCTCAATCTTGGCCTTACCAAAGGGAATGACAAAGTCGTCCTTCTGTGCGGCCTCGGACATGGGGAAGGTCTGACCGTACATCAGCTCGTTCTCGAGAACGACGACGGGGTTGGGGTCACGAATGGCAGCCTTGAGTAGACCCTTGGCATCTTCGGCGCTCCAGGGCGAGACGACCTTGAGGCCGGGAATGGAGCCGTACCAGGCAGAGTAATCCTGGGAGTGCTGAGCGCCGACACCGGAAGCGAAGCCGTTGGGGCCGCGGAAGGTGATGTTGCAGGGCTGGATACCGCCGGACATGTAGAGGGTCTTGGCGGCGGAGTTGACGATCTGGTCGATGGCCTGCATGGCAAAGTTGAAGGTCATGAACTCGCACTGGTCGGTGTTAGCTTCGGGGTCTACAGCTCTCCGACAGCTTCGGAGGGTACCAATTGAGGCGTAGAGCAGGGTGAGAAACGTACAATAGGGTGAAGGCCACTGAGGGCAGCGCCGACGGCGAGACCGCAGAAGCCACTCTCCGTAATGGGGGTGTCGATGACACGCTTGTCGCCGAAGCGGTCGAGAAGACCCTTGGTAACCTTGTAGGCACCATTGTACTGGGCAACCTCCTCACCCAAGATAAAGGTCTTGGGGTTGAGGTCGAGCTCCTCGGCCAGGGCCTCGTTAAGGGCCTCGCGGACAGTGTACTCCTTGACACCGGTGCCGTCGGCGTACGATCTCGCGTGGTTTGCGCCGAAGTAAACAGGGCGGTGGACGGCGCGGGTGTATTTGGCGAGAGCGGCCGTGGCGGAGCCGCTGGGGACGACGGGGGCGCGGGCGGCCGTGGTGGCCAGGCGAGCGGCAGGTCGGAGGAGGCGGGACATGATGGCTAATTTGTCGTGCTGACGCTGTGTGTGTGTGGTTGTGATTTGCGTTGAGGGAGATTCGAGGAGGACGGATTCGCTTCGAATCTCAGGGGAGAGAGAAGAGAATTGATACGCAACAACAGCGACAGCTAGCCACCAGCTCGATTGATAGTGGTAGGAGATACAACTGAGGGCCACTGGGGGGTAGGAGGAGAGTCGGTGGTTGTGAGAGAGGATGCAGAAGGAGGTTGAGAGGGAATTTACGGAGCAAGGCGAACGCAGCTTTTGCCAGGGCCCATGGAGCTTTTTTTTCTCCCTCCAACCCCAGCAGGCCGGTGCCGCAGGACGCTAAAAGAAAAGATGTGCAGCACCCTAAAAGCACTGCAGAAGGCCCCTGTGTGTGGCTCCCGTTGAGGCCCGCATTTAGTGCGCGTCTAGGCTTGTTCCCAGGGGCCTAGCGAGCCTTTCGACGCATTTTGATGCTGTATTTGTTGGGACGAAGATAGCTGATGCCCCTCTCTCATTGGCTGGCCTCCATCACGTGCAGGGCCCAGACGTAAAATGCCTGCGGGATCCTACCCGGCATTGGCGATGGATCAAGATGTTGGGTTAGGGGAGTGACCAACAGAGGAAAGTGATCAGCCAGGCGAGAAAATCATAGTGGCATCTTATAGCCTCTACAACGTACGCGATGTAGGGTTGGCGGTTAGAGCAAAGTGCTCATGTAGCAGGTGTTGGATTTATTACTTGCTCAACCCTCTTCTATCCTCCCAGCTCGAGTGTTGGCCCATCCTACCAAGGTCCCAGGTACACTCGGTGTTGGCCGCTACAACAACTGACTACTTAAATTAAGGCTGGACACAAACACAAATGAAAATTATTAAAATCCTCATTTTGGTACTCAAGGCGCATACGCATAGAGACACCATTTCTTTTGGAACCAATAAGCATCAGAAATTAGACACATACTTGGGTTATTGAACCACTATTGTAAACAAGTACCGCAAAGCATCATAGCAGTGGCAAGTACATACCATGCCAGCAGCAAGGAGTAGGAAAAAATTCTACATCACTCCCGATAAGTCCGAAATTCGAGGCTTTCTACTCTTCCTCTTCTCAAGTCACGATAACCGTATTACGCCGGCATTTCGGCGTCGTTACTCGTTGGCAGGTTCATGGCTTGATAGAGCAAAAGCTGCCATCAACAGCTTACCAAATAGTTTTGCCCACCCTGATACTACATCGTGCCAGATCCAAGCAGCTGAACAATCAGAATTATTACGTACGTCTATATATACACACGGTATGAAGCTTTTTCAGACAACCCGTCCATCCCACCCTGCCTTAGCCAACACCTCTTAAATCCCAATGGTTGTAATATTAATATGCTTTCAACCTCCAAATCGTACTGCCCGAATTATTATACTCTATTCTCTTACTCGGGCTTGCGGGCAACCATCAGGTACATCGGGGTAAACAGGTGCTCCTTGCCACCGGCCACCAAGCAGTCGGCGGCCAGGGCCAAGCTGTCGGCAGTCTTCTTGGTGCCCGCAGGTGCCACACGGATCGTCTCAAGCGCACCGGCGAGGTTGTGAGCGATGAAGCGACCCCACTTGGTCATGCGAACAATGGTGAAGAAATCCCCAACAGACTGGATATAACGCATCTCGCCAGAGAGGGGCCAGTACCACGGCGAAGGGTCGGGGCGGTCGGCCAGATCCTCGTGTTGCAACATCTCAAAGCCAGAATCCTTGATGGCGTCCAGAGCCTCCTGGACCTTGCACATGTTGGAAATGCCGTCACCCTGCTCGATTCCGAGACGGATCTCACGGTGGTGAATATTATCATTATCATACTCATCGGTCATGAGCCACTCGTAGACACCAAACACACCACCAGGCTTGAGCACACGGAAGATTTCGCTGTAAATGCCCTTGAGCGTAGGCGCGTGGACCGTGGCTTCGATGGCGTAAACAGCATCGAAGCTGTTGTCGGGAAAAGACATCTGCATAAAGTCACCCTTGACAAAGTCGAGCTGCTTAGAGAGGCCCTCCTTGGCAGCATAATGCGTGGCGCGATCGATTTGGTAGTCGTTGTTGTTCAGGCCGGTGACGTGGCAGCCGGTGAACTTGGCAATTTCGCGGGCAGGGCCGCCGACACCGCAGCCAACATCGAGCACCTTCATGCCCTCTTTAATGCCAATGCTGTGGGCGAGGTAGTGCTCGTGACGGGCAATAGCCTGGTGGAAAGGTTCGCCGATAGAGAAGCGGCAGAAGTGAAAAGACTGGCCCCAGCCGTACTCGTACAGGTCGGTTGCGAGGTTGTAGTAGCTAGAGAGGGGTTAGCACAATTGCTTATTGTCGATGGCATATAAAACTTGCTGTCTGGTAAGCGTGGCATATTCAGCAGTACGAGCCTGTGTCAATTCCGTTAGCACGATGCTCTTTGTCACATTGTTCGCATAAACTTACAGCGCGCTCCTCGGCCGTCTCGTTTTCGGCGGGCTTGTTGTCCCAGTGTTTGAAGTACTCGTCGACGGCGGCCTGCTTGGCATCACCGCCCTTGCTGAACATGGCGGCGATACCACCCTTAGCCTGGGCAGACTTTCCGTGCATGGCCTTGTTGAAGGCAGCATCACGAGCGTGATCCTCGCCCTCGAGCTTCTGGTTGGCAGAGGGAGCCATGTTGAATGCCTGGTGGAGCGGGTGTAAGGGGTGCAGTTAATGAGCGAGAGAAGGGACAATGACTTTTGAATCAAGAGGACCAGAGGGCGAATTGGTCTCGGAGCTCAAGAAAAAAGGAGAGAAACAAAGCAGGATGGTGATGAGCCCAATGGGGGGCGGGACGAGGGAGCTCTTAAAGACTGGCATTCGCAGGTCTGGGGCCTTTTGACTTTCAACTCCGATTTTCAGGACACTGCCCACTTCGCCGCCCCTGACTGGTGGGTTGCCAATCAAAAGATGCAGCATTGGTTGGCTTGTGATTTGAGACTAGTCCTTTTTAGGTCTACGCCCTGCGCTAACACCTGATGTGGTAGGCGGTCAGATTCTGGGCGAATACGAATTCGAGGATGGAATCATATCGATAAAGCATGTGGCGTTGGGAAGTGTGGCTGGCGTGGCTTGAAGTGGGTGGCGTAGGAGGTTTAAGTAAGCAAGTATTTTACAAAGCATGGTACGGATACCATTTCTACAAGTGCATCACGATGTCAACTTCCTAACGACCTCTTCATCCCGCCAGGATATCCCTTGTTAGCAAAGAAAAGGGCCGTCGTCATGCCGCAAATCAAACAGGATTTGAATCGCTCCGGCTGGGAGTCTACAGACTTTCCCTCCGTTTGCGAAAATTGCCTACCTGAAAACCCATACGTCAAGATGCTCAAGGAAGACTATGGCGCCGAATGCAAATTGGTAAGAAACACTGCCCGGACAAGCGGTAGGATGGTAGAACAAATGCTGACACTGCAGGCATAGTGCACCAGACCATTCACAGTATTTAATTGGAGCGGAACGCGCGCGCAAGGACGACGAAAGACAACCATGATCTGCCTGACATGCGCCCGACTCAAAAACTGCTGCCAGAGCTGCATGCTCGATCTGTCCTTTGGACTGCCTATTGCTGTCCGCGACGCCGCGCTCAAGATGGTCGCGCCTGGTCCGCAGTCCGACATTAATCGCGAATACTTTGCGCAAAACAACGAGAAGCTCATCGAAGACGGTCACGGCACCGAAGAGTACGAGAAAACGGACGAAAAGGCGCGCGAACTACTACGAAGACTCGCCGCCAGCAAGCCGTACTTTAGAAAAGGTAGAGCTGTGGACGAGTCCGAGCTGGCTGGCGCGAGCACTGGTGGCAACGCCGCTGTCGGTGCTGGTCTTGGCGGACCTGGGCCTATCCGGACGAAAGATTCGAGAGCGGCCCGAGCAGCCGGCAAGGGGCGCGCTGCGTTTCCGAGCGCTGCGCAGCTACCCCCGGGCCCGAGCGACTGGCTCCCACCGGACGATACCAATATCATGTCGCTGTTTGTGACGGGCATCGAGGACGACCTGCCCGAGTTCAAGCTGCGCGACTTTTTCAAGGTCCACGGCAAAATCAAGAGTCTCGTCTGCTCGCACATGTCGCACTGCGCTTTTGTCAACTACGAGACGAGACTGGCGGCGGAAAAGGCGGCGGCGGCCTGCCAGGGCCGCGCCGTCATCGCGGGTTGCCCGCTGCGCATTCGATGGGGACAGCCCAAGGCCATTGGCAACATGGATAAAGACCAGCGTGGCCAGATGCTACGTGATGCGCGCATTCGACAAGCCTCCAAGGCGCGACAACAAGCAGCCATTGAGGCTGGACAGGCACCCCCAATATCGGTAGCACCTGTGGCTGCACCACCGGGCGGTGAGGATGCGCCCAACTATGCTAGCTTGGCTGGTGAATAAAGATACGGTATCGGAATATACTTGTAGGCATCTTGGCGTTCAGGCAGCATTCTTCACAGTATGTACAAGGTCTTGATTTATCGCTGGCACGTGTGGGGAACGGCATATCGGGACAGGAGGGTATCATTGGCGTCTAGTTGGCATGATTTTATAGTACAGGCAATTTTTACATTATACAAAGCGATTTTCTCTTCTCACTTGGGGCCACCGCAGCAGCCACCGCCAGAGACACCAGCGACCGCTGTCTTTATGCTTTCATTATCGCCTCGTTCTGTGTGTTCGTGAATTCGTAGTTCTGCAAGTCACATGTAAGCCCCTACTATCACTGAATTGATCGTCCTCTCTCTTGTCAGGGCGCATAACTCACTGTACTTGGACTCCTCGCCCTCCATTTTCTTGCCCTGCACCAGATTCTCGCGCAAAAACGTGGCCACCTGCGTGGCGTGCGCAATTCCCTCACTGACACTGCTATCTTGAGGATCGAGAGACTGCTTGCTTCTGAACTCGCCTCGGATTTGGCTTTGCGCAGCCAGGAGGACGGGAGCGTCGCCTGTTTGGTCAGTCGAGTGCCTTACAACGAACGGCAAGTTTTCCGGACAGGCTAGGACGCTCACCCTGGAAGGCAACGCGAGCCGCGCGCAAGATATTTCGGTATGCTACCACTGCTGCCATTGTGTTCTACTCGGTGAATTGAATGTGCAGAGATCTAGCATGCGACCAAGGATTTCCAGGAGTGATTTCGGAGACCAGTTCAGCCGGGTTCCGCCAGACCTTGCTTGAGTGCCAGTGCCAGTTGGTCAGCGCTGTGGCGTGCTAAAACTGCGCCCCACCAAAAATCGCTAGTGCTGGCACAAGGAAAAAAAATCCCCACGCAGCTTTGCCGGAGAGTCTTTTCAATTCTCTTCATCCTATACTGCGTATCTCCAGCATACATCATGGCTTCCACCGCCCCGGCTCAGCTGCCGCTGCCGCTCCTCCCTGAGGGCTGGAGCGCCGAAAAAGATTTCAAGGCCATTGGCAAGCTGTCTGGTGCCACACAGCGCAGCATCGAGCCTGTCGGCCCTCACTTCCTCGCCCATGCCCGCCGTGCCCGCCACAAGCGCACCTTCTCCGAGGACGACCGCATCCAGGCCCAGGAGAGCGCCAAGAAGACCGAGGATGCCGACGAGAGCGAGGAGGATGAGGAAGAGGACGCTATGCTGCTCCAGCGCGAGGCCAAGGACTGGAAGGTGAGGCTTCTGACATGGATATATACCTGTATATTCACAAGCGCAAAAAAAGACAAGGACTAACAAATTTCACAGACCCAGGACCACTACAAGATTCTCGGCATCTCCAAGTACCGCTGGAAGGCCACCGAGGAGCAGATCAAGAAGGCCCATCGCAAGAAGGTCCTGAAGCACCACCCCGACAAGAAGGCCGCCTCTGGCAAGACCGAGGACGACCAATTCTTCAAGTGCATCCAAAAGGCCACCGACGTCCTCCTCGACCCCATCAAGCGTCGCCAGTACGACTCGGTCGACGAGGAGGCCGAAGTCGAGCCTCCCGGCAAGAAGCAGCTCGCCAAGGGCGACTACTACAAGCTGTGGAGCAAAGTCTTCAAGGCCGAGGGCCGCTTCTCCAAGACGCACCCCGTGCCCTCGTTTGGCGGCGCTGATGCCACCAAGGAGCACGTCGAAGAGTTCTACAACTTTTGGTATAACTTTGACAGCTGGCGCACGTTTGAGTACCTGGACGAGGACGTCCCCGACGACGGCGAGAGCCGTGACCAGAAGCGCCACGTCGAGCGCAAAAACACAAACTCGCGCAAGAAGAAGAAGGCCGAGGACAAGCAGCGCCTGCGCAAGCTCGTCGACGAGGTCCAGGCCGGCGACGAGCGCATCAAGCGCTTCCGCACAGAGGCCAACGCCGCCAAGAACAAGAAGCGCATCGAGCGCGAGGCTGCCGAAAAGGCCGCTAAGGAGGAGGCTGCGGCCAAGGCTGCGGCCGAGGCCAAGGCGGCAGCCGACGCGGAAGCGGCTGCCAAGATGGACCGCGAGTCCTCCAAAAAGGCCAAGGAGGCGGCCAAAAACGCCGTCAAGAAGAACAAGCGTGTGCTCAAGGGCTCCGTCAAGGACGCCAACTACTTTGCCGCGGGTGGTGACGCCAGCGCTGCTCAGATTGACGCTGTCTTGGGCGATGTCGAGCTCATCCAGGGCAAGATTGACCCTGATGAGATTGCCGCTCTGGCTGGCCAGCTTAATGGACTGACGGTCGCCGACAAGATCAAGGCTGTGTGGAACGCCGAGGTTAAGCGCCTTGTGGATGCCGGCAAGCTCAAGGAGGGTGATGCGAAGAGCTTTGCCTAAGAATTGACTTACGCTTGTGTTTGGGAAACGGATACACAGAAGTGGACAATGATTTTAAAGACTACATAGGCACACGAATTCAATACAAGACTTTTAGAAGGCGACCCGCTGGTATCAGGTACAGTGGCATCTATTGATGGATGTGATTGACAGCTGTGACGGGATACGAGGTTTGACAGGGCGCCTCGGGGCTGAAAGGGCCTCTGATGTCCAGGCACCCAGATCCAGTATAAAACTACTGGAGCAAGGCGCCAGACGTGAGCAAAACAAGTTGAACTTGGCAAGGCAGAGAACCCTCGTGTAGATCCGTGTCACCAGGAAGCTATTGAGGGACAACCGACAACCTCCACACGCCGTATCAAAGAGAAAAAGATGCTCCGTGGTGGCGAAGCTGTTAAAGGCCAGCGTACTATTCCCACTACTGGCAGCCACGGCTCCCAGCCGATTCAGTGGTTGAGCTATTCTCAATCAGCTATAAAGTATAGGCTGTGTTTATTATTGCTTCTACTTTGATAATTTTCTCTGATATTTCTGATGCCTCTTAGTTTATTTATTTACCTTCTTCTCCTAGTCTTTGGTACGACTCATTACACTCCCCGCCGCTGCGGCTGCTCTGCTTCGACATTGTCATCCCTGTCCGATTCGACTTCGGAAGCTGCATCGGTCTTGTCCACCTCCTGGTCGCCACTGACATCTATACCAACAAACATGTAAAACAGGCCGACATCGTATCCGATCCGCAGCAGCCCGGCCACCACATACGCGATCCAGAACCCGTTGCTGTCCGCCAAGAAGCCGGTCAAGCTGGGCCCGACCGTCGCGGCCAGCGTGCGCAGCGTGCTCGTGATGCCCATGACGGCCGTGCGCTCGGCGGGCTTCACCACGGCGGCGATGAACGCCGCGCGCGGCGCCTGGTCCATGTTGTTCAGGCCGGTGCGGACGAACAGGAGCGCGATGGTCATCCACACGCTCTGCGGGATGGGGAACAGCAAGACGGCCACGGAGGAGGGCAGGTGCGTAAAGACCATGGTGTTGATGAGGCCGAGCCGGCGCGCGAGCGGCCCGGCAAAGATGGTCGATATGGCGGCCAGCAGGTAGCAGATGGACATGATGTCGCCCAGGTAGGACTCGGAGAGGTCGAATTTGCGCGCGAGATAGTAGTTGGTCAGGCCGTAGGAAACCATGCCGTCGGCCAAGGAGTCGATTGTGAGCAGGATCCACAGCTTGACCACCACGCCTCGCGACTCTGGCGAGACGTGCCCTAGCTGGAGTCCCTTTCTCCATACCCTTTGGAGTCGTGATTTCTGGCCAGGAGATGCTTGAGCGTACGCGGCACGCAGGTCCTCCTGGTCACGCCCGCTCTCGTCATTGTCCACGTCCGAGGGCCGCGTCGCCGGCAATTCAAGCAACGGCTCCGCTGCTTGCGACGTGGAGCTTTCTTCCTGTTTTTCTGTATAAATCTCGGACCTTTTGCTCATCAAGCCTGCCGCGGCAGCGCAAATTGCCCCTGCGGCCACATATACCCAGAACATGGCGTGGTAGGCGGCTGTAATCGAGTTCGTCCCTTTGATCGCCTTGATGATGCGGCCGGAGATCTCGGTACCGACCGCGGACCCCAGTGAGGACGAGGTAACATACCACGACAACACGTCGGCGCGAATAGAAGAAGAAGTGAGATGCGAGAGCGTTGATTCCTCGACCGATCGAAACGGCCCAAAGTCACCACCAGTGGCGCTCACGACGCCGACCACGGCCGCGAGCAGCAACACCCAGTAGTTTTCAAACGCAACAAAGACCAGTCCAGAAAAGATCATAAGGACTGACCCACCAAGCAGCACTCTTCGGCGTCCAAACCGGTCCGCGATGAGAGTGACGAGCAGCCCCAGCACCACGTCGCCGGCCATCGTCGTCGACATGAAGAGCCCGATGCGCGCATCGGAGTAGTTGAGCGCGGAGAGGAAAAGGGCAAAGATGAGGGAGATGGCGCCAAAGGCAAACATGCGGCAAGTCCGGCTGAGCACAATGAGCCACGCATCGGGGCCGGCGGCGACCATGGAGCGAGCGCCGAACTCGGCGTACAGCCATTGCGCAGACTGGAGCACGCCCGACATGTCGTGCGAGCCGTAAATGTAACGGGGGAGGGGTCTTGGATGTAGAACGAGGAAGTAAATGTCCCATGTAGAAAAAAATGTCGAGTCAATGTAGAAAAACCGGGTTGAGCGGTAACGTCATTCCGCAATACGGAGATAATGGCCGTTGCGGGGTGAACTTTTAGCCTCCGTTAGTGCCACCGCCGGTATTCTCACCGGGTGGATGCCGACTCGTCTCATCAATCCAGGAGCATGGCACCGGCTTCGCTATGCTAGCATGGTGCCTCCCTACATCTTCCGACGTCCACTCCCTCGTCGCGACGCAGACGTGCGCGTCCGCCAGCGCCTTGTTGTCGTCGCCGCCCGCCGCCGACTGCAGCTGGTAGCCGTTGCGGCGGAGAAACATGTCGGTCGCAAACAGCGCCGTGCGCTTGTTGCCGTCCTGGTACGGGTGGTTGAGGATCAGCTTCTCGGACAGAACGCCGGCGAGCTGGAACAGGTCCGTCTGGCCGTAGCGGTGGTGGTCGAGCGGCGAGTGGACGGCCGAGCCGAGCATGGCCGGCTGCGTCGGCGGCGCGCGCGCAATGTGCCGCGCGTGCAGCCGGTTCACCTGCGCGGCGGTGAGGAAGCGGTAGTTGGCGGCCGGCATGATGCGGCCGTGAATGGCGTTGGCGGGTTGGAGCGAGATGGGATTTGTCTGTTTGTTGTAGGAAGCAAAAGTGGTAGGCTGGGCCAGTGGGTTTTCGGCACCCCTGGCGTTGACGGGCTGAAGGTGGTGATTTATCGAACCAATCCTTGTAGGAAATTTATATAATTGTACAGAAATCAAGGATAGTCATCTAATTCAATATTTCCATTATTCGGTTTTTTGTCGTCGTATTATGAAATGTAAGTGTCGTTTCCACGGCGTTGTGCGCAGGGCGTTTGCCGTTTGCCTGAGGCCTAGAGGTATTCTGTACACCCTGAGACCCGGTAGCCTGAGGCTGTCTGGACACAAAAAAATGCTCATCTTAGTTCTCCTTCATCATTTTGTGTACTGCCACTAGCTCATGATACCCTCAATAGCCATCAATCATGTGACGACTGTCGTCACATATCCTTCAAAAGCTCCGCAACCCCTTTCAGTTGATGGTGGCTGTCTCTCGAGGCCAATTCAAATTCATCTACCATAGTGTTAGCCTCTTCACACTAAACAATGAAAAACAAAAATACACACGGTCCTCAGTCCCGTCCAACGTAATGGAATGTGACGCGCCCCAGAGCCACAGCGTCGCAGGACTCACGCTGGTACCATTCGGCCGCGGCAGATCTTGCTTTATGGTAATCCTTGGATATGATGCTGCTTCTAGATGTGCACTAGTTAGTATACCATCTCGGGTGTGGGTAGGGGCACATACGGGTTGCGAAGCATCTTGACTCATGGAAAAAGGTCAGCGGCACCTGCTCAAGACTCGGACTGGCCTGTGGTCTGACGGCAGCGGCCATGGTAGCGCCGACAGATTTGTCAAAGATGATGTAGCTCTCGCCAGGGTCTCCGATAAAGATATCGATCCGCTCCGTGCTGGGCAGCCCGTTTTTGTCGAGACTCGTCAAGTCTGCCTTGGCTTTGTGAAAGGCCCTACATTCGACTGGTCGGCTTGCTGCACGGACAGCCATGGCGATGGGGCGACGAAAGGTTGATGCAAGAGGAAGACGCATGATTGCAAATTTCCTAGATTGTGCCGGATGGTTCTACCTTGATACAGCCAAGTTGCAGGAGAATTCGCAGACGTTGGTAAGTGCAAGGTACCGGGTAGGTATTTATCCGCGCCAACGTGATTCGCTGCGTGCATACACTGCGTTTAAGTCGCGATTAGTATTCTCGACCTCTAGTAAAAGTTGTTCTAGAATATAAAAGAAGGAGTTTGTGACTCCATGTACAAAGTCTTTGGGGTGCACCACAGGCCGAGATTTCCCGTCGTTCTTCAATCACATTTGTTAGTCTGTGGACATCGTTCGTCCCCGTTGAACCCCGCAACCCCAGCAGGATCGAAGTCTAGAAGTAAATTGAAAATATTGACCAGTATGTATATATAACATAATATCCATTAAATCAAAGTGTTTTCGTACGAATATTAGTCTCCCTCCGTGTTCCGAATCAGTAAGTCGCGGTGCTGGCTCGAATAGCGACGCAAATGGAAGTCCCCCTCCATGCCCTAGTAGACTAGCAATAAGACAGTAATGACATGTATATCTAACTGGTTCTGGTTTCTTTATAGGGAACACTTTATATATTTTCCACGGATAATGACGACGCAGTGTTATCATGTGCAGAATATACTTTTGAATCATATCTAGGAGAATTAAGGGAAGAAATATCGCCAAAATAAAAATAAAAGGAAAGAAAGTCCCGAGTCTCTTATACGGCCAATTCACCATAGAGAATTCCGGCAGTTCCTGCTACAGGACTTGCTCCCTCGCTAGTGTCATGCAAACTCGTTGTCAGGCGACGAGAGGAAATTTCACACAGATTCCAAAAAGAAAAATCACAAAAAGAAAAACATACAGCAGCCGGTGTTCGCTGGTCGTCACCGACCCAACTACTAATCTGCCGGTCAATAGCTTGATTTCAGCGGAGCGGACGGGACGCGATATTTTCTACTGCCTATGGCCGTATGTACCAGTCTTTTACTAAAATCGCTATATATATCTGATATTACAGTTGCTCTTCATCCTGGAATGCCGCGCCAGGGTGTTCGGGCTACTTAGAGGTCTTAGAGGTATAGTCGGTGAATGTTTTGGATGATGGGTGGAGTGACAAACGAGGGCGAGAGTGTGGAACCAACACGCCATCACCAGCTTTGAGAAAAGATGAGAGCAGTTTTGATAGGCACACCTTTGGCGCGGCGAGGCTAGCTCATCGTGGTGTGGTTTCTGACCTGAGGATTGAGAGAGTCGCTTTCTCACTCAAGGGACGTATGCGAGGTTCTTTGAAACCTTTTAGACTTGAGAGATCAATAACGACAAAGGCCTGGAATACATTTCCGTTTTGTCCAGTGCCGATTGTGTTTGCAGCTTTTTGAAAGCGGCTTACGGATTGCGATAGAGCCATTTTTAAGACAGCAGCGGAGGTAATTTGAATAGATATATGCGAGATTAATTGACATGGAGAATAGTTCCGGTAGTGCAGAGGGGTTGGACGCGGAAAAGGTGGAAAACCGCGGAACTAGCATAGATTTGGCTTCTGGCAACTGCCAAAAGAGGCATGTCCGAAAATACCTTGGCTGAGGTGCTGAACGAGCCTTCTACACGATGCATTTGAAGATTGAATGATAAAATGCCTGCCGAGGTAAAACATGATGGCTTGACATATTGACCGTCTCAACGAGGCGCCTCGTATCCTGTTGTAAGACGACGCTGAGCGACCAGACGCAGCGTATGGGCCACTGCTGGCAAGGTGATACAGAAAGACATCCAAAGATAGACAAATCACATGGTATGGTCTGAAAATCTAGGCGTCTAAAGGCCGTATATAGCATCAATAACCAGAAAGAGGGGTCGAGTTGAGGTGCTGCAAGCCATACAGGGTGCAGCCAGCAAAAGTACTTAGTAACTCACAGCTCTAGAAAGTAGCGATCCCCTCGGCGGTTCAAAAAAAAAATCCTTTGAAGTTAAGTAAAACAAATAACCCAGTAATACTGGAGTACTTCTGAGATATTTTCTCCTAGTAGAATGTAGACGTATTCACCGACAACCCGCTTGATCCCGGCCGCGCCCGAGGGACCGTGCTAGCGAACACGGCTCCAGCTTTTCGGCATGCACAGTGCAGCGGAGACTTTTATATTCTCTAATGTACACTGCACGGCTATATTGAAACAAGAATGTACTTTGACTCATTAGGAAGTACTACTGCGGGCCCCGAGCCTCCTGGCTGGCCAATTCGACGTCCGACATCGTCGCAAAACAAGGTGATGGGATTGAAGGAGCCGACGGCTATATGCTAGACGGATCCTGATCTCATAATAAGTGACAAAAAAGATATTCATACTGGCAGATGCAATATCCGAAAAGGGCACATTTTCTCGTGTATGCGCCTAGATCGGCATTGTCCATATCGAGGCACAAGCCTTGTCTGCAATCCTCCGGCAAGTTTATGCAACACCAGTACTACCCAATGACTGAACAATGGGCCGTAGACAGCAAAGCCGATCCCTTCAGCCAATTATTGACCAAGGCCTGAACAAACCCCGCAGATTTCAAGTATCCGGCCATTTCCCAGAATCGCTGCGACCGACGACGGCGACGAGCAAGTCTCCGAAGGTGATACGAGCCCTACATCCCCCTTGGACTATATAAAGAGAACAAGACGGCCGAAATAACCCCCAAAACACAGCGACAAGATTCACAACAAGTTCTCATACTCAAATCTCATTATACCACCGAAATGCAGTTCCTCACTCTCCTCTCCCTCGCCGCGGCCGTCGCCGCCGTGCAGATCAACACCCCCTGCGGCAACAACTACGGGCAGGAGGTGTGCGCCGACGGCGGCGCCAGCAACCAGCGCGCGTACGTGGCCGTCTGCAACGACCAGCACGTCTGGGCCGTCCGCCAGGCCTGCGGCAACCGCTTCTGCTGCAAGGACAAGGAGGGCGGTGGTGGCTACTGTGCCTGTTAAGATGAGGCGGATGCGAAAAGAAAAGAGGCATCAACAGAATCAATGTATGTGAGCACGGGTTATGGGAAGTAGAAGAGATGCTAATTTGATTATAGGCATGAAAGAAATGGCATGACTGCATGTACATATACATTCAAGTCGGATTAACATGGCAATGACTTACACATAGTTAGTATTATTGGATCAACCAGCATGAAAAAAGTCCAAACTCATTTCCCGTGTGAACGCTATCAGCGCAGAAATGCGCATCTATGAAAAAAACTACCTACAGTGGGTGTATGTAGTTAGGCTTGTCCGACTTCCCGAGTCAAGAGGGCCGACCCGCCGTCTCTCCCGAGCATAAAGACAAGCACAAGAGATCATACTGCATAATATGGGTACTTCTCATTCATGTTATTATTTTCATCCATGTAAAAATGCGAGCATATCTATAAGACTAGGTATTATACACAAAGGCGTAGAGTCGAGATGTCATGATATTCGCCCTTCGAGACTCCCTCAAGCCTCACGATCCAGCGACTGTCCGAGGACCATTTCGTAATACACGCCATTTTGCGCAATGAGCTCCTCATGCGTCCCGCGCTCCACAATGCGTCCCTTGCCAAATACTACAATCGTATCCGCGTCGCGAATGGTGCTCAGGCGGTGCGCGACCGCAATCGTGGTGCGCCCTGCAGCGGCGCGGTCCAGCGCCTCTTTGACCACCTTTTCTGACTCGGTGTCGAGCGCCGACGTGGCCTCGTCGAGGAGCAACAGTCGTGGGGTGCGGATGAGCGCGCGCGCAATGGCGATGCGCTGCCGCTGGCCGCCTGAGAGCGAAAGGCCCTGACTGCCGCACGTGGTGCGCAGGCCGTCGGGCAACGAGGAGACAAACTCCCAGACGTTGGCCTGCTGGCATGCCGAGATGATTTCGTCGTCGGAAGGCTCGCCGTACTCGATACCCAGGGAAATGTTGTCCCGGATGGAGCCCTGGTAGAGCACAGGCTCCTGTTGCACGAGCGCAATATCGCGACGGTACTGTGAGCGGTCATACTGCGTGACGTTGAGGCCGTCGACACGTAGCGTGCCGGAAGTCGGGTCGTAGAAGCGCTGTAGGAGCGCAATCATGGTCGACTTACCGCAACCCGAGGCGCCGACAAAGGCGACCATGCTACCAGGCTGGATCCCAATCTCAATGCCGCGGAGAACTTTGAGGCTGGGGCGCAGCGGGTAGGCGAAATGGATATCGTCGCAGATGACCTCCTTACCCGTGACGGGTTCACCGGCCTTTTCTGCACTGGAGGAACTCGATTCGCCATCGCTGTCGTACAGGACGCGCGTGCGACGGAGGCGCAGGATATAGTTGATGGCGGTGCCGGCCTTGGTGATGCTCGTGGTGTACTGGAAAAAGAGCGCGGCGGCTTCGCCGGAAAAGATGATGGCGATAAAGATCACGTAGAACTGGGCCGTGGTGTACTCGCCGGTAGAGATCAGCTGGCCACCGTACCAGAAGCCCAGACACATGACGAGGAGAGAGATAGACTGGCTGAGAGAGTAAAATAACATTTTCCAACCAAGGCCAGAAATAGCATCGGCAGCAATGTGCTGTAGCGAGTCGTGGTAGCGGGAAATGATGGCCTGCTCGAGGGCCAGTGAGGACACGGTACGGATGCCCATGACGGCTTCAGAGGCAAGACCACTACTCTGAGAGAAGCGATCGGCCGTGTCTGTCTCAAACTTGTATTCGAGACGGATGCGAAGGTAGCCCGAGGCGACCAGGACAGGGAGTCCACCAAGAGCCAGCACAAGACTAAGCTTCCACCCGTAGCACAGGGCCAGAATGACGCTGGAAAGGATGTTGACGACGGTGATGAGGATGAGGACACAGTTGATGGAGAGCAGCTCCTGTAGACTGGTCGGTTCAGAAGCGACGCGGGACACAAGAGAGCCAGTGTTATTCTCGGGCTTGTCGAAAAACGTCATGTCCTGGCGGAGGGTGTTGTCAAAGAGCTCGGCACGGTAAAACTTCATGACATGCTGTCCAACAAGGTTGATGAGCCACCCGGAAATGGCATAGGCAACGAGATTGCCGAGCGCGACCACAAAGAACATGAGGGCGTAAAAGTTAGCCTTGGGTACGTCAACAGTGGTGAAGGCATCCATAGTCTGCGCAAACAGCACGGCTAGCGCGGGATACGTGCCGCCGCCAGCAATACCACAGAGCGAGATGATGAAAAGGTACCACCACAGCTCGGGCTGCTCCTTGATGATGATCCATAGTCCCGTGAATAGGCCATAAGTTGGGCCCTTTTCGGTCTGCGTTTGTACACTCTGCGCGCCGACTGATGCACGAGAAGCAGCAAGCTCGAGGACTTCCTCGGGCTTGGTCTCTTCTCCATTGCCGTCGGTATCTGCCGAACCGTCGCCGTCGCCAAGGTCCTGGGCACGAACCAGGGCTGCATATTTGCCATTCATTTTGATGAGCTCGGAGTGGGTGCCGGTTTCGAGGACCTGGCCTTTGGACATGACGATAATTTGATCGGCAGTGCGAATAGTAGAGAGGCGATGGGCAATGGCAATCATGGTTCGTCCTTTGCCGACGTTATTGAGCGCAGTCTGGACAATCTTTTCGGCGTTGGGGTCCAAGGCGCTGGTGGCTTCGTCCAGGAGAAGAACTTTGGGATTCGAAATGATACTGCGCGCAATTACGATTCGTTGTTTCTGGCCGCCTGAAAGAGAGGCACCACGCTCGCCAATCATGGTGTCATAGCCATTGGGAAGTTCGGAGATGAAATCGTGGGCGTATGAAGATTCGCAGGCTTCTTGAACGAGACGCCGCTTTTCTTCATCGGGCAAGTCAATCATGGCAGTACCAGATAGACCATCCACCACATTCTGGTAGATGCTGCCGGTGAACAAAGTAGGTTCCTGCTGGACGAGGCGCATGCTAGTGCGTAGCCATTGCAAGTTGAGATCGGTTATATTATGGCCGTCGAGCGTAATCTCACCCGCCGAGCTCGGGTACCAACGCTCGAGCAGGCCGAATAGCGTACTCTTTCCTGAACCGCTGGCCCCGACAAAGGCGGTCGTTTTGTTGGCGGGAATCTCGATGCTAAAGTTTTTGAGGATGGGTACGTCTGGGCGAGAAGGATATGCAAAATCAATGTTAGAGACTTTGATGTTGCCCTGGAAGTCGGGAATGGTTGTGCCGGCGGTGGAGAGCGAGTCGACGGCGGATTTGCGGTCGATGACGGCAAACATGTCATGGGCGGCGGCGGCGGCCTTGGAGACGGCGACAGTTTGGGGCGCAATCTGGGTAAGGGCCTGAGCGGCCACCAGGACGGCGAAAATGACACTACAAAATTAGCATTGCATCCGAAAGAATAGCAAGGAAGTGTTGTGCGAAAAATGAGTGAGACTGAGGGAGGAATGATAGACAAGCCGTATATATGATACTCACGTTACAACTGTACCAGGCTGGGCAATCTCACCACTGGCATACATGCGCATGCCCTGCCAAAACGCCAGACCGTACCCAGCAAAGATGCAAAAGAATTCAAAGGGGAAAAGAATGGCATAAACCAGCGACTTCTTGTTGCCAACCTGGCGGGCTTCTTCAAGAATGTTGGAGAAGCGGCGGGAAAGCTTGGGAAAGGCCCAGAAGGCGTGGGCGGTGCGGATGGTGGCAAAGGCCTCCTCGGCGATGGTGCCCGACTTGCTGTAAATGTCAAACATTTTGTACTCGTAGACCATGTCAAACATGACGCAGATGACGGTGACAACGATGTTGACGGGGACGATTGAGATGACGATGAACGTCAGCTTCCACTGGACGACAAAGGCGACGACAAAGGCGGCGACAAAGGTGGAGAGGGCCTGGATGGTGATGCCGAGTTTCTCGGCGATGCCGTTGGTAATGAGGTTACCGTTTGTGGTGATTTGACTGGAGATGGAGCTGGAGGGGGCGTCGAAGAAGGGAATCTCCTGACGAAGTGTCTGGCGGACAAAGTCGACGCGCATCTTCTTGACGACACGGATGGAGGTGATGGAGACGGCGACCTACACGAGGTGGAAGAATCAGCAGGGGAATTCGTAGCAAGGTTGGATGCGGCTTACCGTCCAGATATACGTCAAGACAAACTTTCCGATGAAGAGATAGATGAAATAGAGGCTGTTCCAGTTAGTCGTTGCTCAAGAGCTGGTGCGGACGACGTACGCATAGTGCGCCACCTGTTTGCGGTACTCAGCCGGCGACATGGTGCCGGCGACAAATTGGTTGAACACATTGACGTAGGAGCCAAAGACGACATCCATCAAGGGGAGGGCGGTGCCCGATGCAATCATGCAGAGAAAGGAGACGGCGTTGATGATCCATCCCCGGGTGTCGTTGTACTTGAAGACGCGCTGTGTGTGGGTTAGTAGCTGGAACCTGTCGTGCGATGCGAGAAAAAATGCTGTCATACCAAGTAGAACTTAAAAGACCCCTCCTTCTCCTTGTCGTCTGGCGTTTGTGATGGCGCTTCGGTAGCAGGTGTGGTCGATGCAATAGGGATTGACGCCGTTGAAGGCGAACGCTCCTTTTGCTCCATCATGGTAGGCGGCGAGGCTTTGGTGCGATGGTAGCACTCGATGTTTGCAGACGTCGAGAACGACGAGGAATTTTATCCGATGGCATCAAGAGTAAGCTTGAAGAAGCGAGCATCGCCTCGATTGGGATCCGCGACTCTTTTATATGAGCAGGTCCTGGGGAACGGCAGGGCTACCCGGCAGCGTTGAACGGGTGGAGGGGCGATTTGTGGATGTCGGGCCCGGTTTAGCTTATTGCTCGGGTCCCTGGAGCCCGAAGTTCCTAAGGCTGGCAGACTTCGGCTCGGCTGGCGGAGGGAATAAATTCTTTTTTTAAAGTTGGGAAACTCATGCTGGTTGGTTGGTTGGGCAGAAGGAAAGAAATTGCGTGCAGATACATGACGCAGGTGTTGTCGGCGAGACCAAATGGAGACGGGGTGGCGTTTTGGTGCACGGCAGGGCTGCAAGAACCGGTGTTGGTGCGTGATGCGGCGTGGTTGGTTTCGTGAAGGTGTCTCAATGCATGGCATGTATCGCGTGTGTGACGAGGGGATGACAGTAGGATGGATTGGTGCTGTGAAGGGATGTGGTGGTAGAGTGATTGATGGTCTGGGCGAAGAAAGCGGATATTTCGAGGGTATCACGGTGTAGCCCTATTTCCGGGTGACAGACAGCACCGACTCAGCCCCAATGTCGGAATGCATCGCTATTGGCAAAATGCCCCAGACGCCACTGTCATACAAACAATATATACCACCCTAAGATATAGTCTCTATGACTCTACCTATTTTATAAGTCCCATCTTCCCTTTTAAGCTCGCCGGTTGTACTACGTGTTCGCACTTGCCACGATTCTGCTGGCACCACCCACACAAGCTTCAGCTGCGCCACACCATCGAAAACTCTTCGGCACCCGCGGGCCCCGTGGTCCCGTGTGCATCGTATATTGGCCAGCCTTCCTGCTGCTACCCGCCAGATTCCTGCTTCCCTCTCTCTCTGGGATGCGATTTGCAGACGAGGCGCGACCTTCCAGAAAGCCGATTTCGAAGCTTTTTTTTTTCAGTCTCTCCTGGCCCTGTTCCTTTTGGCCTGCACCAACAGCTTCTTCGGCAGCTAGGCCACGCCACGTTGACTCAGCCACTACTAGCCACAGACCCCCAAACGGCTGCCCTCTCTCTCCGCCATCCGCACCGACCCCTCCGGGATCCGGTCTACTGGCTCGCGTTTCCTCCTCGCATCGCAATATAATATTTTTTCTTCCAATTTTCAACGCCCATTTACCTTGCTATTTTTCGCCAGTCTCACGAGTTTCTTCCAGACGAGCTGTCGGCCGCGCTTCCGTACCCGCATCACCGAGTCGCTCACTCACACACACCCCAAGACGGCTTCCTCGCTCCACCCCCCATCGATGTTTCTGCGTATTGGCCTGGGCTAAGTCGCATGAACATAAATCGACCCCGCGTCTCATTTCTCCGTTTTCCGTCTCCTCGTCCGTTTAAAGCAGGCGGCGTCACGCCCAACGCGCCAAACCCAGTTATGAGGTCAAGTCCCGGCGCAGCTCTTCCGTCTCAATTATACATACACACAACCCACGGCCGGCAACTCGTGTGCACTGTCTAGTGCGACACCCTAAAAACAGGGCCATTGTTGCATCCCGTATTACCTTTCCGCATCCCTTTGGACCTGCCCATTGCGGCCCTGTCCAGCTTCGATCCCACCATGCAGCAGCATTCGCCTGAGCAGACACAAGTCCTCATGGTCAGCCCCGCTGCCGCCAGCGCTGCTGCGGAAGATGGCTCTGGCCGACGAGCGGTATGATGCCGCCCCCGTCCCCCTCTGTATTAACTATATTTACATCCCTTTTATTAAACAATTTCCTTTCTCTTATTGTTTAACCCTACACCCTCCCTGCTGTTCCCCGCACCCCCGCTGCTGTTCACCTCTCAGCCTCCTCTTCACCTACACCACGGAGTGCATCATCAAAGCTTCATTTCTAGCGTCGCCCTTATACGCAAGAAATACCTCTGCACTCCCTCCTGTGTGCAAAATACCTCACCAAATGTACCTTGTCCGATCGTAGTGTGCCTTGCCAACCCTCTGGAAATGGCTGCGGTCGTCACAAGCTTACTGTTATTTCCCTCACCCTGCGTATAAAAGAGCCAATTTGTCTCGGATATTTTTGCTAATTTGCTCATTTTCTGCTCACAGTGCGATCAGTGCCGTCTCCGCAAGGTACGTTGCGCTCTTTCTTATCCATAGCCCTACCCGTCCCCGTCTTGTTCTCACCCCCTATGTTCTTCTCACGCCTTGATCAATCTGCCTGTCTCAGCCATGATTGGCGGTTCTTCCGATTCCCGCTTTTGCAACGAGGTGTCACCCACCCCATCTCGATGCCAAGACTCTGCATCGTCGACCGTATCCGCTAACCGGTGCTCCTAGATTCGCTGTGACAAGGACTGGCCATGCTCCAACTGCAGAACGGCTAAGCGGCCATGTACTTCTACAGGCGCCGGCCAGCGCCCCAAAGAACCTCGTCAACGTGTTCTCATCTCGTCTCAATAGTAGGTCGTCTCAGCCGTGGCATCTTAACCAGCCACCGGCACCCCGTACACCAATCCCCGCTGACCAAACTAGTGAGCGTAAGATTGACCAAATTGATTCTCGCCTTGGGAACATCGAGACGCTCCTCAAGAACCTCTCCACCTCCGGAATCGCGTCTAATGACACCGCCAGCCGCATCATCGAAACGCCGCAAACGGGTAGCAGCGGACCGACGTGCGAGTCTACTGCCGACTTTGACAGCAGCGAGGAGGAGGGCGCCGCCTTTGGCGGCGACTCGGGCCTGACAGTCCACACGGCTTTTGCCAGCGAGTTCCTCGAGCGCGCTGTCAAGCGCACCGCGCTCCGCGCCGGCGCCCACAATCCCCAAATGGAGGCCGCCCTCGCCAACCTCGGCCAGCTCGTCGAGATGCAGCGCAGCCGGCCGGAGCACAGGCCGCGGTTCCCGCTCCAGCGCGCCGTGCCCCCGGGTGGCGTGTCCAAGCTTCCGCTACCGCCGATGGCGCTGGTCGTGGAGCTGTTGAAGAAGAATAAGGGTATGCTCTATCTCGTCAATCATGTTTTGTGTTGATAGGCTAATCAATGTAGCTTCCCCTGTAACCCTATTTACAATCATGTGCGATTTGGTCGGCGTCACAGACATCACCACTCTATGTCGAGCTGTTTACTTCCCCACAGAAGACGTCTCTGACGCCACCTTTGCCGTCGTCAGCGCTCTATTGTATAATCTGTTCCTTGAACAACACTCTCTATCCTCAGACCCGGCTGTGAGGGAAGAGTACTTTCGCCATTTCCAATTATGCCGCGCCAACCTCGAAACCACCCTCGCTAACCTTCCCATGCTGCTATCTGCCAAGATTGACAACGTCCAAGCATTGCTCCTCGGTGTAAGCACGCCGACCCTCCCCTACCGCCTCCGACCTCCCCTCATCCCCGGCGCATGCATGCTAACTCCCACCAGAGCCTCTACGCCGTCGACGTGTCCCGCCCAACCGTCGCCTGGCACTTTGCCTCCGCCGGCGCCCAGCTCTGCCTCACGGGCGGCTTTCACCGGCAGGACAGCCTCGCGCACGACCCGCCCGAGACGGCGCGCATCAAGCGCATCCTGTTCTGGCACATTTACACGCTCGATAAGGGCCTCGGGCTGCGCCTCGGCCGCGCCTCCGTCATCCACGAGTGCGACATTGACATTCCCCGCGTCTTTGAGTTTGACCTGCTCGACAGCGGCGGCGCCGACACCGTGCCGACCATGTGGGTCGAAATGTCCGGCCTGCAGAGCGTCGTCTACGAGCAGCTCTACAGCCCCGCGGCGCTGCACTGCCCGCAGGACGAGCTCGTGCGCCGCGCGCGCGCGCTGGCCGAGGAATGCCGCAAGCTCGGCGTGCGCGGCGACCGCGCGCGCAGTAATGCCTACAGCTACATCAAGCAGATGAACATCTCCGACGTGGTCGACGTGTTTATCCGCGGCGACGAGGTGCAGTATTATGCGACGCAGACGCTCATCTATCGCGTCATTCCCGCGCCGGAGCGCTCGGTGAGCAGGTTCTGCGATGAGTGTCTCGAGGCGGCGCGCAGGGCCATGAGTGCGCACCAAGACTGCGCGCGGCTCATCGACCTCGGCAGCTTTGTCAAGACGACATATGTTCACTGGTACGACGATGCTTATATCCCCATGCGGAAGCTACTTTTCATTCGTCTCTAACATGTAACTAGGAGTCTCCTTCTCACACCGTTTGCGCCCTTCTTCGTGCTCTTCTGCTACGTTATTGAGACGTCGTCAGCCGATGACCTCAATATCCTCAAAGAGTTTGTCATGTCGCTGGCGCTGGCACGGGACTCATCCGAGGCGGTGGAGAAGCTGTACCGGCTGTGCCAGGTCATGTACGACGTGCTGACGCTGTATGTCGAGGCCAAGTCGTCCCAGCAGCAGCAGGAGAGCGGTGCTGGCGGCGGCGGCGGCGCGGGCGGTGCCCACGGCGTGGTACCCATCGGAGACGAGTTTGAAATGTACCTCAGCCAGCTGGGCCTCATGCCCATGGAGGACCAGACCATGACGGGTGCGCCGGATGGCCAGCAGACGGCGGCGACAGCCGGGGGCCATGTACCGCACAACCCGCAGGTCGCGCAGATTGCCGACTGGTTCGTGAATAACCGCAACATGATGGGGTTGCTAGAGGAGGACCTGTCACATATTGAGTCGTACCGTTGGTTGCAGCCAGGTGCGGCACACTTGCAGCAGCACGCACAGCAGCCACAACAGCGTGCTGAACAGGCGGGCGTGACAAATCATGCAGTGCATGGGCACCATCATACTGGATCCATGTAAAAGTGTGTGTCGCCAAGAGCCTCCCCTTTGTAATGATAACGATGTCGTGGCCTGATACCAAGAAAAGTTTGCCAGCATTTATTCACATTTTTTCGTCTTCTTTTGGAATACAATATCCCTTCGTGGCAAATATACTCTCGTGTAGGCGTTCAATCAGTCGGGTATCTCGGGTCGTACACTTCGTAGCCTTCGTCTTCGGTATCGCTCTCGCCCAGTCCCGCCCCGAGCGGTGCTTTCGTAATGACCGTCGCGGGCTGGACCGGCGCCGGCGCGGCCCTCGTCGTCTCCTGCTGCGCCGCACTCTCTACCGGCACCATCGCGCTCTTGAAACCACTCTTCTTGAAGCCGCTCTTCTTGAACCCCGCCGTCGTCGACGCGGCGCCGGCCTCGGGCATCTTGATGGCGACGAGGCCGTCAGCCTTGGCCTCGGCCTTGCGTGCGCGCGCGGCGGCGGCGGGATCGCGGACCATGGCCTTCATGTCCTTGGCGCGCTGCTTGTGCGCGTGGTCGTAGCTGCCGAGGTGCGCCTCGTAGTCGTTCATGCGCGCGTAGCCCTTGGCGCAGAGGTTGCAGTAGAAGGATTTCTGGGCGTCGCGGGCCGACGACGTGGCCGCGGGCGGGAGCGTCTGGTGGCGCTGCGGAAAAGTTGTCAGTGCGAGACGGTGCGAGAGGGAGGAACTTGGAGGCTTACGGGAGGCATCGTGGACGGAGGTCGGCGGCGGAATGGGTTAGTGTTGATGGATGGCTGGTGTTTGCGGGAGGAAATTTGAAGGCGCCTTGATGAGAGACGCGGAAGCGCGATAGGTAGCTCAGTGGAGACACTGAGCCGCAATTACAGATGCACTGAAAACAAGGGTATCAGCTTTCAAACAAGGGTACAGCAAACGACAACAAACGTAGCCACCGCCATTTAGTATACCTTTTCTACGATTCTCTACTTAGAAAAAAACATTTATTATGCCGTTATTTCTATATTGAATGCACGACGATGTGCGGAGCACACGACGCATCGCCGCTCATCATGAAGCCGGTAGTAATTTACTCTCCCAGAATAGGGCCGTTCGATTTACCATCTGGCATGCGTACAGTAAAATCGATCTACACTCACTTGATAATTCTTCCTCTCTATGGCAGGATTGTTGAATAAAATTTTACAACCCGTCACAGCGATCGATTCATCGTGATGGCACAACGAGGTCCTCGAGACGAGTCTCCTTTGGGGTTGAGCCCGTGACACATCCAAGGCTACGTAGACCTGGAAGTTAGAATCCCAGGTGAGAATCCGGGCTCTATTTACCCTAGTCCTCGCAAACTTAGTGGTAGCGTAATGCTATTCCAGGAAACCTCCCCGACCAGCGGCTTCACGTCGGCTGGCATCATCGCAGGATCATTGACGTCGAAGTGGACGGGTACGGCGAGTGCGCGCAGGCTGTCCGTGGTACGGAAAGGCGGCGGCAGGCTCATGGAGGCTGCGATTGCAGCGGTGCTGCTTTGTGGCGGCGGCAGGTTCTCCTATGTATAGTTAAAGTAAAAACAAGCTATTCCGTCGTCATTGTTGTCTTGGTTGTCGTCGTTGCTGCTATAATCGCGGGCGTCATTGTTATCGTAGTTACCGTAGTTATCGCCATCGTGGGTGAACCTTGTTTTCATTCGAGGCCTCGCGATTCTCATCATCTTTCGACGCGTCTCACCAACTTGTAAAGCTAGAAGCGGCCCGAAGACGAGAGCGAGCTGGATGCCTATAACATCCGTTTCCGGGGCCGTCCGCGTGTATCCCAGTCGGAATCATCCATATTCCCATCCGACGAGTCAGACAAATCCCTCCATTCATCTTCCACCAGATCGTCGAGCGTGCGCTTCTTGGGACTGTGGCTGCGGCTTTGGCTGCGGCTCTTACCCCTAGCCAGGAAGTCTTCGCGACAATCCTTCCCAGAGACATCGCTAGTATGCGAGCGACCATCCTCGTCCAAGAGCACCAGGCGGCGCGCCACGCCGGTGCGGACAAACATCATCTGCCCAAGCACCGTCCACGCAAACCGCGCAAAGAGGTACTCGACAGCCAGCCCTGACAGCGCCTGCGGCGGCACGTTGTGGTATACCGCCGCCAGCTCCTCGCCCGGCAGACCCGAGAGGACGTGGATCGCCCAGGCGCGCCATTTCGGGACGAAAACGAACTGCCGGTTGTCAAATGCCTGGTGGAGGTCGGAGCGGAGGAGGAGCGCGTTGTTAGTATCATTAGTCGCGTTCGTCAGGGCCTCAGCACGCACAGCGTACAATGCCATCTGGTTCGCATCAAACCAGGCGTCTTCCTTTTGCGGGACGAGGTGCGCGATTTCGTTGCCGAGGACGGACGCCGTGATGCGGCACGACTCGTCGCGGGCGTGGATGGTGTCGCGTGGACAAGAGGGTAGCGTGAGCTCGGGCGCCTTCCACGTCGGAGGCAGATTATTGTGCGGGAAGGTAAAGTGCTTGAACGAGGGGACCGTCGGATAGGGACCAGCGTCGCCATCGCGAGCGGGGACGTGGAAGTAGTAATCGCGACCGAACAGGGGGTCGTCGGGATCCAGCGCGAGCGGCGTCGCGTCGGGGCGGCTGGATTCGGAGAGAAAGCCGTCCCAGCGGCAGTTGGCGACGATAGCGCAGGCGATGCGCGCCGTCTCATGATGCAGGCCGTATCGTATTTGACTTGAGTTTTCGTTCTTGTGAGGGTCGAGCGCGGCGAGGATCAGGAGAGTGCTCACGTTTTTCGGGTAGTCTGGGTGGCGGAGGCAGACTCGGTGGTCGGACGGGGAGGTGGTTTCGCTCTTCGGAAGGCCGTCATCCGGGTGCCTTGGAGGGGGCAGCCGTTCCCGCAGACGACACGGAGCCGCCATTTTCCTTTTCTCTTGAGTTGTATATGGATGGAGGTGGATGGTGCGTTTGCGCGAGCCACTGTAACAGCGTTGGAGCCTGACGTAGTCCGTGTAAGTCGTTGCCACGACAACTACCCAATCGATAAAGAAGGCAGCTGGCGTAAAATTGATCCAGCCGCAGGGATTACTTGCACGAAGTCCATTTCCGAGACTTAAAAAAAAAGAAGAAGAAGAAGGAGATTCATGGGTAAAAAACTAGCTAGACCAAAGCTCTGACCTGTTAGAGGTTGTGCATCGACTGGTCCTGCTTTGTGTGCGCAGGTGCCCCGACAGAAAACGACAAGAAACGTAGGCGCCGCCATTTACTGTAAAAAAAAAACATCTAAAAAGCATTCCTCCATTATACAGTTGTCCCTGTATTGAAGACTTTATTCAATGGTACTCCCGACAGTCCACAGCCCGCTAATCGCAATATTGGTATAGCTGGGCTTAGGTCACGGTGTCATGCACCTTTTGCTCGCATCTCAGTCGACTCGCGACAAAACCTGAATATGATACAATTATTTACAGATTCCTCCCACACTACCCGAGGACTCGAAATTATTTCGCACCCTCTAAGCTGCCATGTAGTCCTGGCGAACTTATATACTATATACAATGCCTCCGCTACTATACTCATCTCACCCGAACAAGTATTGACGCCCTTCGGATTGCTTATTGCCCGACCGGCTCTTCTCATCAATCAGCGAGCCCCACCACGCGGTTTCACGGTCGTCGGACCAGAGCTCCTCGAGCAGCTCCATCGTGGTGGAAAACATGTCGTACCGTGTCTTGCTGCTCCACCACGCGCAGTACCGCTTCGCCTCCTGGCGCAGATGCGCATCCGCCGTCTCGCAGCCGGCAAGGAAGACGGGCAGCAGGAGCTGCTTCTGCACCATCGAGTCCCGCCGGCACGAGATGACGTGGCTGAGCGCCTTGCGGGCCAGAAAGGGCAGCGACGGCGAGGGCGGCGTGCCGCGCTCCCACTTGAAGACGCGGTTGATGTACAGCAGCAGGGCGTAGCGCCACGCCTCGGCGCAGTGGTGCAGGTCCTCGTGGTGCATCATGTTGGCCCAGCTGTAGCCGTCCGGCAGGCCCTGCGCCGAGCTCAGCTCGTAGATGTCGCCGTACGTCTGGTCCTTCCAGGCACGGATCGCCGTCTCCACCTCGAGGACCGGTGCCATGTCGAACTTGACGCACACCATGGTCGCGGCTAGCTCAAACTCGCGCGCATACGAGCCCAGACGGACCATTTGCTTGAACAGCGCCTCCGGACAGCCGGACACGCTGTAGAAGGTCGCTTTGGAGGGGCGCACCGGCCGGAATAGATTGACGATGGTGGATTCGGATAAGACGCAGCCTTTTCGAGTGGTCAGGGCCAGCGTGACGTCCCACCTAGGCGATCAGATCAGCACGAGTGCGTTGAGGTGAAATGCAAGTACTCACCACACAAGCATCTCGATTCCTGCCTGCATCCGGGCAGTCTTGTGATCGTGTATAGCCTCTGCGGCGCGTATCATCTTGTGGGCGCGCTTCAGGTACCACACCCACGGTCCATGCGCCGAGGTTGCGCACTTTCATCGCCACCGGTCAGTACAGACATATACTTTTGGGAGCAAAAGAGCATACATCGAGGGTCATGAGAATGAGCACTGCGTCTAGAAGGGTCGGTTCGAGACCAGTATTCTCAGTGGCGGTCTCCATGTCCTTCAACATCTGCAGTGCAATCTCTTTGTGTGATTTAGCCTCGTCCGGATAGACTCCCGTCTCGCGGTTCAGATGTCGATAGGACAGAGCCAAAATGGAGTGCCAAAGTAATTGAGAGCCTTGGCCCCTCTCGGCGTCGAATCGGAACGGGTTGGCCTCGAAGTCGTGGGTCAGTGGCATGACGCAGAATTCCCGATTATCTTATAGAGGGGTGGTGTTAGCTTCATGTCATGAGGAGGAAATATCCGGGCAGCGCAGTCCGTACACCTTGCTAGTAACTGCGCGATGGTGTCACTGAGATTATTACTTCCAATGTTGGAATTAATCCAGGACATGTCCATTGTTTGCGTCGCTTTGCCCGCGCTGACATCAAGCGCAGTCTCGTGTGGCTGGTCCGCCTCATGACGATGCGCGGCGTCCTGATTCTGCGCTTCATAGTCATCCTGCACTAGAGAGGTCTCATCGACGGCGCTTATGATCAGGTCGGGCCCAAAGTAAAACGGGACGTTGCCAGGTTGCCCCCCGGAAGAGGTGGGACTTGTGTCCGAGTCGAGAAAGGGTTGGAACGAGTTGTCACCAAAGGCCAGGTCGACGGCGTTGAAGATGTCGCCCAGCACTGCTTCATCCGGCGGGGACGAGACCCTCGAGGCCGTCATGTCGTCGGGTCCAGGCTCGAGTGTCGACGGACTTCGTGGGTGGGGTTGATTCTCTATCGATGCCGGCGCAGGGCCTTGGACAGCGTCGCTCGGCGCGACTGGCGCATTGCCTCTTCCATTCGAGGTTGGTTGCGCGGCGAACTTTGCACTCGTGCCTCGCCGGCGCCGTTTGCGACTTGTGCCATCGACAAATTTGAATTCGCGGTATGGCTTCGCTTGAGACATGTCTGCCGCCGTGTTGCGAAATGGCGCCGCCCTCCCATGACAGGAATAACGAAGAGACGGAGCGTCGAGCTGTGCTGGTAACGATACTGAGGCTTCAGCTCCCGGTTCTGATGTAAGTTTGGAAAAGCATCAGTTGGCGAGGCCGGACCGGCGGCGTGTTTGCGGGCACCAATAGTTCGTTGATGCTGTTATCGCAACGGGTTGAAGGTGTGGACCGGGCGCTCGGATGTTAGGGCCGTTGGGCCGTTGGTCCCTCATTTGCGGGCACCAATAATGCGGTCTCGGCAGATGTACAGGCGACTGCCGGAGTAACGAAGTAGCCCTTGCATATCATGAATTGGTTGAGATGATGTCGCGTCAAATGTGTTATTTTACGCTCCTGAGAACCTGCCGCGGACTGACCATTGACGGGTATAACATGAGAGGTTTTATTTTATTTTAGCATCCTTTTAAGTGGCCGAGGAATTGTCTTCGTCTTTGGCGCAACTGACTCAATCAAAAACTTCTAGTTATATAGGCCACCATTGGCCGACAGAGTAGCACCTGTAGTCCACCTGGCATCATCACTACACAAAAATGCCACCAAGGGCGCAATGTCATCCACCTCACCGACACGGGCCGCCGCGGGAGTTGAGTCAATCAGCGGCTGCATCTCTTTCAGAAATTGCTCGTCACTCTGAAACCATTGATCTGTGTGGCGTATCGGTTAGCAAAACATGATCCATTATGGCATGCCGGTGTTTTGGAAAACTTTACCCGTCGCAATCGGTCCAGGGTTGACGCTGTTGACCGTGATGCCATGGGATTGACCCAGCTCCTTTGCCCACACTCGCGCAAGAGCTTCGTTGGCCGCCTTGGTCGCCGCGTACACGGTCTGGCCCCCGACGCCGAGACGGGCGCCGGCCGAGGATATGAAGACAATTCGCCCCCCCTTGGCAATGTGCGGCTCGACGGCCTTGGTCAGGAAGATGGGGCCTTTGACGTTGGTGTCGAAATGGCGGTCGTAGAATTCCTCGGTCGTGTCGACCAGGTTGGCTTCGTTTCCTTGCGCAGCACTGTGTTGGAAAGATGGCGTGCGTTAGCCGCGCATGACATGGTCTAGTAACGGGCATGTTGCTTACTTGTGAATCAGAATGTCAATCTTGCCAGAGGGGCTAATCTTCAACGCAGCCTCGACGATTCTGGGAATTTGGTCCAGTTTGCTGACATCCGCCTGCACCACGACGGACTTGGCCCCGTTTGCCTCGATCTCTGCGGCGACCTTTTCGGCCCTCTCTTTGCTGCTGGGTGACACATAGTTGACGACGACGTTGGCGCCACGTCTACCTAGCAGAGCGGCAATGGCAGCGCCAAGTCCCCTGTTGGCCGAGTCAGTAGACACTATTGTGTAGGTTGCCGATTTACTCACCTTGATGCGCCGGTGACAATGGCCACCTTGCCGGAAAGATCAAGTCCCTTGAAGTCGCCCATGGCGTAATGTCGTCACTACACAATAATTCGAACAAGAGTGCAAGAGAGGTCAGCAGAAATCCTGACTACTGTTGAGCAAGTGTCTTTTTGCTTGCGTGTTTGGTTGCCCCCGGCAAAGTCAATGAGGCGCCATCTTGTTTTATCTCTTTATCTCGTCAACGGAACCCCAAGCCTCTGGCGAGTGCTCTCCAATTTTCCCCGCATCACACCACCGCCGACAGCGGCCTTTTACTGTTTATGGAAATATTTAAACTGGGCTTTTTAATTGCCAAAATAGGTAAAAGTGTAAACTATTGAATAGCTCCTCCGAGGAAGTGGCGCCACTTTCCAGTTGGCGGATTATGGAACGCAACCGAGGCGGCCTCAACCGCTAAAAATGTCGCCAGGCGCGCACACGCATTTCCGTCGTGATACGCTCACCGAAAAATACCCCACGCCGTCGTTATACATACAGTCCAATCTGAGCTCACCATGGCCAGCAAAACCGTGGATGGTTACACGTGGGAGCCCGCCACAGGAGTTGTCAAGGGCCTCAAAACGGACGCCGTTGTCAAACCTGCCCAGTCACTCGGTAGCAAAGACAACATCTATGATGCTGTGGTGATCGGTGCAGGCTACGCCGGCCTTGCTGCAGCGCGAGACTTGGCGCTCGCAGGCACGTTTTGGTCCTCCTCGTACTCTGGTACATGCGCCTCTTGCTGACTCTCGTCTTCTTGCCACCATGCTTAGGTCGAAGTGTTTTGCTGCTGGAAGCCCGTGATCGCATCGGAGGTCGAACATATACCGTCAATAAAGATGGTCAGTTGCATCACTGAAGAAACTGTGTACATCTACTCAGCGACAATCAGGATTCCTCTACGAGATGGGCGGCACTTGGGTTACGCACCACATGGGTTATCTGTTCCGCGAGATGCAGAGATACGGCATGGATCGCGACCTTGTCACCACGGGAAGCCCGGACATGCACAAAGGCTACTACACAATGGATGTTCCAGGTATCATCAGTCGCGCAATGCAATATAGGGTGGCGCGTCACTAACCACCAAGTTCCCGTAGGAGCCAAGCCTCGGACGCTCAGCCATGAAGAAGCCGGCGCCATGCAAGCCAAGGCCTGGGATGTATTTGTCAATGTCGATGGCCAGTACGGTCGCACACTCTGCCCACTCCCCCACGCTCAGCTAGACAATATCATGGTTGATCGAGAAACGGTGGAGAAATGGGACCAGTTCTCATGTCAGGACCGTTTTGACCAAATTCAAGACCAGCTCACTACCGAGGAGCAAGGTCTCCTGGTCTCTCTTCTGCTGCACATCTCAGGCGGCGACATGCAGACCTCCAGCCTCTGGGACATGATCCGATCCCATGCTTTGCTCATGCATAGCTCGGATAATTTTACCGACGTCTGGCTTCGATACAAGCTCCGGGCCGGACAGACCGAGCTTGCAAAGCGGATGTTTCACGATGCGAAAGCCCGGGGTATCGACTACAGCTTTTCATCACCCGTACAGTCCATATCGCAGGGAGCGGAGAAAGACGGCGAAATCACCGTCGCAACACATGGCGAGGGGGCTTTCCGGGCTCGGCGCGTCATCAGCACTATTCCCCTCAACGTGCTCAAGGACATCGCGTTCTCGCCACCCCTCTCCAAGAAGCGACAAGAAGCCATTGACATTGGCCACGTGAACCACATGACCAAGATACACGCCGATGTGCGCAATCCGGAGCTGGAACGATGGAACGGTATGCGGTTCCCAGGCCTGTTGCTGTATGGCTACGGCGATGGCCGCCTGCCGAACGGCAATGTGCACCTTGTTGCGTTTGGTGCCGACGAGCGCGAACATTTCGTCCCAGAGAAGAATCCCGAGTTGGCTGTGGAATCGTTCAATAAGCTGCATCCAATGGATATCCAGAGATTGGTACGTCTGGCCTCGATCAGGCAATCTGCGGTGTACATGGGCGACTAACTGCGGCAAACAGATATTTCACAATTGGAGCACCGACGTGTACGCAAAGGGAGGACCGGCTTGGTGGCGGCCCGGATACATGTCCAAGTATCAGGACGAGCTCCAGAGCCGCCATGGAAATATTTTCTTTGCCTCGGCCGATTGGGCGCATGGGTGGCGCGCGGCGATTGATGGTGCGTTGGAACAGGGGTCTTTGGCTGCGCAGTCGGTTGATGGCGAACTCGGGCCTAGTAGACCTTCTGCTGCCGTTGAGAGTAAACTGTAGGGCTTGGAGTGTGTACAGTCAATCTGAGGGATTAAGATTGTAACTAGGGTAGAAAATGGGTTGTAATTGTAAATTGAAATGCCGTTTTGCCAAAATGCGAACATGAGTCTCGATTCCAGGTTGTGGCTCATTCATCCTAAGCTAACCAGAAGAGGCAAATAGCCATGTCCACACTGGAGTTTCCCAAAATGGCAAAAATGAATAGTTAGCTCGAAGTGGCGGAGTTGGCTCCAGCATTATCGCCGAAGCTGCAAAGTGCGAGATGCTAAATCTCGAATCTTCAACTACAGTGCATCCTGCAGAGACAATTTTCATCCAAGTACTCCCAATGGCGGCCTCATCGAGCAAGAACGAGGAGATCCTGGCACTGGCCAAGACTCTCAAGGGAACGCCTCAGTGCGACGAGTATGACCGCATGATTTCCGGCATGCTGTATGTAGTTATTGCGTCCAGTGCTTCGTCGCCAGCAACTCCGGCGGGCAGTCTCCCGACAGGGAATGGCATGGATCTCTACTAATCACTCATAGATACAATCCCCTTCATCCAATTTTGATGCAAGGCCGCCACAAGGCTCGCGGCCTCGCCTACACATACAACAATCTGGACCCCAATGCCTATGACTGGGAGCACATTGCGCAAATCCGCACAAAGCTTCTGCAGGAGATGCTCGGGAGCGTGGGCGAGGGAACGTGCATCGAGACGCCGTTTCTACCCGACTATGGCTGCAACATCATCATCGGCCAGAACTGCTTTATGAATTTCGGGCAAGTCTTAAATAAAATTCCAACTGCTTAGAAAGAAGGGCAAAAACTGACACGCGCTCGCCCAGATTCACCGTCCTCGATACCAGCCTCGTCATCATCGGCGACCGCGTGCAGATGGGACCCAACGTGCACATTTACACGGCGGGCCACGAGACCAGCGTCCTGTCGCGCATCAAGTTTGTCGAGTTTGGCCATCCCATCAGGATCGAGGACGACTGCTGGATCGGCGGCAACGTCATCATTCTGCCTGGGGTGACCATTGGCCGCGGCTGCACGGTCGGGGCTGGGGCGGTCGTCACCAAGAGCCTGCCGCCGTACTCGGTCGCGCTGGGAGCGCCGGCAAAGGTGGTCAAGACAATGGCGTCGGTCGAGGAAGAGCGCGCGGACCCGAAGAATCCGTTTCGCGACATGCCCGATAGAGTGTAGATGCCGTGAGGGGAGGGCCAATCTTTGTCATTTAAAGACTATCAAGGGTCCTTGAACATGGAAATTACAATTGTTATATTTCATCCGTCTTGTCTCCCTCGCCTTCACAATCCCCCCTTTTTTTTTGTCAATTTCCATTCCCTTGAGTGCCACAGCTTGCAATAGCCTCCGCCTGGAGCTCAGCGTGCATCCCTGGGTTGACGAGTTGGACAACCACCACGGAGGCCCACGTCGGCGTGTGTCCTGGAAAACGCTGCCGAAACACCCCGAGCATGACATCTTCACACTCCCTTGCCGTAAAGTACGCCGTAATCTTGTGTGCCGCGGCCAGGCCACGCTCCACACCCGCGTGCAGCAGGGCGGCGTCCAGGCAGTCGAGCACGGCGTGGAACTCGGCTTCGAGGGAGCTATGCACGAGCGCGCCCGTGTTGATATTGACGCCCACATGTCCCGTCGTCACCACGAGGGATGTGCTGCCCAGGGGAATCGTGGCGGTGGTGGCGAGCGAAGCGGACCGGAGCATCTCGCCTACGGGGCCGGGCAGCCACTTGTATTGGACGGGATTGGCCATTGGTGCAGGAGGGGGTTGGACGGGATTGGCCATTGGTGCAGGAGGGGGTTGGACGGGATTGGCCATTGGTGCTGGAGGCGATAGATAGAATGATCTCGTTTGCGAGAGAAGAAGAAATAGTGATGTTCTACCATGAGAGCTGTCGCCTTTCACATGGGTGCGATTCGCGTTGCAGAGCTATGCCACTCCAACTTACATATACCTGCCTGGACCTATCAGTGGAGCTCCAACGCCACCTAAATATACCTCTTTGGGTAATTGCTGGCCAACGCTAAATCAATCCGCGGTAGTTCGATCATACAGGTACTGGCACAGGGATATTCCATATTCCAATACGACGGTGTTGCCAGAGTAAAGGACCCAGGCGTCTGTAGAGCTCTCTATCACCAAGTCAGCCAACTGTTTTACCTTTGAGAAAATGTCTCTGACCGATTGCCGCAATGCTGAGCTGTGTACCATCACTGACGAGTACACAGGTGGTGAGGCGCGCACGATTCCCGGCCTGGTCTATGTTGCGTTTGGCAGCGATGGCAATCCCATCATCGAGCATTACTCTGGCACGACAGGGATATCGTCCGCCACACGCATGTCTCCCGACACCATCTTTTGGCTCGCCTCGTTTACGAAACTCGCAACGTCCGTAGCTTGTATGCAATTAGTTGAGCAAGGCGTATTGAACTTGGACAGCCCGGAGCAGCTTGAAGGCATCTGCCCGGAACTTCAGGCTGTCAAGGTTCTCCAAAGGTGCCCAGATGGCACATTCGAGCTCGTTGACAAGAATAAAAGGATATCCCTCCGAATGCTTTTAAATCATACCGGTGAGTCATGATCGTCACACGTGCATCGTTTGCTTATTTTTAATCTCCCCTCGTTTTGTAGCGGGATTTGCGTACGCATTCGAAGACGCCAAATTGGCAGAGTACGGGCGCCCAGTTGGCTTTGACGACTTTGGCGGATCTCGAGACGACTTGTTCCAGCGTCCGCTAGTCAACCAGCCGGGTGACAAGTTCCAGTATGGAACTTCCATGGACTGGGTTGGGATCGTCATCGAGCGAGCGACAGGGCTGGACCTTGAAGACTACTTCCGAGCAAACATCTTTGCGCCGCTCGGCATGCACAGCGTCTCCTTCTTCCCATCCGAGGACGCGAAAGCGAACCTGGCGTACATGCATCAACGCTTGAGCGACGGCACGCTCATCACACAGGAGCATTTGTATCGTCGGCCTCTAGTAGGCGGCGGTGAACAGGCTGACGACAAGCGCTTTTGCGCTGCCGGCCACGGCTGTTTTGGCAAGCCAGCCGAGTTTCGAAGTGAGTTTCTTTCTTGAGAGGCCGTGACAAGTGATTATGGTAAACTAAACAACTGCCAAAGAATTGATCGCTGTTCTCTTAAACGACGGAGTGGACGCAGGCACGGGCACCCGATTGCTGCAGTCACAAACTGTTGAGGGTATGTTGTAAAATCAGATAATCTATAGCCCTCCTGACTTTGTGCCTGCAGAAATGTTTACGGATCAAATTCCGGACAAGCCCAGGTTCAGCAATACACTCGTGCCGGTCGCAAAGCCGTGGCTGGCAAATGCGACACCGCTTTCGCCAATGCCAGAGGGTCACACGGAGGGCTGGGGGCTGTCCTTTTCCATCAGCCACGTTGCGGAAGATGGTGGTCGTGCCGCAGGATCAGCTTCATGGGAAGGCTTGGCCAACTTGTTCTGGTTTGCCGACAGGAAGAACAAGGTGGGAGGCATCATTGCGTCGCAGATTCTTCCCTATGGTGGTAAGTTGCTACAGCTCGGCTACCCTGTACCTGCTAACTAATACACATAGATGCCGCCGTTCTTGAGTGTTTAGCAAGAGTTGAGAAGGGACTTTATAGCGCCTTGAAATAGACCTGCTTGAGAGATGTAGGCAATATAAAAAGATGAAGCATGAATAGGCTGGTCGTCGTTGAGGGATCTATAATTCTCCACTAATTGTATATGATGCTATTGTCTAAATAATGCACTCTGTACCTGGTGGCCACTGTAGTCCATTATATGGCCACTGTAGCGAACTTAGGCCCCCAACCAGATGCTATAACTGTCTGATCAACATTTCCAATCTCGAGGCCATTTCTCCCACCCATCATCACCCCTCTCAGCCTCATCATGTCCAGCGACCTTGAAGCCCGGTTCAACGAGCTGGTATCCATCTTGCATGCCACTCCATCAGCATTTTTGATCCCTTTGACATTTACCGCACTACTTACCATTCTTGCGGAACTGACATTGGCGCCGACGTTCTCGTGCCGAAAGCGCCTTGCCCAATACGTCAGAGACCTGTCATTGTGAGACTCCATGGCGGCTTCTTGGTCTGTATTCCCTGCTCGTTGTAGAACTACTTCGAAAATGATTGGCTAATTTTCCCTTATAGGTGACCGGCTCGAGTCTCTTCCCGGCGTGGTTCTCGAAATGGATCCTGGAGTTTGCGCAGGAGCAGTCCGCCATCATCATCAGCCCAAACTACAGACTCTTGCCCGAGGTCAAGGGAATCGACATTCTGGAGGACATGAAGAATTTCTGGGACTGGTACAAGAAAGGAGGACCGCAACAGTCTCTCCAGGCTGTCGGGCGACATGATGTGCAGCTTGATTCTGGGAAATTGCTTCTCATTGGAGAGAGCGCCGGTGCGTCCATGCTGATTTCTGCTCACTCCGCTCCTTGATTAACATATATGTGATGAAGGAGGCTACCTGGCTTTGCAATCCGTATTGCTCGGGTTTGTCTGGCCTAGCGCAATCGCCGCTCTGTACCCCGTGCTCGACCTGCTCTCGGACCATTTCACGCGATGCTATCCGAAACCTATTGTAGGCGTTCCAAACTTTCCATCATCCGTGGTTGATGAGTTCCTTGCAAGCATGTCAGAGGGGACAGTGGTAACAGAGGCCGACCCTCCGACACGGCTTGACCTCGCTTTCGCAGTCGCGCAGAATGGTCGCTTCCTGGACTTGCTTGGCGACGATCCAGACTTGTTTATCCTTGAAAAACTCAAACAGGCCAAGCTTTCCGTCTCGAACAGCAGTCACGGGACTTTATTCCCCCCTCTCTACGTTTTACATGGCGAGCAGGACTCTGCAGTGCCTGTCGAAGGGACATTGAAGTTCATACAGTGTCTCAAGGACATTGACCCAGCAGCCAAGATCCACACTGCCATTCGGGCGGGCGACCATGGTTTTGACTCTACGGCTTCTGCAAAGGATGACTGGATGCGAGAGGGTCTGGATTTCGTCGTCATGGAATGGATCCGCCATAACTCGACAGTTTGAGCATGCGCTTCGCACGGGGTGCAACCTTTTGGCATTAAATAAATTCAAGTATTCTACTCTCATTAACTGTCATAACTACGTCCTCGGATAAGGCTTGATGTTTTTCGGCAATGCATTTACAAGTTGGAAATTACAAGTTGTGGCCGGCTACCCTGTAGATGCCAGCGTGGTTATTGAGCATGAGCGAGAGAGATGGTGTTGACAAATTTCCGCGTGATATTATTAAAACTCGGCTCTAAGCGAAGAACTTTACAAAAATAAACAAAACAAGTAAATTCACAGAGTGTGGGTGAAGTCCTAAATAGGAAAGCCACGGGTATTTACCTCGAGAGATACCTTAAATGGACTTCACTTCTCCACAGCGCCGTCAAGCCAACGCTTGTTCTGGTGAACGTGAACTATGCCGAAAAGCGTACCCTAGCCCATCAATTCCCACCTATTCTCAGTTAGGACATTAGAGATTAAAGTGCTAGTACATACTTGTTCCTCGAGAGGGTTCCTGGGTGATGCGACAGCTGATTTACAGTAGCTGACTCTGTAGCTGCGCCGCCCCAAAGTGTGCAAACCTGATCAGGAAATCCCCCAATCTCGCTCGCTTTCACTCACTAAATGCATTAAGCCCATATGGGGAAAGAAATGTCGTCGTAATTTTATTTCCTTGGAGATGTTTGCCGGGTCAAAAACCCCCAGCTCTTCCGGGACGTATTGGAGCTGGATAATGAGCATCCTTTCCTCAATTCAAGAAAAGTATTTGCATCAATTTTCCGTGCCAAACGACAACTTAACTACACAATGACCACTATGAGCGATGTTTTCGCGGGCTACGCGGCCCGCCAAGAGATGCTCGACAACAGCACCAACCGCTTCGCGCGCGGCATCGCCTGGGTCGAGGGCCAGCTCGTGCCGCTGCACGAGGCGCGCATCCCGCTCCTCGACCAGGGCTTCATGCACAGTGACCTGACCTACGACGTGCCGTCCGTCTGGGACGGACGCTTCTTCCGCCTCGCCGACCACCTGGACCGCCTCGCGGCCAGCTGCCAGAAGATGCGGCTGCGTCTGCCACTGCCGCGCGACGAGGTCGAGGCGGTCCTGGTCGACATGGTCGCCCGCAGCGGCATCCGCGACGCCTTTGTCGAGCTCATCGTGACGCGCGGCCTGACCGGCGTGCGCGGCGCCCGGCCAGAGGACCTGCTGAAGAACAACCTCTACATGTTCGTCCAGCCCTACGTCTGGGTCATGGACCCGGACGTGCAGAGGGCGGGCGGCGCGGCGATTGTGGCTAGGACGGTCCGGCGCATTCCGCCGGGGTCGATTGACCCGACGATTAAGAACTTGATGTGGGGAGATCTCGTGCGCGGGCTGTTTGAGGCTTCCGATCGGGGCGCGACGTACCCGTTCTTGACCGACGGGGACGCCAACCTCACCGAGGGCTCGGGGTTCAACGTGGTGCTGGTCAAGGATGGGGTCTTGCACACGCCGCAGCGCGGCGTGCTGCTGGGCATCACGCGTAAGAGCGTGATTGATGCCGCCAAGGCCAATGGGCTGGAGATTGTCACGGGCTTCGTGCCCGTCGAGTTGGCATACCAGGCAGACGAGATCTTCATGTGCACCACTGCGGGTGGCATTATGCCCATCAACACGCTGGATGGAAAGCTGGTCAGGGACGGCAAAGTTGGCCCCGTCACCAAGAAGATCTGGGATACGTACTGGGCGATGCATTACGATGACAAGTATAGTTTTGAGATTGACTATAGCCAGAACATCGCTCAGAACGGTCTTCACTAGTGGTAGCAGAGTAGCAGGAGATGGATAATACATAAACCCTACTTATGCACATGGGTGAATTGTCCGTCACAATGCTCAACACTGGAAATATTGTTGTTTCTGCCCTGTATATTGGACTTACTTCGATATCCGTGGGCTAAGCCAACTGCCGATATCCTCGCCCGTTGCATTGTCAATCGTCCCACTGTGATAACCTCTGTGAGAATTACCCGTTTAGGAAAATGACGGTAATGATCCACAGCGCCCCTGCGAAAGCCACATGGCAGAAAGCTCACATACGCCAAATTAATGTTTCAGCCATTCTTGTCATTCTCGCTTTTTCTTTTCCTTGTGATTTATAAAGCCATACTTGATTGCCTTCCACTGGGTCATCGTGATACATCAGCCACAATCGACCTTGATTTCGGCTGATGATAACCCGGCACGGAGGGCGGATGAACGATGCTCCGTCAACCACTGTATATTTACCGGAGTGACGAGAGTGACGTCAAATAGTCTCTCTTCAATCAACCATTCCTTCCATCCTGCCTGTGCCCTTTGGTCCCAACATCAGCCATGGCCAACGTTGCATCTCCTCAGAGTATTGTCATTGTCGGGTAGGTATCAGCGCCAAGTCAGTGGCTTCATTTCAGCTAATTGAATTCTAGGGCGGGAATTATCGGGCTAAATGTCGCCCTGGTCCTAGCTGAAAGAGGCTATGGGTCTATGATTACAGTGGTTGCTGCACACCTACCCGGTGACACAGCCCTCACCTACACATCGCCATAGTACGTCACACCGAATATTCATCTCGTTTGCTAACGTCAAACTTTATAGTGCAGGTTGCAACTTCTCAGCAATCTCAGGATCTGACCCAAACGCCCTGCGCTGGGATCAACTTGGCTACGCTCATCTATGCAAACTTGCCTTTCAAGAACCGCATCGCTCCTTCGTCCAGCGCACCCCGTCCATTGAGATGTGGGACGAGAATGTTCCAAACGAAAAGATCAAGCACATGTCGGAATATTTGGAAGATGTACGTGAAATTACAAAGACCAACATAATCCGAAGCTTATTGGTGGCAGTTTCGGATCCTCGGGGCGGAAGAGCTCCCTCAAGGTGTCAAGTTCGCCGTTTCATTCACAACCGTGACTATCAACGCTCCCAAGCACATTGAATACTTGCGCAGCCGGCTGGAAAATGATTACGGCGTTCGGTTCCTCCGCAAGACTGTCCCCCATTTGCATGATGCATTTTCCAACTCTGCAACCCAAATTGTCTTCAATTGCATCGGAAATGCGGCGAGAAGCATGCCGGGGGTCGAGGACAGCAAATGCTACCCCACGAGAGGGCAGGTCGTCTTGATGAAGGCGCCGAGTGTGCGGACTAATATTATGCGTCATGGTCGCGACTACGAGACATACGTCATACCGCGGCCGCAGTCAAACGGCAACGTCGTCCTGGGAGGATATATGCAGAGAGCAAACGAGTAAGTTTTTAATTCTTTTTTTATTTCGTCACGAGGTCTGTTGCTGATTTGGCAATGCAGTGATGGCGCTACGTATGCGCACGAGACAGAATCCATCGTGCAACGTACAACCGAGCTCAGCCAAGAACTGCGCCAAGGCGAGCAGGAGCTCCTTGCAGCCATGAGCGGCTTTCGGCCGTCTCGGGAAGGAGGAGCTCGCGTTGAGCGCGAAAGCGTAGTGGTGGGCGGAAAACCGAAAACGGTTATTCACAACTACGGAGCAGGGGGGACAGGATACCAGGGCGGCTATGGCATGGCCGTGGACGCTGTCCAGGCCGCTGAGAGTATTCTGCAGGGTTTGAAATTGCATTCCAGGTTGTGAGGCAGACGGGGCTTGCAAATTTTTCTGGACAGATTTGTCCAATGGGTGCATTTCTCCGCCTCATCAAACTGAGCAGACAAGTACAAAGCTCCTACAAGAAATGACAAATGCCAGCTCACTTGGCTGAGACTTGATACGATCGTAGTGGTGTGTATTTGCATATTGCTCTACTTTTGAGGAGAATGAAAACTCTAGAGGCAGGTAGCGAGCATCACGTACCTGACTAAATGAGCTCCTGGACCGCATTCAAAATCGCTGTTCCAGAATTGGGGGCTGGATAATGACTGACCGATTACTGTATGATTTTCGAGTCACACTTTTGTTCCGTCGAACTGAGTGCAGATGCAGTCGTTTCAAGCTCACAAAACATTGCTTGGTGATCGGATGGCAGATTGCAAGCCACCGAGGTTATTGCTAGAAAAGGAAGTTTGACCACTCAGCCCGAATACCACGAGGCTTCTCAACAACCCCCATGGGGTTAGTGGACCTCACAGTGGACAAGCAGCTATCAAGTATGGGGAAACATGGGGAAATGAAATGCACAGTGCACCGCCTACGCATGCACACTGTCCAGATAAGAGAAGATCAATACTTCCGCACATGGGGCGGTCCACACCGAACATGTCTAGAAGAGGTAAAAAGAGAACCAAGGCTGTTTGGTGGCGGTGCAAACCGTTTCTGGCTTATCTCAGCTCTTGTGACCTTTTGAGCGAGTTGTTCCACTATGCAGATTGCCACTTGGCTCTACAGCAAGCGCATGTATGTCTAGCGGTACGCTTGGAAGAGAGGTTGCATCCGCGACCGGCGGCTTGTATTTGCTTCTTGTGTAACGCCGTCTGCCGAAAGGGCTTCGCACAGAGCACTACAATAAGAGATTGTCCCACCTCGGCCAAGTCGTGCCTTGTCAGGCTCGAAAATCACCTCGACGACAAGCATGGAAATCCTACCCAAGAGACAAGAAAGTAAAGACAAGAGGACGTCTATCAGTATGGGTGAGCAGGTGGATAGCAGTCGCACTTTGAAAGAGGACTCTTTCTCTATGAACCAAGATGATACTCTCCTTCAGGCGCAGGGCCACGCCGCGGAACTGGAGCGGTCGTTTTCCTGGGTCGGTGCCGTCGGACTCGCCTTCAGGCAAGTCAACACATGTACCTGGAAGAAAGCCTCAAAATAACATGTCATGCAGCATCACCAACTCGTGGATTACGTACGCAACCTGCTTTGGAATTCCACTCAGTCTGGGCGGTGGTGTGGCGGCTCTCGTCTCCTTGATACTCGCTGCCACTTTCCAATGGATTGTCCTTATTGGGCTCGCCGAGTTTTGCTCGGCGCTTCCATCTTCAGGGGTGCGTGTGCCGCCAAAACCCATCTCATCTGTCCTAACATGTTGATCCCAGGGCCAATATCACTACACCTACATTGTCGCACCGACCAGCACGCGAAACTTTGCTGCGTACATTGTTGGATTGCTCAACATCATCGCATGGTGGATCAATGCCGCATCGGGCAGCATCTATGTAGCCATCTCTGCGTTTGGTATTGCCCAGCTGTGGTATCCAGAATTGGAGGGCGCACATTGGCAAGTGTACTTGTGCTACCTCTTGGTTATTGGGTTGACGTGTAAGTCGAGGTGTGATGAAAGCATGAATGAAACTGACCTGCTTTAGTGATACCCATATTCACCGTCCCGCACAAGCATATCGACTACATGACAAAAGGAGCCATGTACATGTCGGTGATTGGCCTGGCACTAGTATCCATTGTGCTTCTCGTCATGTCACGGGGCAATTACCATCCAGAAAATATTGCTTCAAGCAGGGCCTCGAGCGGCTGGTCCGCAGGGCCCGCCTGGTTGATGGCCACTGGTACCGGGCAATATGCCTTCTTTGGAACAGGTGCCTGTACGCACATTGCGGAAGAGATCCCGCGACCAAACCACAAGCTGCCTCGTATCATGTGAGAAAATATTGAATCAATCCCGCGGAATGCATGGCGACTAACATGGAGACAGCAATATGACCATGTTTATCGGCGTTGTTACATCCGTCATCTGGATCGTGGTTATCCTACTGGTAACGCAGGACATGAGTGCGGCCCAAGCTGCTTCATTACCCAACATTGAAGTCATGTATCAGGCAACGGGCAGCAAGTCGGTTGCTACTTTCTTGCAATCATACATGACACTGCTCTACTACAGTAAGCCCGGACTTGGAGAGAACCGGCTGTCTGAAGTGCTAATCTAGGCTAGCCTGTATGCCGTCGCAATGGATTACCTGCAGCAGGATAGTTTGGGCATTCAGTCGTGACGTGAGAGACCTCTTCATTGCTTCGCGAGCCTGCCAGCCGGCTAACATGGGTCAAATTAGAACGGCCTTCCATTATCAAACTACTGGAAGCATGTTTCGACCACTTTTAACATTCCTGTCCGAACTACGCTGCTATCGGCTGGATTCTGCGCGCTCTATGGGCTTGTTTATATTGCAAGCAGCGAGGCATTCACTTCCATCATCAACACGACGATTTTGATGCTTAATATCACTTTTGTTGTCCCCCAAGGAATTGTACTGACCCGAGGCCGCCATCACCTGCCTAAGCGTCCCTTCAGACTGGGAAAATTCGGATATGCTGTCAATGCCTTCTCAGTCATCTGGGTGACGGTCAGCGGTATTTTCCTGTGCTTCCCAGTCACAAATCCGACTACCCTCGCCTCGATGAACTAGTAAGTCTTTCGTTTGGCGCTCGGCCAGCATCGTTTAACCTTGTTCAATAGCAATTCGGTCGTCATTGTTGGCATGGTGTGTATCATTCTTGTGCTGTATATGGAGCGGCGGAATAAATTCCAAGGGCCGAAAATTGATTGGGCCTTTATTAATGCCAACAACAGGGAGGATTGAGATGGGCAGTGAATGGACTGAGAATGAGTAACAATAATAAATGACAACTAACTTGCAGGCCTGCGCTGTTGTCTTGCGAATCTGGTTTTGGGGTTGTCGTTCAGATCATCGCATTTCAATGACTGACCTCGATAAAAACATATAAAATGAAGGTGATGTATAAGTGTGTTCCAAATAATTATATAAAAAGAAATTTATTTATCCCACTTCCAATAAGTAATCGCCGCTCTGTGTAACTAGTTATTGCCCCAGGAATTTAAAGTACGCGGGGCTACTACAGCGCGCCTGCCCACTGACGAGGCTGGAATTAATGCTGACGCTAGCTCAGGTCCCTGTAACCTTTTTGGGTGAGGCTCTCCCCACATTCTAGACGTTGAAACCGACAAAAGGGGATGGGGACACTTTTCGACATCACATAGCCGCATCTACACTTGGCCACGTGAGGAGCACGTCGCTGTCAACCTACCACAGAACACAGAGAACAGCGCAAATCCGAGCACGGTAACTACGCTTGCAGGCCTCGTTCGCCATGGAAGGCTCGCGCAGCACGCGCCAGTCGCTCAACCACCGCGCGTCGCAGCAGACCATCATCTCGCTGCTCGAGCTCGACCCGTCCCCGATCGAGTCGCCCACGCCGTCCGACGCGAAGCAGCTGCACGATGCCGCCGACACGGACGACTCCGACACTCTCCTGGCCGACTCGTCCCCGGGCAGCACCACGCGAGGGCCCGGCGGCGGCCGCAGCACCATCTTTTACCGTACGTTTTCCTCGCTGCCCCCTCCACAGGTAGCCATGTCCCACGGGCAAAGCCCGCTGACACGTACTGCGCCCAAGTCTCGCGGATCCAGCGCTACTCCAGCTACGCCATGTCCGTCTTCACCTCGCTGCACCTCGCCAACGTCTCGCTGATCCCCGCCGTGGAGCGCTCCGTGCCCGCGTCCGAGACGTACCTGCTCATGACGCGCGAGATCTACCAGACGACGCTCACCGAGCCGCTGCTCGTCGCGCTGCCCGTGCTCGCGCACGTCGGCGCCGGCATCGGCCTGCGCCTGCTGCGCCGCCGCGAGAACATGCGCCGCTACGGCGGCGCCACGCCTGCCATGTACGCCCTGCACCGCTCGCAGACGGGCGCCGCCGCGCTGTCCCTGTGGCCCACTCTGAGCTACATCTCCGCCTCTGGCTACGCGCTGACCGTGTTCTACGCCGCCCACGTCTTTATGAACCGCGTGCTGCCCCTGGTGGTAGAAGGGGACAGCGCCAATATTGGGCTCGCGTACGTGGCGCACGGCTTCGCGCGGCACCCTGTTGTGGCCCGCGTGGCATATCTCGGCCTGCTCGCGACGGGCATGGGACATATGGTCTGGGGCATGGCCAAGTGGTGGGGCCACGCGCCGTCGACGCGCGGCTGGCGGAGCGCGGCTGTTGTCGTCGACAGCAGGACGAAGCGGAAGAGGCGCAACAAGTGGCTGTCGGTGCACGGCGCGGCGCTGCTGGCCATGGCGGCGTGGGCGGCGGGCGGGTTGACGGTCGTGGCGAGGGGCGGGCTGCAGGATGGATGGGTGGGCAAGGCCTACGATGACATGTTTGCGAGGGTTGGACTGTGAGGGAACACTGGTAGATGAGACGGAGAACATGTTTGCGATATCTGGGCTGTGAAGGCATACTGATACATGGTACGGAGTAGACTGGGCTGCATTTATGGAGTTGGCCAAGGGCATACACGGTCGGCGTTTGCTTTTAGATCCTGGACGCGGGGTATTATTGCTGTGGTTTAATTTACTTCAATATACAAAAAAGAGCTTGTTGGGCAAGAGAGCCTACATCCCGAACCAGTCCATCACCGTGTTTTCTCGTCTTGATTAATGACCACCTGCCTATCCGGCTCTTCTTGCAGCCACAGCCCTTTTCAACGAGTCTTCAACGCTTCTTACCCAACCTTTGCCAGTTTATCGCCGCTTGTGTACCCACCAACACTCGAAGCATACACTGCAATTGGCCTGCCCGCAATCGTGGAATGCGATATAATATCATGTCGGCAAAATAAGCGGTACATTTATCGCCAGATAAAAATTGCATAAAATGAATACATACGCCGTCGCAATCGGGGTGCAGTCACGTGTCGTGATTTCTCATCTCCGACCATGTGAGATTTGCCTTGGCCGACCCCATCGTTTTCACATCCAAAGTCTCAACCAACCACCTTTCCCGCGCCACATCAAAGAACAAGACAGCGCAGGCGCTGTAGCTCCTTGACTATCTCCCAGTGGTCCCTTGCCATCCCAACACCGCTTTTTGCGCCATGGCAGCCCCTGACCAAAAAAACGCCAACGTCCAGCTTCTCGCATGTCTCGTCGACGAAGAAGACGACGGTGACAGTGACTATCGCTTCCTGGTCGACGGGCGCTCTGTAAAGTACATAACCACGGCCCCGGGCGCGTTCCGCGGGGCCGAGGAAGACCGCACCTTTGAGCCCATCCTGCTGGGCGAGCTTCTACCCCCGTTTCCCGCCGGCCCGTGGAACACGGGCCACATTGCGCGGAGCCCCGACACCGGCTGCGCGGCCTTTGTCCGAACCGAGACGGTGCAGCTGCCCGGGGTGGAGGGGCTCTGGCACCCGGTGACGCTCAGCGAGGTCGAGTTTACGCGACAGGACCGGTACAGGCAGCGCGTCCACATCTCCACGCACCCGGGTGTGAACGGCGGCCGCCCCGTGGTCGTCAAGCTCGCCGTCTGGCCCTGGGAGATTGGCCTCGCCGAGGCGGAGACGGCCGCGTACCGGTGGATCAGGGACAGCGGCGTCGGTCCCCGCTTCTTGGGCCATCTCGCCGAGGACGGCGACGGGCGCGTGGTTGGCTTCGTGATCGAGTGGCTCGACGGCGCGCGCGCGGCGGGGCCAGAGGACCTGGACGGCTGCAGAAAGGCGCTGGGTCGGCTGCATGGGCTCGGCATCAAGCTGGGTGATATCAATAGGCACAACTTTTTAGTGCGGAGTGGGCATGATGTGGTGTTGACGGACTTTGAGATGGCGAGACGCGACTGTTCGCCGGAGCAGCTGGAAGAGGAGATGAGCGCACTTGAGAGCAGCCTGAACGACACGAGTAGTTAGTGTGATGTGCAACCGATTTATGAAGGATGGGTGTAACTGGCCATAGCTTCATAGAATCATAATCGAGTTACCTCGCCAAGAGGAGACGCGTGTGCCTTTGGCTCCACGTTGCGGGACAAACTCTAGATCAAGAGGTTGGATAAGAGCCTTCAATACTTAATGAAATAGAAATCATTTGTTGACTATCTACAGTGAAATGCCGGGTAGTGGTAGGGGTCACGTCTCAGCGCAGATTTAGAACGTGTGCATGATCATCTCGTCCGCCTGCTTCAACATATACAGTCTGGTTTTTATTCAATACCTCATCCGGATCCCACAGCGGTAACACTGTTGTGGATGCCGATTTTATGTGACTCGTTTCATGTCTCTCGTCTCATTGTCGTGGGCTCGTCAACAACTGGCTCTCGCAGTGACCTGCTCACGACGCCGCGGATTCAGAACCATCGCCCAAAGTACATGGTATGCGCGTTCCGCCAAGCCTTCGCAGAACATCAGTCACTTCTGGGGTTCCTAGCGAGATTGATGTGGACATCACTCAACTGTTCAATAAACTGGCGAGTGGGATGAGCTCGATACTATATGGATCGAGCACGCTGTGGAGATGTGACCTCGCGTTACTACAGGCCGTGAGGATATAGGTCGCTTCGATGGGAAGACTGCCTGGTATCCAGGTGTGATAATTTACGTGGTCGCACAAGACAGCTATCCATACTCTGTACTCCGTCACAAAAGCCCGGGCCACAGGATCGAACCCCGGCGAGACCGACCGCCCAGACCATCGCGGGCCGCTCCGTTGACAATCAATCGCCTATCAGGATTTACACCGTGCCCCACCTGCTAGGTTGAAAGTCTTGGCGCTCCATAGTAGATGTCTATCAAGAATGTTTCCCTCGCTTTTTTCTCATTCCACGGAGAGAGGGAGAGACTGCCTCGCACACGTGTGTACGCGTGCCCATCCGGCAACTCGCCAATGTCTAAGCCATTCCATTTGCCGCCATGTCGGCTGGATGCTTGGCCGAAGCCATCACAGCCTGTCAGAAGCAAAACCCGGCGCCGCCGCATCTTGGACCGTGATGTGCTGCTGCACCTCTAACCCGTTCCAGCAATGACAGGAGATGAGAGATGGACTATTTGGCTGCTTTGGGCGGAATAGCGCGCGCCAGCTGCTGAACAAAAAGCTTGGCGGAAAAAACAAACCCCCATGTCCTCCATGTCGAATCAGGGAGAGGGTGACGGCTCAATGAATCACTGTCTCTTGGCGGGAAAAAGCAATGCGGGCAGCCGCCAACGGCCGTTGGCCATTGCCTAGCATGGGGGACCGAGCGGTTGTGGCGTCACGTTTTTCTTTTCTCGGGGTTTTGAATTGTTTTCATCAGCCGAGGCCATCCTGTCCCTCGAGGCTGTTTGTCAAAACCAGGTTGTGTTGCGTCGTGTCGTGCGTGGACGGACAGGATGATACAGGACGAGATGGCATCGACGCAGCGACAGCCAGGTTAGCTCGAATCTAGTGCTATCGTTGAGGCCGGTTGTTCGGTCTGGAAGTTGCATTGTATGCAGGGAGGGATGGTGGACAAGAGGGCGCGGTGAGGAGAGGGAAGGCATTCAAGACAAAGACAGCCTTGTCGCATGTGTCGCATGTACAGGCGCCATACAGCGGGGTACAGCGCACATAACCGAAGCCCACAGGGGGTGCGGCCACTGTATTTGCAACGACCACGCTTCCAGATCGCCCGTACCTAGTAGTAGTGCGCTTTCCGTCGCCCTAAATTAATAATGCGGCAAGTTTTGCTCCACGGCGGAAACAAAAGACGCCACTATTCGTCTTAACTATCCCGTTTGCTTAAACACCCGACTCGCTCTTTCGGCTGTTCTCTCGTTTCCCTTTCTATTGCGACACGCACACCCAGAACGCCTGCACCCGCGGGCCGGCCGTGCATACACTCATTCACGATGCCGTCTACCAAACGACGGCTGCTGTCCGACACGGCCGATTCCGACTGCATCCCCAACAAGCGGCAGCGCACGGCTCCCCCTCGCAGCACGACACCACCACAATCCGCGTCCGCTTCCCGAGACCTTTTCGCCCGCCTGTCCGACGAGATCTTCATCCGCATCCTGTCCTACATGAATCCGCGCGCGCTCCTCGACATCAGCCTCGTCTCGAAGCGCTTCCACGCCGTGGCGTCCGACTCCCAGCTCTGGCGGCCGCACTACTACCACCGCTTCGTGCAGCCGCGCGTGCAGCTCATACCGGGCTTCAAGACACGCGAGGCCTCGGACGCGAAGCGCTCTGCCCCGCGGAGCGACGCCGCCACGTGGCGCAAGCCCGCGTCCACCAAGCGCTGGAACGCCGCGCGGGAGCAGGTCGTCGACTTTGTGGACTGGAAGAAGCAGTACCGTCTGCGCCATAACTGGGCGGGCGGCCGCTGCGCCGTGGAGCAGGTCGAGGTCCGCGCCTTGGACGACAAGATGGCCGCCGTCGCGCCGCCCGAGTGGCAGACGCTCGTCAAGGTGGTCGAGGGCATTGCCGTCACGGCAGACGCCGTATCCGGCCTGCGCGCCTGGGATCTGCGCACGAGACAGACCATTGCGCAGGCCTCGTTAAAGGCAGAACTCTCAACGCGACTGCGGCCAACTTGCCTGGCTGTGGACGATGCTCGCCTCGGCAGGGGCCAGGTTGATGTCGCGGTGGGGTTCGAGGATGGCACTTCTGGCGTTTGGCGGCTCGACGCTCATCGAAACACCATGAGGTTACTCTTTCGCCAGGAAAAAGGCTTCTTGGGCAGCCTGCTTTCCATTGCCTACGGATACCCCTATTTACTCACGGCTACAAAGCTGGGCTTTATTGCCTTGTATACTTTTAATAACCTCACCACCGAGAACATCTCTGAAGCTGGCGACGACACCGACAACGAAGCTGCGCCGGAAGCAGCTACACAATCCCCTGACGATGCAGATGACGAACACGTTACACTACCACCCCCTTATCTCCTCACATCTCTCAAGTCTCATAACACAGAAGGGCCACTCTCCCTATCTTTACGAAAGAATGCATCCTCAGTCGTCGCATCAATAGCATATACATTCAACACCGTGGGTGGCTGGTCCATTGGCATCCAAGATCTCGACATCCGACCATCAGGCGCAGTAACCTCCCGGGTCGCCACATCTTTACCAACTAGGCTCGGATCTAGCTGCCCTTCACCGTCATCTTCTCCACTGCAGCCCATCAGCTATCTCTTCGATACTGCCGACGACGAAACGGGGCCGGTCAAGCTTCGCTATAGCCACCCGTACCTCCTTGCCACGCTACCAGACAACACGCTGGTCCTCCACCTATGCACAGCGACACCCACATCCCTCACGATATCGTCTGGCGTGCGTCTATGGGGGCACACTTCGGGAATATCAGACGCCGAGATTACGCCGCGCGGTAAAGCCGTCAGCGTCAGTACTCGGGGCGACGAGATCCGCCTCTGGGACCTGGAAGGCCGTTGTAACGCTCGTAGTGTTGCTGTCAGGCCGCGACGGCGAGAAGGCAACGATACTGGCTCGTCAACGGACCAAAGTCCGGCTGGAAGTGCGCCGCGGACGCCAACACGCATGAACATGGATGATGAACGACGAAACTGGGTGGGCTTTGACGACGAGGTGGTCTTGGTCTTGAAGGAGGCGATCAACGGACGCGATAGTCTGACGCTTTACGATTTCACGTGACGTTTTTTTAAGACAATTTTAATCATTGGATACCCGCATGCGCCAGATATGCATGCACAATAAAATTTCCTGTATATACGAAAATTTAGCCCCCCCGTTGACCAACCCACCACATCGTCTATGTGCGTTCTTGGCTTGGATCACTTGTGAGGTGTGATTTTACTTTCCGTACTTGTAGCGTCTAGTCACGAGTAGCGCGCCTACCTGAAGGAGCATCCGGCGAAGCGCGATGCTGAGATGATATATCTATGCCGCACATGGCCATCATCGAGTAGTTGCGGAGGAACTGCAAGAACTCGATGCTCGTCGACGTGACTGATTTCATCTGCTGTGACGGAGGGCTACGTAGATTGACATGAGCATTTCAAGGCCATTTACGTACTCGAGCGCATGCGTAATAAAGGTTGACCATCGATTTCTAACGCTACAAGCATCCTCACTGTCTTAGAGAGTCTGTTTTTGCTAGGAAGTATCACTTCTCTGTTTATCCTGGGGCCGCTTATTATTGGTGACGGAACTGGCGCCAGACTGCTGCTACTCGCTCCGCCAGGCGACAAAAGCGAGATGGGTAATGCAGGGTATTAGACATGTCATTGTTCAGCTGCGGGTGAACGTGCTTGAACTGCGGTGGGATGTTTCGGAAGAGAGGCCGGATCCTGGTTCCGCACGCCGCAGACATAGGGCCCTTATCCGAGACCTTCGTCCTTAAGGTTGGATGGAGCACATGAGCAGCTCAATATAAACAAATAAACGTGTTTCACTTCAGCCGCTCGAATATCCCTGTCCATCAGCCAGAGACAATTTGAGACACCCAGGATCGATAGCACTCGACCAAGACATTACTATGCGTAGCAATCACTCTTCTTACGGATACTGGCCGTCTCTATTTATCCCACTGCATACATACTGCTGAGATCTTGTGCATATTTTCCAAAGCATAGGAAAACGCTGCTGTGCCTGCGGGGTAGTTCAGGTATGCAGTTTACCTTGTCACCGCGAGGATATAAATCCCGCCCGATGGGATTAGGGGTTGCTTTGGCCACATACTTGCGTGTATATTGATACACCACTGCAGACGCGGACGAATACTTTTCCCAACCAGCGAGCGACCTTGCACAATGGACCGTCACGGGCAAATCGTCGACGTTCTTGCCCACTCGGTGGGCGCCTTCTTCAAAGAGAAGCAGCCGTACCGCATCTTCCACGGATCGTCCAACAGCACGCGTCCGCGCCCGACCGGCAACGTCGTCGACATCAGCGTGCTGAACCAGGTCCTCTCCGTCGACGCAGCGCGGCGCACCGCGCTGCTCGAGCCCAATGTGCCCATGGACCGGCTCGTCGAGGCAACCCTCGCACACGGGCTGCTGCCGCCCGTCGTCATGGAGTTTCCTGGCATCACGGCGGGCGGCGGGTACTCGGGCACGTCGGGCGAGAGCAGCTCGTTCCGCCACGGCTTCTTCAACGACACCATCAACTACGTCGACATGATCCTCGGCAACGGCGATATTGTCAGGGCGTCGCCGACGGAGCGCCGCGACCTCTTTTACGGCGCCGCCGGCGCGGCTGGCACCCTCGGCATCACGACGCTGATGGAGATTCGGCTGATTGAGGCGAAGCCGTTTGTGAAGACGACGTATCAGCGCACGAGCACCGTCGGGGAGTCGGTGTCGCTGGTGCAGAGCAAATCTAGGGAGGAAAACTTGGACTACGTGGACGGGATTGTCTTTTCCAAGGGCCACGGCGTCATCATCACTGGCGAGATGGTCGATGAGCTGCCCCCTCATGGAGGTCCGCCGCAGACATTTAGCAAAGCAAGCGACCCGTGGTATTACTTGCACGTGCAAGAAAAGACGAAAGATCTTGCGCCGCAGAGCGTTGCTGTCGAGTACATTCCTATTGGCGAGTATCTGTTCCGCTACGACCGGGCTGGATTCTGGGTTGGCAGACAGGGCTACACATACTTCAAGTATATTCCCTTTAACGCCTTCTTCCGGTGGCTGCTGGACGACTTTTCGCACACGCGGACGCTGTATCACGCACTACACGCCAGTGGCGTGTCGAACCAGTTCGTCGTGCAGGATCTGGCACTGCCCTACGACACGGCGGAGCAGTTCATCGACTTTGTCGACGCCGAGCTCGGCATCTGGCCTCTCTGGCTCTGTCCGCTGCGCGGCGCGAGCACACCGACATTTCACCCCGTCACTGGAAGCCAAGGGGCGCGTACCGAGCACGACGCCGCCGGCCTGTCTCAGCCGATGCTCAACATTGGCGTCTGGGGCTGGGGCCCGCTCGACTACGACGACTTTGTGGCCAAGAACCAAGAGCTGGAGGCGAGGCTCGACGCGCTGGGCGGCCGCAAGTGGCTCTACGCGCACACGTACTACTCGGAGCAGGAGTTTTGGCAGGTGTACGACAAGCCGTGGTACCAGGCGCTGCGGACCAAGTACCACGCGTCCACGCTGCCGTCGGTGTACGACAAGGTGCGCATCGACGTGGATGAGGAGCGCCGGCAGCGCAGGCAATGGACGTCGTCGTGGTCGAGGGCCTGGCCGTGGGGAGGCCTGTACGGCATGTGGCTGGCCGCCACGTCGGGCGACATCCGCCTCCACCGCCGCGCGCAGTGGAAGTATGGCGCCGCGCCGGCATAAGCTTCTCTGGAACGGGAGGGACATGGATCAGGAGGGCGGTGAATAGGTAGCTTGGATCAAGTCGAAAATTGAGTTTTGCGGTAATTTGTACAGTGGGTGCAAGACGGTTGGTGTCTAAGACAGGTTGACAAGGAGAGATGTGGCATGGAGCATTTCTCAAACAACCGCGGGTCTGATTTATGATGAATAACTATCAGTACAAATACAAATTACACATTCTCTATTCCTAGAAGTACTGGTCTGGGTAACTGCAGCCTGATATTGTGGTGCATCAGGACCTCGCTAAGTAGAAGCTCGTGAATATTGAAATACCTTACTGGCGGGGTCTGAATTTCCGTAGCCTCCACAGATTCACTTTATTTTAACTTCTTCTTTCCCATTCATCCATCCAAAGGCCCCCAGCACGAGCAGTCTTGCCTCATCCGTGCGGCCAACTCAGTATATCCCCGGAATAATGCGCCATCTCACCAGGGCACAATACTCATCCCAGGCTTTTCCGTACTTTACTTTGCACTTTGCCTCGTCCCTCCAGCATCGATGTATAACTATGCCCGCAACTAGAATGGCCTCCACGTACGGCAGCATGTGTTCTGTTCCGCAGAGCATGCAAGAGGCCAGGGTATACAAGGCGTTTCCAGCATAGTTCGCGTGCCGACAAACTCCCCACCAACCTAGTTATTGGTGTTAATAATTCGTCTCTAAAAACCATTGTCATTGTCGGATTTTTACTTGCCTGAACAAAGCAAAATGGTCTGGTGCGTTTTGCCGTCGGTGGTAGTGTACTGGGCCTTGACATAGCGTGCTGGTTTGCCCCAGATTGTGACCTGTCCCGACTTGCGACGCGAGGCCACTCTCTGTCCGTTGGCATCGTGGCTGAGGAGGAATCCACAGGCAAAGACGAAATATGCAGCTGAAACGAGGGGCCAAGAGAGCTCAACAGGGTGCAGCGCAAGGTACTGGGTTTGAAGAGTCCAGATGAGAGGCAGCATGACGGCAAACCCGTAGATGCTATAAAATGAGAAGCGCTCGTGACAGCCATCCAGAGTCTCGAAGAACCTGAGAATACGTATAAGCATATTTTTCTCGCGGGGGAATTTGTTGTGTTCTTGGGCGCTTACCAATGCTCGTACCAGAAATAGTCGACCACGACAATGGCTCTGAACAGCACAGCGGCGACCATGGTACTGGTCAGAGTCTGGTGCAATTCGACCTGCCACGCAGCAAAAGATAGGTCGCTAATGTGGTTTATCAGATAGTAGACTTGGTAGCTGTAGCACAGGCTAGACTCACATCAGAGTCCAGAGAAGGATACCGCCGGTTCGGCTGGCGTTGAAATGCTTCCAGTCAAAGAATTGTCCGGTGCGAGGATGCAGCTCTCCGCCATTGAACAAGTTGTACCAAAATTGATCTGAGGATGAGCTGGGGCACACATTTGACAAGAGCGGTCAAGCCAACGTACCTGTCAGGAGCGTCTCTCCCTCGTTATCCGGCCATGTGCGCGCCTTGACATGGAATATCAAGATTAAGCAGCACGAATAGACCGAAGCTGCCACTGTGAGGGCGCCCCAATGTTTTGCAATCAGGGCAGGGTCTACAAAGCCAAAGTAACTAGCCAAAGTGGCTGCACTGACAGTGACGACCCATGCGAGCAGGCCATTCAACTTGTACGGGAGTCGCCGGCCACTGCAAGTACGGGGTCCAAGATGAAGTGGTCCTGGAAGCCAAATATATAGAGTCGCTTGAAAAATAACCCAGGCCAAATAGCCAAAGATTGCGTTCAGAGACCTTTGTGGAAGATGATGAGAGAAAAAGGCAACAGGCCCGCGCGACACGAGGGAGACGGCGGCGTCGTAAAGGGACGAGTTGAAGTCCGAATACGCAGTATAACAGAAGAAACAAAATAGAGGAGAGTTGGTGATGAGCAGGATGCTCGTGGCCTCGTTCAAGGCCTTGGCCACCTTTCCGTTGGCGCCGGGCTCATACATGCTGCACGTCGTTGACAGAAGAGTGTTTTGGTGTGAGGCTTCTGGCAAGATGGAGAGGAACTTGTCAAGTAATGAAAGCAGAAGAATTAGAGGAAGAGGAAGAGGAGGAAGAACTGTATACAGCTACCCTTGATAGAAAAGCAATGGTGATCCGCTGCCCGCAGAAGCGAAACTACATGTCGATCGCATTATGAAGATACAGCGCCTAGATCCTTGCTATCCTACTCATAGTCCACTGTTTGGCGGTGAAGAAGAGATAAGAGAAAAAATGTATTCATCTACAGGATCAACAGCTGATAGTACGCGCATCGCGCGGCGAGACATGTCTTGAAGAATTGCCGGCTGAGACGTGAGACTGTCGCAAAATCCGTGACACCAAAGAAAGCCCGACAACTCATTTGTTGTGGACTCTGTTTCGAGATTACGGAACTTGTCGTCCCCTCTGTAATAAGATGTGAGTGTGTAACTATATCAAAAGGGTTACATGCAACATACGAAACGTCCTCCTAACTTTGTGTATCTTTGTATACCATGGATACGTTTCTTGCACCATTCGAGCACGCCGTTCTCAACCACGTCTACCATGCTCTACGAGTTGGCATCGACAATGGCCCTTGCCACCATCTTGGCCAAAACTCTTCAGCAACCCGACCTGGTCTAGCCATGGCCTTCGTGCAGGAAGCTTGCCTTTCGCTTGGCCATTCCCCTTTCTGGCAATCAGACAGCATCGCGCGGCAGTTCACGAGCGCCTTTCTGTATTTATTGTGAGTGCAGTTGCCAACCCTGGCGTGTTGCAAGGACCAAGATTCATAAGGCAATGAGGCAGGACCGCAACCACGTTCTCGTATCTCTTTTTCGGCATCGTCTTCTATCAACTCAACTTTGATGTGGCGTCTGCGCGAGACCACAAGTTCAAGCCTGGGCAGATACGAGGCGAAATCAGCCAGTCGCTTCTCGCCATCTTGTTCATGAGCTTCCTGACGGCGCCGATTGTCCTGGCACAGGCTCATGGGTACTCCAAGATATACCCGTTTGGCAAAGCCCCGATGTGGTACGAAGGTTTGCAGATGATCTTGTTTGTGGGCTTCAACGACACGTGTGTGTACTGGCTGCATAGACTGTTCCACGTACCTGTCTTGTTCAGATGGATACACAAGAAGCATCACCAGTACGTCGACACTGCTTGCACCGAGATACACTCTGCTAATGTAAATAGATACATAACACCAACTCCATTCTCCGCATTTGCCTTTGATCCGCTTGAAGCAATGATTATGAGCCTGCCGATTTACTCGTTCAGTTTCCTCATGCCCATGTCGAATGTGATGCAGCTCTTTGTTTTCTCGGCAGCCTATATATGGACATTTCTTCTGCGTACGCTTCGGAGTATTACAAAAATCTTTCCCAAGAACTAACCAGTTGCCACAGACGACGACCGTACGCAGTTTCACACGGTGCACCACAAAAATACAAACTACAACTTTGGCCAGTACACGACGCTCTGGGATCACTGGGCCGGGACGTCTGTGGATGCCGATGCTTTTCTGGCCCAGGCTCAGTATCAACACAAAGAGAAAAGTTGAATATGGTTCCTGTACGAATGCGGCCTTGTTGGTCTACAATGAGCACGGTTCTTAGACCTGGCTTTCTATAGCCGTGGAGCATGACTCGTGTATAAAGGAACACATCAAGGAATAGCATTGCTTAATGGGTGTTTGCGATAGTTACTCGCACTGACTTAAACTATAATACTCCCTGTCCCTCGCCCTGCCCTGCTCTGCCCCATTCGGTCCGATTTTTACGCATGGAGATCCGCGGCCCCTGTATCGTTACTATTGGCATTCGCACCTCGGCGTGGGGGCGACAATGTTCGCCTAATAAAGATGGATACAAATGCCAAGGCCGCGCGGTAACGAGTCGGGTATTATGATGCATTAGCCGGGGCGCACCGCGAAATGTCTCCATCGCCATCGACCGCCCACTACCCTACAGTGTCATAGAAAGAGGAATCATGTACAGTAGAAGTCATTCTAATAGAAGCACCTAATCGTCAGAGGAGGTAGATCCGATACTCCCAGCAATACCCAGAAACTATCCATCACTACCATGTTCTCGTCGCTGTGTAGCAAGTCTGTGGGAACATCTCTCTTGAGCCACTCGGCTGGTAGCTCGGCCCAGATGGCCTCGTCAAACTCGAGCGTGATATCCAAGACCTCTTGTACCCACGGCATAAACATGCTCCTTGGGAGCGCCAGCCGAAACTCGGTCAGGGTCCGTAGCGGCAGGATATGCACCAGCACTCTGCGCAGGAGCGCCTCGGTTTGCTCGTAGACGACGGGGGACCGCGCGCCATACACCGCCCACTGCTCGCCATCCCCGAAAACACCCTGCAGCGATATATGCAGACACTTGACATGCGGTAGCGTAAAAGGCAGTCGCGCGAGTAACCTGTCCAGGCCCTCCACGAAGCTATACTCTTCTGGATGGTCGCCGGGCCGGAGCCGCCGCGGGTAGCCTCGCAGCCACCCCAAGTCCCAGCACATCGAGACACGCGTGAGGCTCTCGAGGCTGAGTACGGGCAGCAGCTCTGGCAGATACGCAAACATAAAGGTCCCGTGCAGGCGCACCGTGTTGGTCCCGTACAGCACAGGATAGCCCTCCTGATACGCGCGCCGACAGGTGCCCAGCCAGCCCGTCGCGCCAAGGACGCACGTCCCGGGCGCACCGGGATGTCCGCAGCTCTCGCCGCTCACGCACGGGTCCCTGTCGCGAAACGCATCGCTCCGCCGGGGCGCGCGGCGCCGCCAGCTGCCGTGGTCGAAGCACGACGAGTGGCAGCGCGTGCTGCGCCAGCGCCAAAACGGAGGCGCCGCCGGGTCGAACGCCGCCTGGCCCAGATGGCCGGCGTGTCCGGCCCAAGTGCTGCTGCTCTCACCGCCGCGACGAGCACGACGGTGCCGGAGTGGCCGCTCGAGCGACAGGTGCATGTGCACCAGCTGGTCCCCAAAGGCGGCGACGAGGATGCGCTCCCGGATCTCGGCGGGCAGGCGCTGGAAGAGCGGGCTGTGGGCTGTTGCGCCAGGGGCCGGAGATGATGTGACGGCGGATACTGGACAGGGTGGGAGGGGAGGAAGGGCGTGGTCGGCTTGCTGTTGCTGCGTGTCGTCCCGTGGGAAGACCCGGTCGCGGAGGCGGCGCAGTGAGTCGCCCAGCGGAGCCATGATGATCGAACAGGTGGTTGGAAAGGGAATAGGGTCAGATTAGCAGTATGCAAGATTGTTCCTGCCGCCTACCAGGGCCTGTTCATCAGTGTCAAGCCTCGGCGCAGCTTCGCCAAGTCGATGCTGGGGCGAGGTGAGACGGAGCGGGGGCCAAGGTCGTGATGAATTAAATCGCAGACAGCGCCAAGCATGACAACAATTCCACGACAGGTCGGCTGAGCCAAAGAACAGTATCAAGTTTAATGCAAGTCAAAGCCAATTTATAGACTCTAGACTCTAGACTTCTTATACTAGCTTAGACTTGCATTCAACTTGATACTGTTCTTAGTATAGTCGACAGTTGCGTCGCTTGTCGAATGCCGTTCTTCAAAAATATTCCATACCCAAGTAATGCAGTACAAGCTTAGGCACAGCGAAAAGATCTTGCTTCATTATTATGCCAGTTGTTGTACTCCTATGGTACTTTAATAGGGGTCATCCCCTATAGGTACTGAGCTGCTATAAGAAAGAGCTGCAACTTCATGGCCAGACAAATACAGGGGCCAGGCTTTCTGCAACGCATCAATAGATAACACCCGACGGAAATGTGGCTCGCTCATACAAGAGGCATGAGTGGCCGCCGGCTTGTCAAAGATGCAGCTTTATTGAGCAGGGTGTTGAAAAGATTTTGTTAGCCAACTCAACGCTGGCCTCTGATTGGCCAGTGCTGGGTGGAAGACCCACTTCGTGGGTCTTCCTTGATCCCAGCCATCGAGGAAGGCAGCGTTTGAGAGTTAGATAATCAATCATCAGGAACCAAATTGACGTTATTATTGCTTTTGTTATTATTCGAATACACCTTGATTCCAACAGATTTCTACTGATTCTACAATGAAGGACTATCCCAGGCTCTCACGTATTCAAATAGAGAATGTTTAAAATTCAGCCAAGACTGACGTTGAAGTACATGAAGTCAATCCCACCAGCTGTAGACGACGGACAAGTCAGAGGGTCACAAAGCGGCAGCATGACACCCATCCAACACAGGCTGCGATTCCTTAGTTAGCCTTGCCAACATCTCCATTGGCCACCTCCTCGACCATCTTTCGGAGCTCATCGGCCGCCTCGGCGACAGTCAGCAGCCACTTCTTGAACTCTTCAGGCGTCTCCTCCTTGGGCTTCTCCGCCGGGGGAGCCTCTGCATCCTGACGGGCCCGCAAAACGGCCGCATTGGCGGGAGTGCCGTCAGACGAGAGCGCCATAGCAGACACGGCAACTACTTTATTGTTAGCTAGAGCGGTGGGAAAGAGGTGAGGAGCGTGTAGACGCACAAGCCAGGACAGCAGCAGCAGCGATGCGAACCATGTTTGCGAGATACGTCGGGTTGATGTAGTTGCGTTGTTTGTAAGGATGATAGTGTTGTAAGTTTGAAAGGGAGAATTGTTTACTGAATAGGTGCTTGGTTGAGCCTGTCCTTCGATGTTGATGGATGCAGCTATACTCTTATATCTTGGAGAGGTCGGAAACTCGGCCGCTTAGGACGCCGAGCTGGACTCAATCAGACGATGATGCTTTCCACCGCATATCTTCGCATTCCTTTACAAGATGAGTCCTCGGAGGTCCTTCCCCTAGAAGTCATCTTGTTGACTCGTCATTAGTGGGGAGTCGTGTCACAAACCCGGTTGTCGGTCGAAGCCGAACGACTTCACGCTGTTTAGAGTGGGACGAAAATGTGCTATAGCATGGTCGAAATCAACATTTTGGTGAGAATTTTAAGCTGCAGTTTGGAGGATAACATCAAGCAAGACGAGGGGGCCTATAGAGAGTGGGCGTTCCTGATCACGACCCCATCGGCAAGATGCACCGCCTATTTCCTACCAGTTTCGGAAATAGTGGGTGCCAGGCAGCTATTCCGAGCGTTCAAGTACCTATAAGAATGAAGAAAACTATGATGTCACTGTACAAGGCATTGCCTAATTTGAATGGGGCTTGGCGCGGCCTTCCACCGGCCGAGGAGAATCAGGGTACCCTGGCCCTAGTTGGGAGTATCTTCACCGCAGCACGGCAGTTGCTTCTATCCACGTTTGCACGACTTAGACGATGAAGTGTGTGGATAGGCGCGTATTGAAATACGCTTATTGCCGCTATTATTAATCAGGTGTTAGAGGCCGGAGTTCAACGTCTCCGGAAGCATTGCTGCATCACCGAGGCGCAAGCTTGCCTGATAGCCACCCGTTGACCAGAATTTTCAACAAGAGAGCAACGGGATCAATCGGTATCTTCGTATGACGAGTCAGAAATCTCTGGAACGTCCGAAGAGTCGCCGCTGTCCGACTTATAGCATGGTTGGACAAGGTGCGGCGCGTGAAGCCGCCGACTCAAGCCAGCGGCCGTTGCTCACGACCATGATGAAGGATGTAGAGGATACTTGGCTTCTTCAGAGTATCATGAGGTGGTCGTTGCTGGATTTTTCGGGTCATGATAGTAAGGAGGATTGTAGGAAGTGCTATATAGTGTGTGCTGCCGCACCTCCCATCAGGATCTCACACATCACACTCACTCATTCAATACTTACTCACTTATTCACTGATTCATTCCTTTATTCACCATTTTCATAGCTGTTAAGCTTACCTTTTGAATCCAATGATTCTTTTTCATCCGGTGCTGGCCCTCTTGGGCTTTGCCACCTTTGTGGCGAGCTACTCCATCGCCGGCTCTGTCGAACGCATGTACTTTTACTACGCCTACAAGCTCGACAGGTTGACGCCGGGAAACCAGCTCATCGCGCCCGGCTGCGACGACTGTACCCTCGACGAATTCATCAAGCATATTAGCAAGGACAAGAGCATCAAGCCCGCCATCAGCACCGAGCCGTTCCCAGACGTTGTCAAGACTGCCGAGAAGATTGCCAAGGACGGCTACACGGGCATCATCGAGCTCGGCCAGGTCGTCAAGGACGTCAAGAACAACTACGCGGCGCTCCTCCAAAAGGTGGGCGAGCGTGTTCTCGGCAAGCTCGAGTCCAGCCCCTCGAACCCGGCCAACCTCGCCGACTTTGAAAAGGCAAAGGCGGGCGTCTTCGAGGCCATGAAGGGCGTCTACAACGAGCGCACCCGCGCCGCCGTCGAGTCCTTCAAGCCGTTTGCCGGCGACGCGGAGCCCTTCAAGGTCATTTCCACCGAGTCCGGCCGCGGCATGAAGTTTGAGTTTGCCGCCACGGTCGAGGCCAACCCCGGCAAGACAAAGGCCGAGATCAAGGCCGCCTGGAAGAAGCACATTGAAGGCGGCCACGAGGAAAACATCGTTTCGCTGGCCAACAGCATCAAGGTCGCCAAGGACATCTTGTGCCCGGTGGGTGGCAGCAAGATGAAGCGACGGGCTCTGCTCTGCGGCGAGGTCCTCGTCACGGACCCCTTGACGACCGGCGCCGACGTCGTTTCGCCTCCCCCCAAGGGCGAGGAGGTTGGAGTGCCCCCCAAAGGCGAAAAGGCACCGTCTGAGCTTGGCGAGTCCGCCAAGCTGGCCGAGGAGATTTCCGAAAAGGAGTTTGCCGAACTGGCTGCAAAGCGCGGTCTCGATACCCTCGCCAAGGAAAAGTGGCAAATGTCGCTGTCCGAGGTCCGCACCAAGCTCAAGTACGAGCCGCTCAAGCCCACGTCCCCCAAGGTCGGCGCCGGCGGCTTCAAGGCGCCCTCGATCGGCGCCGGCGCCGTTGCCGTCGTCGGCGGCGCCTTTTGGGTCTACGGCGTCGTCGACGCCTTCACGCACAACGTGACGGCCCTGGACCGCGCCGCCGCCATCACGGCCATTATTCCGTTTGTCGGCTGCGCCGTGAGTACCGCCTCGGCGGCGGAAAAGGGCGACGTCGATGGCCTCGACTCGGCGCTGTGCTTCCTCGGCGACGGCCTCCTGCTGACGCCCGCGTTCCCGCTCGGCATCGCCATCCACGTCGTGCGCGCCATCATGAGCTTCTTCAAGCCGCCGGCGCTGCCAACGCTTGACGAGTTCCAGGGCCGCCGCGACCGGGCGTGGGCCCGCTTCCTCCGCGACGATATTTACACGTACATTTACTCGCACGAGTCGTACCAGACCGTCACCGGCCACCCTTTCCGCTCCGAGCACAAGACGTTCCGCGAGAAGCTCGAGAGTGCCCTCGCGATTGAGCAGCTCGCGGTGCTGTCCGAGGGCGCGCAGTCGATTGGCGCCGCGACGGCGAGCGCGCACGATGATGCCGAGGCGGCCGACGCGCCGGAGCGCAAAGCGGAGATTGCAAAGGGTGTCGAGGACGCGGCGGAGAAACTGCGCGAGGCCACGCATGCCGAGATTGTGCGCCGTCAGCGCAAGCTGGTGATGAACCTGCCCAAGGAGCTCAAGGAAAAGCACGACATGTCGCTGCAGCCCACGGCCGACCAGTACAACGCCGACTTCATCAAGAGCATCACTGAGGAGAAAATGGTCAACAAGTACAAGACCATCTATCCTGGCGACCCCGAGGTGCCCGGCTCTGGAACCGACGACGCCGACGAGATCCGCGCCAAGCTCAAGGGCTTTGGCGACAAGCTTCGCGAGACTCCGCCAGCGCTGCCTCGCTACTTTGACCTGGCCTATATTGTCGGGCAGTCGCGCTCGCTCCTCTCCGTCGACAACGCCACGCTGTCCGTGCCCGACTACATCCGCGACCTGGTGCCGTCGCTGTCCGAGACGGCGGTGCAGCTGCACGCGATCCACCACACGCTGCAGATCGCGCGGCTGCTCAACGGCAAGGTGAGCGAGGCGGAGCTGTCGACGGTGTCGCCGACCGAGGACGCGCAGGGCGCGCGGGACGTGCAGACGCTCGTGGCGCTCAAGTACGGACGCGTCTACGACGAGTACAAGTTCCGGTGGGCCAACAGCATGTTCCACGGCGCGACGGCCTTTTTCATCGAGGAGCAGATGCCGGGCGTCGAGAAGTTCCTCATCCAGCCGCAGGTGCCGCCGGTCCCGACGGGCACCGAGGACTTTGAGGACACGCACCTGTACGTCTCGCTCGCCGCGGGGCTGAGCGAGGCCATTGTCGACACGCTCAAGGGCAACGCGGACGCGCTCGGTAAGCGGCACGTGGTCGGTGTCGGCCAGGCCATCATGGATCGCGCCAGCAGGCTGCAGGAAAAGGTCGGCGAGTCGGATGCGCTGTGGGTGCTGGCCGTCGAAGGGCTCAGGAAGAAGGACGCGGCCCTGGCGCAGCCTGCGTCGCCGGAGAAGATGAAGAGGACGCTGCCGCGCTCGAGCTCCGTCTACCGGGCGCAGCTCGCCGCATCGGCGTAGAAGCTGGATAGATTCGACTTTGTCGGCTAACTTGCTGGGTGTAAGGGGTTGAAGTTGGAAGAGTCCAAGCTGCCTTATGGTTGGACTCGGCAAATCCATGTACTTGACAATACTGGTAGATAGACAACAACTGCGCAACTCCCGTCTTTGCCGGATGCGAATGCACATACCATAGACTGGACCACAATTACCTGTATCTGCTTTACTCCTCTCCATTGTTCTTTTCGTACTGTCTCCTGAAACACACTCCTCAAACACACACAGATTATGGTGACGCTACTGTCCGATTTTGGATTTCTTGGTGAAGACTCATGATGCCTTTTTCTGAATTACCATCAGAGCAGCTAATATCATCGTCACAGTCCCTTCTCGATAACCCCCGGACTTTCTCTGTCAATTGTCTGCGGATCCATACGAGTAAGTCCTCTCGTGTAACTTCATACAGGGGTCCGTCTCAGGGGCCCCGGACGCTCGGCAGGGATGCCGGTACGGATACAATCCTCGCATCGGGCTAGAACCGAGCTGTTGCTATAACCATTCCGCCCGCTGAGAAGGCCCTATGTACCAACGCCGCCGCCGCTAGTTAGGTAGCTGGCGTATATTGCTAGTCACTGACCCCTTGCGGCTCATCATCTGGCAGCCCTTGCGGCTGGTTTTGACCCATTGCGCTCGTCGCGGAGACAGACTGATCTCTGCTCAGCCCTGTTCTCATGCTGGACCCGAACTATGCTCTCGAGCCTACAAATTACAAGGCACAGTCTCCGTCGCGAATGTCTTGGGAGGAACGACCTTTGATACAATGTGTCCCTTGGCCAGAACTGCCGGGGACGTCGCAGACATGGCGAGTCTTTTGATGGTGGAAATTTTTACTGCGGCGCTGAAAGTCTCCTGGCAAGGGCTCAAGGTCGGGATAGTGCAGTAGTTGTGACCAGTTCCGTTTTTCTTTTCGTTGATTCAGTGGACGAGTTCTGTCCAAGTGGTTTGTCTCCCGACTCCGGTTAACGCCTGTTCTGCGTACAGAAGTAGAGGCTATAGCCCTCCGTCCCTTCTGGGAGTATACTGAAACCACGACTCCTATATCATGGATACGGATTTATTCTGCAGTGATTCTTCCCATAACCGTACGCTAGTAACCCCCGGGTATGTTTTGTTGATACAATGTGTACTGCTGGCTACGAGACATTTTTTATGCCCTTATGACCAAATTTGAGGCTGTGAAAGTTCGGACACTTGCCGAGTGCTCCAATATCGGACCCATGTGGATATGTGTCTTCTTTCCGGTTTATCCTGACTAGTTAGTTGTCGAGCTTCGGTCACATCTGTGAGGCGCTGCTGACCCCTACCTTCTACAGAAAAGCTTCTCCCAAGTCGGCCTCGGGAGCATCCTAGAGGAACAGGTGGGCCCTAGATTCGAGGATAATGTTAAGGCATTATTAAGGGAGGGCACGTATCGACAGCGCTTTCGAGAGGTTAGTCGTGGATGCCATCCTCTGCCAGTCCGACGGCCGCGTGGCTATTCTCGCAGCGGCAGCGGGATATGCCGTGTCCGCACTCCCTTTCGTGCTTCGTTTCGGCTACGTCAAGTTCAACGGTCGCTGCTTCTAGTGCACGAGGGGAGGCAAAGCACGTTAGAACTGATGAACATCTTGGAGGCAACGTTTCCAGACGCATGGTAAACACAACGCAGCTTCCTTCAAGGACTTTTCAAAGCTGTTACGAACTTTCATTAAGTATATTACTTTTGAATAAGTTCTATCACATTAAACACCATTTCCTATAATCACTCATTTTGAATACTGCATACATATATGTTTTTGTAAAGGATATTACTTGAATAACAATATATTTCGTTTGGTATGTAGCGGGAACTACAAATTACTCTTTCAGTATGGAACTATGTACTCCGTAGTAACAGATAATAATGTAGTGAGGGGAGTCTTTTACACTATACGAGTAGTCCTTGCCGGGTGCTTTGTACATTCTTATAGTGGTGATGCCGGCTCAGAGCCCTGCTAGTTTTCGGTATCCCTGGTAGGTACGAGCAGGGTCTATCCAGTTGCCGTCGGATCATGTTACCGGACGCCCACATCTCCGCTGACCGTTTGAAACTCGCCTATGCCTTGTGCGGGTTCCGAAACAAGAAGCAAGCATATGCATCAAAACAGTTGGCAGCCCTCGACAGCTTCGGGTGTTCCTGAAAAAAGGACCACGCACGTAATACCTTGGACATTTGATATGCAACACATATGCTGCACCGGCCTCGATTGCGCAGTCGTGCCTTGGGTGCCAGGGTCAGCGCATTGGAGCACGAGTAAGGTCCGTGGCGAAAGTGACGTGGGGGGACAGTTTCTAGAGCAACTGCCGAGCGCATGATCCATGGATAATAATCACGATAAACTTTGTACGGCTAGTTAATGGTCTAATTAAAGAGTTATTGCATAATCTTGCACGCGGATATGCCATGGGTCAATGTTAGTCAACCCCGGCACATTTGGACTTTGAGTCACCACATTACCGCCACCGCACGGAAATCTGTTTTAGTACAAGGGTTGCCCGCATGATGGCTTCGGGTTCGGTCTCTCCCGGCTGCTAGTTGACACGCTCTCGACACGGGCCTCTATGGAGGGATATATGTACATGACATGGGGCTCGAGTAGCAGAATTTATCAGTCAAAGGTACTTTCTTACTATTGTCACCAGTTATATACTTTGGAATGAATCTTGACTCGAACTATTTATGCCATAGTGGCGTCTATTTCCATATAGTACGAATTACAGTATAACTCGGCTGAGTCCATCATTGCGGCCACTCCGTGTAGTCAAGCTCTACACCTCCCTTCTTCGGCCGCCAGGTCTCCGGTGCCGACGCAAACAGCTCAGCAATTGAAGCGTCCGCCCACACTCCATTGTAAATACCCGGATCCTGAGCCGCACCCACAATGCCCGGCCCGTCAAATAGCCAGTTGCCGCTCTCCGGCATGCCGAGCTGCCCGCCACTCCTCACGCTGAACCGCTTCCACTCGTCCCTACCCCAGCGGTCGTTTTGCATGTCGCTGATCTCCTCCGCTAGTCCCAGCGTCTCGGCTCGTGCCAGTAGACGTCTTGTATAGTACGACGGCCGCACCTCGCCGTCCGCGTCATCGACGTCATCATGCGCTCGCGCCTCGCCTAAGAGGTACGGGTCCGGCTCTACCGCGCCCAGCAGCTCGTCAAACAGCGCCCGGTCCTTGGCGTAGATGGTTGCGCGCAGCACCGCCGGCCGCATCGCGGGACACCGCCGCGCGACTTCTCGGTACGTGCTGGCCCGCGCCACGGCGGGGTACCAGATGAGGTACGGCAGGTGCTCCCGCGGCACATCGGGCGTGAGGCGGCTGAGGTCGTTGCTCATAATCATGCGCGCGTGGATGGCCTTTGCGATCCAGGCGGCGTGTCGGGCGGGGGGCGGCTCGATTGCCCACCAGGATGCGAATAAGGGGTTGTGGTAGATGCCGCGCACGACGCAGCCGGCTTCCTGGTCGACCATGAGGGGCCGGCGCAGGCGGGCGTACCGATCTATGTTGCCGGTGTAGGCGGCAGCTAGAATCAGTATGTCCTTGTTGCCCATGGGTAGGTCTCGCGGCAGTGGCTTGGCAAGGTACGCGGCCATGGCAAGGTCTGCGGTATCGTCGGGCTCGGGCGTGGCAAACTCGTCAATGTTCATGTCCTCGGTGATGTTGAACATGGTTTCTTTGAAGCCAGGATCGGGTATCATGCTAAAGAAGTCGTCATCAGAGTCATCATCAGAGTCTTGGTCACCGTCGACACTGAGAACACGACCCTCGCCGCCTCTTGGAACTTGAAACTTCTGCTTCACCTCAAGCATGGGCCGGACAGCCGTGTCCCCGTTGAGGCCAGAGGGCTGCGGATCCGCCAAAATAGACCGGCTGTAGTCGTCCATGACACGGTACCTGATAGGCTGACTCGTAATGGCCGTGTAAATGTCTTGGCTGCCACATGCCCTCGCCTCCTCGGCCACGGCCACGTCTGGCAATACACTGCCGTCATCCTGCAGCTCCTGGTAGAGATTACTGTATCCGGCCACCGCACAGGCGCGCGCGACCTGGTAGGCCATGTACGGGTACCGCCGCGCCAGCTCGCGATACGTGTCCTCGGTGGCCGTGTCCGGGTGCCAGATGCAGTACGGCACCTCGTCGTCGCCACGGATATCCGGGATGCTGTTGCTCATAACGGCACGCGCGTGCAGAGCGCGCGCAAACTCAGGCCAGACACGCAGCGCCTGCGCCCGCGGACTCTGGGCAAAGACGGCGTGATAGCGGAGGCCGCGGATGACGCAGAGGCGCATTGTCCGGCGGCCGAGGGCGTCCGGGACAGCGAGGCCCCTGATGGCGTCGCGGGCGTCGGAAGCGTTAAAGGCCATGGTGCGCAGGCGCTCGCGGAGAGGCGCCGGGATGGTGTCGGCCATGAGGGAGAATTGCGGGCGTTGGCGATGAGATGGTGAAGGTTGAGAGAGGCCGTTTGCAGTTGCAGGAAGAAGGTTGGGCTACAAACACACACGTCACGGGAGGGAAATATCGAAATACATTTGAACATGCTACGGCGGGCGGCATAATACTCTTAATAATTTATTTAATTTGGCAGTAAAGTATACATTGATGATAGTAGGAACCCTACTATAGGCCAGTATTTGGGCAATGGCAATTTGAACTATTATGGTCCAGTATGTGGAGGCAGGCAGCAGAAGTTGGCATCTGAACAATGCAGCAGTTACGCATAGTGTTGATCAAACCGGTACTGCTGGAACTATTAAGCGCCAATTTGACACGTCATTTGTCTGTAACATCTTGACTTTTCACATTCCGCGTTTCTTCCTAGCAGGTCACTATAGCTGACGAGCGCGTGCGCTGTCCAGTGGTCGGTCATCACGCGACACTCGTACGTTTGTGAGGCTGATTAGAAGAATAGAACAATACGCCATGGAATTTTAACACACGTACAGCTGCGCATCGGCGACACTCGATTTCGCCTAGAGCTGAATCGCTAGCCACCCGTATGGATCGCATTCGCCGTATAGATCCGTAACGGGCCAAGTCTAGTGCGCCACACTGAGGTCGGTGATGGGTTGGGAACGGCTGAGATAGTCTCGCGTGGCTCGGTTTCTTCATTCACAGCGACATATCTTTTTTGAGTCATTATACAGGCCAAGGTGTCACGGTTCGGTCTCCATGCAAGACCTGGTATAAAAGGGTCACCAGAATTCCATCAACAGCATCATCCTCTATCCCAGTCACAATCTCACTCGAAACCTCATTTAAACGCACTCGAACCGCCATGGACAGGCGCTACGTCGTGACCAAGCCCCCCTTCAAGGCGCACTACGCCGTCACGTCCGCCGACGGCCAAGACGACTAACCCAACCACCCCCTCCAGGAACCACCACCCTGGTCCAGGAACCAGCTTATTAGTGTGGCTAGGAGGCAGTTAAGCCACATCTGCCACTCTACCTTATATAAAAATGATAATATAATAAGAATAATTATAGTTAATTAAGTAAAAATACTAAAGATAAAAAAAAAATATAAGTAAATTCTTTATATACTAAATAAACTACTAGTAATTTTTTTTCTTTTTTAAATAATTAATCTTATTATTAAATATATAGCTTATTATAGTAATAGATTTTATTACTTATAAAACTATTTAAGTATACTAAACCTTATATTATTATCTTACTAAATCTTTTTATATAGAATAGGTTTAAAGACCTTTTTTAATTAGCTAGATAAAGTAAAAACCTTTTTAATTAGCTTTTAATTTAGGCTTTTTAATTAGCTAAAGGCTTTAAATATCTTTTTAAAGAGCTACTAAGTCTCTAAATTTAGAAATTAGATAGTAAGGTTATATACTACTTATTACTAGATATCCCTACTTTTTATAGGTATTTAAATTTTAATTAGCTAGTCTTTTATAAAGACTATATTTACTAATAAAGCTTATATATTATTATTATATAGAAGTAAGCTAATTTTATTCTCTTTCTATATAATAAAGTAATTTATTAAATATAAGGGATAATAGTATAATTATATATACTATAAAAATACCTTAATTTTTCCTATTATAATAGACCTACTTTTATATAATTTAGATAACTATTATATAAGATATAAGGGAGTTATATAACTCTTAGATACTTTAGAATGCCTTTAACACCTCCTCTTAGATACTCTAGAATACCTATATTAACTCTATATTAAAGTATTTAGTAGTTATTTAGAAGTAAAAGAAAGGTCTCTATAGTCTCTAACTATAAAATATAGTAATCCCTCTATATAATTTATATATAATCTTTATAGTTATTAATACTATAATTCTTCTTCTTTCTTCTTTTACCTATTTAATCTACTTTTCCTACTTATAACTTATATTTAATAGACCTTCTACTCCTTCTATTTAAGTATCTTATATACCTTAATAGGTTATAAGCCTAGAGTTATAATATTAATATAGGTATAATACTACTTTAATTATACTAAATTTACTATATAACCTAAGTAAAATATTACTTAGTTATATATATATAAAATAACTAATAAACTAACTAACTTTTTAAGCTATTTTTAAGCTAATAGGCTATTTTTTAAGCTA